GAGAGGTGGTGTGGCGGCAGGGAAGGGTAGGAAAGGAAAGTGAAGTCGCTCAGTCGTGTCCGACTCTTTGCGACCCCATGGACTGTAGCCCACCAGTCTCCTCCATCCATGGGATTTTTCCAGGCAAGAGTACTGGAGTGGGTTGCCATTTCCTTCTCCAGGGGATCTTCCCGAGCCAGGGATCGAACCCAGGTCTCCCGCATTGTAGACAGATGCTTTACCGTCTGAGCGGCAGGGAGAAGGCGCAGCAAAGACGCGGGGAGTGGCTGGTGCTGCCTTCTGGGGCTAGCTCCCCAGGGCTGGCAGGGCCCCCCAAGGACAGCCCAGCTCTTGAGGAGAGTGAGTGCTCCTGGGGCTCTCTGGAGCTCAGCCTCCCACCGCACCGCCCCTCGGAAGCCGCCCTGGGCCCTCAGAAGGCTGACTAGGACCTCCCTGCCTTTGGCCCTCAGTCAGGGGCCCCTGCCGTCGCCCTCAGGCAACTTCTCCTCTCCCTTTCAGACCTCTGCACCTTTGCCTGTACGTTCCCTCTGCCTATAATGCCCTTCCTCATTCTTCTTCCTTCAAATCCTTTGTCTCTCAGGCCCAGCTTCAGGCTTCCTGCAACAATAACCCTTCTGTACCCCCCATCTGAAATTTTGGACCGCTTTTACTCACGTCTGTGTTCCTCATGTATTGTGTAGTGCTTGGCACACAGTAGATCACAGGGTTGGTTTTCTTTTTTAACTTTTTTTTTTTGATGTGGACCATTTTTAGTCTTTATTGAATTTGTTACAATATTGCTTCTGTTTTATGTTTTGGTTTTTTGGCCTCGAGTCACACGGGGTCTTAGCTCCCCAATCAGGGTTCTAACCCGCACCCTAGAAGGTGAAATCCCAGTCACTGTGTGGCCAGGGAAGTCCCAGGTTTTTCTTTTTTTTTCAAGTTAATTTGCACCCACTGGGCACTCAATCTATGTTAATATCTTTGTTATCCTGAAGTAGGACCTCAGGGAGGAGGAGGGTGTCGAGAGTTCTGAGTCTGTGGTCTTCAGAAGCTAACAAGTCAACCAGGAAACTCAAAGTTCTCTTATCCCAGCCCCAGCCTCCCAGACCACCCTCATAGGGTGCCGCCTCCCATGGTGGAAAGGCAGGTGGCATTTTCTCCATCTTGGTGAGAAAACCTAAGCCCAGCTGTTCAACGTGGAGCAGCTGCACGAAGCCCAGAAGCTGGTCTCTGGACCCCTGCCTGCGTCTCTTTCTTGGTTGCCTAGTGAACGACTGTCCTGGCCCAGCGTGAAGTCCGCATGTGATGGACACTTGTGTGTGTGTGTTGACTGACTGGCTGACCGACCGGTCCTGGAGCCTGTGGCTTGCGCGAAAGGCAGGGCTGTTGCTCACGAAAAGCTCACAGGTTTGGGGGCCTGGGGAACATGTGCAAAAGTCCAGCCAGTGACCGCAGCTGCCTCTGCCAGGCGGCTACCCCCGGTCACAGTGAGATTTCTGCCATGACTGAGTCATCCCAGGAGACAGGATGTTCCTCTTTGTGCAGCCGAGGCCTCTGTGATTGGGCGGGCTGCTCTGTGGCAGGGCTAGAAAGAAGCCATTTAAAGCATCAAAAAAACCCCACATGCCTCCCCACCCCCTTCCTTGGCAGAAGTTTCAAAAAGAGAAAAGCAACGGCTTTTAGCACCTCCTATACCTGCCACAGTAACAGGGTCTGGAAGGCCTGCTGCGGCTGCAGCTGAGTCGCTTCAGTCGCGTGCGACTCCGTGCGACCCCGTAGACGGCAGCCCACCAGGCTCCTCTGTCCCTGGGATTCTCCGGGAAGAATTCTAGCCAAGGGCAAAGAATGGGCCTTACCTGAAGAGCTGTTTAAAATGAAGATTCCTGGGCCCTGTCCCAGGCCCTGGAATCCAGCTCTCTTTGGGTCAACCTAGGGCTCTGCATTCTTAGAGGATTTTTTTCCCCTTGAGTTTTTATTACTATTAGGCAAAACAAGTAAATTGCTTATTTTTTTTGTCTTTTTTTTTGTCTTTTATTTTTAATTGGAGTATAATTGCTGTACATTGTTGTGTTCGTTTCTGCTATGCAGCAAAGTGAATCAGCCTCTTGTATGAGAGTGCAAGTTATCAGGAATTTCCAAGAGGGGTACAGGCCCCCCAAGAGGGTAGAAGGAGCAAGGATTAGAACTTCCTTTTCAAATGTTTGTTTTCTATGGGATCTTTAAAAAATTCAGTTTATATATATATATATTTTAACATGTGTTCGTGTGAGAATTCATGTGGATGTTATAAGAAATACATATGTCTTAGGTATATGAGCAAATATATTTTTAATGGTGAGTGAGTGATTTAAAAAAAAAATTGGCCCCTCACTGGGCCAAAGTCAATTGTTACAAATTCTTTTTTTTTTAAAAAAACTTTAATTGGAGGATTACTGCTTTACAATACTGTGTTGGTTTCTGCCATACAACAACATGAGTCAGCCATGAGTAGACACACGTCCCCCTCCTTCTTGAACCTCCTTCCCGCCGCCCGCCGCCCAGCTCCATCCCACACCTCTCGGGTGTCACAGGGCGCCAGGTGGGGCTTCCTGCGTTACACAGCAACTTCCCACTAGCTGTCTCGTTTATATATAGGAATATACATGCTCTAGTGCTACTCTCTGAATCCATCCACCCGCTCCTTCCCCTGCTGTGTCCACAAGTGACAGTTGCAAATCTTGCTGTCACTAACCAGCTGGGTGGTCTCGGCCATGTCACTATTCCATGCTGAGGTCTAGTGTTCTCATTTGAAAACTAGTTTTCTTTTGACCTCCTTTCCTGTTCAGGGTGAGAACAGATCGAGAACAGGCAGTAAGGCGTCTTGTCTGGGCCGGCACACAGAGGGTCCAGCCTGTGCGGTGGGGATCACGCAGAGGCTTCCAGGGTGATCTGGGGGACACTCGAGGACGAGGGAAGACAGCTGGGTCAGGGGAAAAGGGTGAGGACCCTGGGACCAGAGAGGGAGCAGTGTTATTCCCCGTTCCTACGCCAGCCCTTGAGTAGGCGGCAGCCTTTCTCGGGCTGCGCTGATCCCTGGGGGACTCTGTCTAGAAATCGTTGCCTGCTGGCTTTTCTCAACGGTAAAAACCAACGCTCTGACCAGGACCCGATCGCTCAATAGGCTGCAGGGACAAACACAGATAAGTCTGTCCTGAGAGGCCTGGAGTTATTCTCACTGTCCCCAGGGTACAGAGGGAAGAGCCAAGACCCAAGCTGCAAGGTGACCTCTCATGACAGCCTTGTCCTGACCTGTGCATGGCTTCAGGCAAGGTCCCTCCATGCTCTGGGCCTCAGTTTCTCCATCTGCAGAGTGGGTCCTTTGCAGGGGCTCCTTGGTTGGGACCATGCCACTGCTCTGTCAGCTTTGTGTTTCCAGGACTCAGAGGGAGTGTTTGGGGGGTGTTGGCCATAGCAGGAGAGGAGAGGAGATGGGAGGGAAGAAGGGCAGAGGGAAAAGAGGAGACGAGCGAAGGCAGGCGGTGAGGAGCTCTTCTCCAGCCATCCTTCCCTTGCCACGGCTCCCTCAGTAGCCAGGCTCTCCCTTCTGGTTCATTCTCCCCAAGCAGCTGGAGTGAAACTTCTAACTACACCTCTGGGTACTCTCCCAAATCAGAGATATGCTGCAAACTCCTGAACAGGACCCAAGAGGCCCCCCCAGGTCTGATCATCACGTCTCATGCCCACACTGTCTGTGCTCAGAGCCCTCGCCTCTGCCCGCAATAGCTCAGCCATCAAGAAATCACGTCCATGTGCCCCCTCCTGCCTCCAGGCCTTTGTACTTGATGGTCCCCTGCCTGGAATGCCCTTTTTCTTTTTTCCACTTGAGGTGAAATTCACATGAATCTAACCACTTTCCAGTGAACAACTCAGCAACATTTAGTATATTTATAAAGTTGTGCAACCACTGCTATCTAGTTCCAAACCATTTTCATCACCCCAAAAGGACACCTATGTCCGCTCAGCAGTCACTCCCCTCTGCCCCAGCTAAGAGCGCTAGTCTCCTATCTCTGTGGATTCACCTATTGTGGATATTCCATATAGATAGAATCATACAGTATGTGGCCTTTTGTGTTGGGCTTCTTTTACTTAGCATCCTGTTTTGGAGGTTCATCCCTATAGCGTGTGTGAGCGCTTCATTCCTTTTCATGGCTGGACGATATTCCTCCATGTGGATGGGGCACAACTCGATTGTCTATTCATCCATGGATGGCCGTCTGGGTTGTTTCTACCTTTTGGTGGTTGCAAACAGTGCTGCTAGAAAAGTGTGTGTACCGGTATTCATCTGAGTCCCTGTTTTCAATTATCTGGGGTACCGGAATGCTATTTTCACCATTCCCTCACTCCCAGTCTTGATTCTTACCCGAGGGGGCTCAGGAAGTTTCCCAGAGGACATGCTCTCTACATGGGACCCATCTTGACTTCCTGGGCCAGCTCTGGACCCCTGGGATCCCTCCTGGGCTTCCCCATCACTCTCACTTGGATTTGTAGTTGCCGGTTGTTTGTCTGCTGCCTCTGGGCCCTCAGTTCTCACGTGAGTAGGGCCTGTGCCCCAGAGCCCACGTGGGGACCCTGGCACATGGTCACAGCACAGAGGGAACCCTGCCGTTTGCCGACGTCTGGGCTCCTTATCCTGGATCTCAGGTCATTTTACAAAACTCTTTAGGGAAAGAAGAATTATTACCCCAGTTTTACTGATGAAGGAATCCAAGGTGGAATGATCGGGCCAAGGTCACACAGCTTCAAAAGGCTGGAGGCCAGGACTGAACCAGAGCTTCTGATTGCAAAGTTCCTGCTGCTGATTCCTGCTCCTGAAGACAGGAGGGGGTTCAAGGACTCATGGTCTCCCTTTGATTGTGTCCCCTACAGGCCACAAGCAGGATGGCTGGTGCTGAGATGGGCCAGTGGGGACTTTGGTGCCCATAGGGGCAGCTCCACCTCCTGAAGATGAAGGGGCCCAGGTGAAACGCAGGCCAGGCCCAATGGCCAGCTCTGGAACAGAGGTCCACTGGGTCGAGCCGGGCCTGGAGAAGGGGCCCCAGCGGCGGCGCTGGGCCTGGGCTGAAAAGGGAAAGGATGCTGATGGGCGGGGCACACGCAGCTCGGCAGACGAGGGGCCCTTTCCCACCGCGACCAGCCCCGAGCTCCGGGAGGACTTCCGGTGGGCCCAGCAGTGCCTGCAGCCACTGAAGTGGGGCCCAGACTCACAGCCTGCCGGGTGCCAGGGTCCCAAGTCTGGAGAGTCTGCAGGAGCGGGTGAGGCTGACTTCCCTACAATGCCCCAGTGGTACCCCGAACATCCCACCTTCTGGCGGGAGGGAGGCGGGAAGTGAGTGTGGAGTTTCAGAAATTTTTTAAATTAAAATCTATGAAGTCTATGCTTAAATTTTTTTTAGCTTTTAATTTTATACTGAAGTATAGCTGATTAAAAATGTTGTGATATCTTCAGGTGGATAGTGAAGGGACTCGGTCATTCATATACATGTATACTTTGTCCCCCAGACATCCCTCCCATCCAGTTGCCACATAACATTGAGTAGAGTTCCCTGTTCTATATAGTAGGACGTTGTTGGTTATCCACTTATGAAGCCTATAATTTAAAGTTTTTTTAAGATTTAAATTATATAAACAATATTTTCCATTGCAGAAAAATCAGAAAATTCAAACAAAAAGAGAAAAAGACTGAAAATTACTCATTATCCAGATAGCTGCTCTTTTTCATATGTGTGAATATATATATATGTATATGAATATGGAACATTCTACAAGCTATATTGTATCTTGCTTTTTTGTAACTTAACAGACGTGAACACTTTCTCAGCTTATCAAATATTCTTCCACAAATCATTTTTAATGTCTGCTTAGGAATTTCATGGTGTGGGTATTCTGTAATTTGTTGAACTAATCCTCTTACTGCTGAGCAATGGGTAGTTTCTAGTTTTTTGCTCTTACAACTAATGCACAGGTATGTCATTAGTCTATCTTTGCACACCTGATTTGATAATAACCTTGATAATTTTAATTGCCTGGTTCAGGGGTTGTGCCCATTTTTACAATTTTTAAAAATCCCAGTTAGCAATGAGAATGGTGGCTTCCCTTATTTTCTAAAATAACCGTTCTCTTTGCATCAAGAACAACTGAGACTAAATTCCTAGCTTGGCTCAGCAAGTCCTTTCTCCTCTCTGAAGCTTGATTTTCCCCATCTGTGAAATGGGAGTAATAATACCATTGAGCTTGATTACATTGTGCCTACTGCATTTGAATATGAATGAAACACCCCTGTCTTAGGATTCTGCAGTCAGGTAGGCCCTCGTGGATGTCAGAGAGGCCATCAGGCTGATAGCAGATTGTGCAGTGGCCCCAGGCTCCTCAGGCCAGGTCTGTGTAAAGTGGGGTTTGCCCACAGTTGCCCACTCAGGAGCCATTTCTGAGCTGTCCTCAGGGAACGGCAAGTTCCTGAGGTCACGTGGTGACCCCTGCTGTGATGTCACAGCTGCTGCCATGTCCGTGTCCTTACTGTGTCCCAGGCACAGGGCTGGGCAGGGCGCAAACCGTGCCTGCTTCTTTACTCACCACCTTCTGCCAGTAGGAGAGATTAGCCTCCAGATAAAGATCACCACAGCGGTCAACTTCTTGTTCATGGTGCCCTGTGAGGGATCAGAAAAGCCAGGAATGAACCGACGGCTGCCTGGTTCCAAAGTCCGACTTCTTCATCCCACCGCACATTCCCCATCAGCAGAGATTAACTTGCCTTCATAGCTGGGACCTTGCTTCTAAGTCCAGAACTGCTCTGAGCCACTGCATGGGCAAGTTACTTACCCTCTGTCAAGGGTGCTGCTGTCAACAAGAGAGGCTTGCTAAAGGAGATTTTAAGGAGTGGAAAGATAGAGAAGTGCCCAGGCTAGAGGAAAGAGCATGGGGGAGTAAAGAGTGACATAAGGATTATGGCAAAGGTGCATCTGCCAGAGCAGAGAGTCTGTGATTGGTGGTACCCAGACTGTATCTCCTGAAACTCTGGATCTGTGCCAGAGGCTGACATGGGTTCTAGGAGAGAGTAAGTGCTCAATAAACATTGACTTCATGATTGATGCATAGATGGATAGATGGATGGATGGATGGATGGATGGATGGAGAGATGAATGGGTGGTGGGTGGATAGGCAGATAGGTGGATAAATAGATGGATGATTGGGTGAGTGGTTGATAGGTGAGTGGGTAGTGGATATGTGAATGGATGGATGGATAGGTAGATGAGTGGGTAAATGGATGGGTAAGGAATGGATAGGTAGGTGAGTGGATGATGGCTGGGTGAGTGGGTGGATAGGTGGATGGATGGATGATTGGAAGGATGGATGGTTGGATCAATGGATGAGTGGATGACAAATGGATGAGTGGGAGGGTGGGTGAGTAGGATGGATGAATGAATATTTCCTGAGCACCTACTGTATAATAATTACAACAACTATCCATTTTTGGGGAGTTTGGCATGCATTATTGTCTTTTATCCCTCCTTCTTTCATCCTTCCTTCTTTCCTTCTTTCTATTCTGTCAATCAATATTGAGCACTTCCTCTGCAAATACAATAGTAAATAAAGCAGAGGGTATCTTTGTCCTCATGGAGCTTACAGTATAGTGGGGGAAGAAAATATTAATGAAACAATCATATAAATAAATAAAAGCTTCCACTGTAAGAAGTATTTCAAAGTAGAGGTATTCAGTCATGTGAAAGCCTATAAAAGGGAGAGTTTGACCTAAGTTAGGAAGGTTAGAGAAGACTGCCTTGATGAGGTCAAGGTTGAGCTAATGTGTGAAGGATAAATAGGAGTTAACTAGGCAAACAGAGGGAGAGAGGACCCTACCAGAGGGGTCAGCATGTACAGAGGCCCTGTGGCAGGAGAGGATGTGGCATGGCTAGACCAGGGAAAGACTGAGGGGAACCATGGAAAGAGCGGGAGCAAGAGAGCTAATGGGGGATGGAGACAGCGACCTTTGGCCCATGTTAAAGGCTCAGTTCTGTCCTGGGAACAATAGGAAGATACTGGTGAATTTTCAGATGGAGGATGAGATGATTAGGTAGCTACTACAGTGGTCCAGGCAAGAGAGGATATCAGCTTGGGCAAAGCTGGTGGTTCTAGACTTTAGGGCAGTAAGTGAGTTTGAGAGCACCCTAGAAGGTAATCAGGACAGGAGCAGGTGACAGGTTGGATTGTGGGGTTTAGGGGGAGGGAAATGACAAAGATACCCTGCAGGTTTCTGTCTTATACAGTTGGATGGGGGTGATGTTTCCATTTGCTGAGACCAGAAACACTAGGGGGACAACCAGGTTTGAGGATTGAGGTTGGAGGAACTTGAGACCAGCAGAAGAGGTATTAGGTAAGTATTTGGCCATATGGGGGAATTTACTGGGCTTCTTGCTGTCATCCCATATTAAGAAAATGAAAGCCCGGGGTTGAGATGACCTAGTGGGACTCAATGAGTCCAGGTCTAGTGTCAACGAAGCCATGGTGTGTCTTTCCAGAGTCTGAAGAAGAGGATGAGGACAGCCCAGAAAGTTCCAACCTGCCTCTCAGTTGGCTCCCCCAGCAGGATCCTCAAATGGACATGACCAGAGAGGAGCCCAGTGAGGCTCTGCAAGGTCCTGAGGTCCAGGAAGCTGGAGAGAGCTCCTCGAGGTTGGGGTATGAGACCTATCTCAGCTCAGGGAGCCATGGGAACACCAGCCCCACCGCTCTGGACTGGGGTCAGTCCGCAGGCTGGGTGGCTTCTAGCAAACAAGCCAGTGGAGGCAAACTTCCAGAACATTCTGAGGTCAACCCAGCTGTTGACTGCAGTTCGCCCAGGTCCTGGAGCAGTGGGGCTGTGAGCCTCAACCACTCCAGTGACAACCTGGATTCTACCTGGGAAGGAGAGACTGATGTCCCCCAGCCCATTGCCCTGGCAGAAACTTCAGCCCAGAGCCCCAGCCACCACCTCCTCAACCCAAACGACAGAACTGAAGGAAGCGTTGCTCTGGCAACGCCCACGGAATTCCAGGGATCCTCAGCACCACCCACCCAGAGCCTCCAGTGTCCTGCAGATCGATGGAGGAGACAGCCCGGGGACCAGTCCTGGAAGCAGACACGGATATCACCTAAGCCTCTCCCTTCCCGATTCACCGGCTCCATCAGCCCTCTCAATCCCTCACCTAGGCCAGCTCGGCAGGACAGGCTGCCCCCCAGACCGGGAGCCACTCTGGCTGGCCACGCATCTTCTGATGCCCCCAAGTACGGCCGGGGGCGGCTGAACTACCCACTCCCTGATTTCTCCAAGGTGGGACCCCGGGTGAAGTTCCCCAAAGATGAGAGCTACCGCCCCCCCAAGGCCCGGAGCCACAGCAGGCTGCCTGAAGGCCCTGCCAAGCCACTGATCTTCAAGTCTCCTGCTGAGATTGTGCGGGAGGTGCTGCTGAGCAGCGGAGATGTCTGCCCCGGAAAGAACCCACCTCCTACCCACCCCATAACCAGCGTGCCCCAAGAATTTCAGACACCCGAGCAAGCCACCAAGCTTGTCCATCAGCTCCAGGTAAGCCTGACTCACATCCACCCCGAGGTGCCTCCTGGTGTGGGTTGGAGGCTGGATAGGATGAGGGGGTCTGGGGGATCTGGGGAGCCTGTCCAGGAGCCCCCTGATCGTGACGAGAGTGTTGTACCTGCAACGATGAAGATACTCCCAAGCCCGTTGTTCAAAAAAAAAGCAGTGATTGCACTCATGCTATAAAGATAGGCTGTGTTTGTTTTCAAGTCTTGCAAAGAAAAATTCGAAACATACAAGAGAGAAAATAGCAATGATGAACCCCCGTAGCCTGATCATACAACCATATCTACCTTTTTCTTTTTTTTTTTTTCATTTATTTTTATTAGTTGGAGGCTAATTACTTTACATCATTGCAGTGGTTTTTGTCATAAATTGAAATGAATTAGCCATGGATTTACATGTATTCCCCATCCCGGTCCCCCCTCCCACCTCCCTCTCCACCCGATCCCTCTGGGTCTTCCCAGTGCACCAGGCCCGAGCACTTGTCTCATGCACCCAACCTGGGCTGGTGATCTGTTTCACCCTAGATAATATACGTGTTTCGATGCTGTTCTCTTGAAACATCCCACCCTCCCTTCTCCCAGAGTCCACAAGTCTGTTCTATACATCGGAGTCTCTTTTTCTGTTTTGCATATAGGGTTATCGTTACCATCTTTCTAAATTCCATATCTACCTTTTTCATCAATGGCCTCACCTCTTCCTCCTCTCACCTGCTGCTCCTGGGGTATTTTGAAGCAAATTTCAGGCACCAGATGATTTTACCCTCAAATATTTTAGTGTGTGTGTCCAACAATAAGGAATCTCTCTTAATCATCGGCCTACCTAAAACTTAAGGCCCATTCCTTAATAATAACCAATGTCCAGTCAGTATTCAGATCTCCCCCTTTGTCTCATAAATGGCTTGTTTATTTCAGTTTGTTTGAAGCAGGATCCAAACACAGCTCAGATAGGTATTGGTTGTTGTGCCCTCAAGTCTCTCACCATCACCTTCTGCCTTTTTTGTGGACCATTTTTAAAGTCTTTATTGGGTTTTTTTTTGGCTGAGAGGTATGTGGGATCTTAACTTCCTAGCCAGCGATCAAACCCAAATCCCCTGCATTTGAAGACAAAAAGCCATAACCACTGGGCTGCCAGGGAAGTCCCTTCTTTGCATTTTCTGCCAAATCTCTTTTTTCTGTGTAATTTATCTGTTAAAGGAACCAGTTCTGTCCTGTAGAGTCTCCCACATTCTGGGGTTTTATGATACACCCTCTGATCTCTTTTCATGTGTCTCCTTGACCCTCTTTGTCCTGTGTTTTGCCCAGTTAGAACTAGAGGTGTTTCCAGGTTGTAGTCATTTGCTTATTCCCCCCCATCATAGTTCCATGTGGGTAGGGGTTTTGGCCAAGAGCCCATCATAGATGGTGCCTTCAGGAGGCGTTGACTGTCTGCTGGTCTCACTCATGATGTCAGTGACTACTGATGGTCGTTACCTTGATCCAGGCTTTCATTGAGGGTGACAGACTGGTAGTCCCCTGCATTTTTTTTTTTTTTGCTGGAAATCTTCTATAAAATAAAACTTTCCTTCATTAACTATTTGGTTACCAAGGTCTCATTCACATGGAAAAGACAAGAGAAATGCTGGATTCTGTCCTTCTACTGACTAGTTTTCAGAACAATGCATCAGTTCCCTGGCCACCTTCGAAGGCAACCAGTGACACTTGTTTTTGTGCTTTTCCTCTGTAATGACTTGTTTTAAGAAGCACTTCAGTTTTGTTTATGGCGAGTAGTAACTCTGAGTAAATGCAACTGTGATTTTCCAGTCTTCTATTTTCCTACCAATGGACCCTTAGATGGTTCATTCACTCAGCCATTCAAAAATACTCACTAACACATATTACTTAACTCCTGGGAGTAGAGCCATGGGGAAGACACACGCAGGCAGGGAGTTCAGATAGACAGCCAAGCAGCTGAGATTCTCTGTGACGGGATTACGCATCGCAGTGAGCCGGCCCTGAGGCCATCACTGCTGTCAGGGCTATAGACAGGTTGGTGGGTGAGTGGTCCTGCGGCCTTCGACCGTCCAGAATTTGGCCATGGGGTCTGTATTGCAGGGGGCTGCTGAACTGCCACTACTGAGCCCTTTCTCTCCGAGGCACCCAGAGACCCCCTTTGGGGAGGGGGTTCCCAGGGTGGGGGGAATCTCACAGTCAGAGGCCTGGTGTGTGACCTCGTTGCCCCGCTTCCCGCAGGAGGACTACCACAAGCTCCTCACCAAGTACGCCGAGGCCGAGAACACCATCGACCAGCTGCGCCTCGGGGCCAAGGTACTGGGCCGGTAGGGTGGAGGGCTGGGCCTGGCCCCCCGAGATGATGGTTTTCCATAGCCACGGCCTCCTGCCTCCAGACACCCTGAGGCTGGAGGACGCGGTCCTGCCCTGTTCTACGGTGGGGTCACTGTGACCCTGGGGCGGCAACCTGCCCTATCCAGGCTATTGATGAGCTCTGAGTCCTCGAATCCTAGAATCTGGGGTGCCCAGGAATTTCACCAGAGGCTGTCCTTCTAGATAAGCTCTGGAGTAAGACCACCTGGCCGCAACTCCTGTCTCCATTACTGACTAGCTCTGTGACCTTAAGGAAGTTACCTGGACTCTCTGAGCCCCAAGGGAGTAGTGCAGAATTTCTGCTCAACCTCTGGGGCTGATACTCCCCTTGGCCTTTCTCCTCCCCTGTCTTCTCACCCACGGCCTCTCCCCCCATTCTGAATGTCTAGCGTGGGACAGGGGAGTGTGGAGGGGGATATCTGCCCCCCCACCCCAATCCTGCCCAGTCCTCCCCCCGTCTAGGGGAGGCTGTGAATGCTGCACTTGGGACCTTCCCCTTTTCTGGGGTGAGGCAGGAAGTGGGACTTGTCACAGTCCCTCCTGGCTTCCTGCTTCTGCCTACGGGTCTCTTGCCTCATCAGGCAGCAGTGGAGGAGGGGTGGGAGCTGGGGTGCAGAGATGCAGACCCTCCCTCTCACTTGCCTGCTCTCTCAGGGCCCCCACCCAGGCTGCCCCCATTCTGCTCCGAGACCCCTCTCCCTGCCAAGGAGCTGCTTTCCACTATCTAACAACTCTTCTTCCATGACATGTTGCCAAGGCCACCACGTTGAGAAAGCGGAGAGGCCCTGTTCTAGGAGCAAGACTTCCCCTGCGTCCCCACATCCTCCTGACACAGGCAGATCCTTTCTATCCTGGCCTCCTTAGGCACAACTGTAAAAGGGGGTTAAACATGCTTCCTCCTGGGAAGGAAAGCTATGACCAAACTAGACAGTGTATTCAAAAGCAGAGACATCATTTTGCCCACAAAGGTCCATATAGTCAAAGCTATGGTTTTTCCAGTAGTCATGTGTGGATGTGAGAGTTGGACTATAAAGAAAGCTGAGCACTGAAGAATTGATGCTTTTGAACTGTGGTGTTGGAGAAAACTCTTGAGAGTCCCTTGGACTGCACGGAGATAAAACTGGTCAATCCTAAAGGAAATCAATTCTGAATATTCATTGGAAGGACTGATGATGAAGCTGAAGTTCCAATATTTTGACCACCTGAGGCAAAGAGCCAATTCATTGCAAAAGACCCTGATGCTGAGAAAGATTGAAGGCAAAAGGAGAAGGGGGCAACAGAGGAGAGATGGTTAGATAGCATCACTGACTCAATGAACATGAATTTGAGCAAACTCCAGCAGATAGAGGACAGGGGGAGCCTAGCGTGCTGCAGTCCATGGGGTTGCAAAGAGTTGGACACAACTTAGGGACTGAACAACAACAGGCCTCTTGGGAGCCACTGGGCTGCCTCCTCCCACCCCCCATGTCTTAAGGCTTCTTTCAGCTCTCTGAGTCAGATTCAGGGGCAGAAGAGAGAGCTGGAGGACCATTGAGGGGGCTTGATGAGACATCTCTTCTGGGTAAACCACATTGTCATAGTCTCCTAGAAGGTCCAAGAGGAAAGGATCTGGTCATCAGGTCCCCTGTCTCATAGATTGGAGAATCAGGACCCAAAAAAGGGCAGATGTTGCCAAAGGTCAAGGTCAAGAACAGAGGCTGGGAATATCTTCTCTCTCCCTCCTTTCCTACCTTCCTCCTTTACTCTTTAAAGGGAATGAGTCTAGGTGTTGGAAGTGCTTATCTAAGAATTAGAGAATATTAATAGTATTAAAATGAAGGTGTTCGTTGGGTTCCCATGTGTGCCAGGCACAGAGTAGGCATGAGCAGGGGGACTCAATGGGATCACAGCCATGTGCATCTCCTGGACATTTCCCCCGACCCAGCGGGGACTCACCATGTGGGCACGCCAGCCTGGCTGGTATCCCAGACCCCAGTGTGTGAAGAGGGAAGGCAGAAGAAGCCAGGAATGGTGCAGCATTAGCTCACCTGCTTTTGCATTCTAGAAAAAGTGATTCTTTGGCCTGAAAATTCTCCTCAAGAGAAAGGTGAGCAGAGGTCAGCTTGACTCTTCTGGAAGCAGAACAATCCTCTCCCAGCCCTGGGGACAGGAGAGGCAGGACTCACATCCCAGCATGCTGAGGAGGACGTGGAGCCTGAGTGGGGAGGGGCCTCACTGGGTCTGCAGAGCTTGTGGAGCTGAGTTTCCAGCCAGGCCTCTCACTGTGTCCAGAGCTCTGTCCAGGCTCTGGAAACCCCAGCATGGCTTCCTGCTCAGAGCCCTCACCAGGGAGGCCAGCTCACAGAGGCAAAAATGTCACTGCCCCCGCAGGCTGAGCTGCGGTTGAGCTGCAGGCTGAGCTGCTGAGAGTCCCTTGGACTGCAAGGAGATCCAACCAGTCCATCCTAAAGAAAATCAGTCCTGAATATTCATTGGAAGAACTGGTGCTGAAGATGAAACTCCAATACTTTGGCTACCTGATGGAAAGAGCTGACTCTTTTGAAAAGACCCTGATGCTGGGAAAGACTGAAGGCAGGAGGAGAAGGGGACGACAGAGGACGAGATGGTTGGATGGCATCACCAACTCAATGGACATGAGTTTGAGTAAACCCTGGGAGTTGGTGAAGGACAGGGAGGCCTGATGTGCTGCAGCCCATGGGGTCGCAAGGAGTCGGACATGACTGAGTGACTGAACTGAACTGAACTGAGGTTGAGTTGGCTAGAGTGACCTTCCCAGCAGCCAGCTGAGCCACTCACTCTGCTCAGAGCCCCCAGGGGGAGGCCTGGACCCCAGGCCAGGGATGTGACCCTGGAGACGCAGGCCAGGCACCGCAATAGAGGAGCAGCGACAGGTGGGGACCGGGGGGAAGGAGACTGGCATTTGTTGAGCAGTAAAAAGCTGCCAGGCCTCAGGCCAAGCACACTGCCAGGGTCACCTCATTTGATCCTCTTCACAAGAGGAAAGTGAGGCTCGGCCAGATGGAGCGGTTTGCACAACCTTTCCACAGCCGGTTAGAGATTAAAAGTGGGGGATTAAACTCTGCCTGATTCCAGAGTGGGCGCTGTTTTTCGCCGTGCCTGTGTGAGCGCAGTTCAGGCCCTGGCAAGATGTGGCAGAGGCATAGAGACAAGGCAGAATGAGGATGTTACAGTGTAACAACAATAGTAATAAGTGATGCTTACTGACCACCATCCTGTCATCTACCGCTGGGGAAACTGAGGCGCAGAGGTTAAGGGATTCACCCAAGATCACTCGACAAGCAGGTGCTAAAGCTGCGGTTTGAGCCCAATGGTCTGGCTGCAAAGCCCCCTGTCGACTGTCTTTTTAGGCTTAGGAGTTTATTTATGTATTTACTTTTTAGGTTTAACCGAGCCGAACTAGATGATCCTGGTTTCTGCCGCTCGGAGGCTGACCAGGGGGTCCCAGGACCTGGCCTGCGGGCCCCGCTGGATCTGGTCCGGGGTGGGGGCAGGGAGCTAGGGCTGGCCAGGAGTCACTGCCCGGGGACCAGCTTCGGGTCAGAATTTATAGGAGTGCCCTGCATTCGCTGCCCTGTGGCCACCTCCCTCCAGCTGCTGTCCCCCATCTCAGCTGTAGGAGGGTCTGGAGGGGTTGAGACCAGAGTTACCCCAGAGAGAATCAGGGGGCGTGATACAAAACCGTCACTCCTGAAGTGCGTGTTCTGCAAGCCCCCTGGTGGAGGTCAGGGTGGGGCTGCAAGGATGGGGGAGGGGCTGGGGGAGGGGGAGGAGAGGACTCGGGAGAGGGGCTGGGGAGGTTTGTGTGTTCTGAGTGGCTGAGGAAACATTTCCTTTTCTCTCCACTCCCCGCCCCTTTCATAAAGGCCATTAGCATTTTAAAGACTGTGAGAAACCCAGCTGTGCCGAGAATAGTCCGGTTATTTAACCCACTGCTTCCCACCCTTGCTGATCCACCCTTCACGTTTAACACCCGCAAGGGAGCCAGTCCAGCCTCAGGGAGTACCATGGGATGCCCTGGTTTAAAGGGGGGCCCTGGGTTAGGTCCTGCCCGTGTCAGGAGACAGGTTGGGAGGGGCAGGCCTGAGCAGCTCAGCGATTGCCCACACTCACCCCCAGCTCCCGCTTCCCCGGGCCCCCACACAGGCCGTTGGTCCCTCTGCGGAAACAGAGGTGCTAAGAACTGCTGGTTCCCGCTGCTCCCCCAGGCTGGGCCTTTGTGGGGCGGGGGCCAGGCCTGAGGCTAGGGGATGGGCAGGGTAGGGAAGGGGGAGCATGCAGGAGGGCCAGGCCTTCCCCAGATTTGGGTCACCCTGGGAGGAGAGGGGTGCTGGGGGGCAAGTCCCCCCAGGCGGGCTTGAGCAGATGGCCTAGGGGATTATTAAAATCCAGCTTTGTTCTCAGAGGGGCTGGGCCTGGAAGAGGGGGGAGGCAGCAGGGGCCAAGCCATGGCTGGGCCATTGTCCCTCACTTGAGAGGAGATTTCTCTGCCGTGGCCAGGACGTGAAGAGCAGCTTAAACAGCGAGAGGCTGCCTGTCTGTAGGCCTGGGAGCCCACCCTGAACTGTCCACTCCTGACCTTAGAGGAGCAGAGGGCAGTAAGATAAACTGCCTGATGTCGAGGACCAGGGGGCGCTGAGGCATCACAGGAGAGTACCTTTTTTAGGGACTTGCCTCCATGAGGGCCATGTAAATAACAATGGCAGTGATGATGGTGATAGTGATGGTGATGGTGGTGATGATGGTGGTGATGGTGATGATGATGGTGATGATGATGGTGATGATGGTGGTGATGGTGATGATGGTGATGGTGATGATGATGATGGTGATGGTGGTGATGATGGTGGTGATGGTGATGATGTGATGGTGATGGTGGTGATGATGGTGATGATGGTGGTGATGGTGATGATGATGGTGATGATGGTGGTGATGGTGATGATGGTGATGATGGTGATGATGATGGTGATGATGGTGGTGATGGTGATGATGATGATGGTGATGGTGGTGATGATGGTGGTGATGGTGATGATGGTGATGATGTGATGGTGATGGTGGTGATGATGGTGATGATGGTGGTGATGGTGATGATGATGGTGATGGTGGTGATGATGGTGATGATGGTGGTGATGGTGATAATGGTAGTGATGGTGGTGATGAAGTTGATAGTGATGGTGGTGATGGTGATGGTAATAATTATACTACCAATGATGACAAATATGAGGGTGATGGCTACTGTTCATTGAGCACTCACTTTGGGCACAGACAGGTTAGTTCAGTCAGCCCTTCTAGGACTCAAAGCCAGTAGCAGAGCCTCGAAGTGAACCCAGGCATTACAGAGCTCATACAACAAAACCAGGGATCAGCGGACTTCCTGTTTAGAAGGCCAGATAGTGATTATTTTCAGCTCTGTGGGCCGTACATTCTCTGTGGTAACGATTCATTTCTGCCATTATAGCATGAAAGCAACCACAGACAATACATAAGCAAGCAAGTGTGGCTGTGTTCACTGAAACCATGTTCGTTAAAACAAACCATAGTTTGCCAGCCCCTGCTTTAAACCACTATTTGGCACTCAGGTCTTTAACCTCAGATGGTCTTCCTTGGCCATCTGCCTGACTACCTCTCTCCCACACGCTGGACGATTACTGTAGGAAATCCATCTTCAAATGATGGAGATCTGCTACAACTGAGAAACAATTCCTTCACTTGTTGGTTTATGCATTCATTGAAACAGCTATTAGTTGCCTTTATTATCAATGCAATGGTAATTCTTAGAAATAATTTTAATAAAAAATAATGATTATATTATTGTAACATGACTATACTTGCTCTCTGTTAAACACTATATTGATTGTGATATGATTAGATTATATTATAAATCATAACAAAAATTAATAAGATTATTAATATGGAAAGCCATAGACTTTGGAGTCAGAGCAGGGTTATAATCCCAGTTGGAGAAGTTGAGTAAGTAACTCAGCCTCTCTGAGTCTCAGTTCCCTCTTTTGTAAAATAAGCATGTGGTCCCTCCCTCTCAGGATTGCCGCAAAGAGAGAAGGAAAGGATGTATAAGCCCTTAGCCCTGTGTTTGGCCCCCACCCATAGGTTCCACTGAAAGGCAGTGTTTACTGTCCATTTTTATTTATTTATATTTATTTATTTACATTTATTATCCACCTTTACTGAGCACCTGAGTGACGGCAGGAATGAAGGTGAGGCCTCCTGGGTGGGTTTGCCCCGCCCCTGACTGGGCCTCCCCTCCCCGACAGGTGAACCTGTACTCGGACCCGCCCCGGCCCAGCCACAGCATCCACGCGGGGACGATGCCCCAGGGGACCAAGGTCTTGTCCTTCACCATCCCACAGCCCCACTCTGTGAAGTGGTGTGTGAGCCCCGCCGAGGGCCCGCAGGCCTCTGAGGCTCCAGGTGAGTATGGGAGACGAGATGTGTCTGGAGGCTCCTCTGTGGTGGCTTCTCTGGGGACGCTTGGTCCGCCCCAGTGCGGCATTAGCTTCTGGCTGGGGGAGGGAGGGAGGTGAGGCCCCTCTCTGGGCCCTGTGACTTGAAGGGGTCGGACGGAGATGTGGAAATGTCAGCTTTGAGCCAGAGCAGCATGGGTGAAGCCCTAGCTCTCTCCATTTAGCAGCTGGATGGTCTTGGACAATTTGTATGACAAAGCACATCATCACAGCGGAGCCCATATTGGGCTAGATCCTACGCCAAGCCTTGCCAGGCACGGTCTCAGTTAATCACATCAGCCTGGTGAGGCCCCCGCTGGTGTTACCGCACTGGCAGTTAAGGCGACCAAGGCTTGGAGAGGTGACAACATGTAGGTCACACCACTCCAGAGGAGTGGAGGATTTGAACCTCCATCCTTCTGAGTTGAAGCCCACACTATTGGCTGGGAACCCAGAGGTCTGGCTTGGCTCTAGCTGTGTGATCCAGCTAGAGCCGTGTCCTTGCCTATGAATGGGGTCAACATTGCCCAGGTCACTTCCTGGGGCTGGCTGAAAGATGGGGAGATCGTGAGAAAGCTGAGCTGTTACTGGAGGATGGAGGTGGTGGTTTTGAAGTTGACCACCAGTCTCTCAGCCCCAGGAAGGACTGTTCTTGGCCCCAACGTGTAGTGACTGTGTATTCTAGGGTCGCCATCAGCTGGAGGAGACCTGAGCCTCTCCTCACCCCCCAGCATGCCTGCCCTAGGGTGGCTTCAGGAGGATGCAGGGGGCATTGCCCAGGACCAGCCCTCAGCGGAGCGGGCCCAGGAGCTGGCTTCTCAGGCCAGTCGGTTCCTGACAAAGGTGAGTGGAACCCCAGCTTTGCCCACGGGAGACAGGCTTCACTCGAAGAAAGCAGAGCCTCCACTGCTCAGGTGAGGGGCTGTCTGTGTGCCAGGCTCACTCATCACGCCCCTGCAAGAGTTAACCTGGGACTTTCCTGCCGGTTTTAGAGGCCACGAAGCTCTAGCCTCCTTGTTGCCCAGTGCTAGGTTTAACTTCCTTTTTGGCACTGTGTCTCATCAAACTCTCTCTAACTGTGCTTGAAAGTATCTCCTGGTTCACTCCTGGAGGAGACTTTCAGCCTTTTCAGGATTCTGGAAGGGTTATGGAACCTTTACTCTCCCTTTTCCTCTTTGGAACACCCGACTTCTCTAGTTCCTTTCATTATGGAATCAACTCTCAGTTACTTCTCAAAAGGCCTTTTCATTTTCATCGAAATAACTATGAATTTGTTATTGTTTACAACTATATGCTTGGCCTATTTCCAAAGTACTTTAAAGCGGCTTAGAAAATACATGCATCATAACCACATTCTGAAAACAGAAGGGAGAAAACTGGGGTAAAGGGGAAGTACGTGTAGGGACAAAAATAAGATGAACTTAGGGAGACATGAATAAACAAAGACCCTGAACACTTTATCAGATTCACGTTTGGCTTTGAACTTCCTAGTAGTCAATGCAAAAGGGGAAATGCAATAGTTATATCACCATGTCCATAAAACAAATTCTTTCAAATAAACACTACCATTCTCTTTTCTTTCTTTCTTTCTTGGTAACAACTTTACTGAAATATAATTCACATAACATGCAGTTCAGTCATTTAAAGTTAATGCTTCATGGCTTTAGTATCTCATAGTTGTGCTGCCATTAACACGATCGATTTTAGAACATCTTCATCACCCACTAAGAAACTCCATATCCATTAAGCAGTCACTTCCTATTCCCCTTCCCCCCAGCCCCAGTCAGCTGCTCATCTACTTTCTGTCTCTTTGAGTTTGCCTGTTTTGGACATTTCATATAAATGAATTCGTGTACCATTTGTCCTTTTGTGTTTGGCTTCTTTCACTTACATCCGTCTTTTCAAGGCTCACCCATGTTGTAGCAACATGAACTTTATTCCTCTTTATCACCGCCATTCTGGATCCTGTAACTGGAGAGACATTTCTCCTGTCCTGTGTGCTGTAAAGCATCTCAATACTTTCTTTACATGATTACATGCCAAAATAATATTTTAGGTTTATAAAATATCTCATTAAAATTAATTCACCTATGTCTTTTCACATCTTTAGTATGGTTACTGGAACATTTTAAATTATGTATGTAGCTTGCATTATGTTTCAGTTTTATATGTTATATAAGGTATATAATATAATGTAATTATATTAGGAAAAGTTGTATATTTTGGCACTGATCTAGAGCTTTCCTAGAAATCCTAGAAATCTACAAATTGTCTTTGCCTTTTTTCCCCTAATTAAATTTTTTTGTAACTGTAATAGATACTCATGGTAAAGACCATCACACAGGGCAAAGAATACGTTCAGTGAAATTTTCTTTCCCACTATTGCCCTTCTGCTTTGTACCAAAGGTTTAATGAACACACATGTGTTTATAGAAATGATCACATAAGTATATACACTATATTGTACCTGGGTTTTTTTTTTAATATCCCAAATTTGTATATTTGTGAATAGGCAATAAATTCACTTTGTTCAAAGTTCAGAGAATACATATAGTAGCAAACCTTCCTCCTCTCCCTGTCCTCCCACACCATCCAGTTCTCCTCCCCAGAAGCAGTTAATATTTTAGTTTCTTTCATTCTTCTAAAGATAGGTTATAATATATAAGCAATTGTGTTTGCATTTTTCCTTTTTTCTTCTCTCTATATTTTGTAACAGATGGTGGCATACCACACATACTGTTCTGTACCTTGATTTGATGCTGAGAAGTGGTTCATGGAGGCATTTATACATAAGAACACACACACATACCTCCCTCCTCTGGATGGCTGCATACTATTCCATGGGTAGTCATCCGGATTGTTTCCTGTCGCCGCATCCCCACCAGGATGCAGCTAATGCCCTGCCTCGTAGGTTTCATGCACACGAGTGAAGTGAAATCAAATCCTGAAGCCCCGCTTAGGTCTCCCCAAGGCTGCCACGGCCAGAGCCAGGGCTGGAGGCTGTCTCTGGCAGCTGCTTCTCTGTGCTGGGCGGAAAACCCACGTCTCGCAGCGGGACCCAGCTCCCTATGCCAAAGTGCGACTGTGGCCAAGTGTGGGGGCCGGCAGAACTCACCTGAGCCTGGGTTCATGGAGCGTGTTTCTTTCCCCTCCAACGCCCAGGTGGAGTCCTTTATAGAGCTGATACGCTCAGGACGGCTGACACCCCGGGACCAACTCAAGGTACTGTCCACTCCAGAAGATGCCCACGGAGCTGCTAGGCACCTGCCCTGTGTCTCCACCGACTGCACAGTCTCCAAAGCCTCGTTTGCTGCAAGGCAGACCGGGGACTCCCAGACACAGTGTCTCCCTTTTGAACAGACAGCCCCCACTTAGCTTTCCATGATAATGATCGCTAGAGCACAATAGTCGCCACTTATTATGCAACGGTCGTGGTGTGCCAGGCTCTGTGGCAAGCCCTTGATGTACATTAATTCATTTTATTGTCATAAAAACCTGGCGAGGCAGTTACAGTCATCACCCCACATAACTGGGATGAACCGAAACCCAGGGAGGCGACTTGAACAACACACGGCCAGTAGGCGGTACCGCCCAGACAGAGATCTGTCTGAATTCCAAGTCCAGGGTTGTAACCACTGCCCTGCCCAGCTTCCCACCGATTATCCTGCCTGTCGGCAACCAGGAAAAGGCATTTTCTTTTTAAATTTTCTTTACTATAAAAGTGATTGCTAAAGCTTGAAAACTGGGGATGGGGAAGTGAAGAGACCCCCTAATCTAACCATTATTGGCTTATTTCCTTCTGGACTCCAGTATTTCTAGATAACTATGGTCACACATAAAATTTAGATTTTTGCTGCATCAGACAGGGTCCCAGGAAGGTGCAGATGGAGCTCTCAAAGTTGCGGGTGTAGGGATCAGCGAAGGGGCTGTTAGCAGGGGTGAGGGGTGTGGGCAGCAGCCTCAGGGGGTCCGACAAGGGACAGGGAAGCCCAGGGACTCACACCTGCCTGAAGCTGTTCTCTCCCAGGTCTCTCCCCTCCCACCCTCTGCCCTCCAATAGATGCCTCCCCTAGAAAGACCCCAGGGGAAGCCAGCAGGTCGGGAGCCCAGCTGATGCTCAAGGCATAGAGCTGGGTGAGGAGAGAAGCCAAGGGAGGACTGGGAGGGGCAAATGCAACATACCTGGTTTGATAGTTTTTGCTGTTATTATATTAGTAGTTACTGTGTTGTTATACGGACTTACCAGGGGACACTAGTGGTAAAGAACCCACCTGCCCACGCAGGAGGCGTAAGAGACGCGGGTCCATCCCTGGGTAGAGAAGATCCCCTGGAGGAGGGCATAGCAACCCACTCCACTATTCTTGCCTGGGCAGTCCCACGGGCAGAGGAGACCGGCAGGTTACAGTCCATAGGGTTGCACAGAGTTGGATACGGTTGAACTGACTCAACAGGCATGCATGTTGTTATATAGATGTTGCACACATGCTCCAATTACAAGATATGTCACATGGGTTGTATTATCTCATTGAGTAGATAGTCAAGGACCTTGAAACCAAAATTATTCTCCCCCCCACCCCCCCGCCTCTTCTAATTCCTCCATATCCAGGGAAGTTGAGAGCAGCTGGAAGATCAAGCTACGCTGGGGATGAGGCTCTAGGCTGTCCTTGGCCAACCTCAGTTGTCAGGATAGAATGAGTGAGATGAGGATGATAAGAAGTCAGGGATAATGATCCTACCTCCCATAGTTCTAGCTAAGAGTTAACTACTATCACATTTACTATGGGAGCCTCGTGTAATGGTTGGGACTATGAGTTCTGGAGCTCGAGGACCTGGGTTCAAATCCTAACTCTACAACTTGCTCACTCACTGTGTGACCTTCACCAACTTAAGTAACCTCTCTGTGCCTCAGTTTCTTCCCATTTAGATGAAGATGATAAATTACCCCTCTCATTAGGGTTATGTTGAAGATTAAATGAATAATGCAGCATCCTTTAGACAAAGACTCAGTGCTCCGTAAATGTTAGTTATCATTATCAATAGTTTGATGATGATGATAATACATCTGTTGGGTGTATTATCCAACAGGATGTATTGGATTCAGGAGAAACCAATAAAGATTCAGGAGAAGAGTGACTAATATTCCAAAACGCACAGTTTTGAGATTCAAATATGAGGAACTAAGGCCTCTCAAGAAGTAGGTCTTTATAGCGATACAGCAATAGTATATTTGACACTGTAACCATCATGGAACATCAGGGTTCTTATGGGTCTACCCAGGGAACACTGGCACCCTCTGAGGCTCATGCCAAGGCTCTAAGCCATGCCTCTGTCCTACCAGTCTAAGGGCAGGGAGATCAACCAGGGCAAACAGGTTCCAGAGAGTACCAACCCCAGCCTTCCAGACACTCGGGAGCCCAGAGGTCTCTGCAGTTCAGGGTGAGTCCCATAGCCATCCCATGCACCCACGAGCAGCTCATCCACTGTGTCTGCAAGGATGGAGCCCACAGGGCCTGGGCACTCAAGTCTTGCTGGCCTGTCTGGTTTCAGGTCTTCCAGCAGCTAAAGGCTGCCCACGCGGCCCTGGAGGAGGAGTACCTGAAGGCCTGCAGGGAGTGGCACCTGTCCCAGCAGCCTGCTGGCTCCAAGGGGACACCCAGGAGATTTGATCCTAACAGGTACCTGCTGGGGAGGGAGGCCCAGGAGGACAGATGGGCCAGGCCCCAGGTGCCCACCCGGAGGGGCACACTTCATCCTTAAAATTCACATACTTGGGGAGCAGGGAGAAATCCCATCCCAATTAGCAGCATGTCCAGATGGGGGGTACTTGAAGGCTGAGATCTGTGTGCTTTTAGACTCCCTGCCATGAGAAATACCCTTGGAGATGAGAGTGGAAGCCCCTCACTGGAGAATGGGGAAACTGAGGCCAGAGGGGGAAGGGATTTACTCAAGGTCCTACACCCAGTTGGTGGCAGAAGGGAACTCGGGCTAAGCCTCCTTATTCCCAGTGGAGTCTACTTTTATCTTTTTTATTTATATTCTAAATGATGATGTCAGGTGGGCCCTCCATGGGCATTTCTGGGGTCTCTGCTCTAAAGCACAGCCTTTGAGACCCGCTGATGTTTCCTTGTTCCAGGGAGCTGGAGGCAGAGATATTCCAGCTGGGAATTCGCCTGGATGAGCTGAAGGACCTCATGGACCACAACGAGCAGGAGCCTGGGCGAGTCGGGTCAGACTTGGCTTCAGACAGCCCCCCAGCCACGCCCTCCCCCCACCAGCCAACAGACCTGCCCTCTCCTTTGGAACAAACCTGCACGTCGGGCATGCGGACCCTCGGCCCTGAGGTACCTCTTTGCCCAACCATATTGGACTGTTCCTTCATTCATTGGTTTCTCCATTAGTTAACTTCTTCATGACATTTGAGAAGTTTTTACCATATGCCGAAACTCAAGACATATGGTGGGAATTCAGGAGAAAACAACCAAAATAATAGGTGGCCTCTACCCTCATGGGCTTCCCTGGTGGCTGAGATGATAACGAGTCTGCCTGCAATGCAGGAGACCCGGATTCAATCCCTGGGTCGGGAGGACCCCCTGGAGAAAGGAATGGCCACCCACCCCACCACCCCATTCTCTTGCCCAGAGAATTCCACGGACAGAGGAGCCTGGCAGGCTACAGTCCATGGGATAGGAAAGGGTCAGACACAGAGAGTCGGACTGAGCAACTAACACTTTCACCCTCATGGAATTTTCTGTAGAGTTAAACTTGTTACTTCAATTTTGATCAGTGCTCTGAAGGAGAATTATGGAGTTCTACACCAAGTAGATAACGAGCTAACATATCTGAGTTCACTAAGGAATCAGAAAACTTTCCTTGAGGAAGTCATGTTTGAATGAAATCTGAAAAGGAGTAGGAATTACTAGGTGCAGAAGAGGAAAAAAAAATCCGGCAGGAAAAACAGCTTTTGCAAAGGCCCTGTGGTTAGAGCATGGACAGTGAGGGGTCCATCGTCTAAGAGATGTGGCTGGAGAGGCAGGTAGGGGCCCCAGGAATTAGGTATGTGGTCACATCAGGGAGATGGTCTTAAACTGTTGTTTTTTCAGCAGGGGATGATATAAGAGGATTTGCAGGTTGGGCTTCCCTGGTGGCTCAAATGATAAAGAATCTGCCTGCAATGCAGGAGACCGTCTGCACTGCAGGAGATACAAGTTTGATCCCTGGGTCAGCAAGATCATCTGGAGAAGGGAATCGCTACCCACTCCAGTATTCTTGCCTGGAGAACCCCATGCACAGAGGAGCCTGGCAGGCTACAGTCCATGGGGTCACAAAGAGTGGACATGACTGAGCGACTAACACTTTCACTTTCAGAGCTGGGGGGGTAGTGGGGCAGATGCAGAGACATGCCTGGACTTGAAAGAGGTTTAGAAGGGGCGTTGGACGGGGGCTGGAGTGATGCTGAGAGGAAAGGAGCGAACGATGACCTCCAGGCTTCTAGCTTGGAGACCCAGGTGGATCTGGGGACTATTCACAGAGATTGCTACACCAGATAAGAACCATACATGGAAGGGGGCTTTGTAGCATTCTCTCCAGCCCATGTCACAGCGCTATGGGAGATGGCCATCTCTAGTGCATTATCTTGAGGGACTCCCCTGCTCCCCCAGTGAAGGTGTTTTGAGCAGCTGCATGTTCATATTGAAATGAAAATCTGGGTTCAAATCCTGGCACCACCCCTTGCTGCTGTATGATTTTCAGCAAATCATTTGAGCCTCGGTTACCTGTCTGTAAAATGGGCTGTAATAGCCTGTATACTGGTGGGATTCTTGTCAAGCGATATCTGTACAGTGCCTGGCACATAGCACATTCATGACAGCTGGTATTGAAGATCAATGACCCAGTCCCTACTTCTACACACAGGAAAGGGTAATAGGCCAGTGAATCTAACCTCTTTCTTGCTCTTCAGCACCCAGCATGAGCCTGGCATAAGGTAGGTCCTTACAGAGTGGTCTTAGGTACCTGCTACTCTCCGCCCCTCCTCCTTTCTCCAGCCCGACGCCACCATCGCTGGCCCCCACCTATTGCATGTGAACTCGGATCTGAGCGCTCCCAGCAACGAGGCAGAGGACAGGCCGCTGGACCTCCCGGCCCCGCTCAGGCACAAGGGGCTGCCGGTGGAGCAGGATTTCCACGGCCTACTGGAGCGGTGAGTGCCCACCAGGCCCGAGGCCAGGGTGACTGACGGGATCTTGCTGGCCTTGTGGGTTGAAGTCACGCTCCTCTGTGTTTTTCTGCAGGTACCTCAGTGTGAAGTCCCTTCCAGAAGCCCTGAGGATGGAGGAGGAGGAAGAGGCTGAGGGCCAGGACCACACCCTGGGTTTTGACAGGCCGGCTCCAGCTCCAGCAAAAGCAGTGGCCTCGAGGCTCCCCACCAGGCAGCCCCCGGCGCGGGCTGAGAGAAGTCACGGGGTTCTCCTCGAGTAGGTCACTGAACCTTCCCTGCCGGTCCCACACCAGCTCAGAAACCACAGGGGTAGTAACTGTCCTAGGAGCTAGACAGCCCTTTACAGTTTAGAAACGGCTTTCCTGACCTGTAGCTCAGTGTCTGTACAAACCATGAAATGTACACCATTGATAGCGCTTGAAATGATTTGGGGAGGTGTGGGATGAGATCTTTGGTAGGAGAGATGCAGCATTAAATAGCACCACTCTTATTCTCAGTCTCAGAGATTCCATGTACAACAAGGAGAAAGTCTCAGGGCTATAAAGTCTTCAGGGCCTCTCTTGATCTTCCTTTAAAAAGAGAGAACGAGAAAGAAAGCCAGCAGGCCTCAGGCCAAAAGCCTTTACTAGGCAACAGGCTTTATCTTGACTATGATAATGCTGTTTTCATGTTCCTTGTATTTATTTGCAAAGTTCACTTCTGTCTGTAACACAAAATACCGGTCTTCTGTTTACGATAGTGACATGGTCTTTTTGAGTAGATGGAAGTTGATGGAAATGGCTGGAATAGGAGAGAGGGAAGGCAAATTCCAGGAGCCTAGGAAAGGGTACTCTGGCACCTCTATTTCCACATGGTTTCTGCCCCAGTGTATGGGGTGGGTTTTGCCAGCATCCTCATTTTACAGTTGAGATAAGTGAGGTTCAGAGAGGGGCAGTGCCTTGCCCAGGGTCACACAGCCAGAGGGTGTTAGCACAGGGTGAGGATGCAGGGCTGCCTGACTGCAGAGCTGGTGTCCTGGGTTGCATGGCTCCCAGGACAGAGCTGCCCAGCCCATGCCAGGGCTCGGGTGCACCATGCCTCTCCTTCCGCTGCCAGGGAGACCGTGGAGCAGATGGCGTCTGTGAAGCCAGCAGACGTCGGTGCATCCATGACCAGAGATGGGCGCCTGCAGGGTCTGGGCGAAGCCGAGGAGGCCCCTCCCCGCCCCAGCAGGCCCCCCGATCCTCGGGGCCCCAAGTCCGCGACGTCCCACCAGAGCAGTCTGGCCAGCCTCGAGGGAAGTGGCATCTCTGAGCACCTCCCACCAAAGTCTCTGCGCCAGGCCGGCGGGCCCCCGCTGGAGGTACGCGTCGGTGTGGGGCCTCTCCTGGAGCCTCCTGCCTCCAGGCCTTTGCTCAGAGTGTCTACTGCTCCCACTTCTGCTGTGGCTCCCCGCACCCCCACCCCTCTGCGCGGACCTCCTCTTTCTCCTCTGAGACCTGTAGCTCAGTGCCTGTATCTTTCTGAGCCTGCTTAGCACAGCTGGAGGTGGGGGTGGTGTCTTTGACTCCAGGTAGTTTGTGCCATGAGAATAGCACTTTTTAAACTATGACAGGAATCACAAATCACTGTGGAAATATGACTTATGGGATCATATCCCCATATGTGATATCCCAGGGGTTAAGACTTTGCCCTGCAATGCAGGGGGCACAAGTTCGATTCCTGGTAGTGGAGCTAAGATCCTACATGCCTTGTAGTAAAAATATAAATAAATAAAAGAGAAGCAATATTGTAACAAATTCAATAAAGACCACATGGTCCAAATCCAAAATAAATAAACACATACATTTGCATGTGTACACACACATACACGCACACACACCCCTGTAGTCCTAATGAGCCCATGGTAAGGAATATGCACTCCACCATGAACTCATTGAGGGCAGACACCCGTGTCTCTCTGTTGACGATCTTTGCACCTTGCGTTAGACGTGGTGTGTTGGAGGTGTGCGTGGCTGATCAGTTTGGTTTTCCCAATTCATGGGACCTGGGCATTTCTGCAATCAGTTAGGACACGGCATTCCAGGCCCACCCTGGAAGATGTGTGGATGCGAGAATCCCATTCTCACAGTGGGACTGCTTTCTCCTCCTACCCTTTCTATTTCTCAGCTTAGGAAATCTGTGACAGTCTCCCTCCCAAGGGCCCTGGCTCCCACTCCTCAGGGACACGGGGCGTGCTCAGGGTCCTCTCGGGGCGTGGAGTCCCTGATGTTGGCCCAGGGCTCATGCCAGGCCCTGAGCACCCCAGGACCCCACACGCCCAGGGCCTGGCTGTTGGGAGCTGGGCCAGCCTCCCTGTCTGTGAGCCTCTGGAATGTGAGGCCCAGGCCAGCACTGGGGAAGGGTTTCCCAGTGTTCCTCGGACACATTCCTCAGATTTAAAGGGACACTGTCTCTTTCAGGAGCCCTGGATGGCATCCCCGGAGACAGACAGTGGCTTCGTGGGCTCAGAAACCAGCAGAGTGTCGCCCCTCACTCAGACCCCAGAGCACCGGCTCTCCCAGATCAGGTAATGGGGACCCCATCAGTGTTACCCACCTGGGATAGCCTAGAGTCAAAGTGCCTGTGAGCTCAGAACAGGGCCTGGGCGTTCTCAGAGCCCCACACTGCATCCCCACCAAGGACGGGTTATTGCCTTCATGTTATGGATAGAGGGAAAGTGACTTGCCCAGGGTCACTCCGCCACATATCGACAGACTAGGAATTTGTTGAACAAATGGGTGATGAAACGGTGAATGAATAAGATGTGCCGGGAGGGAGGCGTGACAGAGCTGCCAGATTGAGGGACAACCTCCAAAGCTGGAGGAAGGTCCCTGGGGCTACCCAGGGCTGTGTGAGAAGGGAAGATTACAAACTTCACTGCTGGGTATATTATCTAAAAACTAAGTTGAGCTTTATGACTTTGTGTATGTGAGTAGGCAAGTATACAGCTCTGCAGTTTATAAAGAAAATGCGTGTGTAATGCATCCTCAGAAATACTATACTGCCCGGGATGCCAAGTCCCAAAGGATAGGATGGTTTAGCATGTGGAGGGGCTCAGAGGCTGCGGCCTTATTCTGTATGAACTCAACGTGTCTCTCTTTCCATGGGCTCCCAGCACCCCAGGGATGTTAGCCCAGTCCTTCACTCTGCCTGTACCCCAAGATGCAGCCCCCCACCGCCAGAACAGGGGTCTTCTGGTCCCCAGAAGAACCTCCGAGCCCAGCAGACCCAGGAGCCAAGCCCAGAGGCCCCCGTCTGGCCAGGACAGTCCTCTCCAGCAGAGGATGCCCAGCTTCTGCCTAGAGCGGGCACTGGCATCTGAGATAGGTGAGTGGATGTATCTGGGTTGGCCAGAACCTGGGGGTGGCTGGATTGCACGGGATAAAGAACATCAAACCAATAGAAAATCTGCATTACCCTTTGGGATGCAAAATATCATACAAGTTCATTATAGGAAAATTTGAAAAGGGAACAAAAAACAATAATTAGCTAAAAACCATCATTGATGACATTTTAGTCTAGAACCTTTGAGCTGTTTTCGATGCCATTGTGTGTGTGTTTATTTGCAAATACTTAAAATGGAAATGGAATATTACACATGAATGTTTTATAACCTTTTTTCCCCACAAAACGCTGTTTAATGAACACTTTCTGTGTCTATAAAATCTGTGATTTCTTTGTTTACTTTTTAAAAAATGCATGTGACCTTTTTATTGAAATAAAACGAATATACAGGAAAGAACAGAAACTGATGAATTTTCCCAAGGTGACCATAGACAGAGAAACTCCACATGATCAGAACCCCAGCCCCCTCCAAGCCCCTCCTAGACATTCCCATCCTTCTCAAAGGTAACCACTGTTCTCAGATTAGCTTTGCCTCTTTTTGAGGTTCCATTTAATTTTTTAAAATTAAACTTTTTAATTAAAAGTTTAATTAAGTCACATGCAGTTGTAAGAAATAATACCCTGAGAGCCTACAAGCCCTTCCTCTAGTTTTTCCCAACAATATCTTGCAAAACCTTAGAGTAATGTCACAACCAGATTCTGACATGGACTCTGTCAAGACACAGAACATTTCTACCATCTCTGTTGTCCTTTTATAAACATATCCAACCCCGCCTTAACTCCTGGTAACCACTAATCTGTTCTCCATCTCTGTAATTTTGTCATTTCAGAATGTCATAGAAATGGAATCGTATAATATATAACCTTTCAGGATCGGCTTATTTTTCACTCAGCATACTTTTCTGGAGATTCACATAGATTATTCCATAAATCAATAGTCTATTCTTTTTTATATTGTTGCATTGTCTTCCCAGGGAGCATTGTTTTTAATGTACATGCCGGATGAGTGGTTTGGAACTCTGGTCACCCACCCTGTTGAGAGGCTAAAGTTTTCAATGCTCTGAGAAACATGCAAGCCGGCAAGCTCAGTTCAGTTCAGTCGCTCAGTCGTGTCCGACTCTTTGCAACTCCATGAATCGCAGCACGCCAGGCCTCCCTGTCTATCACCAACTCCCGGAGTTTACTCAAACTCATGTCTATCGATTCGGTGATGCTATCCAGCTATCCCATCCTCTGTCGTCCCCTTTTCCTCCTGCCCCAAAATCCCTCCCAGCATCAGGGTCTTTTCCAATGAGTCAACTCTTCACATAAGGTGTCCAAAGTACTGGAGTTTCAGATTCAGCATCAGTCCTTCCAATGAACACCCAGGACTGATCTCCTTTAGGATAGACTGGTTGGATCGCCTTGCAGTCCAAGGGACTCTCAAGAGTCTTCTCCAACACCACAGTTCCAAAGCATCAATTTTTCAGCGCTCAGCTTTCTTCACGGTCCAACTCTCACATCCATACATGACCACCGAAAAAACCATAGCCTTGACTAGATGGACCTTTGTTGGCAAACTGTGACTAATTTCAGAGGGAGGTGGAGGCTCCGAGGCTGGTCCCAGGGCAACCTGGTGATGTGCAGAGTCTGAGGGCCCATGTGGGGGAGAAGGGAGCTCTTTGCAGGAAGAGAGCCCCGGAGACTCGAATCTGATGCAAAAATGATGGATGGTTGGGGGAATCTAGTCATAAGGGGTCTGCAGCTTTGCACCTCAAGCTCCCAGTGAAAACCACATCTTCCTGTTTTGAGGGTCACTGGCCTCCACAGGAGCTTCATCTGTGACCTTAGCCGGGGCCCCTCTCTTCACGCCCACCATGCTTCCACCCACATAAGTTCACACTTCACGGGTCCTCTCTGACTAAACTCACTTTGGTCTCCTTCCGCCTCCCTAGCGGTGCCGGGCTCAGAGTTTAAGCAGCGAAAGCAGATTTCTGAACAAAACCTCTCCGGCGCGACAATCAGCCCACCTCCCACCCCTGCCCCTGTGGCTGCCACTCCACCCCGTGGACCCGCAGAGATCACCTCCTCCTTCCTCCTTACCAGGACGGGGCGTGAGTAAGTCAGATGCTTGGGCGCTAAGGATTCAAGTGCATCAGAGAGACTGGAGGGTGATGCCCGAGGGAGGCAGGGGCTCTCTAGGGTCTCCATCCAGTGGTGGCTGTGCTGGGACCCAGGCATCCTGCCTCCCAGTTGATCCTGTGGGTCCTCCGTGGTGTAGACCCTGAGGACACCACTTCTCTAGCCCGTAAGAAATGGCTAGAGAAAAAGCCTAGAAGTTCACCTTGCTGGTGCTAGGACCCCTCTCCCTGCCTCCCAGCATTTCCCTTCCAAAACGGGTCTACACTTACTGGGGGTGTGTTTATGTGTTCCTTATATGAACGAAAAAGAGAATGTTTTTTCAATTTTTTCTTTTTAATCCAAGTGCAGTTCTTCTATTGTTGTTCAGTCACTAAGTCGTGTCGGAATCTTTGCGACCCCATGGACTGCAGCACGCCAGGCTTCCCTGTCCTCCACTGTCTCCCAGAGTTTGCTCAAACTCACGTCCATTGAGTCAGTGAGAGGCTTATTTACCTATAGTATGCCAGCCCCTGGGAATACAATAGTGGACAAGACAGTCCTTGACCTCGTAAAGCTCACCATCCTGTAAGATGGACCCAGAAACAAGGTTGCACCCCCAGGATGATAAGTAGAGTGATAGCATAGGCCCGAAGATCTGTGGGAGCACAGAGAAGGGGCATCTAGCCCAGTCAGAGGCTTCAGGGAGGGCTTCCTGGAGGAAGTGGCATCTCAACTGAGACAGAAGGCAGAGAGCTGCAAGGGAATGGCATAGGGAACAGCATGTGCAAAGGCCTAGAGGGAACCTAATGTTTATTATAGCCAGATCCTCAAGTATAAGGTGGGCTGTTAAACAATAAAAGCAGAGAGGAAGACGGGGAGACCTGGGGGAGAGCTTAGAGAACCTCCGACACAGCTGGTGAGACGTTTGGGTGAGGTCTTTGCTCAGAGGAGGTGCTCACTGAATATTTATGAATGTGGAAAGTTTCATCTAAGGATAATGAGGGAGGCTTTAAGTAAGGAAGCTGCAGGGTTGGATTTACATTGTAGAAACAATTCTCTGGCCCCCGTGATGGTGGGTGTGGAGGCCAGGGACTGCTGAGAAGGCTGCTACACCCTGGAGAGAGGTGTTGGGGCCGTCAGCGAGGGCAGGGAGTGTATTTGAAAAGGGGTAATTAGGCATTGGGCCAACAGAATTTGGGAGTTGGTTAACTTTCAGGGTGCTCGGGGGAAAAGAAAGGTTTAGAATGACTCAGATTTCTGGCTGGTCAACCAGTTGGATACCGATGCAGAGATGGGGAACCTAGGAGGGGGAGTGAAATTGCAGGGAAAGTTGACTTTTAGGTGCCAGCTGCACTCAGTCACTGAAAGATTAGGTCAGGAAGGCCAAGATCGTGATGGAAACAAGCCGTAAGGGGCAAGCGACACCCAAGGGTGCGTTCCAAATTCCAGGCCCTCGTCCAGCGGCCTCTGACCTGGACAGAGCCAGGGCCACCCTGGTCTTTCACCCATTGCAGGACCGCGATCCTGCCTTTCAGGGGTTAACGGGTGGCCAAAGTTCTCATTCTCCTGCAGCCGCCACCCTCATGGTTTGCCTTGGAAACCCCAACAAGCGTTTCCCTGGGGATTGCCAAGGGAACCAACTGCCCTTGGACGCCCAGAGCACCAGGGCATAGGCAGAGAGAGGTCTCTGCTCCCTCTGGGCACACCCATCTGAGAGCCGATGTCTGCTGCAGGTGGCGCCAGGGGCCACCCCCCCACGAGTCCAGGGACCACCAGGCAAGAACTAACCCTGAGGGGAGCCCTCACCCCAGAAGCTGGTCCAAACGGTAGACAGAGAACCTGTATCAGCCCAGAGGAACGCCATGCTCTACCCGGACTCTAAAGCCCCGGGCGTAGGGGGTTTGTGTGCAGGGGTGTCTGGGTGGGATTGGCTGCCTCAATACCAGTGATGCCCTCAAAACAAGACCCTAGAGATTCAGGGACCGATCAAGGAGAAACACAACTAAGATTTACTCCTGAGATGCTAGGGGCTCATGAGGTTCCTTACCAATCACAGGTTGGGCTGTGTTTGGGGGCTTCCCTGAGATGACCGTCTGCTCATATCCAGTTGGTGATGGGTCCAACGTGTGTCTCCTTGTCCCCTCTCCACACGCACATCTTTACTCCGCTCCCTCTTAGAGTCTGGAGGCCAGATCAGTGACATGCCCTGAGCATCTACGAGGTGTGAGGCTTTCAGGTGTTGTGAGATGGGGAGGTCTGCTCCTTGGCTCCTAGGCGCTTACCATCTGGGTCAGGAGACAGACAGATAAGCATTCTCTGCCTGGAGCAGAGTGATGGGCTTGAGCAACTTGGGAAAGGTTTAGGGAAACCCTGTAGGGGAGGTGCTAAGCAGGGCGGGAAGGAACAGGCCTGGAGAGACAGTCAGGGTTTCTAGAGACAGACATAGAGGAAGGGGACGGCAGTCCAGGGCCTGAGGCAGATCCAAATGGAAAGTTTTTGTTTTGCTGAGGCCTCACTATGTGGCCTGTGGGATCTTAGGTCCCTGCCCAGGGACTGAACCTCTGCCCCCTGCATTGGGAGTGTGGAATCTTAACCTCTGGACTGCCAGGGAAGTCCCAGAATTGAAATTTTAAAGTGCAACTTTAGCCAATGCCCGCTCTACTCATCAGAGGATGAGATGGTTGGATGGCATCACTGACTCAATGGATAGGAGTTTGAGCAAGCTCCGAGACGGTGAAGGACAGGGAAGCCTGGCGTGCTGCAGTCTGTGGGGTCACAAAGAGCCGGGCACAACTGAGTGACTCTCTACTCTGCGTCCTCATCTCAATCTTGAAAATTTGTCACTGGCATTTCAGAATAGCTACTCAGAGGCCCTGCATGCTAGGTTGGGTAAACCTCAAAGAAAGTTCTGCTTTGCTTACCGAACGTGCAGGGACATGAACTCAGAGAGGTGTTAAGATATGCAGCGAGAAAAGCAGACACACACGAGAGTTCAAGAATCCACTGATAGCAGAGTTAGACTGCGTTTGCTGGAACGGGACAGAGCCCCAGCGCCCAGGGGGCGGGTGCAGCTCTGTTCATTTTGCACCTGTTCTTCGTTCCCGTCTCCACCCCCGACCCCAGCCAGGCCATCCGGGAGCTGCAGGATGAGGTCTCCCGGCTCCGTCTGAGGCTGGAGGACAGCCTCCACCAGCACCCCCAGGGCCGCCCCACGCGCTCAGCGTCCAGCTGCGACCGGCCCACCCGGGCCCGGGAGCGGTCAGGGGATTCTTCAGCTGCTTGGAGCTCCCATTACGGCAGGTAGGTGACCCCACTGCCCCTGTGCCTTGGTGGGAGCTGCAGAAGGCAGAGTTAGCTGGTCTCTGGCTGTCCCCTGACATGTGGACTTGGGCACAGTCATCCCCCTCTCTCACTTAGATTTTTTTTAGCCATGTCATATTTGATGCATAAAAGAATAGATTGAACACATGTGTTACTAATAAAGCATGATACAGTGAATATCCCCAAACTCATCACCCAAGTGAAGAGCTAGAACATTTGCAGGACACTCACCCCCTCTCCCACTCACTCCTCAGCTCTTCACCTATGATGACTTATAAAATCATCTCTAACTTCTAACTTCTGAGTCTTCCTATCAGAGGGCACTAGGTTAAGGTTGTCAAAGGACACTGTCTCATCACTTCTTCCAACACTTTGAAGTAATCACGCCTGTATCCCCATTTGACACATGAGGAAACCGAGGCTCGGAGAGGCTCAGAGCCACCTTCTGTGGGTCTGACTCCAGAGTCTTTGGTTTCAACTTTCATGTTCTCCTCTTTCCTATGTTAGAAGCATTTCTCTGGGTTGGCCTTCTCACTGATCATCTTTAAAGGCTGCATAAAACCGCATCCATTGACATCCTCGCTCTCTCTCTTTTGCTAGCAGATCCACGGAGAGGTTGTCTGGTGAGCCTGGGGGTGCAGAGCAAGCTGTCCCCACGGGAAGACGGCGAGCCAGGTCCTCCTCGGTGCCTCGGGAGGAGCCTCGATTGTCCCTGAGTAAGTGCCCACCCACGAGGACTGATTTTTGGAGGCCACCGTCTGGGCATGTTGGCTCAGGGGTCAGGGACCACAGCAGCAGCCCTCGAGGAAACTCAGAGTAGGCTTTCGGGTTTCTTTGTTAGGCAGTCATAGCGCTCTGAAATACCACATGCTTCCAGTGGCAGCCGCAGCTTCTGTAAGGGCTTCAAGCGTACGTGTCATCTTGCTTCATCTTCACTGCAGGGTGGGTCGAATCATCCACCTTCTGCAGATCAGGACGCCAAAGCCCAAGAGCATGGGGGGCTTGCCTGGAGGAACATGGCTCTGAAATCAGTGGCCCCAGCTCCCGTCTTCCCAGCTGTGTGGCCTTGAGCAGGTTGTTGACCTGCCCTGGCAGTTAAGGGGACAGCTAACAGTGCAGTGACCACAGTGTCCACTCCTGGGACTGCTGCGAGGGTGCGTGACAGGGAGCATGCAAAGCGCTTAGCGCAGGGTCAGGGGCCCAGGTGTGTCGGCTGTGATTACTAAGGGGCCGGGGGAAGGGGGGGGCTGTAGGCTTAAAATCCCAGAGCCTGGACTCGTGATCTGCCCCATCCCTTAGCTACGTGTCCCCCGTCCCCTCCCCCTCTGATGCCCCTCTTCCCATCCCAGGCTCCGAATCTGAGCCAGCCTCCCCCAGGCTGTTCTCTGAGAGGGGCAGGACCACCGAGAACAGTCCGCAGGCCGCTCGGGATGGAACAAAAGGAGTGAGTAGCACCGGACGGCCCGACAGGGTCACCTTCCGAGGCCAATACACAGGTGAGCCAGGAGGGGGCGCTGGTGGTGCACGGTCCCCAGGCGGTCGCTTCCATTTAGCCAGTGGGCCATTGAAACATTGTCCTTTTCTATGAGTTCTGTGATACAAAAACATCAGGGAGCATTGCCTCTGTGAATCTGGGTGTGTTCATCCACTGATTCAGTCAGCAAACAGTTTCTCAGACCTCCGCTTTGTTGGGGCCTATGCTGAGTTCAGAGAAAGTCCACTCGGCTGGTCAGTCATGAAGTGGCTTCGGAAGAGCTTGATGCTTGCAGGACCTGGGTAACAGTGAACACAGAATCACTTCCTCCTGCCTTCCATTAAGGTTGTGATTCCCCAGGAGGCATCAGCACATTGCTTGTGGTGACACATAGTAGGATTTCAAAGTGCATTACATTAAATATAACCTAGCTTCCCAGGTGGTCAATTCTACCTGCCAGTTCAGGAGACATGGGAGATGTGGGTTTGATCCTTGGGTTGGGAAGATCCCCTGGAGTTCAGTTCAGTTACTTCAGTTGCTCAGTCATGTCCGACTCTTTGCAACCCCGTGGACTGCAGCATGCCAGGGCTCCCTGTCCATCACCAACTCCCGGAGTTTACTCAAACTCATGTCCATGGAGTTGGTGATGCCATCCAACCATCTCATCCTCTTTTGTCCCCTTCTCCTCCCGCCTTCAGTCTTCCCCAGCATCAGGATCTTTTCAAATGAGTCAACTCTTCGCATGAGGTGGCCAAAGTATTGGAGTTTCAGCTTCAGCATCAGTCCTTCCAATGAACATTCAGGACTGATTTCCTTTAGGATGGACTAGTTGGATCTCTTGCAGTCCAAGGGACTCTCAAAAGTCTTTTCCAACACCACAGTTCAAAAGCATCAATTCTTCAGCGCTCAGCTTTTGTTGTCGTCCAACTCTCACATCCATACATGACCACTGGAAAAACCACAGCTTTGACTAGACAGACCTTTGTTGGCAAAGTAATGTCTCTGCTTTTTAATATGCTGTCTAGGTTGGTCATAACTTTCCTTCCAAGGAGCAAGTGTCTTTTAATTTCATGGCTGCAGTCCCCATCTGCAGTGATTTCGGAGCCCCCCAAAATAAAGTCTGTCACTGTTTCCACTGTTCCCCCATCTATTTGCCATGAAGTGATGGGACCTATTCCCTGGAGGAGGAAATGGCAATGCCTTCCAGCGCTCTCGCCTGGAGAATCCCACGGACAGAGGAGCCTGGGGGGCTACAGCCCACGGGGTCACAAAGAGTCGGACATGACAGCATGCCCACAGGTCAAATATTAAATATGGATATGGTTCCCGCTTTCATGAATCTGACTGCACAGCAGAGAAGACAGTAACAAATAAGCAATTACAGTAAGCATGTAAATTACAGTGAGTAAATTACAGACTTGGCGCTCACCCATACATCACTGGGAAGGAGGGCGGTTAACCTCAGATCCAGAAGGCTGAGCGATGCAGACAAAGCAGGAAATGAGATACACATCTCCCAACGGAGCAAATAGACACTGAGGCTTAGAAGTGAAAACAACAGCATGTCCAGAAGCACCAGTGCAACACACACGGAGTCTAAAGTGGAGACCCTGTACGGCAGAGGACAGAGAAAAAAATAATGAATCAGGCATCATCCCAAAGGTCTTATGTGAGACTCAGAGATGGATAAGGCAGGGAATAGTGGGGCTGAGTGCAGACCCAAGAGTCTGTCTGATTTTTTTATAACCTTGAGCTCCTGACATCTGCTGAGTGCAGGGCAGAATACACGGATACAGCCCCACTCAGTCCTCCCAAGCAGCCTGTGAAACCCACAGCATGAGTCTCCCCATTTCCCAGCCACGTGAAGCATAGAGAAAACACCACTGACTCCAAGCCCAAGCCATTGTAATCCTAACCAGCAAGCTGGGGTCTGGGGAGTACCATCATGCTTTGTCATTGCTTATCCTGTCTTCCTGCTTGCTTTCCAGTCCTGGCTGAGCTTGGGTTTGTTGATTTTTTTCCCGTATGTCAAGAACTAGTCAGTTGGTTCCAAATAGGATCTGAGATGAAACAGGAGTCTGGAAAGAGCTTACAATAAACGGACAGATAAATGTGTTTTATCTCTATGTGTATATGTACATGCACACTTATGTATCTACATATTTACGCACATGTTGTGTGTGCATGAGAAAATGAGGGGGGGGGTTGTTAAACCATCTGGAGGAAGAGGAGAGAGATTTGTATTCTAAATCATCCCCCGTTCTGCATCCACGCACAGCTGATGCTGTTCTGCTTTCTTCCCCAGGCCAGGAGTACTATGTTCTGACACCCAAGGCTGTCTCAAGAAGCAGTGCCCCGGTCTGCTGTCCCCACTGCCGACCCCCTAGGACAGAGGATCCAGGTAGGGGGTGGTACCTGGGGAAGCAGCCAGGGCTATAAGGCTGCCGCTTCTTGCCCTTGGTTGGGGGGCAGGGGTGCAGTTGGGCCGGACATAGATTGCCCTGAACTCAGTGGTGGGTCAACGTACAGACGACAGCAGGACTTTTCTAGACTTCTCAGCTTTCCCAGAGTATCCTGCCCTCACACCTGTTTCTCCAGGTGCTTTGCCTGAAGCCACTCTCCTTCACCTTGACGTGGAGAAACCATGAACATGATTTCAGAAGTTCCTGATGCGGGCAGGGGAGTGAGCAGTAGGCAGGCTGACAGAGATGATTACCTTATCTCCCCTCTGTCTACCTTCTGCCCTCCCCACCCCCTCCCCCAAACCCAAGGGTTTCGGGGGTGAGTAGTGGGGAGAGCAGTGGCCTGAGAATGTGGACCCCAAGTTCTAGTCCCGCTTCTGCCACTGACGTGCTGTGTGACATCAGACAAGTTCCTTAACTACTCTGAGCCTTGGGCTCCACATCTATAATGAAAGGTCTGGAGATGGTCTCTGAGGCCCTTTCAAGCAGTAATGATGATAATGATAGCACTGTCGTTTATGAAGCCCTTACTTAGCAACATGCTAAGGGTTTTACAAGCATTATCCTCACAACCCCATGAAGTAGGTTTTGTCCATTTTATTACCATACCCATGAAACTGAGGCTCAGAGAGGTCAAGTGACTTGCCGAAGCACACACAGCTCATAAGTGGTAAAGCCAGCTAGTTCAGTGGCTTGTTGGATTCAATCAATTAATAAATGAAGACTCTGAGCAGAGGGCCTGGTTCATGAGATGCCTCTCACCATCATGGTTACCAACAACATTGTTGTTTGAACCCTGGTGTTTGTGACTCTAAAGCCCTGGCTCTTCACCACTATATTTTTGTGCTTTTGCTAGAGTCCCAGCAGGCCTACTCACTTATTCATTATTCAGCATCCTCTTATACTGGGCTCTGGGGCTTGCCCCTGACAAATTCAGCTTAGCAGACAAAACTGAAAGGTCAGAACGAGGATGGGAGAGCACAGAGTGGGGCTGGAGAGCCCATAACTCAGCCCAGGGGGCGGGAGGGCTTCCCAGAGGGAGTGATGCTGAGCTGAGGCCTGAAGGAGAGGCAGGTGGACCCTGGAATTCTCCCAGATGCGGTGTTGAGGATTTGCACGGGAAGAGAACCAGGGTGCCCACACTCCTGCTCACTTAGACTTCCACTGACCCACCTGGTGCCCGGGGGCCTTTGTGGACCAACCCCTCCTGGAGAATGGGCCTGCGTCATTGTGGAGAACGGCCACAGATACAGGGGCTGCAGACAGGAGAGCCAGGCTTGAGATCAGACAGAGGACCGCTGCTTCCTAGCTCCGAGATAGCAGATTATTCAACCTATTAGAGCCTCAGTTTCTCCATCTGTAAAATGGGGAAGTGATCATAATAGCTAGTCCAGTGGCTTGTTGGATTCGATCAGTTAATGCATGAAGACCCTGAGCAGTGGGCCCGGCTCATGAGATGCCTCTCACTGTCATGGTTACCATCAATGTTGTCACCCACTGGAGGCGGCTTGTCTCCTCTGCAGTGGTCCCTGAGGGGAGCTCAGTGCCGTGGGAGGCCTGTAGGGGGGCCTGATGACTTAGACATCATCCTCTCCTGACCTCCCTGTCTCCTCTTCCAGGTGATGCTGTTACCAGGGACCCCCTGGGACCGTCTCGCAGTGAGACCTTGCGATGTCCCCTGTGTAGTCAAGTTGGGTCCCCCTCTGAGGGGGATGGCCCAGACTCAGCCACCTCTGGTAGGACCGATGCTCCGTCTCTTCCCCCTGCTCCCCTGGATTTGGGTTTGGGGCCCTGGGAGGGGGTTTATCTGGGGTGGCAGCTCGCCCAGTCTGGGGAGGAGCAAACTGGATGAGAGCTGGCTTCCCAAAGCGAGGCACTCCCTGCGTGGCCAGCTCCCCGTCTAGCTCCAGTGGGGTGGGCGGGGCTGGGGGGCCCTCTGTTCTCTGCCGGTTGTGAGACTGTGTCTCCGCGGTCCCTCCCTGACAGCGCCAGAAAAGGCCGCCACCAGGAGAGACGCACCTTCAACACCCAGCCCCAAGCAGAGGAGCAAGCGGGCAGGGTCGCCGTCCCGGCCGCCCCCTGGGCTGTGGTATCTGGCTGCCGCGCCCTCGGCACCAGCCCCTCCTGCCTTTGCCTACATCTCCTCGGTTCCTGTCCTGCCTTATCCATCAGCCACTGTGTAAGAACCTTTCCTTCCAGCCCTCTTGGCCTGTCTGAATTGCTTAATAGTTAGCATTCAGCCCTGAGCTGGGTAGCTGAGAACTCAGCACTGAGTACTCCTGTGTTTCTCCCCCAGCACTCGGATAGTCACTCAACAAACCTGGAATGCTGCTTGGGTACCAGGGAGACTGCTTGACCCTGGGGACCCAACAGTGAAGGAGCCTGGCAGAGGGCCTTGCCCTCATGGGGACTTAGAACCCTAATCATCTCCCATTTCCTTGTGGGTCTTCTCAGCAAGCAACTAATGCTGTCACTTAAAAAAAAAAAAAAGACTTTCTTTTTAGAACAGTTTTAGATTTATAGAGAAAAGGAACAGATAAGACAGAGAGTTCTCATATACAGCCCAAACACCGTTTCCTCTGATGCTAACATCTCACCTTGATGTGGTAACCTTTCCAGGGAGCACAATGGTAAAGAATCTGCCTGCCAGTGCAGGAAATGCAAGAGACTTGGATCAATCCCTGGGTCAGGAAGACCCCCTGGAGAAGGAAATGGCAACCCACTCCAGGATTCTTGCCTGGAAATTTCCATGGACAGAGAAACCTGGTGGTCCATGGGGTCGCAAAGAGTCTGACACACAGGGCAGCTAACACACACGCACACCTTGATATGGTCCATGTGCAGCTAGTGAGCCGTTACTAATACATGGTTATTAAACACAGTCCACAGTTTATTTAGGCCTCTTTAGTTTTTTCCTCAAGTCCTTTTTCTGTTCCAGGATCGCCCGCCCCAAGGTACCACATACATTTAGTTGTCGCATCTCCCAGGCTCCTCCTGGCTGAGACAGTTTCTCAGACTTTCCTTGTTCCCAATGGTCTTGACAGTTCAGAGGCATACCGGTCTGGTCCATGTTAGGATGAGCAATCACTGTTTGCATGTTACATTTGGAGGTAGCATCAGTTAAGACGAAAGACACAGGAGTCGAGGTGGAAAAGGCTTAGGTTTTAGAATCAGAGCGGCGCTGGAATCCTGTCTGCCGTTTATTATTGCTGTGGCCTTGGTAAAGCTACTTCCTCTCTGAGCCTCAGTTTCACTCTCTGTTAAATGGGGTCAGAGTCTCGGTCACATACAGTTTGTATGAGGATTAGATGAGGCCAGGGGGCAAGAACCCCCACGAGATGTTTGCGGGGTGTGTAGTGCCTGCTGGCACATGTGCTTTGCTGAATAAACCGCAGCTGTGTCATCGCCACGGATGCTGCTACTGTTCAATATTGTCAGTAAGAAGAAAAATGAGGGAAGGTGCTTTCAACAAGACAGGATTGTGCAGGAAAAAAAAAAAAGCCCAGACCCTGGAATTAGGAGATTTGTCTTCTTCTCCAGAGTGTTGTCAGTAGTTCTATACCAGTTTCCTTTGCTGTAAAATAAGTGGGTCAGGGCGGCCAGTAACCATATTGCTGCTACTACTACTGAAATTGGGACTGATGACTGTTTCTCCACCGGCCAGTCAGGCAGGACTGAGTACGCTCAGTGGTTGCAGCCAGGAACGCCTTAGAAAGCTGAGTGGGCCTGTGCTGCCACCTGCTGCCCAGCTGCCTTATAACCTCGGAACTAGAGGTTATCGTTTTCTTTCTAGTCCGGCTTTCTAGTTTCTAGCAAATGTTTCAGTTTAGTGAGGTTTTCTGGTTGTTGTTTGTTCTGTTTTGTAGCATCTGCCCTATGGGACATTCAGGGTAACTTTCAGGTCAATCTGGTCATCAAATTATCAGAAGGCAGGGGTGTGTGGGGATCCAGGAGTTACACCAGCTCGGGGAGAGAACTGGGTTCAAGAAACCCATTCATTCATTCGGTTCAGATGATATGTATCAGGATCTACTGGGAGCTAAGTAGCTGTGGGTTTAAATCGTGTACTGCCCCAGCCCCCTGATTCTGGGAGAATCCTCAGTAGCTGTTATTTACAGAGCGGCAGACATCCAGAGCTTTTGGCCTGAGTTTTCCTATGGCTCTACCCGGGGAGGTAGCTCAGTGTGGCTGCTTTCTGGGGGAAGTGGAGCCCTTGAAAGTGAAGTCGCTTGTTCATGGTTGTGCGGGTGGCCAAGAGGAATGATCAGGGTTTGGGGCAGCCTTCTGCATCCCTTAGCTTCTCTGAGCTTCACTTCACTCATCTGTAAAATAAGCATAAAAGTACCTACAAAATAAACGAGATAGTGCTAGTAAAGCACTTATGTCAGAGCCTGGCCTGTGGGTACCAAGGATGACGATTCCAGCCCTGGGCTAGGCCTTGGGTTTAACTGCTTGAGCAACAGTCAAACTGCCTTCCAAGCTAGCGGCACCGTTTCACATTCCCACCAGCAGTGTATTGAGGGTTCCAGTCTCTCACCGCCTCCCACAAAACTCACTGCTATCTGTCTTTGTTTTTAGCCAACCCAGTGGGTGGGGAGTGTGTGAAGTGGCATCTTGTGTAGTTTTGATTTGCGTTTCCCTGATGGCTGATGATACTGAGCATCTTTTCCTATGCTTGTTGGCCATCTGTTTATCTTGTTTGGAGAGACATCTGTTCAGATCCTAGCATAGTCCTTTTGTCACACTGTGCAATAATGCAAATGAGAAAGAAGGATCAGGAGTAAGACCGGAGTTTACCGCAGCCCAAGCAAAACACCAGCGAATGTCTCCAGCCAGGTCTTCCTAAACCCATTCCTGCTCCATTTATGCAAAACGCTTCTTTGTCCCCATCTTTCACTTTGTCCCTCTCTAGACACTGTATTCCACGTCACAGGTGCCACCGCTTCTTGCCCAGCACTAGTCTCCTTGAACCCTAAACTTGGGCATCTTTGGATGAATGCAGAAGTCACTTCTTGGAGAAATCTGTGCTTCATCTCGTGGCTCCTCTGGCCATTTTCCCCAGGACTTTTAAACAACACCCCACATTCTTGCAGGACCAGGCTGGGAAGGATGCACTTCCACCCCCTGCTCTGGGTTGAGAGGAGCCAGACCATCTCGCTCCTGCAGAATCCTAATTATTGTCGTCACGTTTATCCATCACTCCACACCTGACAAATAGGAATTCCATGGTGAAGGAGTCTTGCTCCAGAACCTGGGGTGGTCCCAGTCTCCCTGAGACCAGTCTTCCAGACTCGAAGGTCCAGGAAGGCAGCAGGCAGTGTTGTTCATTCACCACGGTAACCCCAGGCCACAGCATACCAGTTGGTACTTAGTATAAGGTCAATACGTATTTGTTCAATGAATGGATAGATGGATAGGTGACCGCTTTCGAGCACTATTCTGGCTTCATCCCTCCAACACATCCCTTGGCGGGGGGTATTTTTCCCATTTTGGAGGTGAAGAGGTTGAGACTCAGAATGTAGGGGCCAAGGACTGAGCCGGACCTGAGACGCCCCAAGGCGTCTCCGTGGCCAGGGAACTCACCCATCTCTCCCCGCAGGTACTACGCGCCGGCACCTACCTCAGCCCCCTCTGTCCGCGCAGCCAATGAGTGGCCCCCCGCCGCCCGCTCCCGGCCGGCCCGGGGCCCCCGGCACTCCGTCCAGCTGGACCTGAAGGACCTGGAGGAGCTCAACAAGGCCCTGAGCCGGGCGGTCGAGGCCGCCGAGAGCGTCCGCTCCACCGCCCAGCACATGAGCCGCTCACTGTCGGCCGAGCTGCGCCAGGCCCGCAGCCTGCGGGGCTCCTGCCTCTTCTGACTGCGCTCGAGGCTCAGGGACACGCGGCGGGCAGGGGCCTGGCGGTCCCCTGTCGCCCCCCTGGCCCAGGCCAGAGGGTGCTGAGCCACTCCCAGAGGCCCCGCAGACCCTCACGAGGAAGGCTCCCTGCGCCCCGGGCCCGGCCTTCTCAGCCTCCGTGTTTCCAAAACGGAAGGAGTGTCAGCGGGCGACTCAGAGAAGTCACTTCCTAGCCTTGAAGGAGGTTGAGGCTGGGACTGAGGCCACCCTCTGCCCAGACGCCATCTCTGGGAGGCCCCTGGCCTGCAGGGGTCCATCTCCAGCTAATAATATGTATTTTATATACGATGGACAGGTTTTTTTTTTTTAACTGAGGCATTTTTCTGTCCTTCAATCCTTCTTAGGAGGCCAGATAAGAGAGGACAGGGCCAGGGTCCCTGGTGAAAATTTGTCCCCCACCTGTGACCAGCTGCTCCAGGGTAGTTGTCTCTGGGAAGGACGTGGCCGTGGACCTTCCTGCTGGTGACTAGTGGTCAGTCTATGGGGTACTTTGAGGCCATTGGAATATCTTAGAAGCACCCAGCTTCCCCATGGTCAAGAGGCCTTTCCCACGGGCTTGCTGCAATGGAGACACCCCATAGGGGGCCCCAGAAAACTGTCCACCACGGTCCCCCCTCAGTACCTCATGCCGAGACCCCTGGCTCTCCCCTTGGACCCCTGTGGGACTGGGCCAGTGGCCAGCTTCCTGCCAGCTCCTGGTGTGTGCCCCTGAGGCCAGGCCTGCTCCCCGACCCTGTAGCAGCTCAGACCTCAGCTTTTCTGGAATGTGTGTGCATCACTGATATTTGTATATGTGGGGCATTAAAAAAAAAATCTATTTTCGTTATGAGAGCAAATAAAGAAGAGTGAATATTGATCTTTTAAATTGTTTTGTTTTTATTTTTTGGCCATGCCAGGTGGCATGTGGGATCTTAGTTCCCTGACCCGGGACTGAACCCGTGCCCCCTGCAGTGGCAGCACGGAGTCCTAACACTGGCCCATCATGGAAGTCCCTAAATGGTAATCTTAAGAAATGGAGGTCAAAGAACACCCCAAACATTCCCAAACCCACCCACATCTGTCGTGTATGTCATCCACTTGTGGTTTCTAAGGTCACGTTAGGGTGCAAAAGATTCGGTGCTGAGCGGAGCCCTGTCCCCGGAGGACAGGTTGGGCGCACATTTCCAGACTCTACCCATCTGCCTTCCTTCTCCAACTTTACCCACTCAGAACCATGAAACTTTCCGCTGGAGGGGGTCTGCGAGGCGAGGCCATCTGCCCAAGCCTCTTTTGTGAGACATTGTGGGCAAATTGGTGTCTGGATGAGCCCGAGCTTGGACTCTCTTTACAGTGCTCCTTTTGACACCAAACAACAGCTGCTATTGACTGAGCATCTCGTAGATGCCGATCCTTGAGCTAAGTGTGCCCCCCATTTTATTGATGAGGAGACCGAGGTTCCGTCTATCGGAACTTGTGATGGTCTGACTCCAAAGTCCATGTTCTTTGTGACTGTTTTACTCTCCCTAAACCTTCATGACATTTTCTCCCCGACTCCTGCTTCCTCTTCCCTTGGCCTTTTCTTCAGTCTTCCCCACCTCTCAGCTCACTTGCTTCTTCAGAACCCATTTCGATTTCATTTTTCAGCTGATCCTTCTCAGGAGAGTTGACAATGGCATCTTGCTGAGAGGAAGGATTTCTTGTAGGTTCTGAGCCTCCAGGCCCACACCCTCGTGGGAAGTGGATGGGAAGGGGGAGCGCAAGGTAGGGACCCAGGGCAGTGTCTCCAGCCTCAGTGCCCCAGGCACAGCATGGCTGCAGCTTTGGACAAAGGATGCTGGAGTCTTGGGGGTGTGGCTCTTTGGAGGATGCAGGTGGGTGAGCCACAGGACTGGGTTTCAGGAGCCAGGGTTATGGTCCTCTCACTCCAGATGGCTTAGGACCTGTGCACACAGAATACTTGAATTATTCAGTGCAACTTCTCTGCCACCTGCATCGTGCCGCTTCTCTCACGTGACCACGTATCGCAGAGGCCTTGGGTCTGGAAGGAGAACAGCCTTTTTTACTTTTTTAAATGTTTGTCTATTTACTTATTTGGCTGCACTGGGGCCTTATTTGCTACACGTGGGATCTTTGTTGCTTCATGTGGGATAGTTCCCTGACCGGGGACAGAGCCCGGGCCCCCTGCATTGGGAGCATGGAGTCTTAGCCGCTGGACCACCAGGGAAGTCCCAGACACCCGCCTTCCTTGCTGAACTCCTGGCTTCAGACTCTCAGTCCTCTCTACACCTCTAAGTGGGTCTGCCTTGGACATGGCTCCATGGCGAGCACTCCAATCACATACCCAGTTGTCTGGATTTGAGAGACCCTCCTTACCCCAGGTGTCCTTTCTTCCTCCTGCGTGACAGGCGGGCACTCTGGAGCCACCTCAAGGAGACACACAGCCCCTCCGGCCTGGCCCTGAGTCCTCTGAGCCTCCTGCATCCGGCTCCTGCCCTGGCCCAGGCACCTGCCTCTTCCAGGATGCTCATAGAAGACTCCGAGCTGGTCTCCCTGCCCCCTGCCTTGCCCCTCCCGACTCACCTCCCCAGATGGCCGGGGTGATATCTATTAATAAAGTAAGGACCCTGGTGCCTGGCGCCACACTCCTGAGTCTTCACCACCCTCTATCTACCTGACCTCCTGCTCACGGCCCTCTGCCTCGATATTCCTTAAACAGATCTTTGGCCTCAGTGGGAACAGCAGGTGCTATCAAGCTCTCATCTCTTTAGAGGCGTTCAGGTGCCTCTTCCGGGTAGCCTTCGCAGACTCCCCACCAGAAGGAACCTCCCCTGTGCGGGGGTCCCTTGGTGCTCAAAGCATATGGCTGTCCGTTCTGGCACACGTGCTGGGGATTACAGCAAGGGCTCTCCAACCAGGGATCGGCTCAGGGCAGTTGATCAGCCAGGGCTGACCTCAGTTGACTCAGGCAGGCACATGAATGAATGGATGAATGAACGCGCAAAGGGCAATCTGACTGTACCAAAACAAACTTTATTGATGCAGCTGAGGGAACTGAGGTACAAAGGGTGAGCAGGGGGCTGAGGGTGGGCCCTCGTAGCCCCCAGATCCTGACCCAATACTAGGACGCTTCCGTCTCCTTCTTCCTTTCCTCCTCATGCTGCTTCTCCAGCGGCCCACACACATCCTGATGGGAGAAGACAGTGTGTGGTCAGGGAAGGGAGGGGTGGGCTGGGCAGGAGGCAGGGCCGACTGAGCCCAGGAAACCGATGGGCCAGGCCTGGCAGTGGGCACGGAGCGGGGGTGAGGGGAGGGGCCGGCCAGAAAGAGGCTCTGGGTCTTCGGAGGGGATTGAGCTCTGGACTGTGGCACCAGCCCAGGCAGAGCTCCCGCTGGGTGACCTTGGGCAGGTCATTTTCTCTCCGCATCTCAGCTCATTCACCACTGAAACAGAGGCTCAAACCCTCAACAACTGGCACGTCTGAGCACTTATTCCCTGTCTGCCCTTCTGTTGAGCTCCTGATTCCTCACACCGTTTTGAAGATGATGAGAGGGAGGTTCAGGGTGGCCTGGGGCCTGTCCCCCAGCCAGCAGATGGGGGAGGTAGGCTGCTGGCCGCAGGACCAACTCCGGGGCCTGTGTTCATAAGCTCTTTTCCGAAGTTCCCAAAAATGGGGGGTGGTGATTTGTGCCACAGGTGGTCATGGGAAATGACCTTCAGTGGCAGGCAGATGGAGATGTTTTCATTTTAACAATCATGAAAGTATTTCACGTATATCAAAAAAGGGTAGCCAGCTTATCAGCTCTGTGACTTCAGATATTGCACAGGACAAGACCAAGGAAAGCCTTTCATTTAACACAGATTTAAAGGAAAGCATTAAGAGGATACAGAAAATCCTCAGTTATAGCAAAAATCAGGACAGTGGTCCTGGACTTGCAGTTTGGGTGACTCCAAAACCATAAGACCTATTGCCCATCACACGGGCATTAGAGGCCTGGGGTGTGGCAGGCAGCAGCTGTAAATGATCATTTCCTGTATGTGTCTCTTTTCCATTTGCCACAACTTGGCTTTGCTCTTCCCCTCCTGCTAGGTTTTCCAGTCCCCCCACGTGCTCCAGGCATCCTCCCTGATTTCCCAGTGACTTTTCCCTCCTGGACACTCATCCATCCCCTGGGGGTCCTGCAGGGAAGCCGGTGCTTGAACAGGATGTCCTGTCTTCCTGTGCAGACTTGACTGACAGCTTGCCTCTCTAGGCCTCTGAGGCTGCCCACGGGGGGACCACCCTCAGGGTGAGCACCACCCCATCCTCCTTGCACTCACCTTCTTCTCGTCGCTGTATGTGATTTCTGATTCCTGGATGCCTATGCACTTGATGACATCTAAGAACTCTTTCTTCTGCTCCTGGGTCACCTCCGGCTTGTCAGCTACAAGAGGGAACAAGGGGGCCAGGTGGGGATGCTGGGAGGCCCAAGTGGGAGGCCAGGGAGGGCTGGGGTTCTGGGGATCTAGCTCAGGGAGTGGTGGTCCTGGGGTGAGGCTTGGGGGGAGTGGGGGTTTGGGACATCTACCATAGAAAGACACCCCCACGTTCTTTATGCCATTCCAGGAGGCAGCAAGCATGAAGGTCCTGAGGTGCTTGTTGAGCAGCAGATCAGCAAAGTGTTCTCTGTCCGACCCTGAAAAAGAAAGCCTCTGGTGAGACCACGGGAAACCACAACGGTTCCCATCTCATGGGCGAGGAACGGGGATGTGCTCAAGGCCACACAGCCGATCTGGGAAGGGCAGGGGTCCCCTGGGGCCGCTGGTCTCTCACTTCTGCCGTGTGCCAGGCTCTGCACTGAGTGCCCTCCATGTGTACAATCTTAGGAGCCTCACGTGGACCGTGGTTGTCAAGGCCTTTATCTCCCCATCTTATAGATGAGGAAACCAGACTCAGACAGGAGCCTCCGGGCTGCAAAGTGACATCTGTTCAATTCCATCGGCTCCTACTGGGTGCCCTCTTCAGTGTTAGTGGCATGGGTGAAGTCACTGCCTGCCCCATGCAGGCTCCCACCTTTAGCTCGCAGACCATAAGGAGTGATTGACTGAGACGTAGGACTGGAGCCAGCCTGGGGTTTAGATCCTAGTTCTAACTGTAAGCTGTGTGGCCTTGGGGAAACGCCTGGACGTCTCTGTTTCTCTGTTTCCCCATCTGAACACTGTGATGTCCTCCTGGGGTTGTTAGTGAGTATGAAGGGGATTAACTGCAAAGCTCTTCAAACAGTGCCTGGCACACAGCAAGAACTTGAAAATGCTGGCAGTTATTACTGATTATTTGCTGTGTGCAGGTACTAGGACCACAGAGATACAAGAAGTCCTCCGGGCCCCCTCCTTGAGGCTGGACAACCCACCATCTCCCCACTCCACACAACAGTCCTCCACCTGAAGGCTGGCTCTCACCAATTTTAGACATGGTCCCATTCTGACGATAGATGTTTATGGTGCTGCGGTTGTAGATGCACTTGTCCGCACTACAGCCAGATAGAAGTGGGGAGAAAAATAGTAAGACAGTCAAAGAGAAGTGCACGATCACCCATCGCAGTCAACGAGTCAGATGACGATTAGAGTCAGTGTCCCCTCCCCTCCCCCCTGCAATTCCATCAGTGGGGAGGCTGAGGCTGAGGCCAGGAGGAAAGTTGGACTCGCTCGAGGTTTTTCTGCAGCTGGGAGTGAAAGCCAGAAGCTAGGGATGGCAGTGTGGGCTCTCACATGGTCTGGTAATCTCTGACGATCAGCTTGTCCTCCGCATGCCTGGGCTCAAAGTAGAAGAAAGCCGCCTGGATCATTCTAGCCGACTCATTGTACTCGGGGTTTCGGAAAGCGGAGCCGATATAAAACCACTTGCCAGTGAGCTGGGGAGAAGCCAGGAATTGATGATGGAGCCAAATCCTTGACAGTCAGCTGGGATAAGACTTAGCAGATCTCTGCTCTGCTTTTGCAAACAAGGAGACTGGGGCCCCAGATGAGGAGCGATCATATAAGAGCTCACTCAGGGAACCAGGTGTCTCCCCAAATGCCCCCCCAACCCCTGGGCAGCCCCTCCCTGCCTAGGACAGAATTGTTCTCTGCTGAGGGAACTTGCAAGGAGACGTCTGAATTTGGAGGCAGAAAAATGCCTCTGGAGGCCAGTCGGAATGTCAGCCCAGGCCCCAGGAGAGAAAAGGAGGGTATCAGGCGGGCAAAAGAAAGCCCAGGGAGGGAAGCAGCTGCCCACGGTGCTCAGGGAATCAGGCACTTACCCAGTCCATGGTGGCATTGGTAATGGGCGCCACAGTTGTTAGGTTGGCGCACTCGGGGCTCTGGGCATGCAGCAGGGGAAGGAGGCTCAGGACAGTGAGAGCCCAAAGCAGCGCCATGCTGAGACCAGGAGACACCTGCAGCCAAGCAAGCTGGTGGTTGGAAGGCGTCAGTGACTTTTATAAAGGAGTTGTGGGCGGGTCCCTAGGACCCAGCTGTGACACAATCTGGCAAACTCTTGTGAAATGTCTTGCACAAATCCTTCCATCCATCCTGCAAAGCCAGCTGTAGGTAAAGCTTGCAAGCCTGGGTCTAATTTGGGTCCCTAACCTGGAGGAGTTACCAGGGTCCAAAGGTCTGGACCTGAGTGGCACTAGTTAATGTGTTTAGATAATGATCCAGGGGCCTGTAAACAAAGTCTCCTGTTTTCATTCAATTCCTATTCTATTAAATGCCAAGACTTAAAGGTCAGTCAGTCAGTTCAGTCACTCAGTCGTATCTGACTCTGTGACCCCATGGACTGCAGCACGCCAGGCCTCCCTGTCCATCACCAATTCCCGGAGTTTACTCAAACTCATGTCCATGGAGTCGGTGATGCCATCCAACCATCTCATCGTCTGTCATCCCCTTCTCCTCCTGCCTTCAATGTTTCCAAGCATCAGGGTCTTTTCCAATGAATCAGTTCTTCAAATCAGGTGGCCAAAGAATTGGAGTTTCAGTTTCAGCATCAGTCCTTCCAATGAATATTCAGGACTGATCTCCTTTAGGATGGACTGGTTGGATCTCCTTGCAGTCCAAGGGACTCTCAAGAGTCTTCTCCACCACCACAGTTCAAAAGCATCAATTGTTTGGCGCTCAGCTTTCTTTATAGCTCAGCTCTCTTAAAGGATCCAGCTGTAAATTGAGTGCTGAGGCAACTCAGAGAGTTCCCAGGCGAGTGTGGTGTATACGGGAATGAGACGGGGAGGGTTTTAGGGGTAGGATGTGTGGGCAAACGTGGGATCAATCCCAAATGAGTGTGGGGGAAACTGAACAAAAATCCAGAGGGGCCCCAACTGAATCCTGGAGGCAGGGACATTTCCAAAAGAAAGGGATCTCTAAGTCGAATGTCTATTTCCAGTATTGAGTGAGTGAGAGAAAGTCGCTCAGTCTATCCGACTTTTTGTGACCCCATGGACTATGCAGTCCATGGAATTTTCCAGGCCAGAATACTGGAGTGGGTAGCCATTCCCTTCTCCTGGGGATCTTCCCAACCTACAGATAGAGCCCAGGTCTTCTGTGCTGCAGGCAGACTTTTTACCATCTGAGCCACCAGGGGAGCACATGTATTGGGTTGGCCAAAAAGTCCACTCGAGTTTTTCTGTAAGATGTTACGGGAGATGAATGAATATTCTGGCCTAGCTGATACCACTTAAAGCACCTGTCAACATTTAAAATAGAAATGGTCTCTGTGTTTTCTCCACCCCCTGCTGGTTGAGCAGCGAGCTTGCCTCTGTTTTCCCGCATATGTTCTGAGTCCTGGAACAGTGCCCAGCAAGGAGCAGACACTCAGTATAAACCATGGAATAAATAATTCCACTGCTCATTTGCATTTCTATGTGATGGAGTCAAATCTTTATTTGTATAAATAGATTACAAAAATATTATTATGATAGGCTTACCATTTTGTTTTCTTATTCATTGCACACATTTGAATAATTTTTCCTGTGTCAGTTGTAATCGGAATGGATGAATAACCTTTCATTCACTTCCTGGATTCTAACTTCCCTAAACATGTCCTCTCTTTATACCTAGAGCATTTTATTTTGTTTTTTTTTCCTTCCAAATTTATTGAGATGCAGTTGCCGATAGCATCTTAGATTGTAATTTTTCCTCTGAAGATACGTCAGAGACCATCCAAATTCCTTTCAAGAGAAAGAAAAGCATATGTCTTTAAAAATACAAGATTTTAATGATATTTAAAAGCTCCCCCCAATAAATAAAAATAAATAGCCCCCAAGCTACAAACAATTCAGGTATCTGTCAAAAGGAAAATGGAAAAACAAACTGTGGTATTTTTATACAATGGAATAATACTTAGCAACAAAAAAAGAATGAACTACGGCTATATATAGCAACGTAAATGAATTTCAAAAACATGCTGAACAAAAGAAACCAGACTCAGGCTTCCCCGATGGTCTAGTGGTTGGGAGTCCACCTGCCAATTCAGGGAACATAGGTTCAATCCCTGGTCCAGGAAGATCCCACAAGCAGCGGGACAAGTGAGCCCATGTGCCACAGCTACCGAGCGCACGCTCTAGAGCTGGTGCTCTGCAACAGTGAGGAGCCCACGCACCACAGGGAAGGGTAGCCCTGCTCACTGCAACTAGAGAAAGCCCGTGAACAGCAATGCAGACCCAGTGCAGCCCCCCGGCTCCCCCCCCAAAAAAAGAAAGGCGCTAGATTGAACAGCTCAGGGACTGGACTTCCCTGGTGTTCCCGTTGCTAAGACTCCATGCTCCTGATGAGGGGGCCTGGATTCCACCCTGGTCAGGAAACTAGATCCTACATGCCTCAACTAAGAGTTCACATGCCACGCAAAATCCCACATGTTGTAATTAAGATCCCAGCTGCCGCAACTCACACTTGGTGCAGTCAAATAAATAAATAAACATTAAAAAAAAAACAAATCCAGCACACAGACTCTGTGATTCCACTCATATGAAGTTCGAGAACAGCCAAAACTAATTATAATGGTAGAAATCAGATCAGTGGTTGCCTTGACAATTTGCCCAAGGATGCGAGAGATATTTTCATTCTGGTGGTGGTTACACACGTATTGGTATGTACATTTGTGAAACTCTTTGAGCTGGAAACTGAAAATGTGTGAATTTTATTGTATGCTGTGCATGCTAAGTCATTTCAGTCGTGTTCAATTCTTTGCGACTCCATGGACATAGCCCACCAGGTTCTTCTGTCTATGAGATTCTCTAGGCAAGAATGCTGGAGTGGGTTGCCATGCCCTCCTCCAGGGGATCTTCCCTACCCAGGGATTGAACCCGCATCTCCTGTGACTCCTGCATTGCAGGGGGTTTCTTTTACCCCTGAGCCACTGGGGAAGCCCTTATTGTATGCCTAGTATACCTCAATTAAGTTGATTTAAAAAAAAAAAAACTTCTCCCCCAAAAGAGAAAAAGCAAAAACATCACAAATCAAAAAGCACTAACAACTTTTAATGCTGTCCCGATATGGCAATGCAGAAATGAGTCTCTCCCTCCACGTCCTTGCCAGAACTAGAACTTCCCTTCTTTTTCTTTTTTTATCAGCTCAGTTAGTGTCTTGAACTTGCATTGCTCTAACTGGAGTCTTGCAAACATGAGTGGAGCTCTTCAAGAGGGAACAGTGCAGGTAAGGGAGAGGGCGATGCAGGAACAATCAAGACAGTCTGTGTGACTGGAGCGTGTGATGGGGCCAGAGGGTCGAGGGCTGATGCTGGGGGTGGGGCCCTTGGCGGGAACCCAAGCTGCAGAACGCGGAAACCAGGCCGAGGAATGTGCAGTGTCCTCTGAGGGTACTGGGGAGAAGGGGAAAGATTTTAAGTGAGGTGTGTGTGGAGGGGTAGTATCAGACTTGCCCTTTAGAGAGAGCCCACTGTCTGCAGTGAGAAGAACGGGGGGCCGGGAGGACAAGCACCAGAAAATGGACTTGGCGGAGCAGCTGGGCAGGTGCAGTGGTCCAGGTGTGAGATGATGGGCGTGGGCAGTTCCAAGGCACTGTGTAAGGACATGCAGGACACCTGCGACCTTTGGACCTGGGCCAATGACGTTCTTACCTGGAACCCAGATCTTTCCAGGTCCCCACATATCACACACACATGGACACACACTCACACACGAGTTCACACACCAACACACAAGCACCTCTGTCCCTTGGGATATGCTGCCTGGTACTGACAAGGGTAACCCATAACCCTAAGTGCTTTTTGTCACAGCCAACTATGTTCAGAGCCCAGGGGAACAAGTCTTCCCATCTTGTACTCTATCCTTGAAACACCAGGTGCTCTTCCCAAACGTCCTGAGGTTTTGAAGGTGATGCCACTGCTGACATGGGAGATAGCAGTAGGATTAGGATGGTCTGTGTGGTTGGAGCATATGATGGGGTCAGAGTGATGAAGGCTGATGCCTCCATCACTGCAGACCCACCTCAGAGTCCAGGGAAGATCTGAGTGGACTTCGAGGTAGGGAAACCTAGCAGGACCCTGCAACGCCCTCCCAGGTAAAATAAAAACCCCTCCGTTTCTTGTTGATAGGAAGAAAAAAGGGGGGTGTGGTAGGAACTTCTCTGAGTTCCAAAGAGCAGGCTCAAGCAGTTAATGATTAGGACAACAGGGACACTGGACTCCTACTCCCTCCGGAAGGGATGTAGATAACAATTTGATATTTATCTTTGAGTTGTTTTGCAGAAACTAAGACCTGTACCCAGGTGGAGGATGGGGATGACATCCTGACCACGAGCACGTAGACCCCAGACTAGTTGGAACCAGAAAGCTGATGATGGAGATTTCTGAAACAACCCCCTGTTACCTCCCCACCAACCAATCAGAAGAAGATTCACGAGCTGATCACTCATCCTACACCTCTCTTCTTTTCACCCTTCCTGCCTTTAAAAACTCTGTGCCCCGGCCAGCTAACCAGCTAACTAGATGGACTTGAGACTGGTCTAAGTCTCCATTTTCCGTGTTGGCACCTCCTCAATTAGCTTTCTCTGCTCCAGACTCTGATGTCTCCATTTGACCTCACTGTGTGTGGGGTGTAGGAGCTTTGATCTGACTACAGAAAAAAACAGATTAATTAACTTTCTCAGTTTAATTAATTAACTTTCTCATTCCTCCCTCTCTACATAAGGCCATACTTTCTTACCACATTAGCCCTTGCTTCCCAATAGTAATGAGAAACCACTTTTTTTTTTTTGCAAGCTGTGGTTAGAGAGGCCTTCCTGAATTAGAAATAGGCAGTATTTGCAGCAGTTGCATGTGGTAGCCAAGAGATATTTTGCAAGATATTTGCAACATGAAATCATTTATGTTCCTCTTAAATTCATGTATAGGTAGACATAACACCCATTAGGCATGGATCTGATTCTTGGCATCAGCAACTCGAGGTTGAATGCTAGCATGGTGAATGATTTATAGCTTCAAAAACTTTGAACAAGTCTTAATCCAGTGATTAAATTTCCAAAATGTTAAAGAGTCAGTTTTATTTAAAAACTTTTGACGTATGATGTTTAGTTATCTAGAACAGTGGTCTGCGGGCCTTCATTTTTTCATGCACAGAAATGCTACGGTTGCCCCCCGTGTGGGCAAAGGGTGAACAGGGAGGGCCAGTAAACAGCAGGACTTGGTCTTTCTTTTGTCCAGAGCAGTTCAGCTCCGGCCTGACCTGCATGCCTCCTGAAGCAAAACCATAGATAGCGGTTGTGATATACAGGAAGTGCCCTACATACAAGCCTGCAAGTTGTGAATGTGTGTTCCACCAGCATGGGGCGTGAAATTGCAGCTTGCCCTCCATCTCCTAAGATCCTTCAGCTCTACCATCTTCCACCTCTTCTCACCCCTCCAGTCACTGGCTCTTGGCTGTTCACGTGACACCAGCCCCGGTATGCCAGCTGCTGTACTATATTACTGTACTTTTCAAGACACTGTGCTGTAAGATTTAAAATGCTTTCTTTGTTTTTTGTGTTTGGTTTTTCATGTATTATTTGTGTGAAAGGTAATATAAACTTACTACAGTACAGTACTATATAGCCAGTTGTGTTAGCTGAGTACCTAGGCTCACTTTGTTGGACTTACGAATATACCAGACTTACAAAGGCACTCTCTGAACAGACCTCATTCGTATGTAGGGGGACTGACTGTCATAAGAAACATATGCTTGATCTCTACCTCCATTTCTGGTAACACAGGTCATAAAACTCCTGGGATCTCCAAAGTGATACTTGTCCTTTTGTAGACTAATGAGATGTCCCTTGGCTGGGAGCTCCTGGATACCCTCAGAATGGACTGACTTTGTGATTAGAGGGTTGGAATTTTCAGCTCCACCCCCTCATCTCTGGGAAGAGAAGTGGTGCTGGAGATTGACTTGGTCACTAATGACGAACGATGATTTAATCAACCATGCCCAGGTAAGGGTGCTTTCAATGAACTACTAAATGATGGAGATAGGACATGTGGAGGTGCTGGGTAGGTGGCCAATCCAAAGAAGTCATGGAAGCCCTGTGCTGTTTCCCACATATCTTGCCCTGGGCATCACTGCTATCTGACTATTCCTGAATTGTATCCTTTTATACTAAACTGGTAATCTAGTAAGTAAATGATCTATTGAATTCTGTGAGCTGTTCTAATAAATGGTCAAACCGAAAGAAGGGGTTATGGGAGTCTGTGACTTATAGCTGGTGGGTTGGAAGCACAGAGGACAACCTGGACTTGTGACTGCCTTTGCAATGGGGACAGGCTTGTGGGTCTGAGGCCTTAACCTGCAGGATCTGATGCTCACCCTGATTAGTGTTGAAACCGAGTCCCCCTAAATCCAAGTGTCCTTACTGAGTTTATGATGAATCTCTCTATCCAAACTTTTATTTCCTTTCTTGTTCAACCCCTCTTTCCCTCAGGATTGAGGGGTATCAAGGAAAAGGGGAGATTGAAACTGAGCAGGACTCTGCAGGGTCTTTGCACCTTTCTAAGCCTTTCCTTGAGTTCCAAAGAGCAGGCTTAAGCAGTCAGTAAGTAGGACAATATAGACACAGGACTCCTAGTCCCTCCAGAAGGGATGTAGATAGCAATTTGATGCTTACCTTTGAGTTGTTCTGCAGAAACTAAGACCTGTACCCAGGTGGAGGATGGGGACAACATGCTGACCATAAGCATGTAGATCCTAGACTAGTTGAAACCAAAAGCTTGATGATCAAGATTTCTGAAACATCTCCCTGTTACCCCACCACCAACAAATCAGAAGAAGGTCCATGAGCTGATCATGCCTCCTAAGACCCTCTCCCCTAACACTTTCTTTTAAAACCCTTGCTGAACGCCATTGGGGAGTTCTAGTCTTTTGAGCATGAGTTGCCCACTCCTCTCGCTTGGTGCCTGCAATAAATGCTGGACTTTGCTTCACCACAACCCAGTGCCAGTAGATTGGCTTTGCTGTGTATATGGTAAGTAGACCCAAGTTTGGTTCTATAACAGTACCAGGACTGAACTGAATTATAGGATACCCAGTTGGTGTCTCGGGCTTCCCAAGTGTCCAGTGGTGAAGAATCCATCTGCCAGTGCAGGAAACACAGGGGACCTGGGTTCAATCCCTGGATCAGGAAGATCTCCTGGAGAAGGAAATGGCAACCCACTCCGGTATTCTTGCCTGGAGAATCCCATGGACAGAGGAGCCTGGTGGGCTACAGTCCACGGGGTTGCAAAGAATCGGACACAACTGAGTGACTGAGCGTACACGCAGTTGGTGTCTGGAAAGTCAGAGAACTGCTTGGTGTGGGAGAAAATCCACACACTTTGTGGCCATAAGTATGTGAGCAGAGAAGAGAGAAATGAAAGTTTCCCTTCCAGGGAGTAAGTGGAGTGCCTCCCCTGGGAAGGAGTGAGTGGTCCTCACCACTCTCACCCCCAGGCTGCCCCTTGTGGCAGGCAGGGGTATGTCTCACTCTCCTCCCAAGAGGCCATGCAAGTAGTTTCTCCAAGCACACCCAGCACTCATCTTCACACAGCACAATTTTCTCCACCTTTTTATTAATACATTTCAAGGATGGTTTGGAACCTCCATGAACTGAGGTCTTAAGCAGCCCTCCACAGGCTGCCCTTCCATCTGTCCCTGGCACAATGTCAAGAGAAGTTTGGCAGGAAAGAGACAGAAAAGCAATCAGGGCAGTGTAGGGTGCTGGTAAAGGAGTTGTGCTGGTTTTGCTGTTCAATTGCTAAGTCATGTCCGACTCTTTGCAACCCCATGGACTGCAGCCTGCCAGGCTTTCCCAGCCCTCACCATCTCCCGGAGTTTGCCCAAGTTCATGTTCACTGAATCGGTGATGCCATCCAACCATCTCATCCTCTGTCGCCCACTTCTCCTTCTGCCTTCAATCTTTCCCAGCTTCAGGGTCTTTTCCAGTGAGTCAGTTGTTTGCATCAGGTGGCCAAACTACAGGAGCTTAAGCTTCAGCATCAGTCTTTCCAAAGAGTATTCGGGGTTGATTTCCCCGAATTGACTGGTTTGATCTTGCTGTCCAAGGGATTCTCAAGAGCCTTCTCCAGCACCACAGTTTGAAAGCATCAATTCTTTGGTGCTCAGCCTTCTTTATTGTCCAGCTCTCACACCCGTACATGACTACTGAAAAGACCATAGCCTTGACTATACCGATCTTTGTTGGCAAAGTGATGTCTCTGCTTTTTAACACACTGTCTAGGTTTGTCATAGCTTTCCTGACGAGAAGCAACCATCTTCTAATTTCACGGCTGCAGTCACCAACCACAGTGATTTCAGAGCCCAGGAAGAGGAAATCTGTCACTGCTTCCAACTTTTCCCCTTCTATTTGCCACGAAGTTATGGGACCAGATGTCCTAGTTTTACCACTTGCTAACTGTGTGACCTTGGGCAAGTTATCTAACTTCTCTTGTCTCAATTTCCCTAGCTGTAAAGTGGGGATAATAGTAATAAATTCTACTCATTGGATTGTTATGCACATTCAATCTGTTCACATTTAGATGAACTAAATATTAGATGAAACAAACTTGCTTCTAAGGGTTCTCCTATTATAATAGTCATCACCATCTGTTTAATGAGAAGTGGGGTGGTGAGGAAGGAAAGACAGACTCCTGCATTACATAAATACTTCAGTTGATAGCAAGTTACATCCCCCTTCTCAAGATACCAACATGCAAAAATATGTCTCTATTAGATTCAGGAAATATCTCCCCACCCCACATTAGATATATGAGAAAACCAGTGACCTGGGTCAGGAAGATGCCCTGGAGAAGAAATTGGCAACTCACTCCAGTAGTCTTGCCTGAAAAATTCCCATGGACAGAGGAGCCTGGTGGGCTACAGTCCACGGGGTCACAAAGAATCGGACACGGTTAGTGACTAACATACACACGGAGGGTTAAGGTGACATGGTAACCAGGGAAAGGCACCAGTCTGAAATGATTCACTTCCTAAGAAAACCACTTTGTACGTATTTCTGGCCATTTTATACGAGCCAGGACTGAGCTCTCTGTCTGACAACTCATACGTGATCTTCTGCATGAGCCGACACAAGAATACACCAGCAGAGCAAACAGTCTGCATTAAGAACTTTGTGTCTGGACTGAGGAAATACCCCCAAAATATTTGCCCAGGTCCAGATCCTGTTTTGTGATCTTGTGTAACTTTTGTAACCTCTTTGGACTTTAGTTCCCTCATCGGAAGAGCCAGGGCAATAACATGTGTCTCCGAGACTGTGCGTGAGATGAACACAGGTCACATTCCACATGCCTCCTGGCTCACAGAAAGTGTGCAAGTGTAACCACTGTTATTTTGAAGGGTGTTATTAGGGGTTGAACCATATGAAAACTGTGGATTTTAGAGATTAAAAAAAATTGAATATCATTCCATTTCACTTGGCTCATCCAACTATTGTATGAATAGAGCAATCACCTGGTCTGTGGTTGGCAACCAGAGAAAGACATGTCACCCCCATTTTGCTGGGGAAAAGCAGAGACCCAGAGAGAATGACTTGCCCAGGGCCACGTGACAGTTGGAAGCTGAGACTGGAATCCACCTGCCGGCCTCCCCACTTCTCCCCCATCCCTCTCTCACTTACCCAGCAACCGGCTGCTGGCCATTGTGAAATATGGCTGTCCTTGGCTAGGGCTTGATTCGCGGGGGACAGAGTGAACACAGGCCTGGGCTTTCCCCTGGGGATGTCCACCTTAGCTGTGTCGGGAAGAGCTGTCTTCTGTCCCTGACACTCTCCACCTGCCCTTGCTGGGAACAGGCTGGCCCCATTTCAGTGGCTTCCCCGGTCAGGTCACAGAGGCCTCCTTGGAAGGGAGCCTGTGCCGAGGGTGCTGAGCGGCGCAGCTTTAGCATACCTCCTCTTCTCTTTTCCCTCTGGCCCTTCTTCCTGCCTCTCTCACCTTTCACGTCTTCACAGCTGATGACTCTCCGGAACACAGACTGGGTTGCACACCTCTGTCCTGTCTTCAGTTTGGTCAGTTGCCCCTGGACAGCTCTGCTCAAGTGCCCCATCACAGCACAGATTCCTTCTGGCCAATGTAAACCCTGCTCTCCTCTACAAACCTGTGGCTCGTCCTATTCCTAACCCAATATCCCAGGCTTCCCCTGACCCTCTGGTACCACTTTGAGCTATTTGTATGCAAGCGTGCTAAGTCGCTTCAGTCGTGTCTGACTGTCTGCGACCCTATGGACTGTAGCCTTCCAGAACCCTCTGTTCACGGGCTTCTCCAGGCAAGAACACTGGAGTGGGTTGCCAAGCACTCCTCAAAGGGATCTTCCCGACCCTGGGATTGAACCTGTGTCTTTTACGTCTCCTGCATGGGCAAGCAGGTTCTTTACCACCAGTGCCATCTGGGACTCCTTGCTCCTCCCCAGATATGCAGTGCTTCTTTACTTCCAGGCCTTAACTGTTCCCTCTCTTCCCAATGCCTTTCCCTGTCTGACTAACCTCTATTCATTCTCTCTTAGCCTTAGCTTGTGATGATTCATTTTATGTCAATTGAACTGAACCATGAGGTACCTCTTTGTCGAACAGGAGAGTGTATCTAGGATGTGAAAATCTCCAAGCCCTTCCAGACCACAAACCCTGGGCTCCATGGATGGAAGTCTTAGAGTCACCGCAGGACAGAGGCTCCAGGGGCTCGTAGTCTGGGACAGATGCCAGGATGGGGAGGGTAGAGAAGACCCAGCTATGGACTGATGACCTAGAGCCTTACAGCTAGTCTTTAAAACATAAAATCCTGGATATGAGCTCAGCTTCTCATGATTTGTTCTTTCTTGCAAATGAGAAGGGCAGAAATGTTCTGATTTCTTCAACATCCCAGGAAAGGAGGAACAAGCTAAAGTACTCTGAACTGAGTCAGGAGATATGGATTTCAGGTCTGGCGGATAAAAGTATATACCAAATACTGAATGGGAAGTGTGTATGTGTGCATGTGTGTGTGTGTGCTCAGTTGCTTAGTCGGGTCCGACTCTTTGGGACCCCATGGACTGTAGCCCGGCAAGCTCCTCTGTTCATGGAATTTTCCAGGCAAGAATACTGGAACAGTTTGCCATTTACAACTCCAAGGGATCGCCCTGACCCAGGGGTTGAACCCTTATCTCTTGCGTCTCCTGCATCGGCAGGAGGATTCTTCACCAATAGAGCCACCTGGGGAGTCCCGATACTGTTTACCTGAAATTCAAATTCATCTGTGTGTCTGTATATTTATTCACTGACTCTGGCTAACTCTGTCTGCCAGGTTCTCACTCGCTTCTTCCAAAGCAGGTGCTGCGAAGGCTTCTCTCAAGAATCTCACAGCTAAGAACTGTTCACAGTGAAGCACTACTAATAATCACCAAAAGATGGAAACAACCCACGGGTTATCAACGCATGAATGAATAAACGGAATTTGGTCTATCCACACAATGAAATACTATTCAGCTGTGAAAAAGAATGCAGCCTTGATCCATGCTATAAGGTGAAAACATCATGCTGCATGAAAGCATTCATTCACAAGAGGTCAGATACCGTTAAGATTCCATTTACACAAAATATCCATAGTCAACAAATCTATGGAGACCCAGAAAGCAGATTAGAGGTTTTCCAGGGGCATGCTTCAACAGTACGTGAACCATGAACTTCCAGATGTTCAAGCTGGATTTAGAAAAGGCTGAGGAACCAGAGGTCAAATTGCCAACATCCACTGGATCATCGAAAAAGTAAGAGAGTTCCAGAAAAACAACTACTTCTGCTTTATTGACTATGCCAAAGCCCTTGACTGTGTGGTTCACAATAAACTGTGGAAAATTCTTCAAGAGATGGGAATACCAGACCACCTGACCTGCCTCTTGAGATATCTGTATGCAGTTCAAGATGCAACAGTTAGAACTGGATATGGAACAACAGCTTGGTTCCAAATTGGGAAAGGAGTACAGCAAGGCTGTATATTGTCATCCTGCTTATTTAACTTATATGCAGAACACATCATAAGAAATGCTCGACTGGATGAAGCACAAGCTGGAATCAAGACTGCCGGGAGAAATATCAATAACTTCAGATATGCAGATGACACCACACTCATGGCAGAAAGCAACAAAGAACTAAAAAGCCTCGATGAAGTGAAAGAGGAGAGTGAAAAAGTTGGCTTAAAACTCAACATTCAGAAAACTAAGATCATGGCATCCGGTCCCATCACCACATGGCAAATAGATGCGGAAACAGTGTAAATAGAGACTTTATTTTGGGGGGCTCCAAAATCACTGTAGATGGTGACTGCAGCCATGAAATTAAAAAACTGAGCGACTGAACTGAACTGACTTTCTTCATTCTGTTCTTGTGTTCCTTTTGCTGTTTTCTTGAGGTCTTTTTCTTCTCATACAGGTCATGTCTTGCAAGTATTTGTTTGGATTCCTTCTTCTTCACATAATCCAAGGAATCGTAAATCATGCCAAAGCCAAGAGAGACTCTCAAGAGTCTTCTCCAGCACTGTAGTCTGGCCACCACCAAAATGGGCTCTGAATTCAAACACAAAGATGACATCTGGCGTGGTCTTGTACATTTTGGCCAGTTTCCCACATATTCTGTTTTAGGTACTGTTGTCTTTTCGGGGTGAAGCATGTCGATGACCATGCGTTTCCGCTGAAGCCGTCGGTTGCTCATGAACTTCCTGGTTCGGATAGTTACCCTGCCGTTCATGATGGCAGCTGATCTTCAAGCCCCTTTCTGCTCTTCTAAGGCACCAGGCTTGTGGTACTGTTACAGCAGCCCTAAGAAACCAGTGGCACCCTGCAGGACCCGACTCCCTCGTTTTTAGGCCCTCTCACTCCGAGGCACCACATCTCTCCCCGTCCCCTCTCCTTTGGGGGGAGCAGCATAAACAGGGCACCCCCCCACCCCGCCACACCTCCTCCAACCCTCAGCCCTGCCAGAAACTTCCCTCCGGTCTCTTCAAAGAAGCACGCGGCCACAGGTGCGTCATTCCATTGCCTCAGTTTTAAATATTTATTTAAAATCCAGAAGGGAAAAGGAGAAACAGAACCCACTTGGGTTTTAACACACTGACATGTGGACAGAGACGTGAACGAGGACAGCAGAGAAACCCAAGGACAAGACAGACGCCGGGACAGAGGCCAGGTGGAGACTGGCGGCTTGGGAGACCGAGGGCTGAGATGAGGCCCGAGCTGCTACAAAAAACGCACTTCCGGGAGCAAGGGGGCGGTGGGCGGGGCAGGGAGACAGGAAGTGGGGGTGGGCTGTAGGGGTGGGGGGGGGGTGGGCTGTAGGGGTGGGGGGGGGGGGTGGGCCGGAGTGAGGTATTGAATAATGAAAATCAAATCCAATTCCCAAAGAGACACAACTTTAGAAAGAAAAAAAAAAGAGAGAGAGACACAAATAGACTTTCACATAAAATTTCCCCTTCTATAAAAATAATTCCATAGTTAAAATGACCTCAAAAATCCAACCTGGATGCTGACTGGTTCACTGATACAGGACAATTCAGATTACCCTGGTGAGCCCTGCCATGCTGAACTCTGAGATTCCCATAACAAGCCTTTCTCCTGCGCCCACATTTACACTTGGAGTTAGCAACACTGGGTTTCTACAGAATTGAATGACAGTGAAAAAGCAAGAGTGATGACTGTTATCTTGGAAGGACAAGCTCCAGAATGGAAGACCTTAGGAGATGGTCTGTGCCTTCATGAGATGGGTCCGTATTTACATTCCACCTCCAAGGCCAGTCCTGACCCAGCGCCATTCTCCTCATTGGTTTCTTCAAGGTCGAAGCTCAAAGTCAGGACTCCTCAGTCTAGATCATGCCATCCAAGATAAGCTAACTTCCCTCCAAGACCAAGAAAGGCCAAAATAAGATCCTTCATGCTCAGGCCTCCCCCTGCCTTCAGAGGACAAACATTTCAAAGTCCATAAGTTAAAAGGTAAATCTTTCCTACTTCTGTTTCTGGTTATTTTTTGTTTTTGTTTTTTTGCTTTGCTTTTTTTTTTTCACTTTTACCTTCTTTCCCCACCTCCTTAACAGATTACCTGATGAGCACAAGGGTGACATTAGGAAAATTTTTAAAATTCCCCGAACTTTGTTATTTGGAGGAGAGAGAAAAACATGGATGATACCCCACATCTAAATGTTTCTTCAAAGTCTGTGGCAAAAATGGTAGCACCTTCAGAATCTTAAATAGAGTTTTTTTTTTTCCTTAAAAAATCACATACACTACAAGACAATTGTGAGCACCAGCGATTTCACAGTGGGAGGTAGCAGATGTGGACACCCCCAGCCCCGAGGATCTCACCTCTCCCTCTCTGCATCCATCACTTCCCACCCCCTGGCTGCTCTCTCACCTTCTCACATCTTTCTCAGATGAAAAAAAAAAAATAGTGACGCACCTTCTTTGTGTTTGTTTAAATAATATATATATACTTCTTTCCTTTTCTCCTTTTTTCATGTCTCCTCTCTAATATTGCACATCAAAGCTCCCCGGCAGGGACCAGCTGACAAGATGCCCCCTTCTCTCAAGCTGGCTGGAAGGTGGGGCTCTTTGGGCAGGAAGCTGGGCAGGGAATGGGTGGCCGCATTGCTGGGAGACAGGCCATGGGGCTCAGACGGGTTGCAGGCCCAGCTTGCTCTGGCCGGCTCTTTGGTTGGTGTTTGGGGCTGAGTTGGGATCAGCTGTTCCCAAGGACACCCCATGTGTCCTGCTACCCATCAGCCTCTTCCACTGGGCAGACAACAGCTGGGGTCTGCTCAAGGATCCCTGGGCAGGTGAGCTGCCTTTCCTGGGCCCACCTACCCCTAGGTACCCTCCCTTTGCCTCTTTCTCCTCTTCCCTCCTCCTCGAGGCCTAGAGGAGCCAGGAGGTCAGAGGTCAGAGGAAGCACGCAGGTCCAACTTCGAGGCGGTACTGCTTCCCTGATGAGGCAGGAGGGAGGTTGTCCACGCCGACAATGGGCAGCTGCTGGGGGTCCTGGGTCCGGAAGGTGAAGAGCGTCTGATGCCAGCGGCCATCCTGGATCTGAGGGTAGAGAGAAAGGGGTACACACACACCCATCATGGTCCTCATCATGTATCACATGCCTTTCCCCATCATCTTTCTTCTTCTTCTTTTTAAAATACTTATTTTCATTTTGGCCTCACTGGGTTTTTTTTTTCGCTGTGCAAGGGCTTTCTCTAGTTGCAACAAGCATGGGCTACTCTCTAGTTTCATTACACAGGCTTCTCATTGCCACAGCTTCTCTTGTTGCAGAGCATGGGCTCTAGGATGCCCAGGCCTCAGCAGTTGTGGTTCACGGGCTTAACTGCTCTGAGACATGTGGGACCTTCCCGGACCAGGAAACGAACCTGTGGCCCCTGCATTGGCAGGTGGATTCTTAACCACTGGACCACCAGGAAAGCTCTCCCTTTCATCATCTTTCTTCACAATTTTTAATGTCCACATGGCGTTTCACTGTCACAATGACCTGTATGTATCCATTTAGATTGCTTCCACTATTTTGATTCCTACAGGTAAAGCTGTCATGAATATCATTGTAGCTAAACTTGTGCACATTGTTACCTTAGAACAAATTCCAGAAGTATCAATAGATTTGCTGGATCAAAGGATAGGTACATTTGTAAGGCTCTGGATATATACTGGAGATATATATGTAGCTGCTGCCCTGAAAACCTCTACCAATTTATTTTTAGTTTTTCCAAATAGCTTTGTGTGAGAGTGTTGGGTTTCCCCACATCCTCAGTAACACTGCGCATTACTGGTTTTGTTTAATATTATGAGACTGGTTTTTTGGACGACTTTCTGTCTCCCTCTTCAATTACAACTCAGCCTGTTTTAAGCCTCAGAAAACAACCAGGTTAAGAGAAGAAATTAACCGGAGGGCAGGGAGCAGAGAGAAGAGCAGAAATATTTCCTTCTATAAGTAAGCCTCGCAAATAAGTACCAATCTACCAGCCCAGACCTTCCCTTGAAAGTTTCCCAGGGAGGAAAGAGGATGAAAGCAATTTTATAAAACTGCTATAAAAAATTATTACACAAAGATAAGAATTATATGCATACTAATATTTTTATTATAGTATAGTATAAAATTATACTAATATATATTATAGTATAGTATAAATTATAGCATAGTATATTAATATAGTATAGTATATGGTATACTAATACAGTATAGTATAAAATTGTTATATGTAAGAACACGTTTTTATACCTGTCTGTGCATGAGGGGCCTATGAGGGGCCCCAAGAGTTACCTTGCAGCCATCCATGGACACTTCTGGACTGAACTGACCCCCGGCCTCAAAAATCTGCCCGTTCCAGGCCCGGAAGCGCACAGCCTGCTTAGCTGGGGTCTGCCCGGTGCCCTCCTGCCACACGGTCATGTTAAGGCAGTGGATGGTGATCTGCTGCGTCACCTCAGAGCTTAGCAGGTGCAGAAAATTCATCTGGACCCGGCTGATGGCAAACTCCACCTGTGGAGGAGACACAGCGGTGAGGCAGGGTTGGACTTGGCTGCCCACCAACACTCCGATTTCCTCACCTTCCCCTGGAAGGTCCAGGCACAAGCCCTTTCCTGGGAAGCAGTTCCCAGTCATCGTCCCCAGAGGTGTTGCTCACTCGAAAGACAGAAATACTGAGGTGGGTGTGAGTTAGTCCCACAGCCAAGGAGTAAGGAAGGGAAAGAACCAAGTCTGCCTGACTCCAGCCAGAGCCCGGAGGGTCCTGATGTACTGTCTCCGGGGCTGAGCTGGGATACAGAGGCTCAGAGAGGGAGAGGATCTTGCCCGGGATCAAGAGGCTCTTAGAGGGCAAAGGAAAGGAGAAGTGGATTCATCACGTTTCTAAGTCCTAAGCTCCAGGTGGGGTGGGGTGGGTGCTGCTGGAAAAGGCAGAGCTGACAGCAAACAAAAGGGCAGGATTTAGGGCTTAAATGGCAGTACTCTAAGTCCTGACAGTTGGGTTTTCTTTCTTTTTGGTGATTCGAGTGCCTGACTTAAGCTTTGATTGCTGAGACATCCACTTAAAAGACGCATCCACTTCAAAGACAGACTACTTCCTATAAATAATACCCTGCCAGTCACAGGACTAGATAAACAGCCAGGCCACCTCCAGTACTAAGGCTCCTTTGTTTTTGAGCTCTGGATTGATTTCAATAACCAACCACTTGGGCTACTTCTTTTTTCTTTCTTCATGCTTTAAATTCTGGCCCTTATATTTTAAATTCACCAATGAAGACTGAGCCTATGAAACCTTAGTGCACCCCCACCCCAATAAAAGCAGAACCCCAGGCCCATGCACTCTCTCTCTCTCTCTCTCTCTCCCCATGACCCCAGTGTGTGGCTCCAGGTGGGCTCTGTAAATCCCAGGTCCTATACATAATAAACCTTTATTTTTCTCAAAGTTTCCTGATAGTAATTGCTGAAGGTCATCTTGAAATCCTAATAAGAACCACGAAGGCTGGTCCGACCATGACATGGTTGTTGATTGATAGATTGAGAGGTATATAACAATTGGCATAGTAGGCAGGACTGCACAATCTCCCTTGCAATCCATGGAAAGGATGACCCTGACCTGCAGCTTGCTTACTAACCACCCGGTGGTTGTTAGCATCTAGGAAAGGAATCTGTCTCACTGCTGTGTGCTTCTGCACATTCCTGTGATTGTTATTGCTGTTGTTTAGTCACCAATCCGTGTCTGACTCTTTTGCAACCCCATGGACTATAGCCCACCAGGCTCCTCTGGCCATGGGATTTTCCAGGGAAGAATACTGGAATGGATGGCCATGTCCTTCTTCAGTGGTTCTTTCCAACCCAGGACTCGAACCTGTAGCTCCTGCTCCATCTTCTGCATTGCAGGCGGATTCTTTACTGCTGAGCCACCGGAGAAGATCCAACCCAAAAGGTCACACCTGCCTTGATAATCCAACAGTCTTCCCAGAGCAGTGTGATCAAGGCCACAGGCTCTTACTAGCCACTGAGACCACTGATTATAAAGTGTCTGACTTTTTATAAAGAGTCGTGTCTGACTCTTTGCGATCCCATGGACTGCAGCATGCCAGGCTTCCCTGTCCTTCACCATCTCCCGAAGCCTGCTCAAACTCATGTCCATTAAGTCAGTGATGCCATCCAACCGTTTCATCCTCTGTCATCCCCTTCTACACCTGCCTTCAATCTTTCCCAGAATCAGGGTCTTTTCTAACGTCAGCTGTTTGCATCAGGTAGTCAAAGTATTAGTGCTTCAGCTTCAGCATCAGTCCTTCCAATAAATATTCAGGGTTGATTTCCTTCAGGATTGACTGGTTTGATCTCCTCGCAGTCCAAGCAACTCTCAAGAGTCTTCTCCAGCACCACGAGACAAAAGCATCAATTCTTCAACACTCAGCTTTCCTTATGGTCCAATAAAGGCCTTTATTGACAATTAATGTGTATAAAGGTCCTCTGGGCGGGTTAGATCCCTGGGCTGGGAAGATCCCCTGGAGAAGGAAATGGCAACCCACCCCTGTACTCTTGCCTGGGAAATCCCATGGACAGAGGAACCTGGCGGGCTACAGTCCGTGGGGTGGAAAAAGAGTCGGCCACAAGTTAGCGACTAAACAACAACAACAGCAAAAGCTCCTCCATGCCTCGGGCAGACTTAAGGAGAGTGAATTGGATCACAAGGCTATGTCACTGCCCAAGGCAAGGTTCTGGGATAAAGGCATAAGAGAAATATTCCTGTACATAGGGAGGATAGGAGACCTCCACCTACGACCACAGAGTTGGTGGTTGTGCCAGAAAAGTGAAATAGCCTTGCAGCTGGAAACCAGGGGACCACCAGACGGAAAACATAACAGAGATCTGTGGTCTCCACGGTCCAAGCTTCACTCATCGCTGTCATTATTCATCCCTGACCCAATGGGGTATTATGGCTCCTATCCCTGGTGTGATGTTACTAAAAGAATTAATGGGCAAATATAAAGGTCCTAAACATCTGATGTCAGCATCTCCTAAGAATACTGAGGGGGTTTCTTGATAAAGGCAAAGCCCCATGGAAGCATCCCGGGGGGCATACCAACATGCCAAGTCTCTGATATCTCACTCCAGGAGCCTGAGGGCTTTTCCCAAAGACCCCACACACATCATGTGAGTGGCCGCAGACCTCAGTCCCGAAGAGGTCTCTTGGAACTCCCTGGGAAGGAAAGCGGCCAGCTGGGAAGACGGTTCACAGTGCCATCCAAACTTTTCCTGTAACCCACTTTGTATTAAGATAATAGGAGAAAATCAAGAAGTAGAAACTGAGATGAAAAACTATACCTTAAATGAAATCCAAATTTTTCTTAAATATTTTATGCAGCAGGACAGAAAGAAAGGCGCTAACTGGCTATTTGGGAGGGTTGATTTGTTTGTTATAGGCCCTCAATTGTTGTTATTCAAGGCTGCCAAAATGCATCAACTGGCCAATATTTCTAAAGACCCTAAAATCCATAATTTTTCTTAAAGATCCATCTAGGCTATACGCTCATTTCCTCCAAGATCTTCAGCTCCCTGGGCTTTCCCCTGAACAAGGCAGAACTAAGAAACACACCCTATAATGCATCCCTTAAGGGAAAAGCTGAAAAGGGTCATCTAGCCATCTTGGATAAGAAAGAGGGAGCTGGGGAGGCAAAGAACCCTAGACCACTGATGCTCCACCAGGGCCCCTCCTCTCCTGGATGTTTATTCTTGGCGTGGTTGCATCCTTCCATCCTGGTGATCACTGCTAAGGTTCACAGTGAACGGAAAACATTAAGATGAGGCCCATCTCCTGCTGCACAAAATTGGCCTGATCTAGTGGGTTTACCATTTCTACAGTTGTGGTTATCCAGATGACCCCCTCTTCATTTTCAACTCCAAAGAGGCCCCATTTGACCCAGGGAATTATTTTAATAGAGCACTACCCTAATTACAGGGCAGTACTACAACATTTTATTGGAACTGCCAAAACCATACAAAAGGGACTAAAACTCCTAGAAGAAAATTTATATTCTTTCTCTGTCCCTTGAAGATTAAATCTTTGAAATGGAAACACCCCAGGAGGTAACTAAAACTCTACCTACAATTGCCTGAGTATGAAGAAAAATAAAATAAAATAACAACAGAGCAGAGAAAGGGACCTTTCAAAATACAAACTGCTATAAAAGCTCTCTTACTCAATATCTAGTCCACAGCCTCCTTAAGATTACTTGTCAGGAACCAATACAGATCCTAAGTCATCTCCACAAATATTGGTAGAAAGTATTAGCTGCTGAAGCAGGTAATTTAAACTTGTTCTGTCTGCCAGACACGATTTGGAGCCAAATGTTATTTATAAAAAAGTGAGTTTTATATTGTATCTGATTCATGGCTAAAATTTTGGAAAGGAAGCTATAGGGTCTCAGGGTCTGTGTGTTTTTGTAATCTCTGGATGAGTATGTGTTTTTTTTTTCTCTCTATCTCTGAATAGTATAGCCAAAGTTAATGTGTAAAAGAGCTCTGTTCAATTGGCTTAAAAATAAGCACTTATGTATTAGTTACTCCTAACATTCAGAAATACAGAAACTAATCCAAATTTTTTCAAGTTCATGTGATCTGGGATAACCTTTGGTAAATAAAAGCTAGCCTAAATTTGTTTTAATTAAAATAGGTATGTCTTCAGAGTTAACAACATTAAATATACTGCAGACAGACAACTTTTCCAGTGTTTACTAGCCAAATAAATCCATGTTATTTTTATTACAAAAAAAATTAACTTGGGATGATAGCTGACTTTGTCTACTGTCTAATGAAGATTTTATAGATAGTTTAATCATATTGTCAGAAGAGAGAAAAAGAATTTTTTTGTGTGGTCAAGTTGGCTAAAATTGGATTGTTATTATAAGAGGCTTTTAAAACATAAGCTAATATCAATAATGTTCTTATGTAATTTTCTTTCATTTGCTAAAAGGACACATTTTCTTGGAGTATTGATCTGCTCCTGTTAAAAGTATGAAAAGTTATTCTTTAGTTTTTAAGTAATCTGGCTAGAAAGCAAAGATTTTGTGTTTTATCAGAATAATCTCCTGAGCTTCATGTTGTCTTAATTGGATCTTTAGTTACCTAGAAAACAGTCTTCTCAATACCAAAAGAGCTAACTTTTGCTCACAACTATGGAACCTTCTGTATTTGCTTTTAAAATCCTTTGTCACTTCAGCTAAGTAGATAATTAAGCATTTTTAAAAATAATGATCTGTGATTCTTTGTAATCAAGTGTTGAAAATCTTTGATATTTTTGACAAACTTCTGCAAGTCAAATTCTAAATGAGGTTTTTTTAATCTGAAAGTAACTTTGGGGTTTTCCAGAGGATCCTTGGAACATCTCAAAATATCCTTCTCTTTCCTAATAAAAAGAGAGACACTAAACTAATTAGGTTTATTTGATATGTTAAATCACATGGGAAATATTGTCAAGTAGGAAATAATGCTACATCTTCTTTATGGATTTCCTCAAATGGATATATTTTATTAATACAATATTTAAGAAATCATATGAAATTCCTGAAATTCTGATATGTAATATTATCCATCATAACTCCAGTTATCCTAAAATTTTGTGTGTTACAGAAATAACAAAATTTTCCTTGTCAACTTCATCATAATGAACTCTCATCAGATCTTTAACTGTGGGCGTGAAAAATGTCATTTCTTTTGTTATTTATAATTATTGCTTTACTCTGATGCCTTTGCAAAAGTGCTCCATCTTCAGATTCATGAACAGGACTCTCACAAGTACAAATTTTTAATAACTTTTAAATCATACCACTGAATGGGCATGAATTTACAGAACTCTAAGGAAAAACTGGATTTATGAAACTGCTAACAAAAGATCAAGATCAGTGATCAATTGCATAGGACTGAATGAACTGATGAGGATGATTATAATTTTTTATGACTTTTGTTTGGCAGTTACTAATCTTTGTTTCCACGTTTAAGGAAAATTGTTCTCTAAAGTTAGCAATGACTTACAGCAATTTGGGGAAGTACACCTTTGTGAACAAAGATGAAATAATTGCTGTTTCTCCCTACCTGATCCTTCTAGAATTCACTCTATGAGTTTTCTTATTCTCATGGCAGTATAGTTATTTGCATAAACTCAGTAAGAATCTATTCTTGTAACAGGACACAATTGGAAATACTGGTTATCAGCAAGGCTTTGACTGGATTGTCATATTTGAGAGAGAGAGAGAGAGAGACTCTGATACGACCAGATCGCTTAAAGAACTAAGGCTGACTTCATGGAGCCAATAAAGACCCTTGGAAAAATTGGTCTGTTACCTTGACTACAGGGTTCCCAGCAGTCTTATCAGGTGAGTAAGGAAGGCCACTTCCTGGCAGGTACAGGTATCAGAAGATATTTTGAGCACTTTGAGAAGAGAGGAATTTATCCAAATTTACAGATATTCCAGGCAAAGTCTGATGGTTAGTTCTTGGTTTCTTGCCCTGAAGAAGCTTCTAAAATTCAATCTGAGACTCCTTATGAAAGGTTTCAGCAAAGCAGCAAAGAGTTTCATGTTGTCAATCACTTTTCTAGCTGCACTTGTGTAAATAACCACATTTGTTGAAATTAGACTTAATTTGCAAATAAATTAGTCTTTCTATGGCTCTCTTTACTAGAAATGGGGGTGACTGTACAGATGACAATGGTTGTGGACATTGGATTCCAGTTCTGTTAATCATCTGAGACTTTGTTTTCTACCTGTAAATTGGATAGGATGCTGAATTCTTCTTGGCTCCTCCAATATCTAGGTACAACTCTCCAAACTATTGTTTCCAGTTTTTCTCCCACCCTTCTGATTTCATTTTCTATTGAAAATGAAGACTGCATGTTTCCCAAAGCCATGCAAGCTACACTGGGCTAACGAGGTATAAACTGCAGAGAGATCATCACAGCTGTTCATGTATGGACAATCTTCATGCCCGTTGCCATGTGGGTCACTCAGAAAGATCACCAGACACATTCAAATTGCAACCCAAGGAAACCTATCAAACTGCCTCTGTCTGCCCTCACTCCATCTGAAGATGTTTGGAGCCCAACATCTAGAAATCTTGACTAGTACCTTTAGAACTCAAAAACTGGGATTATAATCTTCTCCAATCATTGCCTTTTCGTTTTTTTCTGTTTTTTGGCCACATTATGCCTCTTGTGGGATCTTAGTTTCTCAACCAGGGGTTGAACCCAGGACCATGGCGATGAAAACGCCAAGTCCTAACCACTGGACTGCCAGGGAATTCTTGACATTTTTTGTTTCCATACAGATGCCTCTTTAAATTAAATACCCGATTACTTGTACTGTACCTTATTTGGATATCACTGCCTCCTGAAACAAGATACTACTCTTTTACTGAATTGACCTATTCCCAGGGCCAAGAGGGAGGAGGCAATGGCACCCCACTCCAGTACTCTTGCCTGGAAAATCCCATGGACGGCAGAGCCTGGTAGGCTGCAGTCCATGGGGTCGCGAAGAGTCAGACATGACTGAGCTACTTCACTTTCACTTTTCACTTTTATGCATTGGAGAAGGAAATGGCAACCCAGTCCAGTGTTCTTGCCTGGAGAATCCCAGGGATGGGGTCGCACAGAGTCAGACACAACTGAAGTGACTTAGCAGCAGCAGTAGCAGGGCCAAGAGACTGGTTGGATGAGATATGAAACAATCTACCTATTCAGGATAGATTCAGATTGACCTACTTACACACGGTGCCCAAGATGTATAAATGCTTCACAGTATCACACAAATCTTGGAACAGATTCTAGGGTACCTCAGATCACTGACTTAGTTTCTTTATGGGATCCTTCAAGTTTGGGACAACAGCTCCCGACTGAATTTCAGACTATTGCCTCTATAATAATTACAGGATTTTCTACTGTGATCCTGTTCAGATGTGTATTTCCTGGGTTTCAAGGTGCCTGACCCTTGACTGTTAACATATCAGCTACCCATGAGGTTACTGTCCTCACTGTTGACTCTGATGCCTCACATCACAGGACATCACAGGGCATCACAGGGCAGAGGGTAGTATAAGCCCAGACAGTTGGATTTTCTCCTCTTCTGTGGGATGCAAGTGCCTGAGTTAAGCTCTGATCGCTGAGGCATACACTTCAAAGAAGGTTATCTCCAATAAACACACTGCCAGCCCCACAGACTAATGCTGGAAGGGCTGGGCCACCTCCCAACACTGCAGCTCCTTTGTGTTAGAGCTCTGGTTGATTTCAACAACTATTTGGACCACTTATTTTTTTCTCTTCTCCTGCTTTAAATTCCCACCCTTAGGTTTTAAATTCACCAGCACAGAGTGAACTTATGAAATCCTAGCCTCCTCCTCCAATACAAGGAGATGCACTGTCCCTTTCTCTCTCTACCAGAGACCTCACTGTGTGGTCCCAGATGTGCTGTAATTTCCAGGTCCTGTAAGTAATAAACCTTTCTACATTTTTTTTTTCCTGTTTCCAGGTGGTTATTGCTGGAGGGCATTTTGCAACCTTAATAAAAATCAGAGAGGCTGGTCCAGCCACAACACTGGTTATCATTAGGCTGAGACCAGCACAGAACAGTGGTTCATTGTTCCTGATGGGGATGGCGACTCAGATGGGCAGTCACATTGCCAACCCAGGTGCCAGCCTCACCCGTCTGCCGGGCTGGTTTGCCACAAAGCCGCTGACCCTCTGTGTCAGAGGGGAAAGGACCTGTTGGACGGTGAGCTCTGCGTGTGGAGGCTGCCATGCTTCCTGTTGAACCCAGCACCTGGCTCAGTGCCTGGCACATGGTGGGGACCCAGCCAAGACTTGTTACCCAGCTGGCTGGGCTATGGACGTTCAGACTCTGGGTCTGACATGGTCAGCATAAAGTACTTTCCGGAGCTTCCCCTGGGGGGCTCTGGAGTCTCACCTCTCCTGCAGCCAGAGAAACCCTTTTCTCTGTAGCATGAATTGTCTCATTTGGAGGACTTGCTGCAACTACAGACCCACCATCCAGCGAGGGGCTTCCTAGCCGGGGGCGTGGTTATGTTCCACCCACTGCTGCACACTGTGGTTTGTTGGAGTTGCCCTGGGCCACCTAAAATTCTTAGCCCAGAGACCATCGCATGGTAAGTGGGCACCAAACATGAGCTACATATTTGCATACACAACCCCGGAACACGTGTCCCAGGTGACCATCACGCTGACTTGTTTTGTGCTTATGGTCATAGTTGTCCAAGCCAAGCCAGCTTGGCTAACTGCTCTTAGACATTAGGCAGAAAGTTCTATTTGAAAAAAGAGCCATTAGCATCGCCCAACACAAAAGGATTTGGAAACCAAATGTAGAGATGTGGAACTGGGGTTCAGAAAGAGGAGATGACATTGCTAAGGCTCAGTCACAAGCCTGGATGGACTGTGGTCCAGGGCAGGGGACAAGGGGCGTAGAGAGGGCAAGCCAGTGAGCGCTGGGGAGCAGATGGGTACCTTGGAGGCCGTGATGGGCTTGAGACACGTCTGTCCACCATGTGTGAAGTTGCAGGAAACTTCGATGGTGTCGGATGAGCAGCCAAGGTTCGGATCCACCCAGTAGGTACCTATAGGCAACATGGGATGGGGGGCGGTGTACGTATGCGGGGAGGAACCCCAGGCTTGGTTCTACAGGTGAATCTGACACCTGGTCACCTGCTGAGTCCTATTTGGACATGAAGTCAGGGAGGTGGAGCAGAAAAGGGATTCTGTGAGCCGTAGTGATGGAAGGAAACGCTCTGGGCAGAGCTCAGAGCTGGCAGAGTCTTCAGCGGGGCCACATGGGAAGCATCCCCTTGTCGCCACTGGGAAGTATCATCTTCCAGAAAGGACAACTGAGGTTGAGAGAGGCTGAGCCACTTGTCCGAGGGATTTAGGGATTGTTTAATTGAAAGGTTTTGCTGCCAAGGCTCCGATCCTCCCAAGCTGGGTGGGAGTCAGGGTTTCTATCCCATCAATCAGGCAGCTCTGCCGGCACCTGGTTTCCCCTTTTGGGTTTCCAAGGAGCCAAAGGCCCCACAGCTGATAGCGTAGGACAGCTTTCTCATGCAGCAGAGAGAAGGGTCACCCAGCTCACAGAGCCGGTCAGAGGCAGGATGGACATTTGAACTCAGGTCTGTCCGCCTCTAAAACTGTGGTCCTTCCAAGGCACCACACAGCTCACGGAGAGAGAGGAGTTGGATGAGGTGCGCAGGACAGAAACTGGGAATCCTGGCTCTCCAGGGGAGCTATGATGGGGGCCCTCCTGGCCCTGGGGGCTTTTTCTGCCAAAGCTCTTGGCCCATTGCAGTGAAGTGGTCATCCCCAGCTTGTGGATCTGCTGGTTCAACTCTGGAAGGGTGGGACCCATCCTCTGTGTTTCCCACCATATCCCCACGCCCCAGGAGGTGTGATGCCTGGCACATTGTGGGGCTCTGTGACTGTTTGTTGAGTGAATAAATGACTGCCTCCCCAAGGACAGACAGTCGGTCCAGTTGAGCAGAGAATGTAATGGCTACGTGCTCTGTCTTAGAGCCGTTAACCATCTCCTTCAGCTCCTTCTGGAATCTCCTGCCCCGCCCTGCCCCGCCCCTGGGGCCGGGAAGCCCTCACTTGAGACAGACCCCGCCGGCCCTCGTACCATCCACCATCTTCTGCTCACAGTCCATGAGGTCCCGGCAGACCCGGGCGGGGTTCTCTTTGGTGCCCAGGGGCGTCTTAATGCTCTGGATGAGGTTGCTGAGGTAGTGTAAGGTTTTAAAGATCTCCCCTCCCTGGTCCAGCACCAGCCGGTCCGGATGGCTGTAACTCTGTCGTGAGAAAAGAGGGTGGCCGTTGGCCCCTTGAGGTCCTTGTCCGGCTGGAGCTCTGAGCCTCCACAGCCCCAAGTTCTCGCTGCTGAGGAGACATCTGAGCTCCCTGCAGGGGCTATGCTTGGGTCTCCCTCCACTTAACAAATAAAGAAACTGGGGACCAGCGGTGGCCAGGGGCAGATCTACCCAGAGGGCCTGGGGGCTTGAGAGATGTGGACAGTCAGCCTGGCTTCTACTGCAGAACAGGAGGGTCCCGTGAGCAAGGAGTCAAGGGAGGGGTCCCAAACCCCTCAGGAAGGGGTTGGTGAAGGACTTTCCACTGACTACCCTTTCCCCCACTCCTCAGAATGGAAGGAAGATAACAAGCTTTTCCATCTGCTCTTCCCTTGGCTTGTGAACCTGGAGAGAGCACTCAGGGCACAAATGGAAAAGTCTGACAGTCTGAGCTGGTAGGTAGTGAGTTCCCCATCATGGGAGGAAAGCAAAGCAGCAAAGGACACTCTTGACAGGGCTTGACCCTGTTCAGCCTGGTATCCTGGTGCTGAGACCCTGGCCAGGGTCTTAGCAGAGCCCGTGGACAAGTTTCCTCCCTCTGGCAGATTCTGGGACGGAACCAAGAAGCTGCTTCTGACAGCTCTACCTGACTCAGGAGGAGAGCAAAAGGACTCGGCCCTGCTTCTGGGTCACTTGCTGGCCATGAACTGCTCAGCGTGGGTCACGTGGAGGCCACTGACCACACGTGGGTCATCATCTCTGCAACCCCCTCCCCAAGGAAGGGACCCCATGTGGGCAGGGCCCCGGGCGCTACCTCCGCTCTCAGTGCGCTGCTTGTGTCCATCCACGTCTGGAAAGCTGCCCCAAGGTCGTCTTGTTGCTGTGCAGAGAGAAGACAGGCTGTGCCTCCTGGCCCCCACCGAGCAGGAGCCCCAGGGTCTGAGCAAGGGCCCTCCCACCCCACCTTCCCCAGTGGGATCCTGGCCCATAGCATGCCTTCTGGGGAACTCTGTTCTCCCTCCCCTTGCAAACAGATGCTTCCGCTCGTTTCCTCCAGGCACTTCCATAGCGCTCTGTCACCCCCAAGATTAAGTCCAAACTCCTCGAAGTGGCCTGCGTGCTGTGTTCTCTGGTCCTGCCTCTCTTCTGTCTCCCACGGGTGCTGCCTCTCACCAGACACACTGTTGCACTTCTCAGCTCCTAACAGCCACCGGGCCTTTGCACGGGCTGCTCCCTTTGCCTGTTCCCTCCTCCATCATTCCGTCTACGACTCCAGTGGTTCTCAGCCAGGGGTGATGCTGCCCCCTAGAGGACATCTGGCAATATCTCTAGACTTCAGGGGCTGTCACAAATGGAGGAGGCGGTTCTACTGGGATGCAGTGGGTGGAAGCCAGGCTGCAGCTAAACATCCTCCAATGCACAGGAAAATCACTCACAGCAAAGAATCATCTGGCTCCAAATGTCCACAGTGCTGTGGGTGAGAAACCCTGCCCTGCACGCCTCCTATAGATGCCACCCTGCGATGGGAACTCTCTCCTGATGCCTCCGCCCCCAGGCTGGGTGTGGACCCCTCTTTCTACATTCCCACAGCCCCAGGGTCTCCCCTTTGGTTTGCACTGTAACTGTCTCACTTCCACTTGCACCTGCAACCCTGGCCCTGGGTTTCCTGGAAGCATAGCTCCACGAGCTCCCCATGAAAATCAAGAGCGGGGAAGATCTGACAGTGAGTAAAGCCCAGGGTTGGGGTCTAGAGCCAGGACTCTGGCAGTCCTTCTCAAGTTCAGATCCCAAGCCTTGAAACTTACTAACTACAATCTGGGCAAGTTGCTTAAACTCAGTTCTCTCATCCTGATAATAAAACTCAGAACTGTTGAGAGGAATAAATGATTTTAAGGTAAAGAATCCTCCTATAATGCAGGAAGACACAGGAGACTTGGGTTTGATCCCTGGGTCGGGAAGATCCCCTGGAGAAGGAAATGGTGACCCATTCCAGTATTCTGGCCTGGAAAATCCCATGGACAGAGAAGCCTGGCAAGCTACAGTCCACGGCGTTGCAAAGAGTCGGACCAAACTTAGTGACTAAACAGCAAAATACATGAAAAGCACTTCTTTTTTTTTTTTTGTCCTCCCCACACAGCCTGAGGGATCCTAATTCCCTGATTAGGGCTCAGGGACTGAGCCTGAGCCCTTAGCAGTGAAAGTGTGGGGTCCTAATCACCAGACCACAAGGGAATTCCAGAAAAGTGCTACTAATGCTAAGTAGCATATAACAAGCACTGAATCTATTAGTTATTATTCAAAAAATCAAAATCCTCTCATTTTTCTTTATTTTTTTAGAGGGAAAAGTCTTTTCCTAGATCTCTCAATTTTCTCCTAGCTTGCTTCCTTACTGAAGAAGGAAGGATGTATAGGAAGAGGCCAGGGCTGTCTTTCCAGTTTCGTGGGTGAGACAGAGGGGCGGACAGTGAGGGCAGAAGAGCGGGGATTCAAGCTGCTCGTGGCCAGGGGCTCCTTCTCCATGCAGTCCTTCCCCCTGGTCATTCCCTGGGACATAGTCAGGGCCTGCTTCTAACAGTTAACCAGGACCATGGTCAAATGTGGACAGACTGCCAGAGGGCTTGTGAGGGGGGGATGTGTTTTCATTCAAGCCAGTGAGGAACACCAGGGCCCAACCTGCAACCTTGCCGGACCCTCTTTGGACTCAGAATCTGAACTGGATGGACTCTGTCATGTGGTGATGCATAATAAGAAATCTATACCTGGTCTTCAACCCAGTTCCTGGCAGAGAGCTCTGAAAACCCTTGGAATTTTCTGAAATAGGGTATCTTTTGCTGTGTTCATGAGATGACTTTTGGAAAGCTCCTAAGTAACCTAAGGATGGGAGCTGGTGGTATCTGGAACCAACCACGTGATCAGAGGGCGGCAACTTTCAGTCCCACAGCCTCCAAGGAGGGGAGAGGGGCTGGAGGTTGAGTCAATCGCCCATCGCCGATGACTTAATCAATCGTGTCTGTGTAATGAAGCCTCCCTAAAATCCTAAAAGGACTGGGCTCGGAGGGCTCCCAGGTTGGTGAACAGGTGGAGATTTGGAAAGGACACAGAAGCTCATGCCCCGACCCCATGCCTTGCTTGATGATGCACAACCTCCATCTGGCTGCTCCTCTGTGTGTGTGCTCAGTCGTGTCCGACTCTCTGCAACTCTGTGGAAGGCAGCCCGCCAGGCTCCTCTGTCCATGGGATTCTCCAGGCAAAATACTGGGGTGGGCTGCCATTTCCTCCTCCAGGGGATTTTCCCAACCCAGGGAACAAACCCGCATCTCTTGTGTCTCCTGCGTTGCAGGTGGATTCTTTAACCGCTGAGCCACAAGGGAAGTCCAAAATGACACATGTGAGTTACAGCCTTTTATAATAAGCCACTAATCTGGTACATAGAATGTGTCTCTGAGTTCTGTGAGCTGCCCTAACAAGTTAACAGATGCCGAGGAGGGCCTGGTGGGAACTTTTGGTGTATAGCTAGTCGGTCAGAAGCACAAATGACACCTGGGTTTGCCACTGGCATCGGAAGCGAGGCAGGGAAGGGGGGGTGAGGGAAGGAGGTGTGGGGTCCTGGGGGGTAGCCAGCAGCGATCTTGTAGGACTGAGCCCTCAACCCGTGGAATCTGATGCTGCTCCAAGTAGTGTCAGGACTGACTTAAATCCTAGGACACCTAGCTGGTGTCCCCCAGATTGCTCACTGGTGTGGGGAGGCTCCCTTCCCAAAACATAGGGGTTGGAATCAGTACCAGAGGCTTAAAGATCTGTCAGTGGAACAGCACAGAGTGGACCAACAGGACCCTGGGGCCAGAGGTGAGAGGTCTTCCTGGATCCACTGTCCGGGGTGCATTCTGGCTAATACCTGGGTTCCCTGCCTCTCGGTGTAGGGTCCAGGGTTCAGTATGGAGTCATGTAGGATGGGGGGTGGGCCGCCCCAGGCCAGGGAGGCAATCTGTTGTCATCCCTCCCCCACCACACCCCAGGCCTTACTCCAAGTAGACCAAAGAGAAAGTTCTCCAACTTACAAAGTGGATAGGGCTCCCTGGAGGACCCTGCAAAAGAAGAGGCTGGGTCTGTGTCTGATGGGGACTGCGTGTTGCAGTCCTGGGGGCTGTCGGGAGCCAGGAGGGGCTCTCAGGGCAAGAGAGAACCCACCGCCCTGGTCTCTGCCGGGCTAAGCTGTACTGTCCCGGAGGCCTGGCCTGTGACGTCAGGGCCAGTCCTGTGAAGGCCGCCAACACAGCCTGGGGTCCCACCAGCTGCCCTGCAGTTCAAGGGGCGCAGACACTACCTACCGGTGGGCCGGGCTGCCCTCTGGGACCGGGAGGACCCTGGAGGAAGAGGAGAACAGTGAGGCCCTGCTCAAAGGCCTCTCATCCCCCATCCCAGCCCAGGCCTCCTCCTGAGACCCAGCGCCGTGGCCACCCGCGTACAGACCGAGGTCCCAGGACATGACTGGTCACGGCAGGAGAGCCCAGAGTGCCTGCCGCCCCCCGACTCCACCATCCCCCCAGCCCTCACACCCCAGCCCACTCACCCTCGGACCTTGCAATCCCTGGAAGGGGACAGAAGCGGGGAGACAGAGTTACAGGAGCAGGCTGAGCTGTGCCGCCCCCCTGCCCACCCCCCCACCCCGCCACGCTGCCCACCAGCCCGTCCACTCACCAAGTCCCCTCGGCTGCCTTTGTCGCCCTTTGGACCCTGCAAGAAACCATGGCCCAGTGAGAGGGGGCTTGGAGGAGGAGCCCCACCGCCCAGATGGGGAAACTGAGGCTTGGACTGGCTCCAGGTCACACAGACAGTCTTGCCCCAGTGGTCTTTCTGGCCAGCCCCCTGCACATACCTGGCGTCCCGAAGGCCCCAGGATTCCTAGGGGCCCGATGATACCTTCCTTTCCCTAAAGGGGAGAGAAAGGCTTATGTGTCCTTGTCCCAGCGCCTGGGAAACAGAATCACCGGGACAGGAGGGTAGGGGGCAGCCTGAAGGCCCCCAGGAGGTGGAAGGGAGACCTCCCCGGGCGGGGCCAGGCCATGTGTCTGCCGAGCCCATGCGATGTGCGTTGGGGTGGGCCATTGGTGGGGGACGGGAACAGGTGAAAGCAGGAAAGATGGCAGCCCAGCTGGCAGGAACGTCACGAGCAAAGGTGTGGAAACCCGGTGGGGGGTGGGAGGGAGGTTCGAGAGGGAGGGGACATATGTGTGCTTATGGCCGATTCACGTCGTGTGCAGAAACGAACACAACGTTGTACAGCAATTATCCTCCAATTAAAAAAAATAAATGTTAAGAAACAGGAGTGGAGACAGTGGGCAGAGAGGGCTCAAGACCGAACGATCAGGAAGGGTGACGTCACCCAGCTGATGGCTGGCCGGCCTCGGATGACTGACCATGCGGGGACAGACCGGGAGAGGACTCACCATCAATCCAGGGGGCCCGCGAGGGCCCTGGATGCCTTTGAAGCCGAGGTCTCCTGGGGGCCCCTGCGGGAGGCGGAGAAGGGCTGCTGTGTCTGGGCGGCCACTGGGCGAGGGCTCCAGCAGCTCCACCACCCCTGGGGGCTGCCCAGCCTTTGCCCTCCCGGTCAAGAGATGCCTTCCCTGAGAGGCTCCAGAAAGAGCAACAATGTCCACAATTAGGAAGCAGCATGCAGGGTGCTGGCTTGGCGCTAAATGGTGTAGGCCTAATCTTCATTGTAACAACCTTTTGCTGCTATTGTGCCCATTTTATAGATAAGAAAAGTGAGGCTTGGAGAGACCAAGTAATCTGCTCAGGCACAGAGCAGATACACTGTGGAGTTGGGCTTAGAACCCAGGCCTGCTGGAACGTGAGGCTGGGAGACAAGGGTGTTCATGCTAGATTCTGGCTGTGTTCCAGCCCCCACTGCACAGGCCCAAGAAATATTTGTTGAATGAATAGTGAACAAGTAGGTAGATGGACAGGACCCCAAGAAGAATAGAGAATCTGTACCTTGGGTCCGAAGAGGCCAGCCACTCCTGGGAATCCCATCTCGCCAGAGTCACCCTACAGGGAGAACAGGATGAGACAGGGCAAGTGAGGCCAAGACAAGGTGCCCGGCCAGTCCGGCAGGACCCGGGGCCTGCCTCCTTGAAGGGATATCAGCCACTCCACCTCAAGGCGATCAAACGAGTATGACTAGCTCACAAATATGATGCCTTATAGCAGTGGCTAGAAATGCCAATACAATGTTGAACAGAAGTGGTGTGAACAGGTATCCAACTTATTTCTGCTCTTTGGGAGAAAGAATTTAATCATTCACTAGGAACTACAATATTAACTACAGATTTTTCATGACTGTCCTTTATCAAGTTGAGGAAGTTTTTTCTATACCAAGTTTGCTGAGAATATTTCATCAGAAATGGAGTCGGAGTCTATCAATTGCTTTTCTTGCATCTACTGAAATGATTAATTAGATCTTCTATTTTAGTCTGGGGAAGATTGCAGGCAGGAGGAGACAGGGGCAACAGACGATGAGATGATTGGATGGCATCACCGACTTAATGGACATGAGTATGATCAAATTCTGGGAGATGGTGATGCACAGGGAAGCCTGGTGTGCTACAGTCCATGGGCTTGCAAAGAATTAGACACGACTGAACAACAAATTTTAGCTTGTTAATATGGTGAATTATATTGATTTATTTTCAAATTTTATACTATCCTTGCATTCCTGATCTTTTTTTCCTGATTCACTTGATCTTTTTTGAAAAAATACATTTCTTTATTTGACTGTGTTGGTTCTTACCTGCAGCATGTGGGATTTTAATTTTATTTTTAGTTGTACCATGCAGGATCTGTACTTGTGGCATGTGAACTCTTGGTGGTGCATGTGGGATCTAGTCCCCTGACCAGGGATCAAACCCGGGCCCCCTGCATTAGCAGCATGGTGTCTTAGCCACTGGACCACCAGGGAAGTTTCAAATCTCACTTGATCTTGACCTGCTATTCTTTTAATGTATTCTTTGATTGATTTTCCTAAAACAGTATTGAGAACTTTTGTATCTATACTTCTGAGGTATATTGGTCTGTAGTTTTCTCTTCTTGTAATCTTTGTCTAGCATAGACATCAGGGTAATGCTAACCTCATAGCATGTGTTTGGAAGTATCCCTCCCCTTCAATTTTCTGGAAGAATGTATGCAGAATTGGTATTTTTCTTCCATAAACAATGACTAGAATTTACCAGTGAAGTCATCTGAACCTTTGTGGGAAGTTTTTAAACTACAGATGCAATTTCTCCAACAGATACAAGGCTGTATGTGTGCTAAGTCGCTTCAGTCGTGCCTGACTCTTTGTGACCCTATGGATGTAGCCTTCCAGGCTCCTCTGTCCACGGGATTCTCCAGGCAACAATACTGAAGTCGGGGATCTTCCCAATCCAGGGATTAAACCCATGTCTCTTACGGTCTCCCGCATGGATAGGTGGGTTCTTTACCACTAGCGCCACCTGGGAAAGCCAGATTCAAGGTTATTTCAGGCTACTTAAGGCTCTGGTTGGGATGGCCTCTCCTCATTCTTAAGGGACCACTCATATCTCATTTCTCAGCTTTCTTCCATCCCCTCATCCCTGACTCAGGGGAGGCAGAGTGGTATCTCATGCCCATGGAGAGTGTTGCTCTGTGCTTTTTACAGAGCAGGAAAGTGGCTGGTGGGTCTGTGTGCGTGTGTGCTCACGTGTGTGCACATGTGTGTCCCCTGGGGCTCACTCACCGGCTGGCCTTTGGATCCAGGCTCCCCCTGGTTCCCAGGAAGCCCCATTCCACCTTCTGTCCCTCGTTTGCCAGGGGGTCCCATCTGCCCAGGTAACCCACTTTCACCCTTAAAGAAATACACCAAGATGACCAGTCAAAGGGAGAAAACGGCTCTAGAAGATGAGGAGGGCAGTTGGAGAGAGAGAACAGTGATTCCACTGGGTCAGTTAACATCTCTGGTTGCTGGGGCAACAGGTGTAGGCCTGGGGATGGGGGAGGGTGCTCAAAACTTCAGCCTCCTTAAGAAGAAAGTCTCTTTTCTTGTTCTGTCATTGAAGGGCCCACTTCCTGTCCCTTCTCTCAAACACCTTTCCTCTTCATTGTTTCTTCCCAACAGGCCAGGCAGTCCCTACCTCCAATCATGCTGTTCCTCTTGCCTAGAATGTCGCCTCCCCTTCTTGCCTCATTTAAATCTTCCTCGGGCCAAGGCCTCCTCTCCCCTCTGCCCTCTGTCTTTAAAGAGGCTTACAACCTCTCTCCAACTGAACTTCAAGCTCAGAGGGTGAGAGCCCTGCCTCATTCATTCATCTCAATCTTCCCTTCAAGTGTCTAACTCTGGGCTCGGACAGCCTCATGAATGCCTCCCCTGCCTATCAAGGAAACTTCTAAAAAGATGCCTTGGAGGGTCCCCGCAGCTAGCAACAGCCATTGCGCCACAAAGGCCCACAAGAGGGCGCCCACGGACAACTCAACAAAGAGTTGACAGCCTCAAAGGCCTGGTAGGGGGCAGTATTACAGCTCTGGGGATTCCTGTCCTTCAAGCCAGGTTCAGGCCTGGGGACGGACCCCTGAGAAAGTAGACTCCATTTTTCACACGGTCCCTGGGACATGGGTGCCTATGTCAGCACTGTAATCAGGGTCACTGTAGTCGGTACCAAGGCAGAAAGGGTGGGGGGCGCGGATAAGGGGATTAGCAAGGGTCTGACCTTGAATCCTGGGGGCCCCTGTGCCCCAGGCAAGCCAGCCACACCTGGATCTCCTCTCTTCCCAGCGGGGCCCATGGGCCCGGGGTCCCCGTCATCTCCTTGCTCCCCCTGTGAAGAAAGAGGCCAAAGGAAGATTTTTCATGTTTCAGGAAATAGGCAGCCAAAGGAGGCAGGGTGACTTCAGAACCCACCAGTGTGGGAGAACCCTGGTGGAGGTGGAGGTCAGACTCGGGGATGGAGGCCAGACTCAGGGATGGAGGCCAGACTCGGGGATGGAGGCCAGACTCGGGGATGGAGGCCGTACTGCCTGTGTGTGAGAATGGCTGGACCAGCGGGACAAGAGGATTTGAGGATTCGTGGGTGGGGAGGAGAAGGATCTTAAAAACCAGAAGCTCTCTGCCCTGGACAGGGGTTGTCCCTCTGGGTGCTGGCATGGAGGAGAGAAAGTGAGACAGGCCATCATCCAGAAGCCACTGCCCACGCAGGAAGCTTCTAGATATACTGGTCTGCCCATCCAAGTTCCCAAGCCTGCTCCTCCTGGCCCGTGGCCTAGGCACCCCACATCCCACCACGCGCACACCTCATCTCGAACGGAGACACCCTCTGTTAACCCCCAGTATGGCTCACCTGCTGTCCAGCTTGACCATCACGGCCAGGAAGCCCATCTGGTCCAGCAACACCCTCGGGCCCCTGTCTCCCCACCACGCCCCGAGGCCCCGGGAGCCCCTGCAGGCCCTAGGGGTAAACAGGAAGCTGGTGAGGGCTTCTGGGGAGGGCAGGGGGTGGGGTGGGCAAGCGAAAAGCTGCGGGCCACTCACCTGGATCCCCCTCCGTCCTGGCGCCCCAGCCTTGCCTTGCTTTCCCTTTGGTCCCTGAAAAATCAAGGGGTACATGATGGAGGCTTCCTGGAGGAGGCGCAGAACCCGAGGGGCTCCGGAAGGGAGATCCTTCTGTGGCTCGGCCCTGCCCCTCTACCTCGGCATCTGAATCTGCAAGTGGGCCCAAGCACACCCACCCGGAAGCCCAGGGTCAAGGCTGGCCTTGGGACCTGCCACATGTGGCCCCTGACCCTGCTCTGGGCGCTGGGCCCTCACGGGGAGCCCGGTGGCAGAGGCTCCAGGCATTGGCAGCTTCCTGGTGGGAGCTGAGCCCCACGGCTGGCAGGTCCGTCTGATCGTCAGGGGCGTGTGTGTGCACCCCTGGGAGGAAGTGGAGGGCATGGAGACAGCCCTGGCCCAGCCTCAGTGGAGGCCAGCGCAGGAGGCCTGGCTGAAGGCAGGCAACTCCCTCTCCACCGCCTCCGAAGGCCTCCATGAGTGGCGCCCTCCCCGTCTTCCTCCACACGCTCTCACTTCACTGCTCCCAGTTTTCTTTCTGCAGTGCATTGTGGTGGAAAGGGAGCCCAGCTTCGGATCTTGACTGCCCGGGGTTCAAATCCCGCTAGCTGACCAAACAGGCGGTCCTCCTCCTAGAGCCTCTGTAACTGGGACTGGTCATCTCCCGTCCCCCAGGCCGGCTGAAGGAATCCTGGCTGGACCACAGCCTGCAGGGCCCCGTGGTCCCTGTCTCTCATCGCACCCCAGTGCTGCCTCCCACATGCTATGTGCTTAGGCCCGTCCCAGGGTCTACCTTCCCCATGAGCATCCAGGCCACTTACCTCTTCCCCTTTCGATCCTTTGGGGCCCGGCCGTCCCCGGGGTCCCGGATGCCCCTGCAAACCAAGGTGAGATGACGCAAGGCAGCCCCAGGATTCTCTCCCGGGGAGGGTGGCCAGTCTCCGCCTGGAGGGGGAGGGGTGGGGAGGGGTTTGGGGGTGCAGGCTCTGGGGGTGCCCCCAGGGTCAGGGTAGGAGAAACCAGAATGGGCTGTCCCAGGCCCTCCCGCAGGGCGGGTCCCTTTAAGCTTTAAAGAGACCAGATCTTTAATTCTCCCACTGCTCCTCCACCAGCCCCCCCACTCAGGGCAGGAGGGGGATGGGACAGGAAGCACCACTCACGGGTTGCCCCTGCTGGCCTGGATTTCCACGGAGGCCTTGTACACCCTCCTGCCCCTGGAAGTCAAGGAGAGACAGGTGAAGGGGCTCATCTTGGAGGGAGTGGGGGCCAGGGCAACTTCTAGCCTGGAGGACCCCAAGGAAGCCCTTGTTCTTCCTAGCCATGTGGCATTGTTCCCCTAAGTCTCAGCTTCTTCATCTGCGAAATGGGTGGGAAAGAATCCACCTGCCAGTGTAAGAGACAGAAGAGACTCGGGTTCGATTCCTGGGTGGGGAAGATCCCCTGGAGGAGGGCATGGCAACCCACTCCAGTATCCTTGCCTGGAGAATTCCATGGACAGAAGAGCCTGGAGGGCTACAGTCCACGGGGTTACAAAGAGCAGGACACAGCCGAGCAGGAATCAAGGAAAGGACTCCTGCCATCAAGGACGAAGGATGAGGAGCCTGGGTGGGGGTGGGGGTGGGGGCCTGGTGCCCGTTCAGTGGCTCGTCCTCATTGCTTTGCTGGAAGAGCTGTTCTCAGTCACAGATGGGGATACTGAGGGTCCTGGAGGGGAAGGGTCTCTCTGCCCCGCCCATCCTCTCCCTCCCTCGGGAAAGATCTCGGACCCTGCCCCTTTCAGTATGAATTGAGCCCTGAGCGCTTGGGGATGGTGGATGAATCCTTGGGGATGCGTAACCCTGGGCACTAGTGGTGGAAGGATGGGCCCGTTTCCTGGCGAAGGCTGTTCTGATTCCAGGTTGCGTGAAATGGAGGCCAAGGAATGCCCTCTTACAACGCTTGCGATGCTGCCAGCAAGCAGGAGCTCTGATACTCACAGGGTATCCAGGGTCCCCTGGTTCCCCACGGTCTCCTCGATCACCCACGGGGCCCTAAATGAAAGGACAATAGAAGACTGCAGGGGGTGCCAGACCCGGGCCTTCTGGGCCACGCCCTCGGCAGAGCTCGCAGCAGCCGCCCCCCCGAGCTCCCCACACAGCCGGGGCTTGGGGCTCCACCCTGGTGGTGGTCCAGAGGATGGGGGGGGCCTTACCCGATCTCCAGGTGGTCCGGGGGGCCCCTCAGCCTTGCCATCCTCGCCCTGCTCCCCCTGTGGACACGAAACCAGCATTAAGACGACCTTCTTGCTCCTGGTGAATTTTGGGAATTCCAGACACTCCACATTGAGGCCAACAGGGCCTTCATCAGAGATGAAGAACCCAGTCTACTTAGGGTTGCAGACAGAAAGACCGAGGCCAAGAGGGAAGGGAAGACATGGGGTCCAAGGCAGACCCGGGCATGGAAGCAGGAATTCGGAGCACAGGATGCGGCTCCTTACCCTCCCCTACGCTAGACTTCCCTGGGGGCTCAGACGGCAAAGAATCCGCCTGCAATGCAGGAGACCTGGGTTCGACCCCTGGCTCGGGGAGATCCCCTGCAGAAGGGAATGGCTATCCACTGCAGTACTCTTGCCTGGAGAATTCCATCCACAGAGGAGCATGGTGGGCTATGGTCCATGCAGTCTCAGAGTCAGGCACAACTAAGTGGCTATCACTCTCGTTTTCAGGCTGGCACTCTCAGGCTGTCAGCCAGGGTGGCTGAGCAGAGACCTGGTCAGTCGGCTTTGTAGGGGACCAGCTGCCCAGGCCTTCAACAGGGCCCTTCTGGTTCCAGAGCTTTTTCTCAGCTGCAAAATGGGGGGTGGTGGGGCAGTGAAGGGGACAATGCTGATACCCATGGAAGGTGGTGGGGCTTCCATGAAGTGATGCAGAAGCCCCCGCACGGTGCTCAGCAGGCAGTGACAATAATTCCCACAGCTGGCAAGCGTGAGCACCGACGACCACAGCTGAACGCAGACAGTGAGTCCTCCCGGCGCTGGGTGCGCTAAGTCCCTTCAGTTGTGTAGAAGACTTTGAACACTATGAACTGCAGCCCACCAGCCTCCTCTGTCCGCAGGATTCTCCAGGGAAGAAGACTGGAGTGGGTTGCCAGGCCCTCCTCCAGGGGAGCTTCCCAACCCAGGGATCAAATCCACGTTTCTTGTGTCTCCTGTACTGGCAGGAGGGTGCTTTACCTCTAGCACCACCTGGGAAGGCTGAATTCTGCCAACAGCCCCACAAAGTAGGTGATATTTTTCTCCTTAGTTTACAGATGAGGACACGGAGGCACAAAGAGGCAGTGTGAGCTGCTTAGCCATTCAGCCCTCAATGAAAGAGCCCCTTTCTCCGACCCTTGCTGGGAGAAGGTGGGCCGAGAACCTGCTTTAGGATGAACCTCCAACTCTTGATGGGAGCCCCAGGGAAGGCCCTGAGCCTCCCTAGGAGGCTCTCAGCAGTCGCCCCCTTGCAGGTCTTGCTCATAAGACAGTTTCCCGTCTGCAAAATGAGATTGTTATGTCTCATAGCGCTGCTCTGATGACGCAGGAAGCAGAGGCGTGGTAAGCTCTCAGCACAGAGAGAAGAGGCTCTGTAGAAATTGCTGGTGCTGCTGCTAATGATAACAGCTGGGAGGATGGGTGGCAGGGAGGTGGTCAGAGAGACGGGGGGAAGAGCAGAGTTTAGAGCCAAGGTCCTTGGGCCATGGCAGGCCACCCCGGGCCCCGGTCCACCCGCAGGACAGGTGGCTGCAAGCCATGTGCCAGCTACAAGGAAGGTGCAGGCAGAGCCTGAGGGCTCAGCATGATCTAACCCCAGACAATTAGTGTCACCTCCCATGGGGGGACATGCTGGGCAGGCGGCTCAAGCCAGGGCACCTCCAAGCCCCCTGGCTGCTGGCAGGGACTGAAGGGGAGGTCTGAGAGGCAGGAGAAAGGGGACAGTCCTGGGGGCTGGAGCCTGTCCCGGGCCCGAATCAGTCCTGAGGGCTGACGGCCGTAAACCTTGGCCTGGGGCCTCTGTGGCTCCTGTGGGCAGAGACGGAAGGCAGGAGAGTAGGCCTGAGGCCTAGAACCAGCTGTAGGCAGGAACGGGGGGAGGTGGCTGGCCCAAGAAGCAGGGATTCCCTCTCTGCCCTGACCACTCTCTGTGGCTCCTTGTCCCAAGGCTCCGTCTTCCTGTGAAGGGAGAGAGCTGGACTGGGGGGCTTTACCTACTGTTTACCTAGTGGGTTCTGTGTGCCAGGCCCTTTGTGAGGCATGTTGCATAGAATCCATATAACACGCTTATGCTGCTGTGACCGTTGGTCCCATTTTACAGATGAAGAAACTGATACCCAGGGGAGGAAGGGTCTTAGCCAAGGTCACACAAGAATCAAAGCAATGACTGGGCCAAAAGCTAGCTATACAGATATCTCCCTCCCCTACCCACCACACATTGTAGCTGAATTTTGGGGATGCATTTTTAGCACCCCAAAACGAAGCCTCCCATTCCCCCTTTCTCCTTGTTCCCAGAGTCCTATCCCATCTCCCAGTCCCTTGGGCCACTGCCTTTGAAGATAGACACATGCCCCAGAGGGAAGCCCCAAGTTGAACAATATATTGGTTCATCTAAACGTCTTGTTTCTGACTGGAAATGCGAGGCCTGGCATCAGACAGTCTGAATCCTGGTCCTACCATACCCCACACTGATCGTGAGCTAGTCCTGGAATGTCAAGGAGACTCTGTTTCTCCACCTGTCGAGTGGGACCCGGACACCTCTGTGCCAGGGTCATGGTGATGAGTGTGAAGAAATCCTGGGGCGGAGGTCTGCCCTGGGGGTCTCCCCCAGGAACCTGCTTTTCTTCCCTCCCTAGTGCCATCCCGCTGTGACTAGTCAGATATTCATTCACGTGGCGGTGGTGGTGTTCAGTCACTCAGTTGTGTCCAACCCTTTGTGACCCATGGACTGCAGCACACCAGGCTTCCCTGTCCTTCACCATCTCCCAGAGCTTGCTCAAACTCATGTCCATTGAGTCAGTGATACCATCCAACCATCTCATCCTCTGTTGCCCCCTTCTCTTCCTGCCTTCACTCTTTCCCAGCATCAGGGTTTTTTTTTTCCAATGAGTTGGCTAGCTCTTTAGGGCATCATTTCACAGCCCCCAGCTCAGAGATGAGAACATACTAAATATTAAATCATTATAATAGCCATTATAAATCCATAAACACCTGTTGATTAGCAGATGAGTGACTGAACTCAAAATAATACCATAGAAGTCAGAAAGTGCATCTGGCTGACGTATATGTGATGATATACACATATGTATACATGTGATGTCCTGCTTACCTTCATGTGCCCAAGGTACCCACACACTTCACAGATGAGGCAGTCAAGGCTTGGGGAATCCTGGGGCCCCTCCCAAGGCCGCAGAAGACTCAGGGCAGATTTGGGGTTAGGATCTAGTTCTCGGCAGGCACAGGGACTACTTCTGGGGTGTGGATGGCCCAGAGTGAAGGCACCCTCTTGTTTCAGGCTTCGTGTTAACCCTTTCTGCGCCAGCCCTGGCAGACCGTGAGGGCCGAGGAGGCACTCGGGATCCTGCGTGCGGCTTGTGCGGCTTCCTGCGGGATGTGTCAGAGCCTGCGGCCCGCTGCGATTGCAGAGCTATTCTCCAAGCAGGAGGAAGGGGCCAGCTGGATGGCAAGCTAGGCCAGGGTGATTCACTCAACAGCGGGATGTAGTTAGTGGGGAGCTGACTCGGCAAAAGAAAGGAGGCTTGGGGAGCTGGGAACAAGGATTCCGCGGTGGGCAGTGGGGTGGGGTCGGGGGCGCCTGATAGGAGCCTGTTCCTGCTCCATCAGGGGAAGAGGGAGAAAGGAAGGAGGGACTCCGTTAATGTAAGACCCAGAGACTTGGGTCCTGGGCTAGCTCGGTGCTGCCTTGGAACGTGACCCTCAGACTTGTGGGATCCACATCCCCACCTACACAGTGGGGAGGGGTGTGGCCATCAGTGAGGTTCCTTCCACCACTTCCTGTCTTCCATTGAATCTGGAGCCAAGGGGCGGGGCCTGGACACACCTTCCTTCTGCCTGGGCGGTTCCTGGCCTTGAAATGCTGGTGCTTCTCACTCACGATCCCAAGCCCTCCCCCAGCTCTCACCAGGTGATCTCATTCACAAGTGAGGCTTTGCTCCCCCAACTTCACACAGATGATAGATGGCATCCTTACATCACTGATGTCCATTTCCCCTGCTCAACTGGAAGCCCCAGGAAGGCAGCAACTGTGTCCATTTTTGTTCTGGTGCCAGGCACAGAGATGACACCCGAGATACCTGTGCTCAACGTAGGTCAGACTCCTGCCTGAAGGCCACAGCCAGGATGACACTGAGCTCTGGGCTGGCCAGGGTGTGGACAGGGGTGAGCCATGAACCCACGCTAGCCCAGCCACAGTGGCCCCAGGACTCGCTCCCAGCGGCCCCAGATATGGAAAGCAGTTGCCACCCAGGACCAGACACCCACCTTTTCACCCTTGGGTCCAGGAGGTCCGAGGGGTCCCATGATGCCTTTGTGTCCCTGCAAGAAATAAGAGGGCAGGAGGTGAGAGCACGGGGGAGGGAGGAGTCGGGAGGAGCAGAGGAGGAAGGATGAGAGCTCAGAGGTGGAGATAATCTGGGCTGTGTGACCAGGTCCTGGCTCTGTCCCAACGCGCCGGCTCTCTGAGCAATGGCCTCGTGGACACGCCGTGTTGGTCCCAGACACTCCTCTAAGGGGTGTTTGCTTGAGCGGCTGAAGCCTCTGCTCACGCATCTTGGAGCAGACCTGGGTCCAGATCTCGGCAGAGCCCCCAGCTGTGTCCTCCTGGGCAGAGGCAGGGGGCGAACGCTCGCCTCGGCAGGCTTTCCCAGGCCGGGGTGAGGCCTGAAGATGCAGACCCCCAGCTTGGGCTCCCAGCACCCACTCTCCGGCTCCCCTCTCCTTTGCCCTCTGCCTCTCCCCCTCCTCCTTTTCTTTCAGACACTGCATCCCACCATCAAGCTTCAGAAGCTGTCAGGCCTTGCACACACATTGTTTTGGCTCCCCGAGCCTCAGTTTCCCTTTCTGAGCAAGCCGCGTGCCTCTCTGAGGCCTCACCTCCCAGATGTCTAACATGGGTTTGGCTCAGCCGCCTCTAAGGGGTGTGGGGTGGGGGTGTTGCCACATCGGATGCAAAAATAGGCTCCGACCCACCACTTCCACAGAGAGCAGTTATGAAGTTCAGACACGAGGTGTGTGCGGCACCCACCATAGGAAAGAAAGACTTAGCGAGGCCAGGGGTTCAGGGGAGGTCGCTGTTCACCCCAGCCCTGTCTGGCCCACTGGTGGTCGGTGGACCCAGGTGTTCCTGGGGGCCAGGGAAACCATGAATCTGTGTGGCCCTCAGCTGGGAGGAGGTGGGGGCAGCGGCCGAGGCGGCCTGAGTCCAGGCCTGCAGGGCAGAGTTCCAGAAAGTGGGGAGGTGAGAGCTCCTTACGTCGTAACCAGCCAGTCCCGGCTCTCCTTGGGCCCCCATCCGTCCTGGAGCACCCTGTGAGGGGAGAAGACCCCCGTTGGTGCCCAGTATGCCTCTCACAGAAGGAACGCGGACACTGTCTCTCCCACAGGCTCCCGCCCACTTCAGCCCAGCAGCCTGGCACGTCCGCTCTGCTCAGAAGCCGATCCGGAGACCGAGGTGGAAAGCAAGCGGCTCTCCGGAGCACTCCTCCTCCCCCAGCCCTTCCCTCTTCCAGCTCCAGAGGTTTAGAGAGCCAGTTGCTAAATTTTCCCCAATTTTGTGAGCCAATTATTAAATAAAACCATGATGAAAACTTAAATTATATGAACTTACAGATAAATCAATTATATTAAAAACACAGATGATAGATATCTCACACTCATCCCTTCCTAATTATTTTATGACATTTTGTTGTTATCTAGGCTCATGAGGATATTTCTGTTGATTGAATCTGTGTGGCGGAAACGCTGTTATCCCTGGGTAGCCGGTATGTGCAGGGAAACAGTTCCAGGACCCCCCGTGGATGTGGAACCCTGGGGACACAGACCGACTCTACCAGCTAATGGAGCTTTCTCACACATCCCCTCCAAGTCTGCCTTCAGTGACATCATGCTGGTAGCTGGAAATCGGCTACTGTGGGAGCATTTACACCACAGAATCTTGCAAATTCCACAAAGCAGCACAGCTGTTTATCGGCGCACATCGGCGCGCAGCTCAGAGATGCCGCGTCAGCCTTGTCTGCCCCCTTCCCTCGCTTCCTCTTGGGGTCTCCCTCCTGCGGCAGTGACCAAACCCTTAAGGGACCCTTCCTCCAGGGCAGGCCAGCAACGGGCTGGGCCACCCTCAAGGTCACCCGGTGATCTGCAGTAGCTTCATCCTGCTCCCCCAAGAATCTATTTCCAAGGGGAAAAACCCTTGTCCAATAAAAATACCCCCAAGGGTCTTGTCCCCTCCCTACACCTTGACAGCAGGACTTGATAATCAGGGATTATAAAGGGCTCCAGAACATCCACAGACCCCCTCCAAATGGCAAGAAATTCTGGGCTGTATGTACTTTACAGGGGGAGGGAGCTTCTGTAGGTACCCAAAGGGATCCACGATTCCAAAGGTGTGGCTGGGAGGGCAGACACAAAGTGAGGTGGGCAATGCTTTCCTCTTTGCACTTGGCTCCATGACCCTCACCCCAGCCACCCAGAGAGTTCTCACCGTTGGTCCCAGGCTGCCCCGGGACCCTTTAGGGCCTGGGGTGCCAAGGGGTCCAGGATCTCCAGGGACGCCCATCTCACCCAGCTGTCCTTGGTAGCCCTTGGCACCCTGCAGTGGAGGAGAGACAAGGTGTTGCCAGGTGTCCGCAGAGGGGAGGGGAGGGCGGGAGCTAGGGGGCAGGGACATGGCCGATTCAGGTGGGAGGAGGAGGCGGTCCCAACCTTGGCTCCCGTCCGGCCCTTCTCGCCTTGCTTCCCTGGTTTTCCTTCAGGACCCTGAAAGGAAAAGAGGGGAAGAGAGAAAAAGATGAGCAGTGAGAGGAAACTGAGGCAGATCCACAGATTTGCAGAGCACTAGGTCTCGAGGCAGACTGCCTGGGTTCAAACTGATTCTGCGCTCAACCCCGTGTGACCTTGAGCATCAGCATACTTCCTGCGATCTACATCTTTGCCAAGTAGGGGCAGTGGCGGTATTGGCCTCACAGAGCTGACAGCTCTGGGCCTGACAGTCTTAAGGTCTTTTGCTTCTCCAGTAATTAAATACAGCGTGGCCTCAGTCATGGGCCAGGTACTGCATCTGAACTCTGTATCATGTTTTGTGCAATTCTGGCCACAGGGCCGGGAGGAAGGGATTGTTTATCCCATGTTAGAGCTAAAGAAACAGTCTCGGGGAGACAGAGACCCTGTGGACACTTATCACCCAGCTAGGTAGAATGAAATGTGGATTCTTACTTTCTGGGACACCCCTTTTCCTAAGCTGGTCCTGTCTGGGCAATTGTGAGTCATGATTACAGGAGCTGGTGGCATTTGCCAGTGGGCTGAGGTGACTGCAATGGCTGATTCCTCATCAGCAGGAGGAGTGAGTCAGGGACAAAGAATGCAGTCCAGGGCCAGGGAGACGGGAGTCTCCCCCAGGACAGGGCAGCCTGCTGGCCACTTGTTCTGACAGGCCCATCTCCAGCTGGGAGCATCCCCAATGGTGTGGGAAACCCTGAGTAAGGGTGAGAGCATCCAGTGGGGTGAGACTGTGGGGCCAGAATGAAGACATTTGCTGGGCCCCCATCCATATAGATGTCTTTCTGGAAAGGCCCTGATGGCTCATAAAATTCTATTTTTAAATCCTCCACTGTTTCCGGGCCACAGAGTGGGAGATTCCTGTTCTGCAGCCTCAATGCCAAAGACACTCAAATACAGGCCTCTCATCACCTCTGCCACCCGACACACACTTGGCCTGGCCCCAGCGAACCTCTTTCCAGTCCCAGCGTAGGAGAGTTGGCAGTGACAGTGAAATATGGACAGAAACACTGCAACACCACCACGGACACCATCCCCATCCCCAGATCCACTGTCATACCCCTGCCTCGGCCACCACCATCACCAGTGCATCAGTCCCACTGCCATCATTAACCCCGCCATCATCACCATCACCATACCATCATCAACGCCACCATCATCATTATCACAACCACAACTGCCATTATCAACCCCACTGTCACCACGACCATAACCACTGTCCTCTTCACTAATATCAATACCATCCCCTCCATCACACACTAACACCATCATCACCACTACCACCAGCATCATCATCATTCCCATCACCATAGCCACTGACACACCAACATCAGTACCACCACCATCATCATCCCATCATCAATACCATCATCATCCCCATCATCACCATTCCCACCATCACCACCATCACACTAACAAACACCATCATCATCACCACATCATCATCATCATCACCATTCCCACCACCACCACCATCACACTAACAAACACCATCGTCATCACTACATCATCATCACCACATCGTCATCATCATCACCATTCCCACCACCACCACCATCACACTAACAAACACCATCGTCATCACTACATCATCATCACCACATCATCATCATCATCACCATTCTCACCACCACCACCACACTAACACCATCATCACCACCATGCCCATCATCATTACCACCGCCATGACCACCACCATCATCTTCACTATTGCCATCACCACTATCTTCACCACTATCATCACCATCCCCACCATCATCACTACATCATCACCACCACCAGCTTCAGCCACGTCCTCCTCCATACTCATAATGTGCTATGTTTCTAGTTCATTTTATAAAGTGCTTTCCTATCCAAAGTTTCATCAGTTCTTTAGATGAAAAATCCAAGGCTCAGAGAGAGGCAGTGATGTGCCTAAAGTCACAGTGATAGTGGGTGCTCGAGCCAGAGCTCAGCCTTTGGGCTCTGGGTCAGGATTATTTCTGCCACATGTTTCTGCCCATTCCACAGTCATGATGCTCAAAAGTTCACTAAGAAAGAGCTCCTGGAATACTGGAGCTGGAACTCAAAAACAGTCTTAGCATGTGTTCTTCCAAAGCCTTCATCATACCAAAGGGGTGACCCAGAGAGGGCAAGAACAAGTGAAATGTCACGCAGTAAGTTGCTGATGGAGAAATGGACCAATGCCTCTCCTGCTAACTTCAGCGTGGCCAAATGTGGGGGGTGAGCAGGATGAGGTCAGCAGGGTCCAGGTTTGTGTAGGGCACAGCAGACAGACCAAGGAGAGTGACATTATTCCTGTGGGCACTAGGAAGATACTGGAGGGACACAGGTTTGTGCTCTGCAAAATGCTCCAGTGAAGGAAGGATAGAAGCACAAGATCCTTTGGTGGCTGCTGTCCAACGACCTCCCACCCAACTGCCGGAAGGCATGACAGTATTATTCTAACCCAGGAGCCACAAATGCTGGCACACAGCTGTGCGCACTCACCCGGACGCCAGTGATGCCAGGAGGGCCGGGGGGCCCGTCCTCGCCCTTCAGTCCCTCTTGGCCCTTCTCGCCACGTTCACCGTCAGGCCCGGGGTCACCCCTGTCCCCCTGGGGTGGAAAGACACGAGGAAGGAAGAGAGAGAATAAATTAGTCACTAAGTCCATCAGAGGTGCCAAACCTCAGGGCTCCATTGGGATGTCCAGAGCCGACCAGACCCTGGATTCCCCTGACGGCTCAGCCAAAAGGGTCAGCCTGGCACAGACAGCATGCGGCACATGACATCGTCCAGGGGCCCTGCCTTAGGCCAAGGAGCGGGCCAATCAGAGGGAAGAGAGGATCTCAACCACGCCCACCCTGTGGAGAGGAGGGACAGGCTGGAAGGCCGAGATGCTTTCTCTCCAGCCCTGTAGACACACTGGGAGAAGAAGAGCCTTAAAAAGCTTAAGGAAATTTTTATAAAGGAAAAATTCAGCCGATTCAGCCTCCCGGAACAAACCCTTTCCATGTTTCTGAGTTGCATTTTCAACGCTTGTTTACACAAAACCACTTACAACAAGTAAAAAGTAATAGCTTCAATGGCTACATACCAGGCTCAGAGCGCTAGAACAACTGTTCCAAAGCAATGAAATTAGTTAGTAAATTTAGCTTTAAAGGCTTAATCCAGTTGGACTGCACGTCTCCATCTATTGTTTTTTTTAAATGTCTTACTCCATTTACTGCGGGTACGCGCTCCCTTTGCTGTCTGCTCCACACAGCTCTCATTTTCACTGGCTGCAATACATTCCCTCTGTTGGGTGGGTGGCAGTGAATGCTTACACAGCACTTGTCATTTCAGGCCGTGTTCTAGCAGGCCGGGCTGTGCCAGGATGGGGCTCTTGCCCTCGGCCCCCGTGAGCAAAGCTGGTGCAAGGGCTGCAGGATGGGCAGTGGGTGCGGGGAGGAGCAGGGCAGCAGGAGCCTGTGGCCGGTCTGCAGGTGGCTGAGCTGTGACTGGAGAGAGAAGCCCCTGGGGAAAGCGTATGAAGCCACGGGTGGGAGGAAGGGGTGGGTGGAGGAGCAGGCTTGGAAAGGCAGAGAGCATCTTTGCCAGTTTTGTTTTCTGGCGCCACACTTTACGAGGGACGCTGACAGACTGGTGTGGGTCCAGCAGAAAGAGCAGGGTGCACAGGGCAAGCAGTGGGAGCCTGGGAGCCAGAACACTGAGAGCAGTCTGCAGGCCGGTCGCGCCAGGGCCCCAGGCTCTGGGGGTAGGCAGCTGGGGCCCAGGATGGCTGGAGCAGTTTCTAGCTCTGGTCCGAGAGGATGCCCCAATGAGTAGGTGTGGGGGGCGATCCAGAGATGACACAGCTGAGGGAGGCAAGAGCCAAGCTGGGGTGTGGGCCGGTGCAGAACAGATCTGGGCACCAGGAGAGGGTCGAGCAGGTGGGTCTCTGAAAACCCTTCCCACTGAGATGCTCAGATTCCAAGCCCAGCCTGGCACGGAGACAGGGCTGGCCCTGACGATCCTCCTGTGGATGCTCTTGGCTCCAGAATTCCCGTTCTGGCCTGTTATCCTGGCCACCTGCTCTCCTCGCCCTCAGAGGTGGGCAGCCTGTTCCAGGTGGCTGGGCTGGCTTTCTGCGAGGGGCCCGAGCCAGGGCCCTGCAGGGACACTGGCTCCAAGAACTGCCCAGACCCCCAGAGCCTGGGTTCCCACATACCCAGTGGTGGGTCCCATGCAGAAAGGGCTCCGGGGGTAAAGGACCAGGGTCCCAAAGTCCAGGACATCTGTCAGTGCTCAGAAGAGCATTTACAAGTTGCCCAGCTCAACCCTCGATATTTACAGATGGGGAAACTGAGGCCCAGAGAGAGGTAGAGACTTCCTAACACCACATGTGAGTTCACAGCAGAGCACAGGTAAGACCCTGGGTTCTGGTTCTTTTCACTCCAAGGTTCTCTGCTCAGGGGACAATATCTCCTTCCCCGCTATTGGATTCAGATCTCAACAGCTGTTGACTTGGGCAAGTTTCCTCATTTGCAAAATAAGCATCAAAGGGTTACTGTGGGGAGTGAAGGAGATAATCCATGTAAATAGCTTAGCATAGCATCTAGTGCCCAAGCGCTGGATAAACGTGAGCTATTAGCAGGAATCCCCATCATGGTTGCCACCATCAGCTGGTCGTCAGCAAACTTAAAATAATCAGCATAAACGATAAAGTGCTGTGCATGTCTGAGAGGCTGTTTTCACCATGAAGGTGATGCTTGGACGAATGCCGTAAAGGGAAATAGATTCTCTCCTGGAGTCACTCAAGGACCCAGGAAGATGCTGTGCATGCGTGCTAAGTTGCTTCAGTTGTGTCCGACTCTTTGCAACCCCATGGACTGTAGCCCATCAGGCTCCACTGTCCATGGGATCCTCCAGGCAAGAATACTGGAGTGTGTAGCCATTCCCTTCTCCAGGGGATCTTCCCGACCCAGAGATTGAACTAGGTTCTCCTGCACTGCAGGCAGATTCTTTCCCATCTGAGCCACCAGGGAAGCCCAGACACCACACATCTGCACGACTACTCCAGCCCTAAGTAGAAGTGGCTTTGGAGGGAGTGGAAGAGGAAGCAGTAGGGCCCAGGAGCCATCACAAGTGAGCGGCAATGACTGTGTGAGGCACCCAAGCCTGGACGGTCCCCTCCCACCCCGCCTCAGCAGAGATTCCAAGGAGATGACAGGTGACTGCCCAGAAGTGAAGGAGGCCCCCACACACCATGCCTTGGTTTCCTCATCCATCAGATGGAGGCGGTAGTGAATCCAGCTCGGAGGGTTGCTGGGAGAATTAAATGGGTTAATTCATCTAAAGCTCTGAAGGCAGGTGACGCAAGCGCACTGAGTGTGCAAAGCATTTTAGCCAGAATGCTCGTCAGCATCATCGCAGTCCATGCAGGCACTTGTCAAAGAGTGTGGAGAGGCCATCAGCTGCTCTGGGTCTCTGGAGCCAGACCCTAGGATGCAGCAGGGCTCCAGGTGAGAGAAGGCAGACAGATGGCAGACAGGGAGTGCTCTCAACCTTTCAGGCAAAAGGCAGGCAGATGGGGAGCCAGCCAGGGGCCTGTCAACTAGGCATCCTGGGCACAGGGCAATGCAGGCCCAGAGAAGGGGGTGCTTATCTGAGGTCATAGGAGAATCAGCGGTGACCGAGGGAATCCTGGGATGTGACACTTGGAAGCCGGGGCTGGGCAGCTGACAGGTCAGCCCTGGGGAAACCCACCTAACAATAGTTCAGGGCTAGGTCAGGGGTGAGGGCCAGGGACAAGCCAGGTCTGGAGGTGGGGACTGGAAGGTCAGAGAGCAATGCCCACCTGCCCTGGGGTTTGGGGGAGCCCCGCCTTAAGGCCCCAGCATCTGTGGCTGACAGATGAATCTCAGCAGCAGGGCTGAGATGGGCCCACATGCTTTGGTGCCAATGAACCCTGGGTTTGAATTTTGGATTTTCACTCACAGCCATAGACTCTGGATGAATACACCTCAGCCTGAGACTCAGTCTCTTCACCTTTATAATGGGCGCATGGTGCAGAGAGGTAGCCAGGTCTTGGGTCTTGCCTGTGCCAGTTACTAGCATGTGTCCTTGGACATGTTGTTTAACCTGAGTCTCAGTTTCTCATCCAAAGACAGGACTTACCCCATAGCACTGATCTAAGTGATACATAAAAAGGGCTTAGTGTAGTCCCTGATAGCCTGTGACTAGTCCTCCAGAAATAGTGGCTATGAGTCATGGGTGGTGATTACCCACATCAAAGCTGCTGGCCTGGTACTACCTTGAGCCAAGAGAAGCTGCAGTTTTGAGGAGAAAGGCGGCAGTGAGGAGCAGAAGGTGGGGTTGGTTCCCAGTCCCACCTGAGCAGGGAAGGGAACGGGCGCTAGGCAGGGCTCACCCCTACACAGCCTGCACGCCCTAGAAGCTGGAGGACTGATCTCAGAGTTTATGAGAACACAGTGCTTCTGGGGGAATACCTGGGTATTGGGAGGGTAGTGGGGCCAGAGGCAGAAGGTGGCTCCAGAATATTCCCTCTCCCCCAGACTCTGCACCAGAAGGACACTTACCTTCAGCCCGTCAGGCCCTGCAGGGCCACTGTCGCCCTCGAGACCTGGCTCTCCCTGGAAAAGGCAGTGGGAAAGATGAGGAAACATTATTGGGGAGGGGGTTCCAGTGTGGTTTTATTTCCTCCCCCTCACTAGGGCAAGACCCCAACCCCTGATCTCCTCTAGCAGTGCCCTGGAATGCCTGGCACAACAAGGAAGCGGTGGAAGAGACCCCCAAGCCACAACCTGTTCTGTGTGCAGGGCGGGGTGAGGAAGGGGCTACCCAAGATATAAAGGACTGGTCCTGTGTTCAGGGGGGCTGGTTGGACTGGGGAGGTGAAGCCTACTGGTTGAACAGGCTTTGATGTCAGACCTCGATGCCCCCACTGGGCTTCCCATGCATGGTGGTCTGGCCACAAGCAACCTCCGTAGCCCCCATGGGTGTCTGTTTCCTCATCTGAAAATGGGTTCCTCTGAGAGTTAGTATAAGATGATAGCTGTTAGATATATTCTTCTGGGAATTTGGAGTGAGCCCTCATAAAACACCTTGGTGGAATCCCATTTCTCAGATGAGGAAAATGAGGTCATTTCTCAGACTTTATTGCCAGCAAGTTTGGGAATGATACGAAGTCCCTGAATCTACATCTGATCTTCAGCCAGGTTCCCTGCTTGCCTTTCTAGCTCCAGAGATGCCTCTGGATGCCTCAGGTCTCTAACGGGCTGTCAGACAAAGTTTGTGTCTCCCTCTGCTTGTTCATGGCTGTTCAGCATCTGAGCTGGAAGGGGCCTCAGAAGTCATCAAATGCAGGAATGGCACAGACGGGACAGGTGTGTAGATTCCATCCTTGATGCGTCCATGGCAGGCATCACTAATCCACCTACTAGCCATTCCTCCTGTGTCCCTAGCAGACATCACTAATCGATCTACTAGAATGAGGCTCCATGAGGACAGGGCCTTCTGTTACTCATTGCTGTGAAGTGCCTGGCACACAGTGGGCATCAAGTGAGTGAACGTCATGCTCTTTCCTAGTGAGCCCAGATGGAGCCTCAGGATCCTGCTTAACATGGCACTCCAAGAAACTACACTGCTCAATTTTCATTGACAGACAAGACTGCCATCTGAAGGCTTCAAGCTCCACACTCATCCTCTAGTGCCCTGTGGCCTTCTCCTCTCATTTCATGTCTTAGCTCGGCTTGTGGAGCCTCTTAACTTTAGGCAGCAAGTAACAGGAGGCATGGGGAAAGGGACAAATGAGAAACTGGATTAGGTGCTCGGTGCCCGCATTAACCAAGCCCTCCACACTAACTCTCCCTCCCTCCTGTGCCCCACCTTCCCCATCCATAAGGCGCTAGAAGATGCTTGCTCTGTATCCCTCACAGCACCCCAGAGTCCACATTTAGGCAGAGACCTTATAAATCAAGCACAGGGCATAGACAGATGGGTGCAGAGATGTCCCAAAGCTTCTCAAAGGAAGCCAAGCTCTGTGGGTTTCTTTTGGTAAAAGGAAAGATAACCTTCCACATAACTTTCCATGGGACAGGGTGATAATAGGTGTTTATCAATAAAAACACTTGGAGGTCAAATAAGTTTGGAGATTCTGGATCCCCCCCAAAGAACCCCCAATTTCTTGGTTGCAGGCCTTCTCAGAGCCTTGAAAATGCTATCGCTAATGTGTAAGATGGAACACCGGGCATGCAGTCTCAAATATTTTGACCACAGAATGTTTTTCTCTGCAGAGCACCTCTGAATTGCAGAAATGCTGGCCTGCCAAGAGGCAGGCTGGATGCGGCTGTAGAAATTCATGGTCTGTTTGTACAGTTGAGGAAACTGAGGCTCAGGGAAGCTGAGTAAAGCGCCCCCCCCCCCACAACTAAATACCAGGGGGGATGGGGAGGGGGACTTTCCAGGGAGAATCAATTTGCTTTGACTTACCCGCTGCCCAATGAGGCCCTGCTCCCCAGGGATGCCAAGAGGCCCAAGGTCACCCTAGAAGAAGCCAAACACAAGTTCATGGGTAGGAAGGTAGGACCAGCCCCAGCTTTTACCCCACCTTCTTATTCTCATCGGTTCTGATGTGGGGAAGCAGGGGTGGGACCAAGGAAGTTCCTTCTTCTCCAGGACCAGAGAGAAATGGTGAAATGCCAACCAGAGCGCCTGTTCCCAGTAAACCCTGGGCATGCTCAGGACCACCACCACCACACCACTATCACAGCTTAGCTCACACGTACGTAGCCCTGCTTCGGTGCTTTTTTATTTCACACAGCCAATTGTCAGAACAGCCCTGCCGGGGAAGAAGTCTGCTTTTACAAATGGGCAGACTGAGTAACTACTGGTTAAGTAACCAGACCAAGCTCATGAAGCTACTGACAGCTTTAGGATCCAAACCCAAGCAGTTGGTTTGGCTCCAGGGAGAATCAGATGCAGAGACGGCAGCATCTTTATCCACCCTGAGAGCCCTGGAGAGAAACCCAAACGAGGAAGAGGCCCTAAATGAACCAGAGTGCATGTCCCTTGTGCATGCGTGTGGGCTTAGTCACTCAGTCCTATCTGCCTCTTTACAATCTGCCAGGCTCCTCTGTCCGTGGGATTCTCCAGGCAGGGATACTGGAGTGGGCTGCTATTTCCTCCTCCAGGGAATCTTCCTGACCCAGGGATCAAACCTGCTTCTCCTGTGTCTACTGGCAGGCGGAGTCTTCACCAGTGAGTCACCTGGGAAGCCCTACACATCCCCCACCTCCTCCGAAAGATCGCAGAAGGGTCTCTCTCATCTGGAGGGTTTCCAAGCTACACTCTCTCCCTGCTGGTGTCTGCGGGCACAAGGAGGAGGCGGAGCTCTGAGTTCCCCAGCCCCATCCCAACCAGAACCGTCCCATTTCTATCTGTTTTATACATGGGGTAGTTTCTTGCATTATTCAAGCAAAAGATTCTGAAACTAAGTCAAGACTGAAGGTTCCAGGCCTCCGAGTCCTGCACAGGGAGCGGGTCCTCTTCCAAGAGCAGGGCGGGGACGGGGTCTCCGGAGAGCCCAGGGATCAATGGGCTCCTGTTTCCCCGCAGGTAATGAGGGGCACCGGTGCTGAAATGCAGATGCTATCACGGGAGGCCAGGAGGTCCGGCCGCCCCAGCATGGGGCAGGTGCCAGAGAAAACACTGCCAGACCCGGGGGGGCGGGCAGCAACGGGGGCTCCAGGCCGGCTGGGCCATCTGCTGTGGCCATGGCCAGGCCCTACTCCCCAGTCAGGAGCACAGAGAACCCATTATCCCGGGCACAAGAAAGGCTCATTTCTCTTCCACGGAGAGGACGTGGCCGCCAGCTGGGAGTTGGTTTCAGCAAGTTATTTTTCTCTTCTTTCATCCCCCCTTACCTTCATGCCAGCTTCCCCAGGAAGGCCTGGTTCTCCCACTGCACCTGGTGGTCCCTGCAAAAAAAGAAAATGGCATCGGTCTATTCTCAAGCAAGGGCTGGTCCCTGGTTGCCAAGCGAAGAGATAACTGAGGCAGGCTCAGAGAAGGCAAGGGATGAGCCCGAGGTCGCACACCCTGAGATACCCAGAGTTGGGAGCAGGCTGCAGCCTTTGGGAGCTTAGAACTGGGAGCAGGCAAGGGGCGGGGTGGTTGGGCCCAGACTGCGGAGCCTTGGGGCTACCCAGAGGCTGCCGGAGCTCTCGCCCCCCCTACGAGTGTGGTTGACCACAGTAGGAGCCCTTGGCAAGCGTGGAGAGGAAAATTTCATGATTCACATAACAACAGGGGAGGGAGCCAACAGATGCTGCATTCAGGGCTGAGGGATTCCAGCCTTTCCTTCTCTCTGCAGCCGGGCCAGGAAGACAAGGGTGGGAGAGATCCCCGAGTTATCATCATTAGCATGGCCACAGCCCCTGCATAAACCCGAGGGCTCAGTTTTCTCCCCTGGAGAAGGCAGGGGTGCCTGAGACCCCTTCCAAGCTCCTTGCTGCAAGACCTTAGGAGGACTGCTTCCGTAGTCAAACCTCTGCGTCAGGGTGAAGTCCCAGCAGGGTCAGGGTTGGGGTATTGCTGCTCTCCAGGGTGCCGAAAAAGAGGCACTGCCAACCCCCCATGAGGGTCCTGGCATGCCTGCATCCCACCCGCTGCCCCTGGGCTAGGGAGCCCACCTCCACCCCCTCTGGTGTCATAGTGGATCTACCCTCTATGCCAAGACGTCTCCCCACCAGTGCCTGTAGGACAGGACAGGCAGCCCCGAGGAGAAGGGCCGGGAAGGGCTGATTCCTCCCCAGCAAGACCACGGGGCGAACATGGGCCTTCGGCACTCACCTTGGGTCCCATCTCTCCTGGAGGGCCAATTGGCCCCTGGGGTCCCTGAGGGCCCTGGAAGATAGACAGACACACAGACAGTCGGGAGAAGCCAGCCTGGGCCCTCTTTGGGGTCCGAGATTTGGTAGTGCAGTCTGGAGGGACGGGTGAGGGAGAGGACCATGGAACCCGGGACTCTGCGGGTCTCACCCCCACCACTGCCTCACTGACGACCCTGGTCCTGAGCTCCCTCCTCACCTGCATCCAGCGTCACCCCCCGCCCGTCCGCCGGCACCCTCTGCTAGGCATCTGCGAAGACTCAGCGCAGCCTCCCCTGCTCAGAACCCCCGGCTGGCTCCTGAGCCTTGCTCACTCTGTGCCCTCGGCCTGGAACACCATTTCGCCCACACGTTGTTCCAAAGGGCATCTGCCCGAGCTTCTAGATGTGGGCTCCTCAGCCTCCAGTCCTCCCCCTGTCCCCTAGATCCCTCCTCCCAAGCTCCAAGACGGCGCTCTCTGCATCACCATCAGTACAGCCACAGCCTCTTCATGGGGCTCCCCAACACAGGGTATACCTTCCCCCAAAACCCACCCTTCCAGGGAGATCTCCTGAAAGGTCCCCTCTGTTTCCAGCCCCTCAACAGCTTCCTGTTGCCTCTGGGACAAAGAACTAACTGCATCCGCGGCTCTGGGTGACTGGCCCCTGTGACCTCGTCCTGCCTTCCCCGAGGTCCGGCTCTGACCGCACCAGCCATGCTGGACTCCGCAGGGCCCCGAGAGCGCGTCAGTTTATCCGCATCCCTTCTCCCTCCTTCACAGACCTGAAGGGCTCTGTTCCCTCCACTTTGCACTGTGCTGAGCAGTCTCTACACACTTCCTTATTTCATCCTCACAGAGGACGGCAAGACAGGAACCACTATTCCCATCTTACTGGCAAGAAAACCGAGGCTGGAAGGCAGGGAGCTAGACCCAATCTAGAGCCCCGAACCTCCCCAGCCAGTGTTCTCTCCCTGACCCGAGGCCTATCCTTGGGGGTGGTAGAATCCCGCACTGCCCCGCTCTAACCCCTCTCCTGGTCTCATCACAGAACAACACCCCTGCCCCCACCCGGCAGGTGAGGACGCCGCTGAGACCAGCTGGCCAGGGCCAAAGATGCAAAGAGCGAGGGAACAGGCACTTACCGGTTCTCCTGGGAGGCCTTTGGCGCCTGGGGGACCAGAGGGACCCGGGAGGCCCTGCAGGGACAAAGCAAGCTGACCTCAGTCCCTCCCTGGCCTCCTGCGCCCTGCCTGGCCCCTGGGTCTCAGTCAAGCTGTCGTATCGAATGAGGGTCCTGCCACGTGACAGACGGGAGCCTGAGTCCCAGAGGGGAACAGACAGGCTGGAGGGTCTTCAGGGCAGGAGTGGGCAGCTAGAACCTCCGGGATTTCCAGAGCAGGATGAGAAAGGTGGCCAACGGGGCAGTTCCCTCCCCGCCCAGTCCCACAGAGAGACGTGCACGAGCTGGCGGTGCTACTTACAGGAAAGCCTCGCGTGCCCAAGTGGCCCCGCTCGCCAGCCACGCCCTGGAAACACACGCGGGCTGTTAGAAGCACATATCACAGAACAGGGAGCGGGGAGAGGGGCTGGCAGCTTTGGCCTCACATACCTGCTGCCCGGGCTGGCCCAGTCTGCCCTGTGGTCCTGGCGGGCCCTGCAGGAAGCCAAGCATGAGCGGGGGAGTGGGTGCCGCGGAGTACTCTTCCCTGAGAAGGGACCCTTCCTTCCATGGGAGACAGAAGGAGCCCCGGGGGTCACCGCATACACGCTCCTCCCCAGTGTGCAGGGGGGCAAACTCGGGGGAGGCTGGCCAGTGGCCAGGAGCTCTGGGTCGAAAGCAAAGGGCCCCTGCATCCCTATGGGGGTGGAAGCTGTCTCAGCCATCAGGGACCCTGGGAGGGCCTGGGGAGTCAGGGGCCAGGCCCGATTCCGCCTCGCTCTCTCTCGTCCTTGCCTCCTCTGTCGCTCTGAGGCCCCTGCATCCCTATGGGGGTGGAAGCTGTCTCAGCCGTCAGGGACCCTGGGAGGGCCTGGGGAGTCAGGGGCCAGGCCCGATTCCGCCTAGCTCTCTCTCGTCCTTGCCTCCTCTGTCGCTCTGAGGCCCCTGCATCCCTATGGGGGTGGAAGCTGTCTCAGCCGTCAGGGACCCTGGGAGGGCCTGGGGAGTCAGGGGCCAGGCCCGATTCCGCCTCGCTCTCTCTCGTCCCTGCCTCCTCTGTCGCTCCGAGGCCCCTGCATCCCTATGGGGGTGGAAGCTGTCTCAGCCGTCAGGGACCCTGGGAGGGCCTGGGGAGTCAGGGGCCAGGCCCGATTCCGCCTCGCTCTCTCTCGTCCCTGTCTCCTCTGTCGCTCCGAGGCCCCTGCATCCCTATGGGGGTGGAAGCTGTCTCAGCCGTCAGGGACCCTGGGAGGGCCTGGGGAGTCAGGGGCCAGGCCCGATTCCGCCTCGCTCTCTCTCGTCCTTGCCTCCTCTGTCGCTCCGAGGCCCCTGCATCCCTATGGGGGTGGAAGCTGTCTCAGCCGTCAGGGACCCTGGGAGGGCCTGGGGAGTCAGGGGCCAGGCCCGATTCCGCCTCGCTCTCTCTCGTCCTTGCCTCCTCTGTCGCTCCGAGGCCCCTGCATCCCTATGGGGGTGGAAGCTGTCTCAGCCGTCAGGGACCCTGGGAGGGCCTGGGGAGTCAGGGGCCAGGCCCGATTCCGCCTCGCTCTCTCTCGTCCTTGCCTCCTCTGTCGCTCTGAGGCCCCTGCATCCCTATGGGGGTGGAAGCTGTCTCAGCCGTCAGGGACCCTGGGAGGGCCTGGGGAGTCAGGGACCCTGGGAGGGCCTGGGGAGTCAGGGGCCAGGCCCGATTCCGCCTCGCTCTTTCTCGTCCTTGCCTCCTCTGTCGCTCTGAGGCCCCTGCATCCCTATGGGGGTGGAAGCTGTCTCAGCCGTCAGGGACCCTGGGAGGGCCTGGGGAGCCAGGGGCCAGGCCCGATTCCGCCTCGCTCTCTCTCGTCCTTGCCTCCTCTGTCGCTCTGAGGCCCCTGCATCCCTATGGGGGTGGAAGCTGTCTCAGCCGTCAGGGACCCTGGGAGGGCCTGGGGAGCCAGGGGCCAGGCCCGATTCCGCCTCGCTCTCTCTCGTCCTTGCCTCCTCTGTCGCTCTGAGGCCCCTGCATCCCTATGGGGGTGGAAGCTGTCTCAGCCGTCAGGGACCCTGGGAGGGCCTGGGGAGCCAGGGGCCAGGCCCGATTCCGCCTCGCTCTCTCTCGTCCTTGCCTCCTCTGTCGCTCTGAGGCCCCTGCATCCCTATGGGGGTGGAAGCTGTCTCAGCCGTCAGGGACCCTGGGAGGGCCTGGGGAGTCAGGGGCCAGGCCCGATCCCGCCTCGCTCTCTCTCGTCCTTGCCTCCTCTGTCGCTCCGAGGCCCCTGCATCCCTATGGGGGTGGAAGCTGTCTCAGCCGTCAGGGACCCTGGGAGGGCCTGGGGAGTCAGGGGCCAGGCCCGATTCCGCCTCGCTCTCTCTCGTCCTTGCCTCCTCTGTCGCTCCGAGGCCCCTGCATCCCTATGGGGGTGGAAGCTGTCTCAGCCGTCAGGGACCCTGGGAGGGCCTGGGGAGTCAGGGGCCAGGCCCGATCCCGCCTCGCTCTCTCTCGTCCTTGCCTCCTCTGTCGCTCCGAGGCCCCTGCATCCCTATGGGGGTGGAAGCTGTCTCAGCCGTCAGGGACCCTGGGAGGGCCTGCGGAGCCAGGGGCCAGGCCCGATCCCGCCTCGCTCTCTCTCGTCCTTGCCTCCTCTGTCGCTCTGAGTCTGATGGCTCACTGCCCCCACGCAGGGGGCACGCCAGCCGCAGGGAGGGCAGCCAGATGAGCTCTCAGGAGCATGTCCTGCAGCCTCTCGGGGACGCCCTGCTGTCCCCAAGGGGCCTGTTACAGAGGAGGCTGCGAGCCTGGGTTCCTGACCCAGCACCCTGGGTCAGGAGACGAGAGGAAGGGTCGGCCACGGGGGTCAGTACCTTCAGGCCCTTGGACCCCTGCTCCCCAGCTGGTCCGTCCGGTCCTCGGGGTCCCTGGAATAGGAAAAAGGGACTAGCACAGTGGACAGCAGGGGTCTCCCTTGGGCTGGGAACCAGGGGGGCGGGGCTGCCCAGAGCCTTGAGTTTTGCCCTGCACAAGCTCCACCTCCCTGCCTCCCACACACTCCCCACCCTCAGGTGGGTCAGCCATAGCAATGTGCCTGCTAACACGGCTCTGCGGAGGGCTTGGCATAGGTGGCCGCAGTCAGAGGCCCTACAGTTCTGGAGTGAGCCTGGTGGTGGTATATTTAAAACCTGTTTAAAGAAACCTTGGAGGGGGAGGAGGGTGGAGGTCAGCCAGCCAACCCATTTCACAGATTCAGAAACTGAGGGCAGAGCCAAGAGACATGTGGCCATGTCCCAGCAGCCAGGTCTTCAGACTCCATCACCTGCTCTTCGCAGAGCACATGTGGGCTTGAAGCAGCTTGTGGACCACAGTCCTTGGGGGAACCTGACAGAGGACGCCCTGGGGAGGGTCTCCACATGGTCTGATGTGTAGAGCTGCCCCCTCTCCAGCCAGATGAGCAGCTACTCTGGTCCAGCTCACATGAGGAGGGGCAGGCACAGGGCAGCTGTGGCCGGAGACTTGGGCTCAAGTCTGACCCTTGAGACCAGATGTCTGGCCCTTTGAGAACTGGCAGGCCCCTGGGGCAGGCAGACCCTCTCCTTCCCCCTCACTGCATAGATGGGAACACTGAGGCCCTGCAAGGGAGGAAATTTGTTTATGGTCCCTGGAGAAGGCAATGGCACCCCACTCCAGTACTCTCGCCTGGAAAACCCCATGGACGGAGGAGCCTGGTGGGCTGCAGTCCATGGGGTCGTGAAGAGTCGGACACGATTGAACAACTTCACTTTCACTTTCCACTTTCATGCATTGGAGAAGGAAATGGCAACCCACTCCAGTGTTCTTGCCTGGAGAATCCCAGGGACGGGGGAGCCTGGCGGGCTGCCGTCTATGGGGTCACACAGAGTCGAACATGACTGAAGCGACTTAGCAGCAGCAGCATATAAGCAGCTGGTATTCCCTGCAGGGTCCTATGGGTCCCATAGGAACACAGATGAGGGTGCCCTGGGGTCCCCCATTGAGAACAGTGTAGTGTTTGTTCTATAGAGGGCCAGAAAGGCTGTGCTGGGTGTTGGGAAGACAAGGAGGAGGAGGCTGTGCAGGAGGCTGACCCACCCTAGCCTGGGAGTGTGGGGACCAGCCACATAAGGGGCCAGGGAGGCATCTCAGGGGAGGGGATATGAGGGGTGAGAAAACAGAAAACCGAGAAATCATTTAAATATTGGACAAGGATATTTTCAATTAATAACGGAACAGAAAAAGTTATGATTCCTCTTATCAGCCACCTGGGGCTCCCCATGTTTCAACCCCACGTTGCAGCCTTAAATAGTGCTCACTGATTCAATCAACCTGGGCCAGGAGAACACGGGGCTGGGAGTCTTTGCTCCTGGGGTCTCAGGCCTCCGCCCAGAACTACCAGGGGTCCGGCAGTGGGCACCATGCTGCTTAGGAAATGCTGTGTCTAGGGGAAAGTGACAGCTCCTGATTGAGCCTCAGTTATACCATCTCTGAAATGGGAATAAGAAATCGCTCCCTCAACGCAGGAAGTAATACACACGGGCAGCTTAGCACCTGGCATATAGTTAAGTTCTCAGAAGATCTGATTTTGCCAAAGGGAGGCTGCAGGCTCCCTAGGTGCAGGGGCACAGAGCACTGGCTGTCCTGGGGAATCTGGATTCAGGTCCCTCCTTAGTATAGGCAGCTTATATCAGACTGAGAATGTTCATGGGTTCAAGATGACGTTTGATTAGAGGGTGTGGGTGCAAGTCCTGGGGTTGCTGCTGGCTTGCTGCGTGACCCCAGGAAGCCCCTTCCTTTCTCTGGGCCTCGGTCTCAGGTGGATATTGTCAGACCACCTGTTGGACTTAATACCCCTGATTCATAGACAGGGGCCTGGTAGAGATGGAGATAGATGGAGATGCGGGGCATCCCAGGTCATGAGAGTCGGGTCAGAGGCTGAGCTGATGGCAGGTCTCTGGGTCCTCCTGAGAGATGGCTGCTGAGCCCCGACCTCTGTCTCTACCTGAGCATAAATCTTCCTGGAAAGGGACAGCTCTAGGAACAGAGCGGAGGCCCAGAGGTGTTGATGGCTTGGCCTGAATCACACAGCACCCTCTTTACTCTGGGAATCAAAGTCTCTCTGTGAGAAAAGTCATGAGATCTATAACAATAATAGCATCAACAGCAGCAGCAGCAATCATAGTGAAAGCTATTTTTCTCATTTGACATATAAGCAAATAGCCTGTGGTGGCCCTGATAGTAGATGGAGGAACCAGCATGTGACTCTTAAGTCAGCTAGATGCCCATTTTTTCCCACCATTACCTGTCTCTATTTATCAATGAGGGAGTAAGTTCCCCATCACAGGGGGTATGCGAGTCAGGGCCAGGGCACAGTGTCCCAGGAGATAATATCTAAAATCCCTCTTACCTGGGAGGCACTGCTATCCTCTGGGAGCACCTGGGGTTGGCTGGGGGAAACAGGACCAACCTTTCTTGTCTAGGGAGAGGAGAAAGTAGAGGGGCCCCAGCCACCCCCGTCCCCAGTTCCCCTGTGCAGAGGGAAGCGAGCCTAACCCTGCTCTGGGCCTCTCTGCAGTTCGTCCTATGTCCTGCGGCTGCCCCAAACCTGCCCCTTCCTTCCCCAGGGGAACACTAAACACGGGAGGCAGGTCCGGGTTTCAGAGCCACAAATTGGTTCCCGTGTAGCCACTTCCCAGGAAGAGGTTCGCAGTCACAGCTGGGGCTGCCTCCCAGCCAGACTGGGTTTCTAGCTTGGCGGGAAGGAGCCCCAGGGGACAGAAAATCCAGCCAATCACAGTTCTTGTGAATAAGGGATGAAAAGGGAGTGAACATGTGCCCAGCACTCGCTCCCAGCACTCGCTACGCACCGCTGCCCTTCCAGGTGCTTACCATGGGAGGTGCTGGCAAAGTAAGTCTATCCCCACGGCCATCCAAAGAGGTCAGTTCTGCTGCTGACCCCTTTTTATAGAGAAAAAACTGGGGCTTCAGGGAGAGTAAGTCAGTTGTCCAAGGTCAGAGGGGAGGAGGAGCTGGGATTTGAGGCCAGATCTGCTGAGCTCTCAGCCCCACTCACACAAGCAGAGCTTGGGGCAGGACGTTTAGACATGGTCTTCTACAATATCCTGCCCCAGGCTCTCGTTGCATACTCCCTGAGACAGGAGTTCATCCTCACACTGATGAACAGTGACCGGTTAGTAGTGGGAAAAAATTGGGCATTTGGCTGACCTGAGTTCAAATTCTGGCTCCTTACAACTTCCACCTAATGTCAACCACTGAGCCTTACAGACAAACTGGTGTGAGGGACTTACCTGGTGGTCCAGTGGCTAAGACCCTGAGGTCCCAATGCAGGGGGCCCAGGTTTGATCCCTGGTTGGGGAACTAGATCCTACATGCCACAGCTAAAGATCCTGCATGCCTCAAAAAAAAAAAAAGACCTGCATCTGGCAAAGAATGCCACACTAAGACCCAGCGCAGCCAAAGAAATGGGGGTGGGGGGGCAGCAAGGGGGGAAAGAAGCTGGCGTGAGATCTCAGAGCTGGTCACTGGAAAGCCTGAGATGTGCCCCTATGTGACCCCAGAGCCCCCACTCTTTGTGGCCCATGGACCCAGACCCTGATCAGTAGCTCTACCAAGATCTGAGGGTCTGAGGCCCCATCTGGGCCCTGGACTTGACCTCTTAGTGCTCATTCTTCCCCAGGCAGGGGGGTAGGAGAGTCAGAGGGTGGGGGAGACAGGGGGTGGGTAGCGGGGCCCATCCTACACACGGGCAGAGAAGCAGGCAGGGCCTTACAGACGTCCAAGCTCATTTCCCAGAGTGTATTTGGGGAAACTGAGGCCCAGAGGGCAGAAAGGTCTTCCCAGGGTCACAGGGCAAGCCAGGAGCTACACAGGGAGCTGGTACAGACTTGAGCTCTTTAACTGACTCAGCGGGCACCTCTCCAGTCCCTGCCCGCCCTCAGGAACCACGTTATCTACAAAGTGGCCAAACGTGGCCTGTCAGGCAGGGGACCCAGGGCACGGGGTCCCACAGGTTTTGCATTTCCATCAAACCCAGCCGGGGGAGGGGCTCATGTTCCTGAAGTTCCCCTTCCAGCCCTGGACATTCTCTGTTCGGGAACGTGGGTTTTCTCAAGGAGGAGATACCTTCTTCAAGCCACCACTGGGAACGACAGTCAGACGGCTGCGGGGAGCTCAGTGAGCTGACGGGGGCCTGAGCCTATGCATCTGGCAGGTTGTGGGAGGCAGGGCAGCTCCCCCTCCTGGTAACCTGGTGTCCTGGGGCAGGACAGGATGTGCAGAGGGCCAAGGTGGAACCTGGCTGCCAACAGGCCTCAGCCACTGGCAGAGACCAGGATATGGGAGAGGGAGAGGCCCCGCCGGGTCCAAGGAATGCCTCTAAATCTCACCTCTCGCGGGCCGACTGCTCAGACCATCTGGTTCAGGGGAAATTGTTCAACTACTTGAAATTCAGCCAAGGAGAGAAGAACTGTCTCAGATCCCCTATATGAGCCTGAACGTAGGCCTGGGCTGCCTGCTCCACCCGTGCCATCCTGTTTCCTTTTCACAAAGCTGCTGTCCTGGCACCTGAACGTCCACCGGGGGCAGGAAACCGCTCCATCAGCCCTCCCTGCCTCCAGAAGACTCAGATTCCCTGGGTTCAAAACACAGTTCTGCCACTTTCTAGCTGTGCAACCTAAGGCAAGTGACTCATCCTTTCTGTGCCTTACTTTCCTTTTCTGTACGATGATAATTAAGAATAGCACCTATTCTTAGTTATAGGGTAGTGTTAATGATTAGCTGAGTCAAGGCATGTGATCAATAGTGTTCGGCACAGAGTAAGTATTAGTGATCACCTCTGGCTCCCATGTTCAGGCCAGCCCTGTGTAAAACTTTCTGTGGCTCCCCACTACCCTTGAAGCACTGCTCATAGGTCTAGCTACGGTGTTTGAGGCCCACTTGGTTTGATACCTTCTGATTCTTGGTTTCATTTCTCTCCCTGGCTGCTCTGTTGAATGGGGATTCCTAAACATGCCACTATAGCTCACCCTAGGGCTTCCTCTCTGTCTGGAACCTGGCATCCGTTCAAGCATCTGCCTCTGTTTGAAGGGTTCCCTGGTACCCTGGCCAGGTGAGATGCCTCCTCTGGGCTCCCAGGCTGCCATCAATGTGGTAACGACCCTGTACTGTCTGTTTGGCCTTGAGGGAGCCACAAAGCCAAGCAGGTGTCCTGCGGGTGCTATTCTCTTGATATCTTCAGAACTGCTAACAATGGCTGGCCCCTAGGAGGTGCCTAGTTGCAGGCAAACGAATGCATGAACAAACACAAGAACAGGCAAAGCACTGGCCACAGAGTCCCTCTGTGCCCACTGGGTGGCAAGGCCTGGTGCTCAGAAGTGGGCTGCGAAAGATGAGTGGGGTTCCCACAGCCAGCAGGAGCCCGGAACCCTGGCTGGTGCTCTGCAAGTCATAGATCTCAGGTCTGGGGTGGCGGGGGAAGGATCAGGAGGGGTCTCTCCAAGCAGGTGGCCCCTGCCAGCATCTGCCCCAGGGGGCTGGGCCCCACTTACCCGGCGTCCCTTTGCTCCCCGCATGCCTGGTGGGCCTCGAGATCCTGGAGGACCCTGTGGGAGGAGAAAGAGTCTGGAGAAGCCCCCTTTTCAGAAGCAAGTGCAACACCGAAGAATCTGCCTGCAATGCAGGAGACTTGGGTTCAATCCCTGGGTCGGGAAGATTCCCCTGGAGAAGGGAATGGCAACCTACTCTAGTGTTCTTGCCTGGAGAATCCCATGGACAGAGGAGCCTGGGTGGGCTACAGTCCACGGGGTCACAAAGAGTCGGACACAACTGAGTGAGTAACACTGGGGGACAACACGGAAGGCTGGGCTTGCAACCTCAGACAGGCGCTGCTCGGGAGCGGCCCCTCCTGAGCCCAGAAATTCCAGAAAGAAACACTATGCACTTAGCCCATCGGGAAGGAAGGTCTGTCGCGCCCACCTTCCCCGCCTCCACCACCAGAGAATCGGCCAAGGAGCTGCCACCTTGAGCAGGAGTCAGTGCCTGGGAATCCGGTAGCCGGAGAAGGCATCCTGGATGGATGAGCCACTTCCTTCTTTATCTCAAAATCAACAACCAGAAGCTAGGAAGACATTCCTGACCAAAGCCTCCTCCAACGCCCACTTCACTCTTTCTCTCTCCATCAGTCAGAAGAATATGGGGGGCCCCACGTCCTGTTTCCGACCCTGACCTCGAATACTACCTAAAAGCATCCAGAAGGCTCTGAAGAGGACAAAAAGAGCCAGAGGGCAAGGGGCAAGAGGGGGCAGAGCCAGACCAGGGCCCTGCGGTGAGGGCGGGTGAACTGGATGCAGGCATGGGGTGGGGAGGGGAGAGGCTGAGCAGAGAAGAGGGGGTTGGGGAGGCATAAAGGAGGGAGCAGGGTCTGGCCCAGGGAGGAGGCCCGGGTTATCGCGGCTTGATGAAGGGATGACAAGAAGAGACAGGGAGGGAGGAAAAGAAAACACATGGCTGGCCTTGTTCCTGGAATTCCCAGCACCTGGCCCAGAGCAGGCCGATGACAAGGATTTTGGGAAGGATCGGAGAGGACAGGACAGGAAGGGAGGGATGGAAGGTGCAGAGAGGAAGCAGTCCGCCTCGATGCCTGGTTCTTCCCCGCCCCCAGCCCCTCCGAGGTGCCAGGCCCAGCTGCACATGTCAGGCTGTCAGGCTGCCTCTTCACCCCATGCAGGCCGAGGACCCCTCCAACGGCTGAAAGAGCCTCCCAGCTCAAGCGGCGATTCTCAGGCTGGGCGTGCTCCCTTTCCAAGAAGAGGTGGCCTCACCCCCCTCTGAATACCAGGGAGAGGCCCAGCTCAGTTTGGGGCCTCAGGAAAAACTCTTCTTTCTGCTCTCTCTTTCCCAGGCCTCAAGGGGTGCAGACCCTCCAACTGCTCAAGAGCCAAGGTGAGGGGCTGGATTCCAACCTGACCCCTTGTCAGCACAGCAAGCAGGGTGTGGACCCAGGCTTGGCCCCATAAAAAGAGAGACTGGACTTCTGGATGATGAAGAACATGAAGCCTGGGTGAGAACCACAGACCATTTTATAGAGGGATCGCAGACTGCAAAAGGCATGCAATTGCATCACTGGGAAACTGCAGGAGCCAAGTCTTAACTCAGAGGTCGTAGGGTGCTTAAAAGAGCAGACTGATCCACCAGAGAACTAGGTTCAAATCCCGACTCTGCCACTTACTAATTGTGTGGCCTTTCGCAAGTGGCTTACCCTCTCTGGGCCTCAGTTTCATCATCTATAAAATGGGTATAAGGAGAGTCTTTGCCTCCTAGAGTTGCTAGGAAGATGAAATGACTTGGAGGTCCTCAGTAAAGGGTCGCTGTCAGCTCTCTCAAAGGGGAAAGAGGTCAGAAATGGAGGGACCCAGGGCCTGACTGCTCCCCCTCCAAATAATGAAGACAGTAACCCTGGCTGACTTCAGTGGACTGTAGGAGAACATGGATGTTACAGAGATTGGAAAAGTGAAAAATGTCAATCAGATATGAACAGTGTTATCAGAAATGTCAGTTTCATAGTAATAGCCTTACTAATAATAGTAGAAATTATCATATCTAACAAATAGGGATAGTAATTATTATTGTTCCCATTCATTAAGCACTTGCTATATGCAGGTAGTTTGCTAAACATTACATCATGCATGGTATCATTTATGTCTCACAACAGTCTCATCATGAAGGTGGTATTATGCCGACTCACAGATGGGGAAACTGAGGCTCAGAGATGCTATAAATGTTGCCAACAATCACACAGCTAACAAAGAGGGAGCCAGGATTTGACTCAAAGTGTCTGATTCTAAAGCTTTCTGGACCTCCATGCCATCCTGCTTCCCCAGGGGCACTGGGGGCAGCTGGCTGTCCAAAGAGACCCAAGTGTCCATCCCCACTGGAAGGTCAGTGGCAACCTTGGGATGTGAAGGCAGCAACTCACTGTCTGACCTTGCTAAGTCAGAGGCAACCCACTGAACAGATGGAAGCACTGAGGAAATGGGATGGGGCGGGATCAGAGAGCCCTGAAGGCCTGCTGCTTCCTTCTATGTACTGGCCTGAAGGCCCTGCTGTTTTCTCATCTCCTCCTGGCCTTCCTTTTTGTCCCATCAATTCTTTTCAGACTTTCCTCCTCCCATTGGACAGATGGGCAGACTGAGGCTCAGGGAGGTCCAGACCCAGCAACACAGCTGGGACTTGATGATACAGCCCCAGCATCCTTGCTCTCTGACTTTGGCCCTGCCCTGAGCACCTCCCATACTCCCGAACTCCAAGCACACCCTCTCCAGGAGTATCTGCTGGGCCTGGTCCTCAGGTCCTCTGAGCACTGGGAAGGAAGGTGGTTCAGCAACTTTCAGGCTGGATGGACTAGGACCCTCAGGTGAATGCCTCAGTCTGCTGACCAGTCTCTCCAGGCCCAGGCCAGATGTAACTTTTTTCCTCCTTCTCACAAACAGGGGGAAACCATGCCATCAAGAGCCCAGAGCACTGGCTTTTGATCCTAGCTCTGCACCGTGAGCTTTCCCCCTCATCAAAAGGATTGTGGGGGACTTTCCTGGTGGTCTGGTGGCTGCCAGTGCAGGGAGCCCGGTTCAATCCCTGGTCAGGAAACTAGATCCCACATGCTGCAACCAAGAGTGTGCACGCTGCAACTAAAGATCCCACAGGCTACAACTAAGACCTGGCAGGGCCAAATTAAAAAACAAAAAAAGTTATAGAGGACTGAGGGGGCCACCTGCAGGCTGGAACCTCCATCTCTAAATGATGCTTATGTATCCAGGTTTCCTGCACCTGGGCTAGTGCTCGGTATTCCTCCTCAGCAGCCAGCACTGCCTCTCCCACCCCTCGCTGCCTCGGGAGCCTCAAGAACATCCCTGACATTTCAGTCATCATGAGAAGCCCAGAACCCCTGCACCCTTGGGCCCTCCGCCCATTTGCCCCAGCCTTTCCCATCTCTTCCCCTGCCTTCTCCAAAGCAGTGGTCACTTATCTACTGCCGTCTCGTCCCCCATGCCAGAAGATGAGCTCCTCAAGGGCAGAGACAGCTTTCTGCCCTGTTGACGGCACTTCCTGGAATGGACATGTGACACGGTATTTCCCGAGTGAATGAAGAGAGCAACAGCAATGCTAATGGCCATGATACTCCCTTGCAATGACTGTCCCTACGTAATGAACATTAGCCGCCTGGTTTCATTTCACCTACTTGCTCACACTATCATGACCAAGATTATTTTATCTATCTTTTCAGATAAGCACAGTTCAGGCACACAAAAGTTCAACGATCTGCTCTGGCAATATAGCGGGAAGCTGGGATCTGACCCAGGTCTGCCTGGCGTTGAGACCCAGACTCCACCGTGACTCAACAGTGAAGTCTGAGCTCAGCGAACGTGAAGGCTTTGCTTACCAGAGGTCCAGGCTCTCCAGGGCTTCCCACCAAACCTGGGGTTCCAGGATGGCCCTGCCAAGAAAGAGATGAACAAGGAGGAATCAGTTCTGGAAGGTTTCTCTTCCATCTGCAGTCCTGCCTCGGCCAGCTCAGCTCCAGCCCAGGTCTATGCAGGCAGCAGCCAGGCCCCCAGGAGGAAGGGCTGGTCATTCTGAAGGCCTGGGGTACCCAGAGGCAGGCAGATGACAGCAGAGTTGTCACCGTGGCTGGGACAGAAGAAGGCAAGGGGATGCAGACTGCTCCTTACCATCGACCCCTTGGGTCCGGGCGCGCCTGGGGGTCCCATCATGCCCCGGTCACCCTGTGATGGAGACAGCAATTCAGGGAGGTCACGGCAGTGGGGCGGCTCTGTGGGGACAGGTGCAGATATGCCCTCCGGGGACTAGAGAGGGACAAAGACTTGTCCAAGATCTACGGCCACATCACCCGGAGTAGCGATGGGGGAAGGGGGATTCCAGTCATCAGAAGCCAAGATGCCCAGCAAAGTGTGGCCATGGGCACTTAATGTGGTTCGAATCCCAGCTCTGCCACTTTCCATCCAGGTGACCTTGAGCAAGTCACCTCCCCCACTGGAGCCTTGGTTGTCTGGTCTGTAAAACACACCTGCTGGCATTCATAAGGCAACTTAAAGAATTGGGATGCTTTTTAAAAAGGTAAATCTCTGCCTCTCCCTGTTGCCTGCCCCACACAGTGTCAGCTTGCAGCCGTGAGCAGCCCAGACCACGGGGATGACTCTCACAGACATCTGGCTGCACTTGGGGGTGCTGGGCAGAGGGCAGGGTAGAAGCCCCAGGAAATGCTGGGACAGGTGACAATGGTTCTTTGAGGGTCTGGAAGGCCAGGGAAAGGAGGAAAGGCCAGAGAGAGAGGTCTGAAATCCCCAGGGCAGCTGGCCCCTTCACCTTTTTAACATTTCAAAACACAAGCTCTATTTGCTTAAATATTCCCGCCAACGTGACTTACCTTTTCTCCCATGATTCCTGGCTCTCCGACCAGACCAATGAATCCCAGAAGTCCCTAGAAGAAACATGGACAAAAGCAAGAGAAAGAAGGAAGCAACGTGAATTCAGGGATGCGCTGAGTTTCAAAGGCAACTGGCCCAAATCTCTCTTGCACTGGAGCCGTCTGCCCGTGTCTCCTGCCCCATGCCCAGTGATCCAGCTGGCGTGGGGCTGCCACCAAGAAGAGAGCTGTCTCTGTGGGCACCGTCCTGACTTCCTTCACTCCACCAGATGGTTCTGATTTCGGAGCCAAGCAGTGGGGCCACTGCCAGCAACCCTGGGAGCACCACACATTCTTTCCTCGCCAGAAGCTGGGAGGCAGCCACGTTTGGGGAGGGGGTGGGATGGGGGAGTCGGCAGTGGGGAGCAGGGGGATGGTCTTTAAGTGGTGCTGGGAAGAGTGGTGCTTGTGAGAAATCTGTCCCCATCTTTCGGGATTCTGGGGTTGTTTCGGAGAGAAACAAACCTGCTGGCTGGAAGAGAAACACCCTGCCAGCCTCTGCCAAAAGACCTGATGGGAATCTGGGAAGTGGAGGCCCTTTTACTGTCTTGTGAAAGGCTTCCTCTCATTTCTGAAAGGGTGCACACACACTTTAGTTCCTGTTGCTCTTTTTAACTTCACTGGGTGATAACTGGCTGCTGTGCTCCAAGGTGGCTGTACGCTTCGCTCACTGCCCTGAGCAGGCAACTCGCTCACGCTTAGCAAGGATGAAGGGCTTAGTTAGAGGAGGGAGTCAGACAATTCTCAGTCCAGACCCCACTCTCTTCAGGAAAATTCCAGCAGATGGAGGTCTAGTGTGGTACAAGGGTCTCAAAAGTTGTTTTGGAAGATCCCAGGTTTGCAGCCAAGAGTTTCTGGGAGAAACAGTGAAAACTCACGGATGAGTGGATTGGTCCCATAAGATCTGCTCCCTGTCCCCAAACCATATCCAGAAAAAAATGAGACCTTGAACCTGATCAGAAGCAGATCGGAAGTTGTTCACTAGGGCAGTGAAGCTGGCCTGGCAACTAGAGGGAAGAAAATGCACCGGATTCCAAAGGGTCTTTTCTGCAGGGCTCAGAAACAGTCTTAAAGTGTCAGCTCAGACCAGGACTATGTGTGTCCTGCAACTGCAGCCTAGAATGCAACGCTGGTCTGTGTGGTCCCGAAGCCCACACACCTGTCACCCCAATGCACGTAGCCATGATCAGGGCACAGGTCTCCCTGGTACTCCAACCCCATCCCCATATGGTGGGGGGGCCTGGTTCCCTGGGTTCAGAGGCCCTTCAGGGTTGAAGTATGAGATCAGAGGGATGAGGTTCAAGGTATGAGATCATAGCTAATAAGTCAGAGAAAATGACCAAGTGTTTGTCTTTTGCAACAACCTACTTTAAAAATTAATTAGATCATGTTCAAGGTGATAGGGGGTCCCCTAGTGACTCAGACAGTAAAGAATCAGCCTGCAATGCAGGAGACATGGGTTTGATCCCTGGGTCAAGACGATCCCCTGGAGAAGGGGATGGCAACCCACTCCTGTATTCTCGCCTGGAGAATTCCATGGACAGAGGAGACTGGTGGGCTACAGTCCATGGGGCCGCAAAGAGTCAGACACGACTGAGCAACCAACACTCTCACCTACTTTCAAGGTGATAGCAATATTAATGACAACAGCTGTCACTTATGACGGGCCGAGCCCTGTAACTGACACTTTATCTGTCATCACCATTCAGTTTTTAGGCTTGTGGACCCGGGGCAAAGTGCAGAGCCTCTAAACCTCATGTGCAGAGTGAGAGGACTTACGAGAAAGGATTTACCCTTCCTCCTGGGGTTGTTCTGAGTATTGGTGATAATGCATGGCACATGTAGGCACTCTATAAAAGGTACTTCCCTCCCATCCTATTCTAATTTATTTTAAAAGGCCACGGGGTTAAGACAGAGGCCTGAGCTCCCCACAAGGGAGCAGTCAGACATTTAGAGGACACTGAGGAAAGGGAATAAAAACCACTCTGTTAAAAAGCCCCGGCCCGACCGGCCCAGAGAAACAGAAATTTCATAGCTACTTTAAATTTATGAGTTGTTGGGTCCTGAAAGGCAGGCAGGTCATAAACTTCAAATAAGAAGCCAAAAAAAAAAATCCTAATGAATAAGGGCCATATAGCAAGTGCCCCATTCCCTGCCCCCACCCCAGAACAGGCCCCCCTCCCCACAGGGAGCACTGTTCCGGAACATCCTGGCACCCTGTCCCACAGATGGAGCGGAGGCTGGTCCAGGGAAGCCTGCCCCTGAGGCCCAGGGTTTCCACCTGGCGGGGCTGGTGGAGCAGCAGTCTCGCCAGCTGTGGGCACAGCTGGCGCCTCTTGGCTGGCGTGGGGAAGGGGGCGGTATTGTCACCTACAGCAGACACTGCCTGGGTGGGATCCGAGTCCCCTGAGCTGGAGAGCAAGCTGGCCTGTCCTCACACAGCCTACAACTCCCTGCTGTCGACTGTGGGAGTTTTTCTCCCTCCCTCCCTGCTCTCATGACCTTCTGCTGGGTGCTGGAGATGCAACTGGGAACCAGACAGTCATGGATGCTCTGCTGGGCTAGACTTCTCAGGCTTAGGTGTTGAGATGCCCAGCTTCACCCTGGACAGAGCTTCTTAAAGGCAAGACCCATGGTTTGTAAGTATCTTTGTGTGCGCAGCACCTAGGACAGGGCCCTGCAGGCTGGCTGCACTCTGTTAAAGAAACCGCAAGGACTCAGAAGGTCAAGGGTTTTCTAGTGTCTTCGGGGCAGGTCATGGGAATCCGCAGGCCTGAGCATCAGCCTGGGCTCTGACAGTGACAGCACTGCCTGGAAGATCATGGTCTAAGTACTTCTCAGAGTCTTGGTTTCCTCATTTGGAAAATGGGGATAGTAGTACGTACTGTCATAGGACTGCTAGAGAACTCTGGGGATGGTATGGAAAGTGTCTGGCACACAGCCTGGTCCCTAACAGGCGCCTGATAAACGGAGCAGATACTGTGACTATAAGGGGGTCCTTCCACTCTCCCCAGGAATCCTCTGATTCTGCCTTGAACTGGAAAGGCCTGCTCCTTCCCACACGGGGAAGGGGCTGAGGGAACAGCAGGCACGGCTCCAGCCCTGCCTCACAACTCAGAAAGGTCTCTGTCTTCCCTGCTCAGCTGACGGGGCAGCTAGCTGAGGTCTCTACTGAACAAGTGTGCCTGCGGTCGCCCCAGGCCAGGTTCCCACTCCTCCTGCCCATTCCTTTGCTTACTTGGTCTAAGTTAAACCTCTCTCTGTGTGTGTGTGTGTGTGTGTGTGTGTGTGTTCTTGCTTAGTCACTCAGTCAAGTCCGACTCTTTGTGATCCTTTGGACCGTAGCCCTCCAGGCTCCTCTGTCCATGGGATTCTCCAAGAATACTGGAGTGGGCTGCCATTTCCTCTTCCAGGGGATCTTTGCCACCCAGGGAGACAGCCCTCTTCTCCTGTATCTCCTGTATTGCAGGTGGATTCTTTACCCACTGAGCCATTCCCCTCCCTGAATCCCAGACTTGTCAATGTGGTTGAGGATCCAGGAGTTCTCAATCTGGGGTCCCTGTAAAGCTCCATGGATGCATTTCCGGGGTCCATGAACTTGAATGGGAAAAACTACAACTGTCATCTTCACCAGCCTCTAGCTGAAATTGAGCACTTCTCTCAAACATGAGTTTGAGGCATGCAGGCAACAAATCTACAGCACCGGTAATGGTCACAGATCTTTACATGTCACACTACAGTCACTGCGGCCGAGAGTTCAAAAGGTATCAGTGAGGCCGGTCACCACTTCAAAATTGAGGTCATTATTGAACCTGCCATTAGATCTCATTATTCAAGGCAAGAATAAAGAACCATATCTTTGAGGAGATCACAATTTAGCATAGTCTCACATCTGTATTTCAACATTATCCATTTCCTTTGTAGTCTTTTGTTTTGAATTTTGTGCATTTAAAGAAGTTCTCTATTCTGAGATGGTTAGATAGCATCACCGACTCAATGGACATGAATTTGAGCAAACTCCGGTAGAGAGTGAAGGATAGGGGAGCCTGGCGTGCTGCAGTCCACGCAGTTGCAGAGTCGAACACAACAAGTGACTTAACAACAAATTCTGAGAAGGGGTCTGTGATCTTCTCCAGCCTGCCAAAGGGGTCTAAGGCACAAAATAAAAGGTTAGGACTCCAGGATAGAGGGATTTCAAAGGAGGCTTTGTGCACTGCCATCCTAGGATTCCAAGTATCTATTTCCCAAGGGCCCTACCATGAGCATAACTATGAAATTAAATTTGCTGAACGTATTGCCTTTTTTTTCCAATCAGGAAATACATCCAGGCCGCGGCAGCCCTTCCAAACTCCCGGGCTTCCCACAGAATGTGCTCGAATGACACTGGAAAGGTTTCAAAAATCCAATCCTCCCCCTTTAATTCCTTTCTTCCCCCCAACAGATGTTGCAGGCCTGGTGAGGAAGCTCCTCGTGTGCGTGACTCTCACGGCATTGATGGCGTTTCTCGGCAGAGACAAATTCTTCTGGGTCCCCAGCATCATTCCCCTTCCAGCCCGAGGCAGCCCCTCGCTGGGTTCAGAGGATGGGGTCCTTCTTTAAAGGAGTGGACAAGACTGCTACGTTCCGACCTGACCTACGAGCCCAGAGCTTACGCTTTCAGGAGGCGCCGCGCTGCAGGGGAGGGACTAAGGCCAGTCATCCACCCATCAGCGTCCAGAGCCAAGGGCCCTGGACCTCAACACTGAAGGTTATGTTTCTCCAACCTCCTTTTCAGTGATCACGTGCAACCTCCTCCCCTCTTCAGACCCTGGCCTGACTTCCCGCATAGCCAGAGCCACTGAGGTGAATTTCGTTTTCTTTATAAACTAGGGATGCCTGAACTAAGAGCCCCTGACACGTGGCTCTAGTTCCAGGCTCTTCCGGCCCTCCCATTATATCGAGCACGGGGGGTGACTGTGAAAGGGCTCTTCCACTTTGCACGTTCTGGGAGCAAAGTCACGTAATGTCTTTTGGGCGAATGCCCCCAGAACATCTGCAGAGTCAGGCTGTGGGGAGCAACCATGGGGACTGAGATTCGTGACTTTTTCATGCAGTGACCTCACCTCCCTGAGAGCCAGAGTCTGTCCTTGTCAGTGAAGCGGGGAGATGAGCCGTTTAGGGTTAGATAACCCTCACCCAACCACTCCAGCTGGGGCTGGGGATGAATGAGCTCCATACACGCGCTTCCCACAGCTAAGGGAGCCAGTAGGGTCCGAGACAGCGTGACTCACCTGCTCGCCCACGGGCCCCGGCCTTCCAGGATCGCCTGGCTCGCCCTGCAGAGAAACAGAGGAGGGTCACTTGGGATGGGTGGCAGGAGGCTAGGCCTCCCGGGAGACACCCGGGTCGACTGGCCTCAGTCCCCTCTGGTGGGGATGAACCAAGAAACTCCACTGCAGTCTGGCCTTAGAAACTCCAAACAAACGGTAAGGATAAGGGACACTGGGACAAAACCTCCTCTGGCCCCAGGGATGATCCTAGTCGTCATTCCCTTGGAGGGGCCCTGGGCAGGTTACCTGGCACGGGGTCTTTATCTCATCTGGGACCCCCATCAACCCATGGCATTCCGCGGGAGATGGAAACTGAAGCTCACAGAGGTGACGTGACCTGCCGAGGTCACACAGCGAACTGGAGGCAGGCTAGAACTGGAACTTGGGTCTGACTGATGGAGACCCCCTGCTGCACCAGGATGAGCAGGGGGCCGGGGGGTCAGGGCACTGGACTCCCAGAGCTCCGCCACCAGCTCACAAGTGACACGGAAGGGCCTTGTCTCTGCTCTGGGCTCGGCGTCCCCACTCACAAATAAGGAAAATCAAACTCATTTGCCTCCAAGCTCTCACAGGCACTGTGTCCTGCGTCACCTCCGTTATGTCCGACTGAGACCCTACGGACTGTAGCCCGCCAGGCTCCTCTGTCCATGGGGCTCTCCAGGCAAGAACACTGAAACGGGTCGCCGTTTCCTCCTGCAGGGATCGAGCCCTTGTCTCATGGCTCCTGCCCTGACAGGCGGGCTCTTTACCGCCAGCGCCCGCTGGGAAATCCCCGAGCCCTCGTGCTAGGTGGCCACTGGAGGCCTTGTCTGGCGGCTTTATCCCACGCCGGGGTGACGCCTGCTCCTTCTGCAGCCACAGCCGCCCTGGCAAGCAGAACCGTGGGATCAATCTGCCCAGGGCCCTGTCACCACTCCCACCACAGAAACCCAGCTGGTATCTGAGGGAGAAAGGCCCAGGCCTCAGAGGGCAGGACATGGGCTCGGACCGGCCGGGAGCTGGGCTCACAGTTGGGGTTCACAGCGATCCCAGCTTGAGACTCAGCCTCCCCTCCAGGTCTGCCCCAAGACCTCAGGCTCGAGGCCCCCAGAGGAGGCAGACAGACACAGACTTGGGGGCCATTTCTCCTGAGAGGAGGGCACTTGGACGGCCTGGGGCCCCCAGGTCCACCGTAACCCTCTGTGTGTCTGTCCAGCTGTCAACCCAGCCCAGCGATCCCTGCCTGGGATGGCCAGGGAAATCCAGCCTTCAGATGGAGTCCCAGGAAAGGCGTTAAGCTGCCCATGTGTTGAGGAACATAATCTCCTACTGGGGCCAATTCTTTTTCATTTTGATAACTTCAAAAAACCTGTTAATAAGTGAAATGCATATTTATGGTTGATGATGGGGAAAATATAGAAGTCCAGAGAGGAAAATGGAAATCTCCGATAATCCCACTACCCAGAGCTAACCCCCGTCCACACTCCAGCCTTTGCTCTGAGCCTTCAGGAACGTGGTGCAGCCAGCCCCAGCCACGGGCTCCTCCTGCACCGCTCCGCTATGTGACCTGCTTCCCACGCGCCCACCATCACCCCACAACACACGGGCGTCTTCCCGTCCTGTCAATGCCCCCAGCACACCATCTTTGGTGACTGCGCTGTGCCCCGTGACTTAAACACTAGACCCCTGGTGGACACTGGGATTCTGTCCACGCTTTCCTGTTACTCACACACACTTTGTGATAAATGGGGACCATCTGGTCCCCTTTTCACAACAGGTCAGGGATTCAGGGGTCATCCCAGGGCCTCATCGGTTGGCTCCCCACCCCCTTCTCCTCCCCAGGTGTTCCCTCCTCCCCATTCTGGCCACATCACTTCCAGGTCCCCTCACCTTCAAGCCATCTGGGCCAGGTCTTCCAGGAAACCCCTTCCTGCCGGGCTGACCCTGCGACAGGAAGAAGTGAGTGAGAGAGGCCAGGAGGGGCAGGGACACAGAGCCCCGAGGTCACTGCCAGCTGCCAGGCTGCCAGCTGCCCTCGGGGAGTCAGGGAGTCTTCAGCTGTGTGACCTTGGGAAGCCTCCCCTCCCAGGCTGGTTTGTGTTTGTTAACGGGAATGATGAAAACGGCTTTCAAGGAGTGAGGAAAAGGAAGGGACTGGAACAGAAGATAAAGGACACAGGGGCGTGGTTTTATGCCAGTAGTTCTCAAACTGTGGTCCCGGGGCCCTCTGTGGGACCCCAAGTCCCTTTCACAGGAAATTCACAAGGTCAAAACTATCTTCATAAGAATATTAAGATGTCATTTGCCCATGTTACTCATTTTCATGAATGCAAGTGGAGTTTTCCAGAGACTACATGGCGCGTGGTTTTATCCACAGATGGAATGCAGAGGCAGGCTGGAGAATCCAGCTGACTCCTATTAAGCCAGACATTAAAGAGATTTGCAAAAAATGGTAAAACAATGCCACTCTTTTCATTAGATGATTTTTGTTTTGGAAAATATAGCTTTTTTGGGGGGTAACTATTATTTTTGTTAACATGAAATGAGTTGGTTGTTAATCTTGAACGAATTGTTAAAAGCATTTAAAATTTCTTGGTTTTAAGTACTCATGTCGATAGATGTAACCCATGTAAAGAAAAGCATTCAGGGTCCTCAATTATTTCCAAGGATGTCAAAAGGTCCCAAGACCAAAAAAATCTACAAATTGCCAATTTATGCAATTGAGACTGACGGTGGCTGGGCATACACCTTCTTTCTGGAAGGCCACTTGAAGCAGTAGAGAGAAGTCCGATTCAGGTTCCAGGGAGGGTATCCTGGCTTCCTGGCTGTGAGATTCTGGGCTAAGTTTTTTACTTTTAAAAAAAAAATTTTTTTATGACTGTGATGGGTTTTAGTTATGATCTGCAGGCTTAAGTGAGTGCCCCTTGGCACCTTGGATCTCAGTTCCCTGACCAGGGAATGAACCCATATCCCCTCCATAAGGAGGTAGATTCTTAACCGCTGGATTACCAGGGAAGTTCCCTGGGCTATGCTCTTTGAGCCTGAGGGCCTTGAACAATACTAAGAAAGGCAGTGCCTCTCTCAAGGGAGAATCGAATGAGTGACAGTGGATGCAAGGCCCCTGCACACAGTAGGTGCACAACAGCTTCTTGCCTCTTGCCTCTCTCCTCTGGGGTCTGTCCTCACCTTGGCAGGCCCAAGGCTCTCACAGACAGCTGCTCTCCAGAGCACCACCCAAACGACGCCCGCCTGCACACAGCTGGCTCGCGGCAGCAAACCCCACCCCCCAGGCCAGCAACACTCACCTCCAAGCCAGGGGCCCCTGGTGGCCCCATGGGCCCCTCATCTCCCTAGGGTCAGGAGACACGAGAGAGGAGAAAAAGGACAAAGTCAATTCAGTGGGAGTCTTGGAGAACTTGACCTGTCAGGAGGGCAAGGGGTGGGCACAGGAGAGCCCTCCCTGAGTGAGCAATGGTAGACCTGGGCCCCCTGCCTGGCCCCACCCAGGGCACAGGCCTGGAGGCCAGACCACACGTGGGCTTCTGGGTGAACGGGGCTCCCCTGTGATGTGAATGTGGTCAGTCTGGGTTGGCAGAAGTGCTGGACAGGAAAGCCAAACCCTATCATATGCTGTTTGAGCAGAGCCCCAGACTGCAGCTTAAAGATACGGGCTCTTGTTCCGAGCTCTGCCATTTACTCGGCGGCAGACGTTAGCCTCACCATGCCTCAGTCTCCCTGTCTGTAAAATGGTGCGGGGCAGAGAGGATCACCTTAAACACATGAGTACCACCCTGCTTGACCCTCCAAATTGTATGTAATTATTTTACATTGTTAGGTTAATCATGTTCCCATGAGTTAGAGTTAGTTGCTCAGTCATGTCCAACTCTTCACAACCCCATGGACTGTAGCTTGCCAGGCTCCTCTGTCCATGGGATTTCCCCGGCAAGAATACTGGAGTCGGTTGCCATTTCCTTCTCCAGGGGATCTTCCCAGCCCAGGGATCGAACCCATGTCTCCTGCATTGCAGGCAGATTCTTAACTGTCTCAGCTACCAGGGAAGCCCCATTATGACTTGGAAATGTAATTATCTTTTATGTTTTGTCTGGCTATTGATTGTGAAAACTGATAAATATCTTTTATTATTGTGATTACATTTAAAAAGACAAACAAAAAAAAAACCCACTGATGAGTAATCTGGGTTCCTGGAGGACAGCCAGGATCTCTTATTCTTTTTTGACACCACGACCCCCAACATCACTCAGGATGGGGGTGCCCAGGGTCTAGTGGGTGTGTGGGTCAGGAAGTCAGGGAGAAGGGCCTGAGAGAGGGTAACAAATGAAGGAGTGAATGAATGGACAAGTGGACAGATGAATCAATGGAGATGTGAGCAAGTGGCAGGCATATTGAGGGGCTGCTTCAGTGATGATGTTGTAATGTGAGCGTCAACGGGAGTACAGGCTGGTGCCATCTTTCCCTCGCACCCTCCTGCCCACTTCCCACCCATGGAGATGCCTCAGGCCCTCCTGCAGGCTCAGGGAGCTTCCAGACTGGCCCCTCTGGCATGCCAACCCTAACCAAGAGGCCCCCTCCAGAGCCCACTCCCCTCCGCCCCAGCTTCCAGGAAAGCAGCCCTACGTGGCAGCTCACAGGGCCAGTACTGGGACCCTGCCAGACCCAGAACCAGCCCGAGAAGGGATCCATGTCAGCCAGATGCCTGCCTGTGGTCGCGGTGAGTCGGGGCCTCCTGCGCCCTCCCCCAGGGCTGCGTCATGGGAGCTCTGGGGCCTGAGCCAAGGTGTGCAAGGGAGGGCCTTGCGCATGGGAAAAGCCTGGGGCCAGCCCATGGGGTAGCCAGCAGCCCTCCAGCTGGTGCTCCAACAGGCCCAGGGAAACCATCAATCCCCTTCATCACGGATGAGTCAGTAAACAAATCTTCAGTCTGCCACTTACTAGCTGCACAAGTCATGTCATTCTCCCAGGAGGCCTCAGGCAGCCCCCAGGAGCCCAGAAGTTAAATAGCACAGGGTCCATGCCAGAAGCTTTGGGCTCAGCGGACTCGGGTTCGAATCCTGACGCTGCCTGCCACTAACCACAGGAACCTGACATAGTCTATCCCCTTGAGAGTCAGGACCTCCCCTGAGCTGACGATGTCCCCCTCCTACAGCAGCACCCCAATAAACTGGCTACAGGGAGAAGAAGCAGTGACAGTGGCTCCTGGAGACGAAACCCCAGGGCAGTGGCGTTGCTGTGATGGGAATGACCTGCCAGCCAGACCAGGGCAGACGAGAACCCTGGAAGGGTCACAAGGCAGAGCTATAAAGGATGACTTGGAGGGCAAGCCTGAGGTGGCCCTGGGCCCTGTGTCTCCTGACTGAGGGGCCCTGGAACTCAGCTAAGGTCTCCAGGACCCAGGGGAGAGCAAGCTAGGGGCTGGGGTGGCAGGGGGATGGGCAGGAGGCAGGGTCAGATAGTCTCACCTCGGGCCCCAGCTGCCCACGGGGTCCTGGCAGGCCTCGAGCTCCAGGCTTACCCTGGTGAGAGGGAAAGAGAGCGGGCTCAGAGGCAGCACCTCCGTCTCCATCACAGGCTGGCGAGACTCCAGCTGGCTTGGAATCAAGCCTGTGGTTTGCATACAGTGGTCAGCCTCATCAGCTGGAGCTCCCCTGGGCAGGGACTCACCTTCACGCCTTCTGGGCCGTTGTCCCCGGGGGGGCCAATGTCTCCAGGGAATCCCTGAAAAGAAGCAGAGAGCTGGGATCACCCATAGGGACTACATAGGGAAATGCAAAGACCATAGGTCTTGGAGGGGAACCGACCTAGGTCTCCATCTCATCCTGCAAGGGAGATGACCCTGGGCAGGTCAGTTATCACGGTTCTAAAGCAAAGAATCAGCCCCTACACTTCAGAGGGGCGCTGAGAAAATGAGGCAGGACAGTGCAGGAAGGTCCTAGCATAGGAACTAGCACATACAAGGTCATCTAATCCAGACCTGCCCAAGTCTTAGTCCTGGGGCAGCCAGGGCTTCACAGCTAGCCGTCTTCTGCTCTGAGAAGTGCCACCCTTTATTGCAGGGATTCTGAATATTCTGGGTTTTCTGTGACTTTGAAAGGCTAGAAAAGCACTGATCTATAAGTATCAGCAACTATCGGAAGCAGAAATCCCCAGTGTATCCTTGGAAAACTCTGCCCCACACCACCATTGAAAGTTCACTGCTCCCATCTGATGGATGGCTGCAGTGGAAGCTTCTTTAGGACATGGAGCAGAATCTCTTCCCTTCCTCAGCAGAAAAGACCAGACTTCTCTGTCCCTTCAACTGCCCCTAGTCAGGAGCCCTCAGTCTGGCTGCCTCCAACCGCTTAGCTTCCATTGTTGGTGGTCACTAGGATACTCGTGAACCGACCAGCAGAGGCCGGTGTAAGAACATCTCCTCCCTTGTTTTAGGTATAATATCTCTGTTAATTCAGCCTAGAACCCCATTTGCTTTCAGGGCAGACCCACTACTCCCTCAGTTGTCTGCCAACCAGAAACCAAAGCCTTTGAATATGAGTCCCTAAAGTCAGGATGCTCCCCGACTTCACCTTAGTAAGTGGCTTTATTTTCTTCCTCTTTTGAGGTTTTGGTAACTCCCATTAGATTCCAGCTCCACCATCCTCTCATCCTTCTCACTAGGGAAGGCAAGTCTGGTCTTGAATTTGGAGCTAACACAGGAAGCCAAAGACCCACGTCTTTTCCTTCAAAGCGCGAGGCTCAAAGTCCCGTTCTGCCACCGACTCACTGTGTGACCCCAGCAGGTTTCTAAGCCTGTCTGGGCCCTGGCTTCCTCATCTCTAAAATGGTAACTATAAAAATCACCTAACAAGGCTTTTCTGAGGCTTGAAGAGAATAAGGTGAGTGCACCGCTGAGTTGGAATTTGGCATCTGGTAAGCACTCAATAAAAAATCTACAAGCCAAAGGGTTTTGGGTCCTGGGAAAACAAGCCTGCTTGGGGTGGGCCCGTCTCCAGGGAGAATTTGAAAGAGGTCAGGACACTGATCAAATTCTGGTGTCACACAGATCCGACCCACTAATGAATGAAAGAGCTGTTTCCCTCGGGGGCTGGGGAGTGGAAGCTGCACCCACGGCCTCGGAAAGGCGGCAAAGACCCCGGAAGGCGCTGAGGCTCGTCGGCTTTTGTCCTAGGCTGAGCAGAACCATCTACCGGATGCTGAGTCCGCCAATCCAAACAGAACCCAAAGATGGCGGAGGCAGACCCCAGAGCTGTCCAGGGACCCGGGAGGGAGCCAAAGGGCAAAATGAAGAACTCTTTTGCTACAAGTAGCAGGGCGACCCGGAGGGGGTCGCCCCCACCCTCCTGTCACTCAGCCCCCTCCTCTGCCAAGCGTGGTGGTGACAGTATCTCCCTCGCTGGCCGTGATGGCTGTTCAGCCGGCTCCCATCCCGAAGATACGACGCAGCCTCCTGGCACGGGGCAGTGCCTAATAAAACGAGGGAGCCGGCTTTCCACCCGCACTGGCCAGACTGCTGGGAAACCCGGCCTCTCAGAGAAGTCTTTTTCCACAGTGACCAGGGGAAGGAATCAGGGCCATGGAAGAGAGGCCAAGTCCATTTGTCTAAAGATAGGACTGTGTCAAGGCCAAAGTCAACACAGTGGAAAGTAGAACTTGTGGCTTTTAGGAAACACTCCCTCATCCACCCGGGCGATACCAGGAGTGATCTTTGGAAGGATGGACCAGACTTCTGTCTCCGAGGCCTCAGGGATGTGCAAGGCGCCAGGCCAGGGAGGTATGACATAGGGGTGGGGTTGGGGGGGGACTAGGCCTGACCTAGAGCCCCTGCGAGAGACAGCAGTCCCCCAGCACCGTTCACCCTGTTCTCCAGAGCTGGTCTCTGTACTGGGGGCGAGGCATGGGGCGGGGGGTGGGAAGAGGGGTTCAATCAGCTGCCCAGCTGCCTCGCCCCCTTTGTGCAGAAATGCCAGTGATGGACATTTAACATACCTGTGCTCGCTATCACACATGTCAGAAACTCTCGGGTTCTACTGACTCAGCTGTAGTTACCATGTTAATTGCTTAATCTATCTGTCGTGACTTCTTCTCCATTCAAATACCAGAATCTTCCACTTGTTTCTTGCTCTCTGTACCTATGAGCTCTGAGCCCTGCACCTCTCCAGGGTGGCTGTAAGTAGCTGGAAAAGTTCCAGGGCTCAGAAGGGTAGAGAATGCAGGGAGCTCCCATGAAGGGTCCAGGCAGCTCCGCTCAGAGGGTCTTCCTGATGCTTCTTTCTGGAAACTGTAAAGGCGGCCATGGTGCTGGGGAGGGAGTCTGAAGCCAGCTGCGGCCCCACTGCCTTTGCGAGCCCCCAGGGCAGCCGGGAAGCCAGGAAGAAAAGGAAAGATGACTGCTCTAGGAATTTCTAATCCCATCTTTTATTTGCTGTGTGACCTCAGGCAAGTCTCTCCCTGTCTCTGAGCTTTGGTTTCCCAAGGATGACACGCAGTCCCAGTAACAACCAGCCACAGAGAAATAGGGCATTATATACCTCAGGTCCCGGGGGCCCAGGAAACCCAATGGATCCTTTGTCTCCAACTTTGCCCTGTGGAAGAGAAGAGATTGTAGGTGAGGCAGGGGTAAGCGAGGGTCTACCTTTCCTGGATCGCTTGTATTAGGCCCCAGGCTGGGGATGGTTGGAAAATTCAAGAGAATATGAGTGAAATCTGCCCAGACAACTACAAGGAGTTACTGTTCAAGCCCCAGCTCCTACTCTTCCTTGGCACTGGATCCTGGGCAAGTCACTTCACCTTTGAACCTTACTTTCCCCATCTGTGAAATGGGAACAGTAACAATTCTCTAACTCCTGGGGTTGTTGAGTCTTTCAAAGACATGCAGCACAGGAAGGATCTGATGCATGTATGCATGCGTGCTAAGTCACTTCAGTCACATCCAACTCTTTGCGACACTATGAACAGTAGCCCGCCAGGGTCCTCTGTCCATGGGATTCTCCAGGCAAGAATACTGGGGTGGGTTGCCATGCCCTCCTCCAGGGGATCTTCTCGACCCAGTGGTCGAACCTGTGTCTCTTTAAGTCTCCTGCACTGGCAGGCAGGTTCTTTACCGTTAGCGCCAACAGGAACGTTCAATAAATAAACGACATCCACTGCCATTGTTGATAACACTACTATTATTTACAAGGCACTGGAAGCCCTGATTCGCACCAGAGCTCTGCCAATGCCTGATGCCTGGGTGTGCTCCTGCCCCTTGGGCCTCAGTGTCCTCATCTGTAAAAGGGGCGAATATCCATTTCTACTTTGCTTTACTCGCCTCCCAGAGCTGCTGCAGGAGCAAATGAGGTCCTGGAATGTGAAGGCATCTCTGGCCACATTCCATGACCATTTGGACACCATGAGCCTGAGGATCTAGAAGCAGAAGGTACTCACCACAGGCCCTGGCTTCCCCCGTGCACCTGGGAACCCTGGCAAGCCCTGGCTTCCCTGAAAAAGATGCAGAGCAAACTGGGGTTAGTAACGCCCAGAAATGGCCAGATGGACAGCTGCTTGGTCATCCCTGCCGGGCTGAGGCCTGAACAACACCCGCTTTGAGAGAGAGGATAAGCCCTCTGCTTGCAAGCTCCAGCTTGGCAGCTCTGTAGGCTGGGACCCGGGGACACAAAGGTGAAATGACTGCTCCTGTCCTCAGCAAGTTATCCGGGAATCCGGGACCCCGGGGCCACTGAGCAGGCACTGCTGCTGCGCCCGTGATGCCTGGGGAAGTCTGGAGACTGGGGCCCAGCTGCAGAGGCAGCCTGGCCTGCGTGGCTCACAACCCGGAGACATCAAGGCTGGGTCAGGACAGGCCAGCCAGGAGGGAGGGGAGAGGAAGAGCGAGAGCTGGCCAACATCTGGGCCTCGTTGACTGGCTGGGAGAACTCCAGATGTGGCCACATGGTGCCGGACATAGGCAAAGAGGAGCCGGCCTGGCAGGCGGCCTGGGATCCTCCGTCATCCTGGCCAGCCACTCACTCAGACGTATCTTTTTAAGTGTTCACCGTCCTGCGCAGGACCCTGACCTGAGCCCCTCCAGGCCAGCCGGGGACCCTATTCTGGGGAACCTGCCGTCTGGCAGGGGGCGAAGCACCAGTCCCCATCAGCCAGGGGAGAAATGTGCTGCCGCAGGTGAGGGGCACGCTCTTTGGCATCTGGTAAGCACTCGTAAAAAATCTACAAGCCAAAGGGTTTTGGGTCCTGGGAGGACAAGCATGCTTGGGGTGGGCCTGCAGGTGAGGGCCACGGCGACCCCCTGAGCAGGCAGAGAACACAGCATCCGCGCGGGGCTCTGGGCTGGGGCTGGCCGTGCGCAGGTGGGGTGGAGGGTGTGCCCAGAGAGGCAGCCGCGTGTGCCCACTTGGTGCAGTGAGGAGGTCAGTGGGGCTGGGGCTCAGGGCTGGAAGGGCGAGGGGCAGGAATGTCAGAGGGGCCGCACGCTGGCGGCCCAGGTGCGGGGGCCAGGAGCTGGGACTCCACTCTGGGGCAGCGAGGAGCCGTGGGTGAGCACAGAGCAGAGCTGGGCCCTGGACACAGTTTGGTGCAGGTGAGGAAGACAGGCTGGGGCCTGGCAATACGCCAGGAGGCCACTGTGAAGTCCAGAGAAGAGACAACGAGAGGGTGGATGAAGATGGAGGAGACAGGATGGTGGGAAAGGATGCCACCTTCCAGGTGGGTCCCAGCCCATGTCGGCCCCTGGGAAAGAAGCCAGAGCCAGAGCAGAGCAGGGCCGGGGCAGGGGTGGGGGGGGCAGGGGGCGAATGTGTAGGAGTTACCTTGTCTCCTTGGAATCCGGCATCTCCTGACACACCGGGAAGCCCTTGTTCACCCTAAATACACACCAGCAAAGAAGGTTACGATGGAAACCACGGTGAGTTCTGGAAGCCTCCCCCACATCCAGACCCAGTGGCGAGGTGCAGCTTTGCCGAGGCCGTTCCCCAAGTTGATCCACCCAGCAGCAGCCTTGTTAGAGAAAAGGGCAGCCCCCAGCCCCAGAGGAGCCTGGGTGGGGAAGGTGGGCCCCCTCGGGGGACAGAGCCAGCTTAGCCGCAGGTCTGCCTGGGGTTGCTCAGGTGGCTGAACACTCCACTAACAGAAGCTAAGCTGTGCCATGTTGCCTGGCCTTGGCGGGAGATCAGACACTTGTGGGTCAAAGGAACCGTGTCTTGATCCTTCAACCTCTTCATCATCAACTGACGTCACACGGAAGAGCGTGCAGCTTGGACAGCATCCCCACACCATCGTGGGTTCAGGGCACTTGCATATGTTGCTTAATATTTTTCACTGCCAGGCTGTGAGTTGTCATGTCTTCCTTCTGTGGGAGTTTCTGTGCCAGAAATAGGCTTCGGTCTACGTCTGATTAACTGCTTTGAATCAGCTATAGCATGAGAAGCCAGAGAGCTTGGCTCATTAAGACTACGTGTAACCAGCAAGTAAACTGGTCTGGAGTTAAGTCTGGGTGTTTCCCTTTTAAGATGACACATTGCATGGACTTGGTGACACTGATTTTGGCTGTCAGAGGTCTCTTCTGCCCCCTCCCTGTACTCAACCACATCCTGGTAAATGAGCTGTCACAGAACCAGATTGGGAGGTTTCTCCTTGGAGCTGGAACCGTCTCACACAGCCCTCATCCTTTCCAGCTTTCCATGTTGGTACGTTGGCCCCAGGACTGAGAAAACATTCACAGCCCTGGCAGCAGTTGGATGGATGGGGAGAAAAACCCAAGAAGAATGGAGAATCTTAGAGAACTCATGTCGTGCAGCTAAGGCCATGATCCAACAGAACTTCCTTGGTAGAACAAAAGCCAGAATTTTTTTTTTAAATAAGAAAAAAGTTTTTTTTGTTTTTTTTTAAAAACTTACTTTGGTTTTTCCAATTTGGAAAATCTTATACAATATCCCAGAGTTTTAGGAACTTAGGAACATTTTTTTTTTTAAATGTCCAAAGAAAGAGTAAGATGGCTTTTTAAAAAAAGTTTCAAAGGCCCCTAAGAAACGAGGACAAGGGATCTGGAGAAAGCTGGGCCTGGAGCAGGAGCCTGGGTTCCAGAATGTACCTCCATGGGGGGAGAGGGAGCCAGGTGGTGGTAAACGGGACCGAGGCCAGGCTGGGTCATGACAATCTGGGATTCTAGGCAGGATGACCGTGGAACATGAAGGGGTGGCTCTGTCATCCCAGGGGAGGGCCAGAAGGTGGGGTGGAGTGAGGAGGGGCTGATAAGAACACTGTTCCTCAAAATATTATGATCCTATCCTAGCCAAAGAAGCAGAAAAGTGATTTCTTTTTCTTTTCTTCTTCTTTTTTTTTTCAACTCTAAAGACTTATTTGATTGTGCTGAGATCTGTGAGCAGGAAAATAATTTCCTCCTCTTTTTTTTTTCGGGGCTTTTACATGTCCCAGGCAGCACCAGTCAGCAAGCCAGCCGAGTTCTATGTAACACGTTTATTTCCATGTTCCTGAAGAAACAGTGAGCTGGAGGCCAGCTCTGCAAAGGGCCTATAAAAAGCTCCCTGCCTACACTCCTATTTCCCCCCCACTTCCTTTCTCTTCGTCCATGACTTCAACATTTCCAGAGTGCTGATGACTCAAACCACGGGGTAAACAGGTAGCTGTGGGGAAGCCCCCGCCTCTAACAGAAAGCCCCTACATCTCCAGAGGGCAGGCTGTGGAAGAGGGGGCTTAGCAACCAGCAGGGCAGAGCCAGAGGGCAAAGCTGAGTGGGGTGGGGGGAGGGCCAGCTTGAGGCTTGGGCGTGAGGGAGGAGACGGGAGAGGTGGAAACAGACAGAGAGGAGAGTGGTGAGCACCGCTCGGCTGGGTACCAGGGGTGGGGGTGGGTAGGGCAACCTGGGATGCTCATTTCAGCCCAGCAGCTCTAGTTTTTCTAAGAGCCCAGGCTCCGGGCAGGCTCCTACAGATCCCTGAGTTTCCTTTGAAGAATCTCTTCTCTCCAGGTCTGCTTCTCCAGTTGTGACAGGTAGGCACTGGAGGAGGTGACCTCTAAGGACCTCATCGGCTCTGCCCTCCTGACCCCAGTCCTGCTTCAGGGTGGAGGTCTCTGCTGACGGGTGCAGGGGTTCGAATCCTGATGCTACATACCAGCTGTGCGTGCCTAGCAAGCTTCCCACCTCATAGAGGGGTGGAGGATGGGCGAGCTAAGCCCTGCAGCACGCTCAGAGGGGGACCAGTGTTGGTCCCTGCTCCTGTTCCTCGAGCTGAGGAGGAGCAGGGTCATCGGGAGACAGGTGCAGGGAGCAAGGCCCCCCCGAGCAGGTGAGCGGCTCCTATCTGCTCAGGCTTATGGAAACTTGGATGCTGCCCAACAGCTCTCCCACACTCCCTCTGGGGGGCCTGGTTTGTCAAGAGGCTGCCGGGGAGGGCAGGAAGAAGGCCACAGGGCCAAGCACAGAAGCACGGCCCCTACCCCCCGAGTTTCTTCACGTGGATGCCGCAGGGCCCAGGCCAGGTGCTGCCCCGCTCTGGGCCCCGTGAGCCCCTGACCAGCATTCCTCCCAGCTGTGCGGGGTGGGCAATGGGCTGGGGAGACCCTTGCTACATGTCTTCCACCGTTCCACTGCCGAGCCAACCCTGGGCCCAACCAGAGCTGGAGGTGGGTCAGTGGGACCCCTGTCCTGGCTTTTCTGTTACATTTTCAGACTCTGGGATTGGGCTCCCAACTCCAATCTTGACAGTGTATGTGCATTTGTTTCCTCCTATGCCTGGGAGGGTTCTTTGGACCCCACATCACCCCTGCCCTGGGGCCCATCATCTCAGCACCACATCTCCCCATCTCTCCATCTCCCCACCCTCTGTGTCCTCTGGCTTTGAATTCAAAGCCCAGATGCTAGCCTCAGCTTTGCTCCCCCCAGAAAAAAAAAAATTTGGAGACCTGCCTTAACTTACCCCTAACCCAAGCTTCAACAGCCCCAGCCCCCCCACTCTTGTCTGCCAAGATCTGCATGCTTCCAGAACCGTCTGCCTGAATCCCACCCAGAGTTACAGGGAAGAAGCTGGGGAGCACAGATTTAGGGAGGGTCAGAGGGGAGGCAGGCAGAGTGCAGGGGAGTGGACCTGGCGAGAAATCAGCAGCAGCGTCGAGGCGGAGGGAATTCGCATGCAGATAAAACACAGTGCAATAAGGGAGTATTCAGATCACCTTATCACCTTTCAGTCCGGGTTCCCCCACGTTTCCCATCAGTCCCTGCAAGACAGAGGCCGGGGTTCAGTGGTGAAGGAGGGTGAAAGCCCCAAAAGTCAGGAGCCCTGGCATAAACCCATTGGTTTGCTGCAAGACCCCGTGCTGGATTCTCCAGCCCAGGGCTCAGTTTTCTCATCTGTAAAAGGGGGCAATGAGCCCCGGCCCAAAGGGCGAGGGTGTGGCGTGCAGGACCATAAGAAGGGGTGGCTGACTTGTGAATCACAGAGCTCTGGGCACATCCAGGGGAGAAGGGCGCTGATGGGGGGAGACGGCCTTCATGAGCCATGTCACACACGCTTGTTAGCCAAATGGAATCATCCCTGGAACGTGGCCCTGGCAGCGTAAGCCCACCTTTCGCCTGCACACCCATCCCACTCAGGGATGTTCTGAGCTCACTGGCTTGCTGTTATAGTTTCTGTCCCCCTGGTGATGCTCAGCACTTGCACTTGCAGTGCTGAGGTCCAGAACCATGTCTGACTCATGCTCAGCTGGGGGACTGCCGTCCAGTAAGGATGTCTGGCATAAGTGACATGCACACAGTGTTTGGCTCTCAGGACTGAGAAGCACTGAGCCCCTGAGCTGCCACGTTCCACCCCAGCAGCCCTCTGACTACACTCCCCCAACACCGTGTCAGGGTACCCTTCCTTCTAAGCTGAAATGAGTCAGGGGGTGCCCGGCTGGGATGAGACAGATTAAAGAACGGTTTTTGTTTACCTTCATGCCCTTGGGTCCTGGGTAGCCAATCGGACCCAATGTTCCCATGTCGCCCTGGGAAGAGAAAGAGAAGAAGGCAGCAATGAGAGAGGCTCACAGGAGGCTGGCCTGGGAAGAATTCCAAGGATGCAAACCCCCTCACCCTGGGTTGATCTTGTAATTAGGCATGTTCGCCTCCACCGAAATACTGGAGTTAATTTCACAGAGGTCCTCTCCCAAGCTCATTTCTTGATTGGTGCCCCTCCCACTACCTCTTTCCACCTCATATGGGATTCTTCATACCCCTACTAGCTAAGGCAGGGGTTCCCAACCTCCAGGAGTTAATGCCTGATGATCCGAGGTGGAGCTGATAGAATAATAGTAGGGATGAAGTGCACAATAAATGTAATGCGCTTGAATCATCCTGAAACCATCCTGCCTCCCCGGTCCATGGAAAAATTCTTCCAGGAAACCCACTCGTGCCAGAGAGGCTGGGAACTGCTGAGCTAAGGGATTCAGGGCATTTCATTGGGCTTCTGTGGTCCTCAGCCTCCTGATCTATAAAATGCAGATGAGGAACCCTCCCCTCCGAGAGCTGCTGAAAGGGCAAAATAAGCACACACATAGGCTTTGACTCTAGTTTAGTGAAGTGTAGGAATTTCTGCTTCCAGAAGCTGGGCCCAGGAGCAAGGAAGGAGCGGGGCTGTCGATCACAGACATCAGAGTTGCAGACGGACCCTGGAGGACACTAAGATCAGCGGGTAAGTCCTGGACCACAGGTTGGAGACCCAGCATCCCATCAGATCAGCCCATTCAAGGTGGGAGCAGGTTACGTAGTTCATTCACCCTGGAGAGTCACATTCACTGAGGGCTGTGGAAAGGCTGCGAGGCGGTCAGCGTAGGTCAAGGCCAGACCACTCGGTCCCATCTCTCCTCCGAGGCTCACTCACTCATTGTGAGATTGTGAGATTGCCCGTTGTGAGATCTCCGTGCCTCGGATTCCTCATCTCCAACAGGGACTAATACTCTGTACCTCCTGGAGTCTGAAGAAGTAATTGACATGGATAAAGTACTTGGCACAGCCTGGAGGCATTTTTGGCGGTTACAACTGAAGAGATGCTACTGGCATCTCACGGGCGGAGGCCCCACAGCAAAGGGTTATCTGGCTCCGGGGACTTCCCTGGTGGTCCAGTGGCTAAGACTGTGTGCTCCCAAAACAGGGGGCCCAGGTTTGATCCCTGGTCAGGGAATGAGATCTCACACACCTCAACTAAGAGTTCACAGGCCTCAGCTAAGCCCCACCACAGACAAGTAAATAAATGACTTTTAGAAAACAATAATTATCTGGCTCAAATGTCAACAGTGTTGAGGTGAGAAAGCCTGGTCTAGAGTGCAGGAATGCACCCTCTTTCCCTGAAGCCTCCTCACTTCCTGCCCTGCCCTGCCCTATCACTATTGCCCTCAGCCACAGCCATCAAATTAAGCCCTCGCCCAGAGAGAGGGAGCCCCCGAAACAGTCTCTTTGCCCCCTTTTCCATCCTCTGTGACTGATGTACGTGTCTGGCTGCTATGTGAGCTCCATCAGCGTGCCCGACCTCTCCGGGCCTCGGTTCCCCACTCCCTGAGTCAGGCTCCATGGAGGTCCCTGGCAAGCCCTCCGAAGCCCTGGAGGAACGCAGCCTGACCCAGGTGGCTAGGCTCAAGAACCGGTTCCTGTGGGAGCTGCCTGGAGCTGGCTCGGAGGGAGGCTGGCAGAGAATGGAACTTCACATTCCTGCCGACTCCTGTGGAAGGAAGGGCCGAGATGGAGGGAAACACGCTGAGCTCAGAGACAGCAGCTGGGCCTGGCTGAGGCAATGCTGATTCTCAACCCCCACGCCACCACCCTCTTGAACCCACCTGACTGAGTGAAACCAACCCTTCTCGCTGAGCCTTTGCAAGGAATTCTGCTTTCAGTGCCCATTAGGTGATCTTATTAAGAAAGGGAGCGCTCAGTAGAATGGGTGATCATAGCAACACAGATGACCCCCGGGCAGGCACCACGCTGCACACTTCACATGCCTCACCTCTGTTACTGCTCCCGACGGCCCTTCATGATCTGCCTGATCTCCCCGTTTTACAGATGAGGAAACTGAGGCTCAGAGAGGTGAGGGCTTGAGCAAGTCGCAGAGCTCAGCAGAGTTGGGATTCACATTGGGTAGTCTGTCCCCAGAGTTTCTAAGCAATTCTGAAGTAATCTTGGGAGAGAAGAAGCCAGGATTGCTGGCCGGACAGAGGCTGGAGGGAAGGACAGCCAGCTTCTCAGTTAGGTTCTGTTCAGTCACTCAGTCGTGTCTGACTCTTTGTGACCCCGTGGACTGCAGAGTCCATCACCAACTCCCAGAGTTTACTCAAACTCATGTCCATCGAGTCGGTGATGCCATCCAACCATCTCATCCTCTGTTATCCCTTTCTCCTCCTGCCTTCAATCTTTCCCAGCATCAGGGTCTCTTCCGATGAGTCAGTCCTTCACATCAGGTGGCCAAAGCTCAGAGAAAAGCATTTCAGCTCTTTGGATGCTTTGGCTGGTCCCTCACCCTCGCCCCCCCCCGACCCCCGCACTGCCCCCACCCCGCTTTTCCTGGAGGAAGGGAGCAAACGGTGGCCACCCAGAGTTCCCCGCAGTGGTGCACATACAGACAAGGTCCTGCTGATGAAGAGGCTCCGATGGGGGCCGGGGTCTTGAACAGAGAGGACCACCCAGCAGCTCTGGGAACACACACTCCCTCTTCCCCAATCCAGACCTGATGGCGGCTTACTGCATGGAGGCTGGATGGAGGCACTCCACATGCATACACCGCCCCTCTCCAAAGGGGTCTGTGTCTGGTTGGGGGCCAGGGCCAGTGTGGGCTTCCCAGCCAAGAACCTGTGGGGAAAAGGTGGCTGCTTGCTGAGGACAGGTCTTCTTCATGTGGGCAGGACCCCCATGTTGGACCAGAAAAGCATTTGGGGGAGAATAGAGAAAACCTCAGGCCTCATTCCGCAGCCCCCTCCGGTGTAGCCCGCAGATACCAGCCTGCTTTGCACTCAGCACTGTCGTGGGCAGACTGGCCAAGAGACACACGAAGTCGGGTCCCACAAGAAAGCACAGTGAGTCATACCCGTAATCTGGAACCTGTTTCCCTGTCTGCCGGCCCTCCCAGATCCTGCTCAACACACTTCACCCCTCATCTCACAAACTCCCACCAAGAATGCAACATCAACTGGCCACATCTGCGACCACTGAAAGAGCTCCTGAGTGCCAGACGCCACACCAGACAGTTTCCAGCCTCAGCAGATCTGTTCGGACGCTCTCCAGCTGCTCACAGCTGTCCCACGGGGTCAGCACCATCGTTGGTGCCACGTCACAGATGAGAAAACTGAGGCTCAGAGTGAGGTGAAGCAACGTCCCCAAGACCAAGCAACAGGCAGGGGACACAGGCAGGACCAGAACAGGTCTGGGTGTCCGTCGGGTCTCGGAGTCCATGCTCACGGGCCTGGGGCTGACTCAGCTTACTCCAATGAAGGACCCAATGATGCCTTTCCTTGTTGCTCTCAATCATGAGGCAGGCTTGAGATTCAAAAACAGGTGAGAGTCCCACTCCCCTGCCCAACAGGTCAGCAGGTGTCCAGGCTGGGGCTTGCTAGGAACCCCTGAAAGAACACCTGGGGCGCTCCCAGTGCCCACCCTCACGGGTGCTGGCAGAGCCTTCCTCCCTGTTGTTCCTCTGGCGCTGGGCATCCCTGGCCACTGCCTCCTACACCGAGCGCTCCACCCTGAGCTCTCGCTATCCATTGTCCTCAGCATGAGCATCACTTCCCTGACCCCACAGGCCAGGTCAGGCTCCCGCCATCATGTCCAAGCCTGATGAGGCTTTAACTCATGGCCTATTCTACACGATGACCATTGACATGTGTGTGTATGTGGCCACTGCCTGCCCGGTGCCCTAGAGGAAGCGCTCACTAAAAGGGGTTAAATCAGTGGGTGAAAAAGAAGCCCACTCACTCTTTTCCAAACCCTCTAGGGAAAAACCCTCCCTGGAACTGCCTTTTGAAGGCAACAAGGCCTCCTTGAAACTCCAGCAGGAGGTCAGGAGCCTGGGGATGGGGACCCAGGTGACCAACCCTGGCTCCTGTGTGGTCTTCATAAGCACCATCTCTCACCCAGAAAATCTCCTAGCACTGTCCAGTTCACAGTCTCACACACCTGCTGTCTCCATTCACCCCAGAAGTCATGCGGAGCTGGAGGGACGGTGCCGTGGCAAAGGGCATGAACTGTGAAACAGACAGCTTCAGGGCTGTGTGACCTTGGGCAGGTGTGTCAGCCTCTCTGAGCGTCAGTTTCCTTAACTGTACAATGGTAATCCCACTCGTTACTCAGAGGGTTTCTGTGATAATTAAATACCTAGCATAGGGCCCGGCACATGAGGGTTTGGTAGATGTCAGCTAGCAGGGTTCCTGACCTTGCTTTATAGACAAAGAAACAAGGTCGGGGGATCATTTGGTGACAGGACACGGTGCACTTGTCCACTATATCTCACACGCTGAGATTTGGCCAGATCACATATCCTTTGGGCCTCATTAAACGGAGGAGGCAAGATTCCCTTTGTGTCACTCAGAATACAAAAGACAGAAATCTTCTCTGTTGAGCAGACTCTAGAATCAGGCATACTTTGTTTGAGGGCTAGCCAAAGGGATTCAATTACTCAAAGGGGGCTGCTTCAAGACTGGCTCACCTCAGAGACTGCAGGGGGCCACCCAGTGGCTTTTGGGATCAGGGTCACACAGGTCTGAGTGGCAACCCCCCTGCTGGTGACCTCGGGCCCCAGCCTTCCCACCGGGGTACCAGGCTGCTCCCACCTGCCTCATGCATCTCGAGGCCCCCAGCCTAATGCGTGTCAAGCACGCACAGAGAGACAGAAGCTCTGCAAATGTTTGTCTGTCCTCTCTCACCCTTCCTCCCATCTGCAAGGGCCCTGGGCACAGGGGATGTTTCAGTTTTGGTCTGCATGCAGACTGCTGCAGCTGACTAGTCCAAAGGCACTGAATAAATGTGGATCTCCATGAACATGATGGTCAGTACATGGAATTCCCATTTGCTCAGCTAGAAACCCACATCCTCTGGAAACTGTAGGTGACTCACAATCCCTCTTCCCTTTAGCTCCTGGTTAGAAAATTCCTTTTCCTCTCCAACTCTTTGGGGAGGCAATTTTTTTTTTTCCCCAGACACAGAAGCTGCTGTCCCCAAAAATCCAGGTCAGGAGCGGGTGCCTTGGGTGGGACAGGGTACTGGCTTGGAGGCTGATGGTGACTTGGTGGGTGCAGGTCTAGACCCACGACCCACCCTCCCTGCCAGGCATACGGGGAAAGGAAGGTCACCCTGGCACCAGAGGGAGTTTAAAAACAGGGGAAGCAGGATTGAAAGTGGCCAAAGAAAGACATGAGGCAAGGTGTGGGGGACGGAGGGTGGGGTGGACTCAGTTCTTCGGAAAGGAGTAACAGGAGGATCGCAGGGCCTGATAAATGCAGGGACATCCAGGGCTCACCCCCAGCTCAGGCCCCTCAGAAAAAGGAGGGAAGAGAAGTGCCCTGAGCTAAGAGTTAGGAGGCACGGCCTCTGATCATGCCTCCATCTTCTCCTGCCTTGGGTGCGACCTTGATCTAGGGCCTCACTTTTCCTATATGTCCAATGGGATTTTCCTAAGACATACTGAGCACAGAGTTGTCAGACTGAGTGAATACAGGATGCCTGGTTAAAATGTGAATGTCAGATAAACAGTCAAACAAAGGAATGACATTAGAGTGTAAATGTGTTTTAAATAATGTATCTGAAATTCAAATTTCACTGGGCCTCTTCTATTTTATCTGGCAGCCCTTACTGTGGAGAGCAAAGGGGAGCATCGGTGGGAAGAGCTTTTAAAGAGTCAGGAAGGCCAAGGGCTGTAATGGCACAGTCTCTAGAATCCGCGTGCGTTCGGCCAAGCAATACTCTCGCCCCTCTCAGGATCCAACCCAGTGGACGCCAACAATGACAAATAGGATTGTGTGCCAAGAATGACAGCCAAGATATGTAAACATCCCTGCAGAAAAGCTTTAGGGACGGGGATCATATAGCCTGAAGAAGCAGCCTTAGGAAGAACAGACGCAACCATCTTTACATCTTGAACAGCCTCTCCCAGGGACAGGGAGATGAGTTGGACTCAAAACACAGGAAAACCCTGCACAATGAGAGCTCTGTGAAAGTAGATGGACTTTCAGGGGAGGGAGCGTCCAACACCAGGGTGTTCTAAGTTGGAGTTTAATGACCATATGACCAAAATCCTCCAGAAGGGAGTCCTGCTGAGCTTCAAGAAGGTTGGACCAGAAGACCTCTGAGATCCTCATAAAGTCAGGTTCCCAAATACTCATTGCAGAAATTTCTTTTTCCAAAGCATTCAGGTCAGTGCCTTGTGCCAAAGAAGGTGCTCCACAAAGGACATCAGGGATGACAAATGTATGACTCACATGTTGACACTTCTTAATCCCAAGCCAAGGCAGACATCACCAATCAATTGCAGCACTATCTCCCGATGATTTCTAATGTGACTTTGAACTCTTTCTCAATGCAGCATTCTAAACGGCTGCGGTTCTGTGCTGGGCTTGGTGGCTCAGTCGTGTCCGACTTTTTGTGACTCTATGGACTGCAGTCCACCAGGCTCCTCTGTCCATGGAATTCTTCATGCAAGAATACTGGAGTGGGTTGCCATGCCCTTCTCCAGGAGGTCTTCCCAACCCAGGGATTGACTCTGGGTTTCCTGCATTGCAGGCAGATTCTTTACTGTCTTGAGCTGCCAAGGAAGCCCTAGTGTACATAAAACACTACTACTACTACTGAATCACTACTTATTAGCAGTAACTACTTTACTATTTATTAACAAGTAGTAGTCATAAAATCATTATTATGATTATTACTAAATTTATTGTCATTATTCCTAGTGCTTCTTGAGTGCTTACTATGTACTTCTTGCTGTTGTTCAGTTGCTAAGTTGTGTCCGACTCTTTGTGAGCCCATGGACTGCAGCACGCCAGGCTTCCCTGTCCTTCACCATCTCCAGGGCTTTCCTCAAACTCAAGTCCACTGAGTTGGTGACGCCATCCAACCATGTCATCCTCTGTCGTCCCCTTCTCCTGCCTTCGATCTTTCTCAGCATCAGTACTAGCAGTTTATAGGTACTAGTTTCCCTGAATGCTCACAGCACTCTCCCAAGTTAGGTACTGATATTATTCCCATTTTAAAGATGAAGAAATTGAGACATGGGAGGCTTAGAAAATGTGCTCAGAATGGCAATTAAAAGAGTGATAGTGCTAGGATTTGAACCCAGGTAACCTGGTTCTGGACTGGTCTGGGTATACATGTTGTCCTAACAAGAGTGAGCATAAAGATCCCATCTGATAGTGGATCCCTGAGGCTCAGGAAGTGAGCCTATAACTGAAGACCACAGAGCCCAGAGGAGGCGAGGCCAGGATCTGCACACAGGCTGATCGGACCTCCACTCCTCACCCTGCCCTGGTTCTGCTCTCACCTACCTGAGCAGGAGCACATTGCCCATGGGAGCCTCTGGGCCTTCTTCCCAGGACTGGTCTTCCCTGAACAATGACCTCCCCAACTCTCCAGGGCCTTCCCCAGCCTCCTTCTCAATAGAAGGTCTCAGCACGATGGCTGGAGTAGCCAAAGCTGGCAGCCCATTTGTCAAACCAGGCAACAGCCTCCTTGTGTGAGCCCCTGAGACTCAAATCCCACAGGATATGTCCCAAAGAACAGAGGAGGAGCATCAGACCCTTAGGGAAGCTCCTAGACTTATTTCCTAGACTCAGGCCTGTCACTGGCCCTCGGGCCTGGGCCCAAGGTCGGGGCTCACCCTCTGAAGGTCTATTGGGGAGCTCCGGTTTTGGTTAATAGCACTACTCCACAAAGCTACCCCAACCTGGATGAAGTCAGAAGTCAGATTGCCTCCTACCTCCCTGGTACAGGCCTCTCTCAGTCCCAGGCACATCAAGAGATAGCAATAAGAAATGACATTTTAAAATAAAAGCAATATTTTCCACTAATTGCATATTTACTGAATGCCAGATGTACCAAAGATAGTACAAGAATGCCTCGTTTAATCCTCACAGCCCTTCCAAGAGGAGTCTACCATCATACCCATTTTACAGATGAGGAACTAAGGCTCAGAGAGGGTAAGTGACTTGACCCAGGTCACACAGCCTGGTCATGGCAGAACTGGGACTTGACTTCAGGTGATCTGGCTCCAAGGTCAGTGTTCTGAAAAGGATGGAGAAGACTGTCCAGCGTGGTCCAGAGACTCAGCGCCTCTGCTAGTCACTTCCTTTGTCTGGACCTGAAGCACCTCATCTGTCGGATGGACACACTACCGCCTGCCTAGACCTTGCTGCAGAAAAATGGACAGGCAGCAGGGGTGAAAGCACACGGCCGTCTCACGCTCCAAACCCTTCCCCGTTTGAGCAATAACGAAAGGGGCTCAGAGAAGTTTGGTGATCCGCCTGAGGCCACACGGCATGGCTGTCCTCCATTAGTCCCCTGCCCCGACTGCCCTGTCCTGCTCTCCCAGCTCCTCCAGGGGTCTGATGAGAGAGGAGCGTTTTCAGCAGGACTTGTAGCTCATTCCCCACACTCTCCCTCCTGGCCATTCCCCTCCCCAGGCATCTGTGTACTTACGATGAGGCCGGGGACTCCTGGGGGCCCTGGCAGGCCCAGTTCTCCCTGCAAAGAAAGAGAGACCAAGGTGGTTACTGGCTCTGTCCCCCTCCAGACCACGCCCTCCACCCCATCCTCCATGTGGGCCTCTGGTAGACTCCTTCAGAGCCGACCATTCTTTGTTCCTGACTCTCCTGAGCCTGGCCTGGAGTTTGGATGAGAACTTCCTCCTTTGTCATCAGCTTTCCACATCTGTAAGGTGGGGAGGTTGGGTTTCTAATCCAGCACCTTCCAGTGGCAGGTGTGAGAATGGGCAGAATCCTGACTGTGGCAATAGAGATGGGCAGGATGCCTGGCCCAGGAGATCTCATTTCACTCTCACCTTACAGATGGCAAAACTTAGGCCCAAGGTCAGGCAATTGTCCTAAGGTCAAGAGCGAGGAAATAACAGGGGGGTGAGGACACCAAGCCGAGACCCACCCGGCCAGCCTCCCTCCATTTCTCAGCCAGAAGATACTGGGGGCATTGAGAGAACCCCCGAACCCCCCAGAAGAAAGAGGCTCTCAGGTTCCACCTTCCAGGGCCTCTGAGAGGCTGGGAAGCTCTCGCCTGGGAGTCAGGAGATACGGCCATGTATGGGCAAGTTTGTTTTCCAAATCTCTATAAATGGACCTTCAATTGTTTGCACCAGAAAAGACAGGTAGAGGGGACTGGATCAAATTCAAACTGCAAAAGTGGGAATAAAAATAGGAAGCTCTAGAAATGGTGATTATGAACCACCAACATCCTCCTGGGGGGTTGTCTTCCTTCATCTGTGTGATCAGATGGGACATCATCACTACAGCCACCGAGAAGGGGAACAGGAGGTGAGGAGGAGCCTTGGCTTTAAAGCGAAGGGTCTGAGACTCGGGAAAGGGAAGGGACTTGTTCAAGGCCACTCGACTATGCGGCAGAGCCGGGACCAGTCATCAGGTCCTCTTCCTACTCCTCCGGACCGTGAGTACAGAGTCATCCCCTCCCCAAGGACACTTCCAGGATGACATCACCTGTTATATGAATAGCGGTTAATCCGGTGACTGGTACAATGAAGGAAAGACTCTGGTTTCCCACTTCTGACCCTTGCCAGTGCTCTTTCCTCCACCTGGAATGCCCCACCACCACCTCTCTCCTCATCCCAATTCCAATGCCATCTTCCCCAGGAGTCTTCTCTGCTTCATTCTCCCGCCTCCATAGCACCTGTGACCTCTCTGATCCCATGTGTCTCACTTCACCCCGTGCAATGGACTAGGGAGACAGCCATGAGCTCCTCCAGGGCAGGAACAGGCCCCATCATTACCCACTCTTCCCAACCCCTCCGTCCAGTGAAAACCCAGCACCTCCCTGCCCTCCCTCACTGCATTCACGCAACACCTCTAGGAGACTAGCGTCAGATCCCCATCATTTACAGATGAGGAAACTGAGATCCAGACAGGGCAACTGATTTGTCCAAGCTTCCATGCCTGGCAAGGGGTGCAGAAGGATCCGAACCCGGACCCATCTGGTTCTGAGGCCAGGGCTGCAGGTCTCCGGGTAGCCCGGGAGTCAGCCCCAAGCTGGGTGAGGCTCCAGGAGCATTTGTGGAATTTAAAACAAGCACATATCAGGTGCTGACTATGGATCTAGCAGCCACCTCTGCCGAGGGCATGGCTAGGCACAGCTGCGCAGGCGGGAAGCCCCAGGACAGATGGGGGCACACGGCAGATGTGCCAAAGAGCCCTGGACATGATCTGCACTTCCAGGCAGAGAGCATGCTTTCCCACCACTGGAGCTGGAGTCTGGGACGGCAAGGGAGAGGCGGGCTTGGCTCCCCAGGGCAGGCTGACCTGGCTCCCTGACGGCCCTCGATTATTTACAAACTCTATAAACATGCCTGTGCTGGAGATTTTCTTTAGAACTCAGCTCTTCCCTCCATACAGGGCCTGCAAACCATCTGCTCCCCCAGGCCGCTGCCATCCCATAAACATTTCTCAGACTTTATAACATGGTAGTGGCCCTGGATTCCCCAGCAGGAAGTGACCCACGAACCTTCCTGACTCCTTGAGGATGGAACAAAGCCTAGGGCTTTGGGACCTGGAGCTCAGTGGGCTGGAGGACTCTCCTGGAGTGGGGTGGGGTGGCTCAAAGGCCATCCATAGTAGACAGAAGCCAGGAATTCAGGAAAATCATGCAGTCCACCCAGGAGCACCCAGCTCGTGGGTGAGCCGGCTGGGTGACCTAAAAGCTTAGGGTCCTAAAACCTGCTGTGTGCTTGTTCTTAATCTCTTTCCTGTTCCCAAAAAAGATGGGAAATACTTACAGGGTTTCCATCCAGTCCTGGAGGGCCTCTTTCCCCAAAGTCTCCAGGAAACCCCTGAGAGTAGGAGAGAGAGCAAACATCTGCAGATTAGTGTGTATACCTGCGGGCGGCTTGGATCCAGACCCCGAGGGGACACAGGACACGTCCATGCAGTCTCACTCGCTGGTTCCAGGATCTGGGCAGGCTCTGGAGTCCTGAGTCACCTTGAGCCCTCAACAAACATCCTTCCCCTGTTGGCCCCCACTAAAGAACTTCCCAAGGACTGGGTACTGTACAGAAGCCCATGGCCAGAGAGCCTTCTTTTCATGTTTCCTGAGTGTCAGAAAAGAGCACCCAGCTCCCTGGCACGTAAGGGCCAAACCCCAAGCTGAGACTTCCCTGGTGGCTCAGTCAGGAAAGAATCCACCTACAATGCAGGAGACCCGAGTTTGATCTCTGGATCGGGAAGATCCCCTGGAGAAGGAAATGGCCAGCCACTCTAGTACTCTTGCCTGGAAATTCCATGGACAGAGGAGCCTGGCAGGCTATAGACCATGCAGTCGTGTATGACTTAGCAACTGAACTATCACCAGGCTGAGACCCGGTCCGGATAGAGTCGGGGGTCAGGTAGGTCTAGGCCTGCACCAGTCACTGACTTGCTGAGAGTTTTGAGTCATGCCTTCCCCCTGAGTGAGCCTCAGTTTCTCCACTGGTCCAAGCAGGAGAGGCTTCTGCAGCATTTCCCAGTCCAGACCTTCTGCGATTTCTGTGATGTGCTCTTTAAAAGCTACCCTCTGGAGTCACGACCCTCATTTTACAGATGAAGAAAGTGAGGCTCTGAAAGGGCAGGTGTCAAGGTCACAGAGTCACACAGATAGGGAATACAGGCAGCATGACCACAGGTGAGTTTCGGCAGCCAAGAGGAACAGGCGGCCCGGCGCGGGCAGGTCTGGCCCTCTCGCCCCCGCCCTGACCCCTTCTCCACGCTCTCTGGGGAGACAGGCAGCTGGAAAAACATCAGCTGTGGAGAAGCTTCTTGGAGCCGAGGAGGGGGGCATAACTCCATTCTACTTCAAAAGGAAGAGAAAGTCCCTGAGCTTGGAATTCAGGGAAACCTGTTCTCCTCTCCTTGAATTCAAATCACTGTTTTTCCAGGGAAATTTAATAAAAAAAAACAAAGCACATGTTTCTCTGACCAAGAGGAGGCCTGAGCTGTTCAAACAGTCAAGATTCTTCACGGAGGATAATTTATTTCTGGTTTCTGAAGCCACCGGGGGAATCCAGAAAGTAGATTAAACTAAAAAGACCAAAGATAAAAACAAAACCCAAGCCAATTACAAAGTCTATACTGGCTGAGCAAAAAGACCTTGAAGTGTGTGTGCATCTAGGCCTTTGTCTCGCCCTGCCCAAAATACTATTCCCCTCAAATCCCTCCTCTGCCAGGAAACCCCAGTGGACCAGAAGGAAAGGCGTTGATATAGACCCTGTAGGAGGTGTGGCTTCATTCTGGTACCCAAAGGAGGAAATGAGGACACATTAAAGAGATCTGGGCCAAGCCAGCGACTCTGCACGCAAAACTTTACGTGCCTTTGACATTCGCCCTGGAGGGGAAGGTTATTGGTCCCATTTAACAGAAAGGGAAATTGAGGCTCAGAGAGAGAAATGTCACCTCACCAAAGACAAAAAGAAAGTCTGTGGCAGAGCTGAGCCCAGGTCCCACCTCTCTGAACTCTGCCATATTTGCATGATCTGAGTATGAGCACATCCTGGCATGCAGAAGCTGCTCAAATGTGTGCCTGACTGATTTTAGAGAGCGGTAAAGGTAGGCGCGCGCGCTTGCGTGCACACGTGTGTGTGTGTGTGCGTGTGCGTGTGTGCGTGCGCACATGAGCATGCCCCTCCAGATCAAGTTTTCATGGGGCTACATCTGACCCTATCTAAGATGCCTCTTCCCACATCCTTAGGGTCCCCCCTGGCAAATTCCAACCCAGCCCCGCTTGGGCATGCTATAAGGTAGAGAGCCCTCTCCTGTCCTGGGGCAAGAGAGATCAGCTGGGCGAGTAGTGGGCAGGGGAGGCTTCTGAAGGCATTTGAGCCACCACCTCTGACCTTGGAGCATGCGGCTGGGGGCTTGGCGAGACAGAAGGACAATCCCTCAGGCGACAAGGTGGGATGCTGTCTAGCCGGACACCTGGCTGACTTCACGAGGCAGGGTTTGGGGAGTCCATGCTGTGCTCTCCAGATCCAGGCTCTGGAGACAGCCTGGAGACTGACCTGGGCTCACCCCCAGGTGGGCTGTGTGACTACAGGCAGGCCCTCACCTGACCCACTGTCCTCTCAGGCTGGGGGTGTGCTCTCTGAGAACCCTGCGGCTTGGCCCATCCCTTAGATAAGGCCTGGAAGGGAGGAGCAGGAGTACCCCTGGACCCCACCACCAGCCCCATCACCTCAGGAAGACAAGACAGCGTGACTGTACTCCCTGGGCATCAATCCTGGCTGAGATGCCCAACGTGTTCACACACAGAAGCCACCAGATAGGTTCAAACCCATGGGTCTGCAGTCAAGGCCACGCTAGGCTGGCCCAGGGACTCCTCTCAGACCCAGCTGCCAGGCCAGCTTCCCCCATGAGGCTTTAGAACCAAAGCAACAGGATGCCAGCCCTCCACCACGTGGGCCTCTCCAAGCCTCGGTTTTCTCTGCTGTACAGTCGGGGTCCTGAGAGTTTGAGCCAAGATGCTGGATGGACGGCAAGTCCCTGCCGGCACGTGGAGGCAGCAGCAATGCCAGGGCACCTCTCTGAGGCTTAAGCCAAGACGAGACCATCAGAATCAATGGTCGAAAACCCAAAGAGAGACACTTATGTGGACAAAATGCAGCCTGAGGAGAGCCAGTGGCTGATGATGGTGGGGTGACAGCAACGACAGAAACAGCCCCATGACAGAGGGCCTATTATTGGCCCCATTTTCGAGATGAGGAAACTGAGGTCCAAGGATATTAGGGAACTTGTCTGAAGTCACACAGCTATGGAATAGCAGAACTGGGATCTGAACTCAGGCAGTCTGACTCCAGAGACCATTCTCTTGGCTATGAATGAACAGTGAGTACACAGAATGGCTAGAGCAAGCCTGTGGCCTCTCAAGGGCGCATGAGAGCCCTAGGCTAATGGGTAAGAGGGAATGGCATTGCTGAGGCTCAGGACTGATTCTGGTTTATCCGATGTGCTCAGCGGCCTCAATAGCCAGCCCCGTATCCACCTTTTCTCCCTTTCTTCAGAGCCAAGCAGATGACCTAGAAATCTAGGGTAATTAAGAACACAATAATCCAAAAAAGGGCTTCCTGGTGGCTCAGATGGTAAAGAATCTGCCTGCAATGTGGGAGACCTGGGTTTGATCCCTGGGTTGGGAAGATGCCCTGGAGGAGGGCATGGCAACCCAGTCCAGGATTCTTGCCTGGAGAATCCCATGGACAGAGGAGCCTGGCCTACAGACCATGGGGTCACAAAGAGTCGGACACAACTGAATGACTAGGCACAGCACAATCAGAAAAAAGACAGGGCTTTAAAAGAGCTGGAATTGGCATCCAGATCTGCAACTGGAATAATCATAGATGGTCTAAGATGGAAAGACCCTAGCTGTTCTTGGCATTCAGCACCTCATTCATCAGTGGGGAAACTGAGGCCCAGAACCTGCCCAAGGCCCCCTCACCTCGCTAGCTTGCTGTACCCCTCCACCGCTGAGCAACACATCCCAGTTCTGACACTTGCCCAGGGCCCTGACTCTTGATCCAAGGGATCCCAGAGAGGTGGCGGTGGAGCTGGACGCGTACCACAGCTTCCACCCTGCTTGCTTCTGCCTGTCTGGCCGCGCCCACCCGTGCACAGCGTGCACTAACAGCCCGGCGGCCGATGGCGGGAGCTCCGCAGGCTCGAGCTCCCGGCTACAGCAAGCTGGCCCGAGGCCCAAGGAATGAGCTCGGCGCCCTGCTGGGCCCCAGCCACGTGGTTTCTCCACTTCCCCAGGTCAGGCCCCCCTGGGGAACTGAATGCCTCGTACTTGGAGCAGAACAAGGCCCAGGAGGAGACAGAACCAGGATCCAGGGCGAGACCACATTCTCTCCTGGCTACAGCAATTCAGAGGAACAGACGCCCAAACAGGGACGGTTCTCATAACCACATCTGTGGCCGGATGCCAGGGGCTGAGGAGGCCTCTGAGGGCCATCTTCTCCACCCCCTCCCTCCAGCCAGTGTCTACACCGACGGCCTGCTCCAGAAGCTGAGATGTCAGGGCAGGGATGCCTGCAGTCTCCAGGATCAGAAGTTCTGCTACGTCTTGAAGACACAACTCTCCGGCTGGCGAGATGGTCAGTCCTGCCCCACCCACCTGACAACTCACCTGCCCAGCTTCCCCTGTGCTAAGGAAGAAGTGAGATGTTTGCAATCCCGCCTCTGGTAACATTAGGCCTTAGTTTCCGAAAAACTCTACGACGACATCACACGCTGGTTAGGCGCTAACAGTGGAATTCATAATAACCTCGAGGAGAAGCCTGCAGAAGAAACTTGGAGCCCTCTTTACAGGGTTTACAGCCTCTAAAGTTGAGAAGCTCCTGCACAGGTTTGATCTGTATCCTTCCTAATACATTGACAACAGCCTGTATTCTTTTCCAGGAGATGCGTGCCCTCTGAGTGCTCCAACAGGGGAAGACTCCTGAAGATCCCTGCACCCTTTTCTCACGCTGAGCATGTCTTCACCCTACCTTCTGATATCCAGCTGGGAGGGAATCCCCCCACAAGGAGTCACCGTGGGAAGGAAGGAGGAGGGAGGAAGGGAGAGTGCTCAGCAGAATCCCAGGGTTGCCAACAGCCCTGGGGGCAGTTTCAATTCCAGTTTTGGACCCTAGGGATCACACCCCCAGCTCACAGCATCACCAGCGCTTAGAACCTTCATCTGTTTTGTCCTCAGTTTCTCCATTTGGAAAACACTTTGCTCCCTGCTGCCCTCGGGCTGAGAAAGAGCTTGAAGCCAAAACTGAACTATGTGAGAAGCCCTGTCCTGCCCCAGACAGGCATGTGGCCTTGGACGAGTCCCAAGTGTCCCTAAGCCACACACGGAGGGAACCGGAGCCAAGGCTGGACCTTTCCAGCTCTAAGCTTTAGGGTCTGCCCGCCTGACTCGCTACACAAGACCAGTCCTGGCAGGTCTGGCCAGAAGCCACGAGAGAAGCTGTGAGCAGGGGCTGGCCTTGCCAGGCATTCCAGCGGGCTTGACAGTGAGGCCACAGAGCGCAGGACAAGAGGATGCACTATGGAGTCTTCCTAGGCCCCATGAGATTTTGCAAGGCATGGCTCTGTCCACAGCCATGTCACTGCGTCGTGCCTCTAACAGGCCAGCAGAAATCTCTTTGACTCCAGCCAAGCTTGTAACATCTTATATCTGGACCCCTCCTTGGGAAACCACAGCACATTTCTCTTTCTAGCAGGCGATGTGAGATGAAAGCTGTGGAGCAAGCTTTCCTTTGGAGGCTGAAGGGGGAGCACAGAGAGGAGAGGGGTGGCATGGAGAGCACTCTGCCTGAGCAGGCAAGGGTCCTGGGTTCAAGTCCAGATTCTGCCACCCATGTGCTGTGTGACCTCGGGTGAGTTTACTGGCCTCTCTGAGCTATTTCTACTTATGCGTCTGACCTAGAGGTGGGGCCAGGTCATCACTAGGGTTCCTGCAGCTCTGATGTGCTCTGACCTCTGCTGTGTTTCACAGCTCCCATCCGCAGAAGACTCCCACACAGCCTCCTGATGCTGAGCAGGCCGTATGCATGGGCCTGAGGTTTTGCTTGCTGGAGAGAAACGGACCACAGCAAAATCATCACCAGCCCTGCCAGAAATGAGGCCAGCTGCGATCTGGCATGAAGGGATTCAGCTCATTCTCCTGACATTTCCTCTTGGTAATAAGTGCCTAGAAATCATCTGGCCCCAAGCTTTTGACCAGAGGAAAATCCATTCACAGAAGGAGCCCCCAGCTCCCATCAGGCAGATCAGGGGCTTAGGAGCACGTAACCAGGGGATGGCCCTAAAGACCAGGCGAGGAGTGTGCAGGCCAAGGGCACAGCAGACTGGGAGGCCAGGCAAAGGCACACGCAAAGCCCAAAGGACTCAGGGATATAAAGTCTATTCCATACACATTAAATCATCCCGAGGCAGGCCCTGCCCACGTGCTGGCCAAGATGGCTGGACCAGAGTCAAGCGGACTTTCACGGCCCTCTGGGGCATTGTACCGTCACAGGGCTCCTTGGCGGAATGGCGGTGGTTCCTCGCCTGGCACCCCAGTGCCGGGAACACCTATTATGGGGCGCAGGGTGGAATCTTAGGGAGTTAAAGGCACAAAGACGTGGAGTGAAGGGACAGAAATGAGTTGTCTGTTACAGGGGTTGAAGCGTGGCAAGGCCTCAGAGGGTCTCTGGGTACATGGCTTTGAAGCCATGGTTTCCTTGCCTGGAAAATAGATAATCAATCTTAACTCAGTGAATCAGTATGAGAACCACATGTAGTGGTTCAAATGCCAGGCAGGTAGCAGGGTCCGGGAATGTGTGCTTGGTCACGTAGTTGTGTCCGACTCTTTGCGACCCCATAGACTGTAGCCCACCAGGCTCCTCTGTCCATGGAATTTTCCAGGCAAGAATACTGGAGTGAGTGGCCATTTCCAACTCCAGGGGCTCTCCTGACCCAGGGGTTGAACCCATGTCTCCTGTGTCTCCTGCCTTGGCAGGTGATTTCCAGGCCTGCACTGAGACATTCTACCTGAGCCAACTGCTCCCACTCTGTGACTGAAACTTTGGGAAAACAGACCCAGAGAGGTAAGGCCATTGGCTTAAATTCACACAGCCCAGAGGAATCCTCAGTCAGCTACAACACTAAAAATAGAAACAATGACTGCTACTATCTATTGAGTTTTTATTCTGTGACAAGCACAATGACCCTATGAGCTAGAAGCTATTATCCCCATTTTTCAGATGAGAAAACTGCAGTTCAGACCCAGTAGTGCTCCTGCCCCAGGGCCTTTGCACCTGCTCTTCCCTCAACCTGGAATGCTCTTCCCCACAGCAGCCACAAAATTAAAAGATGCTCGCTCCATGGAAGAAAAGCTATGACAAAGCTAGACAGCATATTAAAAAGCAGGGACATCACTTTGCTGACAAAGGTCCATATAGTCAAAGCTATGGCTTTTCCAGTAGTCATGTATGCATGTGAGGCTGGACCATAAAGAAGGCTGAGCACCGAAGAATTGATGCTTTCAAACTGTGGCGTTGAAAAAGACTCTTGAGAGTCCCTTGCACTGCAAGGAGATGAAACCAGTCAATCCTAAAGGAAAATCAACCCTGAATATTCACTGGAAGGACTGATGCTGAAGCTGAAACTCCAGTACTTGGCTACCTGATGTGAAGAGCCAACTCATTGGAGAAGACCCTGATGCTGGGAAAGATTGAAGGCAGGAGGAGAAGGAGACGACAGAGGATGAGATGATTTGATGGAAACACTGACTCAATGGACATGGGTTTGAATAAACTCAGGGAGATGGTGAAGGACAGGGAAGCCTGATGTGCTGCAGTCCATGGGGTCGCAAAACAGGACTAAGTGACTGAACAACAATTAGCTGTCAGGCACAAAGGACTGTTCTAGGTCTGAGGGTGAGGCACCCCTTCTATTAATTCCATAAGGTCAGGACCTGGATGTTGCTTTTCTCTGAACCTCTCAACTTGGCCCCCAGAGGGTCCTCTGGGCTTGTGTGTGCGGGAGTATAGGTCCAGATCCCTATACTACAAGAGGTAAGGCGTCATGGACACGCATGTCAACCCCAGAATCACAGTCAACCCCCTTTCTGGCCACCCTGAGTGTTCCTGGCTCCCTCGCAGCTGCCTCTCACCTTCTAACCACTCCCACTATCCCTTCTCCATCAACCACAAACAAAGGGAGGCCCAGACCCAGAGCTGAAGATGGTTCCAAGCCCAGGAGTTAACCTGCGGGGCAGCAGCAGAGAACCTTAAGCCACCAGCAGGGGCCGGGCCTGAAAGAAAGACACTTCAGTTACAATCCCGGGTCTCCTTCGACCTGACAACGAGACCCTGGACGTATCACCCTGCCTCTCAGAGCCTCAGTCTCCCCTTGTGAAAAATGAGATCGTTGGAATGAATGACTTTCCCCCAAGCGAAGATTCTAGGACTCCACTTCCACAGCGTTATTGCCAACTAGTGAACTTGAGCCAACGCTGAGGTCAGAGGCCCTGGACAAAAACCGAATTAGTGTCCTGGCTCTGTTGTCAAACTGTGGGCAAGTTACTTGAGCTCTCTGGGCCTTGGCTTTTTCTTCCTGCCCCACAGATGCTCCAATAAAGGGAGAAATCATTTCCATCTACAATGGACAATCAGGGTCAGAGCTGGTGAACTGGGGTTCCTGCTGAGCCCCTCTCGTGGTCGCGTCTCCGGTGGGCCTGCCCAACACCCCAGGGTCCTCTGGCCTTGTGTGTGCGGGAGTAGAACAGGTAACACCAGGACAATACAGAGACTGAGTGTTCTCAGACAGAGAAGCACAGACAAGGTCTAGACAAGGTCTCCCAGCATGGCACTCATGACCCAGACAACAGAAGCCCCCCAACACAGAACCGCCTTGCAGGACAATTGCTGGATGCGCTGAGAAGCTCCATGCCAGAAGGGCCCAGAGTCCTCAGGAGCCCCCAGCCCCAGCCGTGCAGCAGCCACTGAAGTGTTCCGGCAGCAGGACACAAGGCCCAGACAGCCCCCCAGGCCTGCCCACACACTCAAAGCAGAAGAGCAGAGAGAAGCAAAGAATGCCCAGGCCATGGGTGGACGGGGCCACATGGCCAGTGGGAGGTCAGGTTCACCCATAGAATCTGCGTAATAGACACGGAAAATCTTTACCGGCCTACCCATCTTGCCCCTCTTGCCAGGAACGCCAGGCAGGCCCTGTAGAAGGAAACAGGGACGAGATCAGCACAGGATTCCAGCAGGAGACTGACAGCGTTGCTCCAAACCCGCCTCTCTTCCACCCACAAGAGAAAGTCACAGTAGGCCTGGGGTCCACAAACACAACAGGCGCCAGTGATGGGCACATTGGACGGATGGTCCTTAAATGCAGGTCCTCAGAGTGAGGGCCTGCAAGGACCTGAGCTGGGGAGATCCCTAAGGAAAGCACCCAGGACTCTGGTATTCAGCAGATACTCAATACATGCTCCCGCTGTTTCCCTGTGATTCTTATTCCCCAGCTTATTGATGAGATTACAGCTGAGTCCCCAAATGTAGGCTCAGGTGGAGAGGGGACAGAGCCGGTCTAGAGGCAGGTGGGGCACACCACCTCTGTTCTGGGAACTCCAGCAGCCCCGGACACATATACACAAATGAGCGCAGTGTGTTCAGGAAAGGTTCACGTAACTCGTGCCTGGTGGATCTGGTCCATGGGCCATATTGATTGGAAATACAAAATAAGCCCACTTTTCATTTGCCGAAAGCCTTTCAGGAGCTCCTCATGCTCTCGGAACAGTCCCTCTCCTAATCCCAGTTCCTGGGGGCCGTATAGCTGTGCCCAGGGGCCCCCTCCAGCCCGTCTCCTATCTGCATCCCTGCCTTGCACTCAGAGCTCCGTGCTGTCAAACTCGCCAGGTAAGCTTCTGTCCCTGACTTTGCACATGCTGTTCTCTGTGTCTGGAAGGCGTCTGCCTCGATTTCACCCCTTAGTGGCCTGTTTAACTCCGGGGCACCTCCTCCAGGAGGGATTCTAGAACTTTTCCAGGCTGGCCTGTGGCAGAGGGTGGTGAGGTAGGTGAGAGAGAAACAGAGAAGGCATACTCACTCGCTCGCCATCGGACCCTGGCAGGCCGAAGAGCCCCGGGAGTCCAATGTAGCCCTAGGCAAAGAGCAGAGGGGAGGTCAGAAGGGCTGGCTGGCGGGGCATGGCTTGCCCGGCCCGGCCCGGCCCCCTCTAGCTGCACTCTGCGCCCAGGTCCTCTTCCTTGCAGGCAGCGGCGGCGGCTCCAGTGGTTCCACGATGACATAGGCCTTGAGGCAAGTGTATATGCCCATGGACTGCATGGTGCTGGCTTCCACGATGTAGTCCAAAGGCACATACCCTCACGCCAGGGAAGGGCACGGGCGCTGCAGGGGAAGGCCCGCCCCATGCCGGGGGCTCCTGGACCTGCTGGAAGGAAGCTCTCTGCCGGGTTAGATGCCGGGGTGGCAGCAAGCCCTACCCACCCTCCCAGGGAGGCTGGGGGGGGCACTCGCGGCTCCCTCCTTCTAGGCCTCCAAGGCTGCGCACGTGGGGCTTGCATCACCCTGGACCGCCTGAGTGTGGCCGGCAGTGACAGCCGCTGCCACCCCGGCATGCTGGCATCCTGCCAAGCATGTGTGCCGCTGCATCCAGCCCGCCCAAGGACCCTGCAGATGGCCCATCCGCCTCCTCACTGAACAAAGAAGACCCAGGCTCTGGAGAGAAAGCAGCACAGCGAGACAGGGGTGGAGTCTGGTTCGTCTGCCCTCCAGCCTCTATCCACTCCATGCCCCCCATCAGGCATGCCCTTTCCACCCCCCCGACTGCAGAAGCAATGCTTTCAAGTCCAGCTCGGAGGTGCTCGCCTCTGGCTAGCATCCCTGATGCCTCCAACCAGAAGCAACCTCCTCCCCTCTCCCCGGCCCCCTATTTATACCCCCTGCGTTTGGGCTAAGCTGCTTCAGTGTCATGTCTGACTCTCTGCGACCCCAAGGACTGCAGCCCACCAGGCTCCTCTGTCCATGAGATTCTCCAGGCAAGAATACTGGAGTGGGTTGCCGTTTCCTCCTCCAGGAAGTCTTCCCGACCCAGGGACTGAACCTGCATCTCTCGTGACTCCTGCATTGCAGGTGGATTCTTAACCACTGAGCCACCAAGGAAGCCCCTATTTGTACCCCACTTAATAGATTTACCGCTTTCTTTTCTGTATCTTCATTATCTGTGTCCACGTTTCATGGCCTCATTAGCCCAGGAACTTCTCCAGAGCAGGGACCTAGCCCATGGTTCCTATCACTATCTGTACTCTCTAGATGTTTGTGAAATGACTTCACTGATTGAATGGCCATGAGTTTGAGCAAACTCAGGGAGATGGTGAAGGACACGGAAGCCTGGTGTGCTACAGTCCATGGGGTCACAGAGTCAGACACGACTGGGTGACAGAACAACATAAGCTAACATTTACTGAGCACAAAGTATGTGCCAGACCCACTTCTCCATGCTCTGCAGGAATTTCAGGCATTTACTGTGCCCTCTCCACACCCTTAGGAGGTAGGAATTATTAGTCAGCCTCCTGTAGAGGTGAGATCATTTAGGCCCAGAGAGGCTAAGTGACTTGCCCAGAGTCACACAGCTGGAACGTAGCAGAATGTGGTATTTGAATTGAGGTCATCTGACTCCCAGGGCCTGGGCCGCTCTAACCACTTTGCTACTCTGCCTCCCATAAAAAAGCAACCAGTGCAGGCTCACAAGCATTTCTCCGTCCCTAGAAGAGGTCCGGGGGCCCCCTTCTCAGCATCATCTTAACCAATGATGTTTACTGATCCTTCCTAGCAGGGCTTATATCCCAGATTGGCGGTGATGGGCTCAGAGAGGTCCAGAGATGTGCCCAAGCTCCCACAGCTGGGTAATGGCAGGGTAGGTCTCCAAACCACCTGCCCTGACCCCAAGTCTGTGCTCTGCCTACTTCATAAACATAAGGCCACTGATGGCAGGATTGGGCAGGCAGCCTGAGAGGCTGGCTCACCGAGGCTGCTCAGGGACCTGTGACCCTGAAAAGGGGTATGCCAGGGTCAGACCAGCAATCCCCCCACGTGTGGCCTCTAAATGCCACAGCAAGGCAAGCAGCCCCAGATGTCATTAGCCTGCCTCACTCCTCCAGTGCTCCTGGTAGATCAGAGACCTGGGGCTGAACCAGGAAGCCCTTCTCCCTTGGTTCAGGAGGCCCCTCTGGGGCCAAAGCTCATGGGACCAGTTGGATAAAGGGAAGGAGGGGGAGACCCAGCTCCTAAGACAGGAGCCTCCTCAGCCCCTGTCTATCACTGCCCCACCCCCATCACCATCACCATCATCATCAATGACATCATCAACACGTCCCGGGGAACTTTCCCACCTCCCAGCCGCTCTCCTAACATCCGCCCGTCAGGACCAGGGATTCAGGCTGAGGCTGCAGCCATAAATAGCTTTGGCTAGGCTTGAAGGACACGTCATACCTGACCTGACCTGGCCTGACCAAGGACTGTGTGACCCACTTGCTGAGTATTCTTTGAGAGGCAGGCAGCGCAGCCCTCCAAATACCTGGGTCCTCAATTCCAGCCCCACCTTAGGCAAACTGTGGGAACTGGGGCCCCACCATGAGCCCAGTTTCCTTGTATATAGAAGACAGGATTCCACCAGATTGCTTCTTTAGTCTTCTAAATTCCATTTTATCCCCATTCAGTTCACCCAGAACCTTCTCCATTGCCCCACAACCCACCTGGGAGCCCCTTCAGCAGTATTTGCTCCCAAATTCCTAGCATCCCCCTAACCATGCCAGGGGTAGGAATGGATATCCCTCCCACTGGAAAGATGGGCAAACAGACTGCTGGCTACTCAGGGTTTGTTTCAGGGGCTGTGAAGGAGGGGCAGAGGAGATGCTCCATCAGCCTCCAGACCTGGACAGCATTCACCCATTGGTCAGCACTGCCCTCCCTAAAGGGTGATACCCCAGCCCTCAGCTAGGTGCAAGAGTGAGGCCTCAGAGGATTCCAGGGACAGACAAAGTGGTCCCAGCTTTGGTTCCCTACTGATTGGACTTGCTGGGAGACACAGCAAGCAAATGTGTGATTATAGCAGCTGGACTGTGGCCGAGCCCTCAGCAGACCTATGCTGCCCAGCTGCCTGGCCATGGGCACCAAGCTGGCCCCAGGGCTCCCCACCATGTAGCCATCCTGCTGCCCCTCTGCTCTCGGGAGCACTCAGGCAGGAGGACCGAGACCCCAGCTCCCCCAGGAGACACTGCAGGCTTTACAGCCCCGATCGCCCACCAGGCCCACTGGAGGGACAGGAAATGCCCACCCGGGGCCCCAGGCAGGTGGCACTTGCCAAGTCGCACTTACCCGGCTGCCTTTGGGCCCAGGGTCTCCTATGGGTCCGGGCAGCCCCTGAAACACAAAAGACAGAAGGGCAAGGACATATGGAGACGTTCTAGCTCCTGCCAACAACCCAGGCCAAGTCCTGTCTCCTTTGGCTTCAGCTGTTCCTCTGTACGACAGGAGTGGGGTTACACTCCTGGTCTTCAAACTGAGCCCCCAGCTACCCCAGGGCCAAGCAGGCGGCTAGGAAGAGCTTCTGGAGCCACGCCCCCACACCCCAGAGCTACGCTTCCTTCTGTGTCCTCCTGAGCATCCTTCAGAGAAGGCTCCTCAGCACGACCCCCTGGACAGCCCTTTCCTTCAGGGCCCCCCTGGCAGGTGTAGCTCCTGGGCCCCCAGCCCACCGCCTCCCTCTGCCTGGGGGCACCCGTGGCCAGCTCCACACCACCGCGGCCACAGAGCTTCCAGAAGCCATATACTGCACCTGCCTGCCAGGGTAACCTTTGGCCCCTGGGCTACCCTCGGGTCCCGGCTGCCCCTGCAAAGGAACAAGAGAAGCATAATGAAAGGGGAGACCCTGCCCAGCTCCAGGTCTGGGGGGCGGTGGGGGGCCGGGGTTTACAATGGACAAAGAGAAGGGCAGGAATGTGAGACGAAAGTGGAGGGAGGGGAGGCCATCAGCCTGCTGGGTGCCCCCGCTAACCCACCCTCTCCCTCCAGCCCACCCTCTTGAGAAACCGGTCCGACCAGCTCGGAGGGACAAAACCCCCTGTCCTTGCAGCCCAGGAATAAAGCGCTGAGGGGGCCTGGCTGGGCTCTCCCACGCTGGCAGCGGCTGATGTTTGACTTGGGCCAGGGCAGCCAAAATTCCTGCAAACCCCGTGGCGGCGTGTATAATATCCCCTAACATCGCCCGGAACAGGCCAGCTATTCATGGCTCTAACCAGAGTCCAGCGGCTCATGCCAGCTCTGGGCCGGCGTGGACTCCAGCCCTTTCAGGCAGATGTGGCTGGGGGAGAGGTGGGGTCGGGTGGGGGCCCCAGTGGGATGGGAGGCAGAGCCTCCTGGCTCTGGAGCTTACTCGTGGAACCAGGCAGGGTGGGGTGGAGGCCAAGGGCAGGCAGGGGGACTGGAGCAAGGGAGGACGAGGAGGGCGGGGCTGAGGCTGCAGCCCTCACCTGTTCTCCGGGGTGCCCCGTCGGTCCAGGATAACCCTTCTGTCCCTGCGGAGGGAAAGAAACCACTTGAGCCTAGGAAGACAGGTCTGGGTCCAGGGATCACAGAGGCCCAGCATCCCCGCCTGCCTTTGCAGTGCTGCAGGCACTTTGGCAGGGACGCATGGCAGCACGCATTTGAGAACCGCTCTCCGAGTGGAGATATGTACATCAGGCATCCTGCAGTTTCCTCTCTGTCATCAATGGTTCTTAGACCAGAAGACAGTAGGGATTGATCCTTCCTTGGGCAGGACTTGTGAGCTGAATTAGGATATGGCAACTGGGAGAGACTGATGCTGCTATCACTACCCTTCTTTCCAAACCCAGAGAGAAGGTAAGAACATCCGAAGCAGGGCTGGAGGGATGTCTAAGTGATGGGTGGACTGATGAGGACCTTAAAGTCTGCTGGGAAGTTTTTGTCAGAACCTTCTCATTAACCCCCTATCAGAAAAGATCTCACACCTATTGACCGATTGTGTGACCCCCAAATAGCTACCCTCCTTCCCAGTGATTCCAGCCACTATTCCAGGGGGAAAGAGGCCACTAGATTAACTGAGAAAGACTCTAGTGACATTTCAGTACCAACCATGCGTCCTGTCCCCATGGTCTAATTCCCATGGTCCAAGGCCAGGTCTCCAGGTCAAGAGAATCAAAATGAGTGTGTGTCTTCAGGTGGTACTGGGTGCAGCCACTCGGACGATTTCATGAGTGTAAGGAGCTCTTTGCAGGGAAACCCCAGGCTGCAAACTTCCCTAAGCTTAGGGCTGTTATGAAACAAGACGGAGCAGGGGCTTCCGTTTCAGACAGTGTGGTGGAGACGGGGTTATCTCCGTTAGACGCGCCCCCACAGGGAGCCCTGGGCTGGGTCCAGACAGCCTCTGACTTCCTGTGCGACCCTGGAGGGGTTGATTCCCTTCTCTGGTTGCCAGACAAGGGAGTCAGAACTCCGAGTACTCTTCAGCCCTGGTGTTCTGGAACTCAGGAGTTCCAGGGCTCCCCCAGCGTGTGAGTCACTCATTCATGTCTGACTTGTTGCAACCCCATGGACCGTAGCCCACCAGGCTCCTCTGTCCATGGATTTCTCCAGACAAGAATACTGGAGTGGATAGCCATTCCCTTCTCCAGGGGATCTTCCAGACCCAGGGATCGAACCTGGGTCTCCTGCATTGCAGGTAGAAGCCCTAGGGCTCCCCCAGGCTGGTGATAAATGAGACTCTAGACTACACACACACACACACACACATGATGTCTGTGAACCCCCTCTACCCACTGTTGTTTATATCATCTCCATCCTACAGAAAACCGAGTCTCGATGAATGGAAGTCACTTGTCCAGAATCCCACTACTAAGGAGCCGTGGCTCAAGCTCACCACTGGGTCTTTCTGACACCAGAGGCCACGCGGAGAGCTTCGCAGCCCCCCTGGGCATGTACAGTTCATGCACATCCACAAACACCCACAGGCACACACATTTGGCACCCCTGCAGACCCCCAGAAAGCGGCACTCTTTAATTATAAACAGCATCGCTCTGATCCAAGAGGTTTGGGGAGTTTACGAGCATTCCTTCTGCACCTACTCACGCCTCGAGACTGCTCAGCGTTGTGATTGCATCTCAGAACTGGGGCCCATGTGGTTGATGCAACATGGCTGGGTGAGATTCCTCCAGCATGCCATTCTTCCCCAATGGGCAAACTGAGGCAGAGGCCACAGCCAGCAGCCAGCATGCAGAGTGGTTAAGATCTCTTGTTTCAGATTAATCTGGATCCCTATCCTGCTTCCCTACTGGCTGGAGGATCTGGGACCACCTCCCTGAGTCCTGGTTTCATCTTGCAAAAGGGGGTTTCTAAGGGGTTGGCGTTGCAGACTGCATGATATAATGTGTGAAGCACTTAGCACCACATTGAATTCAAGAGCCCCGTAAAGGCTAGCTGCTGTTAGTAGCATGATCTTTATATTACATTCATTCATTCAACAAACATTTGCTGTTCTTTCAAGCTCCAGCCCCATTCTAGGCACTGGGTGAACAAGAAGACAAGATCCTTTGTCTTAACAGAATTTACAGTCTAATTAAGTAGATATAACAACAAATAAATATAAAACATAATGTCTCAAGGATTTGCTTACATGGGGGTAGAGTTTCAGTCTTGCAAGACGAAAAAGTTCTGGCGATCGATTGCATGACAATGTGAACATACCCAACACCACTGAACTGCACACACAAACAGGGTTCAGGTGGAAAATGTACGTGATGTGTTTCTTATCATCACTGAAAATGAAATTCTAAAAAAGGGATCATGTGTGGCAATGACTAGTGCTGTGGAGAAATGTAAGCAGAGGACAGAGCGGCCCACGTTGGGCAGGGTGGTGACCGCGGGTAAGCAGTCAGGGGAGCTAGACACAGGGCTGGCTCTCTGGGGAAAGGCTTTCCAGGCAGAGGGAACAATAGGGGCAGAAGCCCTGAGGCTTGAGATTGCTCTCAAGAAAGAATGAGCCCCTTGGGACTGGAGCAGAATGAGTGAGCGGTGAGGGGCAGAGTGACGAGATGGTCAGAGAGGAAGCAGGAAACCAGAGCATGCCAGGTGGAAAGATGGCAGGAAAGCACAGGAGGGTTGTGAGCAGGGATGTGTCATGGACAGGATGCATGACCATCATCCTTTCTCCACTTGAAGGCTGCAGATGAGGAAAAACAAGCAAAGCCTTTTCCCACGAAGAGCTGAGTGGAGCCCCGAGCTCTAAGCTGTGTGACTCAGCCCAGGTGACTGCCTTCTCTGAGCCTCTCTCTGCCATCTTCTGCTGCCTCAATGCAGCATAACACATATATGCATTATATAATGCATAATGCACTGCTGCCATAATGCAGCCAGTGTGATAATGGAGCAAGAATCCCAGGAGAAGCGAGAGAGGGGTCCAGGGAGCCCTGAGCACCACATGCTCCTTTGGCTTCGTCTGCAGTCACAAAGAAGCTAGAAACCTTTGGCAGACTTGCCAGTGAAATCCCAGGAGGAGATTTCAAGTAAATCCTCTTCTCAGGATGCAGTGAAAAGGAAGCGAATGACCATCGGGGACATGGACAGCGACTCACTCTATGCCTGGCCCCGCACTAAGGCCTAGACACATCAGCTCATCAACAACCTGCTATCACCCCTGAGAGGCGGGAATTACCAGGCCCACTTGCCAGATGAAGAAACTGAGGCTCAGTGAGGTAAAGAGGCCACACAGCAGGCTACGAAGTCCTATGTCCTAACGGTTGAGACCCCAGCCCACCTGCAAGAGTCACAGGGACACCAAGGGAAAGACCCTCTTACAGACTCGCCTCCCCAGGTTTGAGCTTGTGGATCACACTGTAGCATCATGAACCCACTGTCTGAGTTGGACGGGACCTAAGCCATCAGTTTCACAGCCTCCTTCATTGGATACAATGAGAAACCAAGGCTCAGAGAGGTAAAGGCACTCGCCGAAGACTAGTTAGCAGGTTACGGCCAAGCCCAGACCGTTCCCCATGACTCCAGACCCACTGGGCTGGGCTTTGTCCAGAAGGCCACAGTTCCTAGGTCTTTTCCAAACCATGGGCCCTGAAAGGCCTTGAACACTGCCACGAACCCGTTTCTCTTAGCGGACTGGGAGCAGCTGAGATTGAACACAGCAGAGACATGGGGTTGGGGTGGGGATGGGGGTTCCTACACTCCCTGGAAAGCACCTTAACAGTGTTTACCAAGCTGGGGCCAGTCAAATAGCTTCAAATGACAGGGCCCCAGGTCTTGGAAGAATCTAAACCATTACCTTCTCCAGGGCCCCAGCAATTACGGGGCGGGCACTGACCGCAAGGTGGACCCATGGGCAGTGATTTCCCCACGGGTGATGGCTGCCTGACGGGGACGAGAGGAGAGCAGAGGCTTCAGGGGAGTTCCAGGGGCCACAGAAATCTGCAAGGGGCCTCTGGCTGCTCAGCAGGCGGGTCTCCACAGGACCCGTGTTTATAATAGAACTCGGGCTATATTTTGGTTTCGGAGCCAGATTAATCATTGCTTACAATGCACAAGTAAAAACCAGACATCACCTCACTGTTACTGCAGACAGTCTCCCTGTCGGCTGGGATGCTATTTGGGCTTTGGGCAGGGAGGGGAGGGGGGTCCTGTCCCTGCCTGGGGGTCCTGAGAACCAGCCTAGACCTCTCAGCTGATCGCCTCTCGCACGCTGATCTCGAAGGCTCCACCTCAGCCTGCACGAGGCCCCAGCTTCTCTCGCAGTAGAATAAAGCTCACCAGACCCGCTCAGCATTCCATGAGGCTTCCCGCTAGACTTCTCTACCACCCTGGCAGCCCCCAGGCCACACTGGGCGGCCGGCAGGACGGAGAGCCCCAGTCAACAGAAAGGGTCAGTTGGAAGAAACATCTGCCAAGAGGCAGAGTGAGTCACAACACCAGACCCGCCAAGTTCCTGCTCCTCTCTGAACCTCAGTTTCCCTAGCTGACCTCTCAAAGCATCCTGTTGGCCCCAAAATAATAGGATTCTGTAAGATTCTGCAATGTGATGCGTGGCTTGTCCGAAAGCACAGTACAGTCAGGCATCTGATGCTGAAATCTTCTCAGTGGGTACCTGAGACAGGTCAGAGCAGGAACGTAGAGTTTCTGTGCGAATCCTTCATTCATCTGGTTACTCCTTCATTCCAAGGTTTGCAGAGCCCCACCAACAGGGCAGACTCTATCTTAGCACTGAGAATGCACAGGTAAACAAAGCAAACTTGCTCTCTACCTTCTAGAACAGGATATTAAGCACATATGAAGCGGAACTAAGTAGTACTGACTGCTGGGAGAGCACAGACAGCCAAGCAGAGGAGGTGGTGGTGTAAGCTGAGGCTTGAAGGAGAGCAGAGGGTCAGCGGAGTGCAGAAACGGAGCCGGAGGGGCCTCCCTGGCGGTCTGGTGGCTAAGACTCTGTGCTCCCAAAGCAGGGGGCCCGGATTCAATCCTGGGTTGGGGAACTAGATCCCACATGCCACAACTGAAGATCCCACATGCCACAACGATGTGACTGGTAGAGCCACTTAAAATAAATAATTTTTTTAAATAAATAAATTTTCTTTAAAAGAAAAAAAAAAAAACAAAACAGAGTGGGTATGGGCACCAGAAGATCAGAACAGCTCAGCAACAGGGGGAATCCAAGGAGGTCCTCAGTAGGGGCACTGCATGGAACTGGGGGTGCTACATGGAACTGGGGATGCTATGTCCAGATAGAACTGGCAGTTCTGCAGAAAGGCAGGAGATTGCCTTAAGATTTGTCAATCACACACACCCCCAATACACCCCCAGGTGACCCCCTCTGCCTGCCCATTTTACTATAGATTCTCAGACAGTGGCCAACGCAGAAGGCAGAGGGAGGGCTCATGGGCAGGGTGGCAGGAGGGAGCCAAGAGGAAGCTCCAGCTTGGGTACCAACTTTATTCCATCAGTCATGTCTACCTGGAGCAATGTGTTAAGGAAGAGTCTGAGGCTGAATTAGGCTTGGCAAGAAAGAGCAGCTAGTTATTTCTGCCATGGGCGGAGCAGGCAGGGAGGCGTGGGGTGAAAGAGCAGATGCCCGGGTCCAGCACTGTGCTGAGCCCCGCACGAGGAAACACAGAAGAAGAGGCCCTCCTCTGTGAACTTGCTCTAGTCTGACAACTACGCCAAGAATATCAACGAGTTGCCCGCTAGCCAGAAAATGCAGAGTCCCAAAGAGGCTGAGAAAACGGGCTGGTGTGAGAAGGGAGATACGAATTCCGCCTGGAGGTGCTGGGCAGATACTCTTGGAAAAGACGGCATGTGAGGGTAGAATCGAGAGACTGATCCATGAAGATGAGGAGGGAGGGGAGAGCCTGCCAGGGGAGAGCCCAGCATAAGCAAACACGGGGAGGCAGGAAGGCCCAGGGCACACAGGGTTGGATGCTTCGAGGGTTTCTATGCAGCAGAATTCCTTGGTCTTGGCACCACTGACGCTGGGGGCTGGATCAGTCTTTGCTGTGGGTGGGGTGTGTGTGCCATGCATGACAAGATCTGTAACAGCATCTCTGCTGTCTACTCATTCAAAGCTAGAAGCGCCCGCTCCCGGGGGTAATGACCAAAAATGCCTCGACTGTGAATTGTTCCCAGGAGGCAGTTGAGTAGCGCTGCTCTATAGGAGAGAAGGCAGGGGGATTAGACTAGGGACAGCACTGGATTCTGCCCTTCCAAGGAGCAAACAGGGCTCTGGCAGCCTTCTGGGCTACAGGAGGGTATGTGTGTGAGTCCCTAGTCCTGTCTGACTCTTCGCGACCCCATGGACTGCAGCCTGCCAGGCTCGTCCATCCATGGGATTTTCCAGGCAAGAGTACTGGAGTGGGGTGCCATTGCCTTCTCCATTATTGAGGGTGGGGAGGCTCTTATTTAAGAAGCTGTTTCCATCAGCATTGTAGAGAGGGAAAGGGCCTGAAGGTTAGAAGACCTGAGTTCAAATCCCAGCTCTGCCATTTAGTGACCTTGGCAGCTGTGTCCACTGACCCAGTGGCTCTCGGCCTGGGCTGCCCGTGACGATCTAGTGCTCTAGTCCGCTTAGACCAGCTGAACTGGAACCCTGTGGAGGTGGAGGACAAACTCCCCCACTGGTTCTCACACTCAGAGGGGCTGGGAACCAGGGCTGTGGACTTCAATCTCTGAAAGCCCCCAGTGAGCTCACTGGCATGTAACACCTGTGTCAGTACAGGGCCAGGTACATAGGCACATCTTTGTGCAATGACTGGAAGAGTGAATGAATGAATGAGACCTATTTGGGCCTTAGTTTTCTCAGCTGTGAAACGGGCGTAATACTGCTTAACTGCTGGAGGCTATTATGAGGAAGAGATGTGATGAGGAACAGTCATCCTTTCTGTCACACTAGTCAATATGAGAAACTCCCAACTCAAAGTCCCTTTTTTCCTGCCTACTTTTCTCGATGGCCTTTTTCATCTTCTAACATATCTCGTGTTTTTACCATTTTTGTTGCCTCCTTCCTTCCACAAGGTTGCAACCTCTGAGGATCAGGGGTTTTTGTCTGGTCATTCAGCTCAGAGGCCTGCACACTTCCGGACACACAAAAGACAATCAATTCGTTCTGTTGAAGAAATGAATGAATAGGGCTACTGGTGTCACTATGAGGTGACACCAAAATCCAGTGTGCTGATGAGCAAAGGACACGCTGACCTCACCTCTCAGCCACTGATGTTCTTTCTCGCTCAAGACTCCCCACATGAGATGATGCAGGCAAACCACCCAACAGTATCAGTGCAAAATGGCTACTGTTGTTACCGAAGATGCTTGCGGAAGGAGAGACTACTGACAAACGGGGATGGTTCCAGCTGAGGTTGCCCACCCCATTGGTCTGCCTCCCTGACCCTCACCACCGGTCAGGGGTCCCTGCCTTGAGATCTGAGCGCCCCCATGATCTGCCCACCACCCACTGTGAGCAGGTGACACTGGCCAGCCAGACCAAGCTCCTCTGTGTTTGCCTAGACCAGAGGGACTCGGTGGAAATGGCTTTGCCAAATCGTTTTCCTACCACACAAAGACTCTTCCTTAATTTAGAAAAGATGTCTCTCCCTGCTCAGGTGAGCTGGTTCCCCTAGGCTGGGGACTCTGGGCCTCCCTGGACATCTGCTAAGAGCAGGAAGGCGAGAACCCCAGGCAGGAGCCAATCCAGTCTGGTTTTCCAACTCCCGCCTCCTCTGCTAGATTCCTACTCCCGTGCCAAGCGAGACCACCACTGGCTGCTTTATGAGCCAGGACTGGAAGAAGACTTTTCCACTCACACCTCATCCATCAGAAAGTGCTGGAGCCCAGAGAGGAAGTGAGTGGGGAGAGGGAGTCCCTCTGCGTTCTCTGAGCCAGAAGAGACCACGTTTCCCCAGCTCACAGACAGCCACGCGCTCCTGTCTGGGTCTGGCTTCTTCAGATCTGCAGCAAGACCCGTTCTGGCCGAGGAGGTTGGAGAAGGGGTCCGTGGGGGCAGTGATGTTACATGTCCACCTGTGCCACGGGGACCCTCAGAGCACGGACAAGATGGAGCCAGGAGATGCCGCAGCTGCCCGAATGAGAACCAGATGGCCAAGGAAGAGGGCAGCTGTGGTTACAGCTGGGAGCCAGCATGGACGCTCAAGCCGCGGCCCTAGGCTGATCTACGGAGTGAAAACCCATCTGCAATGGGGGATTTTCCTGCAAAAATAGCAGCTGACCCTGACTCTGCACTGTCCTCCCTACTACACACAGGCCCTGAGCGAGGCTCTGTGGGAAGAGCGACAAACCAGTTTTGCATGTCCTGGTTGGCGGGGCTGGTCTGGGGGCCGAAAAGAACGCCGTTTAGATGGACTATGGGTCCTCGAGCAGCGTAGAGGCTCTCGAGCTGAAAGCTGGGTTCTGGAAGGGCTTCCTGGAGGGGGCACAAGTAGAGTTGAGTCTGAAGGATGGGATACCCTGGCTGCAAAGCTGGAGAGGAATTCAGGGGCACAGCCAGCCAGAAACCCACCACCTAGGAAAATGACAGCTCCTCCTCCAAAGGCCGTTGGAGAGCTAACACCCCCTGCCTGACTGATGCAGTGATGGGGTGGGGGCAGATGAGAACAGCTCAAAATGCACAGAGAACTCTCTGCCTCTACAGGGATTTCCCTGCAGTATATGGGAGGGATGAGATGAGACCCAGAGAGGTTGCTGACTTGCTCCAGGTCACAGCGAGCAAATGGAGCAGGGAGCAGAGCCCAGATGCAGCTGACCCCAGAGCCCACTTTCTCAACTCCCAGGCTCCAGATCTCGCTCCTGGTTTACAGCCCCAGGAAGATCAGGGACGGGGCTGGGGGGGGGGGGGGGGGCGGGTAGGTCATGGTCACTCCAGGTAGAAGGAGGCTGAGGCTCAGACAGGGGATGTGCAGATCCCATGTCCTCAGCTCATGGCAGGTGGAGCTGAACCTACGGGGGCTCCTGGCTCTGACAGTATTCCTTCCACCACCAAGAGCACCCTCAGGACCTCCCTGGAGCAGCTGGGCTGCAAGAGGAAGGACAGCAAACCAGTGTCACTTCTTGTCACATCTCACTAACCATGGTGGGGGGACCTGCTCCAAGCCAAGGTGCTCCACACCCCTGGGTAAGCACAGACCCTCAGAAACCTCTCTCCCCTCTGGCCACCAGCCCACTGCTGAGGATCTGGGCCAGAGCTGGGGAGAGGCAGGCGGACAAGCGGGCAGCACACAGCACTCCTGCCTGAAGACCCCACTTGCTAGGAAACCCACTCGGCAAAGCAAAGCATCAACACCAAGGTGTACCTTTCGTCCAAGGGGTCCTGGATTCCCAGTGAGCCCGGGCAAGCCCATGGTGCCCTGAAAAAAGACGCAGAAAATGGGGTGAGATGAGAGAACAGGAGTAGACACTCATTGAAAGTTCGGCCTCCCATGGCCAGTGGTTTGCGAACAGGATTCACGGAGGCCTAGAGGCCTCAGAGGAGACTTAGGTCCTCTGTGCAGGGTGAGTGCAACCGAGTGGGCAGGGGACCCAGTCCCTCCTCACTTCACTCAGTCGCTCCATTTGATCTGTTTTCTATGTTGGACTTCGGCAGAAGGTACCATTTGGGGAATGGGTTACACTGCCAAAAGCATGTTTGAAAACCACTGCCCTGGAGAACATGCAACCTGTTTCAATCGGCAATCCCTCTCCCTCCCTCCTGCCCGTGCTGAGCATGGTGGCAACCCAGGAGGGGGGATTTCTGCCACCACCATGAGACCCAGGAGCAGACAACACAGGAGCGGGAGAGAAGCCTGGGCCCCTGGAGGTCATCCAGCCCGGGTACAAAGTCTGGTCTGCACCTGACCAGCTGCGTGGCCTCCAGCCACCTGCCTCTGGGGCCTCTGTTTCCTCCCAGGCAAGCTAGGCCCAGCTGCTTGGCTTATAAGCTTCAGAGAATCCAGTGGGAGTGCATGTGGATGTATATATACAGGAAGCGTCTGCTGAGTGAAAAAACTTCTCACGAAGATGTGAAGGCATGAGCCACCTGTGTCTCAGAGAAATCAACAGGAGCCGCCACCTCTAAGTCCCCACGCGGGGACTGGGCTGAGGCTGAGAAGCAGAGTCGTTCTGGTCAGGAGGGCTTTGGGGTTGTGTCAGAAGGAAACCAGGCTTGAGGGCTCCTTCCAGGGGATGGGTGTCCGGGACGCGGGGCGACCTCACTTGGGGTTCTGGGTTCCCCTGCTCTGGCCTGACCTGCGCTCCCTCCAGGCCCCTTGCTTAACTTACAGGGTGGATGCTTCAGGGGCAATGAAGTCCTTGGGCCTAACTCTTCTCTCTCCCATGGGAGAACTTCTGGTCTCAGTGCTTCAGAGTCAGGGAGCCCTGCCTCTCCAGCCCATTCCCTTCCACGTCCTGAAAGTCCGCACACCTGTGTGTCCAGCTAGCCAACTTGGAGGGGTCTTCGCATGTCTGCTGGAAGCTTCCTGAGCGTGTGCTATCAAGAAGCTTCTGGATGCCGAGGGCCACCTAGCAGGCCCTGCAGAAAACCCACTCAGAGCATCAGGCCAAAGGACATGCACCAAAGCAATGTCCACAGGTCACATTTTTTGTCGGTTTTATTGGCTGCACAAGGGAAGAAGGCAGCGGGGATGGCTTTGGGTTTGGTGCAGGGAGAGCTGAAGGGCTTCAAAGAGAACAGACCATGTCCTTTTCTACATCCTGCCTCCGGCCTTTTGTTACACAGAGGCCTCTGTCAGGAGGTTTGTGCTGGAGCACAGAGGCGGATTCCCTACCATCCACTCCTCCGCTTCCCTGAGCGCTGGGGTCCCTGGAAACCTACCTTTGCCCCATCGTGGGCCTTTCCTGGTGAGAGCCCGGGGTCCCCTTTCTGTCCCTGAAACAGAAACAATTCCACTTTGGCCGCCACGTCTTCTAAAGAGGGTATCTCCCCATCAACTCCGCTCAAATCCCTGTCCTCTGCTTAAATGCCCTCCCCTTCCACCCCACTCACATTCCTCCACAAGGTCCTCTTCAATCCCATCACTCCCCTGCTTCAGCAACCCTCCATAGCTGCCCACCATCCTACTGACAAAGTCCGAACTCCCCCTTGGGTGTCCCAAGTCTTCCATCATCTGGTACCACCCACCCTATTCAGAACTCCTCTCCTCCTATCAGCCCAGCCTGTAGACGGGGCCCCTCTGCCCCATCCCCAGACCACGTTCCTCCACCAGAACTTTCACATTCATGCTGCTGGGTCCTTGTGCAGGTAGTCACCCCCAAGTAGAAAACCACTCCCCCCTAATCATCATTAGCCAAACCAGAAACATTCCCAAGATGCAGTTTGACTGCATCCTCCTCCACCAACCTGTAGATCCCTGGGCCCACTGTACAGGTGATGTGTTCCCCCAGGGCTCTCAGAGACCTTCTGAGAGACACATCCTGGAGGTAAGCTTGATTCTTTCTGCTTTTCCTAGCCCCTGATGCTCACCTCACCATCTCAAATTACCTAGAGCCAGTGCACTAACAGCCACTTACTCTATGTATAGCCCTTCACAGTTTGCAATATCCTTCACCCCACCAGGGTGGGGTAGCCTGATGAAGCGGACAAAGGAAGTGTTATTACCCCATAACACATTCAGGGAAACTGAGGCCTGGAGAAGGAAAAGGACAGCCCAGGACCCCAAGTTGAGGCACTGGCAGAGCTAAGACTAGGACCCTGAATTTTCAATTCCCAGAACAGAGACCTGGGACCCAATAAGTTAGAATAGGCAGGCAAGAGCAGAGAAACTGACAAGTAGTATGTCCTCAGTCAGACCGGCATTCCTAGTCCCAAGCACACGGGAGCATCCCCATCACAAGTATCCTGGCTCTTAAGAGCATGTGCTCAGGGAAGCACCCAGCAGCTGTGTCTCTCACAGCTAAAGAGGGCTCTGGGCTATGGCCCGACCTGATTAAATGACTCAGGAGACAGTCCTTTGAGAAGTCAGTCTCCTGGTCTCTGTCGCTTAGTCTCACTCCCCAGCTCCCTCCCCAGTCTGGGTCCTGAGTCAGAGGTCCTAGGTTACAGACTCGCAGCAGGGTCTCAAGCAAGTGACTTCACTTCTCTGAGCCTGTTTCCTCACCTTTAAAATGCGGGCTGCATAGCGCACGCACACACACACACACACACACACACACACACAGGTCTGTGCTCACAGACACACATGCACACAGACACACATACACACACACATGCACGCACACACAGGTCTGTGCTCACAGACACACATGCACACAGACACACACACACATGCACACACACACAGGTCTGTGCTCACAGACACACTTGCACACAGACACATACACATACACACACACACACACACGTGCACACACACACACACAGGGGTACCGGTACACATGGCCGCCTGGCATCCCGGATTCTTGGCAAGGAGCCAGTGTGATGATGGATGTGACACGTGGGGAGAGTGGTTTGGCCAACTTTAATTAGTTCCCACTTGATTCTTTTCTGTGTCAGGACCCAGATCCTCCAAATCCGAACTCAGTCACTCTGCACGAGAAATCACTGCATCCAAACCGGAACAAGCCTTAGAAGAGTGAGGGCGCCCTTTCGCTGCCCACCGACCACGTGCCCAACACTGGCCCACTCAATGCAGCACCTCGCCAGGCCTCTTACACCCACTTGTGGCAACACAGGACCAAGCCCCAGATTCAGAGGGGCTGAGTCATAGCCCAGGGAGGCGTGCAGGTCAGAGGCCAAGTCTCACTAGGTCTGACTAGGTCCTGGGTCAATCTGACTCCAGAGCCCCCACTTACAAATGGGAAGCCTAGGTGCCTCTCCCACATGCCCACCGGCTGCCCCAGGCTGCAGGCCAGTCCCTCTTTGCTAGAACCCCAGCTCTCTGTCCACCGAGGTCCCTCCAAGTCACTGCTGCAGGCCTCATGCTGCAGCAGCCCCTTGACACTCTCCCAGCCTCGGCGTTCACAAGCCCAGCTCCAATGCCTTTTATGTCCATGTGCAAGGCCAGGCCCAGGGCCACCCAGGATTCCAACGGCCAAAAAAGGATAGCCACTTCTACCCACCCCGCCCTTGCCCACCTCGCTCCACAGCCAATAGAGGAGCTGGGCTTAAAATGCTCTCAGGGGTGGGCCTTTGTGCATCCAGTTCTGTCATCTTACAAAGGGGGAAACTGAGATCCAAAGGGATGCCAGACTGGTTCCTTTGCCCAGAGGTCATATCCGGGGGCATTTTAGTTTCTATGGACTGCTCTCTGCACTCTCAGCAGCCAGCACCATGTTTGGGACTTAATCCCTGCCCGAGTACAACAAAAAAAAAGAACTGAAATTTATTGAACATCTACACATCCTACTGTGCACACTGGAAATACCATGGTGGGGATCAAGGCACAAGTCGTGCCTGTGGGGACCTCTCGAGGGAGAAACCAGAGACTGGTAATGCTGGTCTGCTCTAGCATTTTCTGAGTGCTCTTCTAAGTCTTCAATGCATAAATCTAAAAGGGAGCCATAATCACTATCCCCATTTCACAGATGAGGAAACTGAGGTACAGAGAGGGTAAGGAATTTGTCCAAGATCCTATAATTCATAAGTGGGATTTTGATTCAGGAAGTCTGTTTCCAGAGCCCAAGATCTTTACATTTCAATTCACGAGAGATGAACAACTATGATCAGTGATACGTGGAGTACAGGAGGAAGCTGGGAGAACTTGACCCAGACTGAGAGTCAACCAGCCAAGCTAAAGCTGGAGGAAGACAAGAAGAGGGGCAGATGCAGTGTAGGCTCCAGGGATGCTCAAGGCACCCTTGCTCAGCTGAAGGTGTGACTTCTGGGATGCAGAAATTTATCCATCTTCCCAGCCAGACTCCTGCAAATTCTCCAGTAAGAGATATAGGGAATCATAAAGTCTAATTAATTGTTTACACCTTGGTGAGGTTGAAGACGTGGGTGCCAGACCCAGCTCTCCAGTCAATGAGCCTGTGTGATCTTGGACGAGTCCCTTTCCCTCTCTATGGAACAGCAGACTCTAGTTAACAGAGACTTGAGGAGCTAGAAGGTGGTTAGGAAGGTATATACTAAACCAGAAATGCTACTAACAGAGCGGGAATGGAAACTATGAGCTTCTTTCTTGCAGGTGAAGTTGGGAAGTGGTTAGATGAGGCCTCAAGGGGCTGGGACAAAGAAGAAACAAACCATGAAGGACTGGAAAATTCTAGGCAAGAAATCCCCTGTGCAAGTCATCTTTTGCAAGATACATGATCCCGAGTATGTAGCAAAAGGCCCGGCCTAGAGGAGGCTCAGAAAAATACTTCTCAAGTGAGGAAATAAATCAGTGGCGTCTCAAGAGACAACTCTAGGGCGAGGATTGGGCCAGATCTGGCCCCAGCTCTGGAAGGTCCTCTGAAGATTCACTAGTTCTCTCACTATCACTACTACTATTTCATGTGTTTATAAGTTCTGGCCACAGCAATAAGGCAGGAAAAACAAATAAGGCTACTAACCTTTGAGGAAAAGGAGACAAAAATATGTCCTTTTTTGCAAACAATATGAGTGCCTGTCTAGAAATTCAGAAGAACTAAGTAAAATACTGTTAGAACTAATAAAATAATTCAGCAAAGGGCATGGTTGTAAAATAAACACCAAAAGTACAAATATACAAAGTCAATAGTTCTTTTTCAATAGCTGTAAACCAGCTAGAAAATATAATGGGGAAAATATTCCATTCATAACAGCAACAAAAATATGAAATTTCTAAGAACAAACTTGGTAAGAAATGTGCCAGGTTTATGCAATAAAAACTATAGAGGTTTATTATGAGACATTTAAAAAACTCAACCAAATGGGAAGATATGGCATGGTTTTAGATGGATAAAGTTAATATTTTAAAGATGGTAGTTATTCACAAATAAACACATTTAACACAATTCCAAGAAAAACCCCAAGAGAGGTTTTTTTTAATGAAATTATTAAGATGGGCATAAAGTTCATCTGACAGATTAAATAGCCAGAACATTTTTTATAAGTGGAGGAGGGAGACACACAGTATAAAGATAATAACTGTCATAAAATAGTATTTTACTAGCCTAAAAATATACAAACATAGCAATGAAACATACTTGAATGGCCTAAAATAGACCCTGGTCTATCATATAATAGTGGAGGAAAAGTTATTTAATAAATGATCAACTACTGTGGGGAAAATAAAGCTATACCCATACATCTAAGAAGATTAATTCCAGATGGTTTAAAATTTTGAGTACAAATGAAATTATAAAATGGAATATTAGTGAATACCTCTCTGGTCCTAGTATGAGAAAGAAATGCCTAAGTACAAAAGTAAAGAATCATAAATTTTACATATGGTAGTGTTAGTCGCTCAGTCGTGTCTGACTCTTTGTGACCCCATATACTGTACTCCTCTGTCCATGGAATTCTCCAGGTAAGAATATTGGAGTAGATTGCTATCGCCTTCTCCAGAGGATCTTCCTGACCCAGGCATCAAATGCCAGCCCACCGCAGTGCAGGCAGATTCTTTACCTCGGCCACCAGGGAAGCCCCTACTTATGATAGAGCTCTCTTCAAATTAGGGCTTTCCTGAAGGCTCAGATTCTGACATACTGTAAGTTCCTAATAAATGTCAGTTATTGTTGATTCAAAAAAAATAGGCAACACTCTCATTTGTGAAAGTCATCATGAACACTCTCAATAGGCAAATAATAAACTCAAAAATAATTTGTAAGATAGATGAAGCCTTAGTAAACCTTCATATATAAACACAAATGATGTTTACAAATAAATAACAAAAGACAACATCCTAACCCCTAAAATAAACAAACTCATAAATGGTGAAATGCAAATAGAAAGCAAATGTAAGAAAATTATTCATAGATGATCAGTGCAGTGTATTGGAAGCAATAATGAATTATCTTTTACAAATATCCTCTTCTAATGCTAGCAGTGGCATAGACTGGTTCAGTCTTTCTACAAGGCAACTGTTAATAAAATAACAGCTAAACACTATATGGCACTTAGGTACAAGCATATTTTAAATTATTCATATATATGTAGCATGAATGTATATACATGTATATCCATGTGTGTATATATATATATATAATATATATATACATATATAGCTTAATCTACAGAGCTAAAGGGCTATGAAGCTAATGGATACACTAAAACTATGTGCTTTGGAGTCAGACAGCAGAGGATTCAAATTTTGTCCTTGATACTTATCAGAGATAGGCTAGTTACTTGGACATTTTGGCCCTTAGTTTTCTCATCTGTGAAATGGGGGTAATAGCATCCACCCTGCAAAGTATGTCAGGTTCTTGGCCAGTCCTGGACGCACAGGCTGTTTAAAATGCAGTCAGTGCCTATCGCTGGGCAGGGCCAGATCAGGAGGCCTGCTTTCTTCTTGATGCTTTCTAGACTTATTCTCCTTAAAGAATATGTCCTACTTCAGTCACTGGAGAAAGGGAAAGGGGAAGCTGGGGTCTGAGGCCCGAGACTCCTGTAAGGAGTCACTCGGATCACTAAGCATGGCCCTTCTTGCCCACCTATCCTCCCCAGATGCCCAAGGGCTCACAGTAATCCTGAGTAATTCACTGCAAACCAAGCAGGCCAGAGGAGGGAAGGGGCAGCTGGCTGCCAGGGAGAAAGGGGCCAGATGCCTCATCACCCAGCACAAGCATAGTCAGAACCCTGCCCACCTCGGACCCAGAGCTTCTCACCTGACCTGGGCCCTGCATCCCATCTGATTTCACCTGGCCCAGAATCAGCATCACCACAGCCACAGCTCCAGGCCTCCCTGCTGGCCACCCTTCAACTTGATGGCCACAGACTTGATGGCCACGGACACAGCTTCCGCAACTGCCTAAGTGACCTTTGCAAAATGATACATCTGATCGTGTCCTTCCTGCTGCAAACCTCACACCTTCCCACTGCTCTTTGTATGAAGTCTAAAAGTCTTAGCACACCCAGCAGGCTTGTTGCCCTCCCCAACCTCCTCCCACCCCTTGGCCTGGTGGCCTGCTGCCCTTCAGACTTGATTCAACCTTCCCACCCTCCAGGAAGGCAGGCCTTACCTCCCAGACCAGATCAATTGCCATTCTGTGGGGTCTCTGAGCACCCAGTGCCTCTCATGTGGGGCCCTCTGCATGGCGTGGTCAGCTTGCTTCCACAAGATCAGGAACCGTCCCTGTCTGTGCCCCCTTGTACGCTGGGTGCCTTGCACCTGCTGACAGCTGACCACCGCCACAGGCCAGCACTGCTCTTAACTCAGTTATATCTCATGACAACTGGGGATGCCGGGAGGACAGCTACTATTGTTGTCCCATTTTCCAGATGAGCAAACTAAGGCACTCGAAATTCAGATAATTTGCTCAGAGTCACAGAACTAGAAGGTATTACTAACAGACCTGGGATGTGAACTTCCACCATCTGGCTCCAGAGTCCATGCTCTTAACCACTGTGCTCTCCTGCACGACAACTGTGGTTGCTGGACACATAACTCAACACTTGGCCTCCAAGGTCAGCTAATACCATTCACCCAGGGTTCTGGCTTCTCTGCTTCAGTCTCAAAGTCCTTGATCCTGACTCTGTGGGAACTGACAAACCCTCTTCTTGATGGGTTTGAACGTGGAACATATGGGTATGTGGTACATAAGGAAAGCCTTGGGCTCTGGAGGAGGCAGAAGGGACTGAAGCCTGGCTCTGGCCTGAACCATCTGTAGAGCCCTGATAAGTGTCTTCCAACCAGAAAACCCAAGGACTTGAAATTCAGTCCTGCCACTGCTGGTCACTGCAAGTGACCCCAGCAAGTCATGGGCCCTTTGGATCTCTGCTCCCCTGACCTCAAGAGCAATGAAGTCCCTCACTTTGCTCTGTCTCCCCTTCTTGATTCCTCAGTCCACCAGTCTCTCCCATCCTTAGTCTGGCAGGGGGATCTTTAACCCACAAGGCCATACTCCCAAGGGCTCAATAAATATGGTACAGGAGTGAGCCCACTGTGACCCACGCAGATGATGGGCGGGTTCCCTGCCATGGTGCAGGCCCTGCCTGTTGGGCTGATTTTTCCATCAATGGCGCATAATAAATGCTCGATAAACGTTTGCCCATTGAAGGGAAATGAACAGATGGGTGGTCCCAGAGGTAGCTCTAGAAGCCAACACTGTTCGGAAAAGGAGGAGCCAGCACCGGGCCTGGAGGGAGCCAGCCCTACAGTCCCAGCAGGTCACCACCCAGACCCAGAAAGGATCTGGTAAACAGCAAGGACCCTCTCCCCAGAATCACGCCCATTCCTGCAGATCCACAACATTCTCTTCCAGTCTCAGGAATTCTGTCCCGGAAGCGCCTCTCTTTAACCCCATCCTGGCCAAACCACAGACGAACACCAGCCCGGGGCCAAAGTCCAGCAACCTGGGGCCTTCAGTTCAGCTGAAACGCCCTGGATCCACTTGGGCTCACCTCTTAGACTCGCAGTCCAGCGTGCAGGAAAAGGGCGTGACTTTTCCCCTGAGCACTGTAATGGAAGTTCTACTGGGAGAAAACTCCCATTCCAGTGTGTTTTCTGGAACCCACTCCCTTATTTGTTTATACAGAAGCAGGCTGGAAACCTGTCCAGGAGGCCCTGAGTCACAGGTTCCGGCTCCATATAGCTGCAGGAGGGCTCACCTTCGAGGTCTGAGCCTCCCTCACCACACTCAGAACAGCTCCTCAAAATGGCAGGGAAGGCAGCTGGTAGGTCCTCCTCCTGCCTCCCTACATCTGCTGGCAGGATGAGGGGTGGGCTGCAGGCCAGACTGGGGCCGGTGTGGACCGGGGAGAAGATGATGGAGCATCTGCTACCACAGACGCAGGGGGTCAAGTCTGGGAGTGGTGGAGGAGTTGGGGGAGGACCAAACAGTCCCAGAGCAGACCAAGAAAGGCGTGTTCTTGAGCAAGCCTGGCAATCAAAACAGTGGCTAATCCTCAGCATCTTGATCTACCCAGGCCTGGGAGACCAGAAGCCTCTGCAAAGCAGAAGTTTCCCAAGGAGAATTCGGACCCTCTGCCTGACTCATGGGGGCAGGTCCCACTGCCATTTCCCAGGCAGGGTCTTCATCATCTGCCTGAGTCTCAGTTTCCCCATCTGTAAATGGGTGCAGTAACTCTACCATCTCATTAGGTCTTTGTGGAGATCAAAGAGGCTACGTGAAGTGCATGCAGAGTGTCTAGCACAGAGTAAGGGTTCAGTATACAGTGCTTGGCATCATCGGTGTTTGCCTTGTTAAAACCCAGAGCACCTCCAGGCAGCTGCGGGCCCAAGGCCTCTGGGCGCACTTTCAAGAAAGGATCCCAGCCCAGCGCTGGCGGAAGTCACATGCCCACAGGGGCGGAGGCGAGCGCCCCCACCGCTCCCTGCGAGGGCTCTGCACCAGCACTCCGGTGCCACGCTGTCATACATCCAGGGCTGCCTGTGTACATCTGTCCCAGAAAGAGCTCCAGGAGTCAGAACTAGCTTATAGAGGATGCTCAGCCCTCAATCACAGCATGCACTGGGGCCACACGGCTAACGGTTTTCCGCAAGCTGCAAGACCTTTGTAATGGGTTAGCAAAGGACCCTGAGCCTAGGCCAACCAAAGCCCAGGGATGCACTTCACCTGGTTACCCCACAGCTGACAGCCAGGCAGACCCTCTGCCGTTCCCAGCCTGCCCCGTACTCTTCTTGGCTCAGTTGCTGTGCTCTCGGCTCCCCTGGCCCCCTCCTCCTATTTCTCCAGCCATCACTTGAGGCTACTTCTTATAACCTTAATATTGCTGGCCCCATACTCATCCTGGGGCTTCTCACTCCACGCACCGCCCTGGACAGCTCTGGTCTCTCCCGGCGCCCCAGAGCTGGAGTCCCCATAGTCATCAGAGCACCAGTCACCTGGGTTTCTGGTCTCATCTGCAGCCCAGAGGTAGCATCTCTGTGCGGGCCACCCCCCAGGGCTCCATCTCCAGCTCAGAGCTCCCCTGAGTTTCAGAATGTCCACTAATCATCTCCGCCTGGCTGGGCTACAGATTCCCAAAGGCAACATTCCTTCCTCCAGTTCCCTGGTTTGGCCACTGAGGCTAAAGAGAGAATCCCCATCTCTCTCCTCTTGTCCATCACTGAGTCCTCTCTACCTCACCTCCACCCATTCCCTTCCTCCCGCACCCCACGCTGGCCTGTATCACCCCAGGTCTCCCTGCCTCTACTCTGGTCCTCAGCCCCCCAGCCCGCCTTCCACACGGCATCCAGGGATTTTTCTCAGACGTGACCTTTCCATATCCCTCCCCAGCTCAAAACATGACCTGCCTCCCCAGGGTGTGTCCTATGACCCAGTAACACACTGAGGCTGGACCTCCAAGGCCCTCCCCTGTTTAGCAGCAGATGACTTTTCTTCCCACCCACTTTGAGGGCCCTAAGTTCCAGACGCCCTTTTCCACCCAGCTCCTCCCCACCGGTTGCTAAACTCCTAACTCCTCGCTGCATCTCCAGCTCAGTCCGGGGCATGGCACCTGGGAGGCCTTCAGGGAGTGCTGGTGGCCTAGACATGGATCCTCCATGGAGACTCTGAGGCCCTCCTGCCAGGAGCCCCTAAGAAAAGAAGCTTCCCCCAATGCAGGGCCCTTAACCCCAGGATCCACCCCATGGCAGTATCACCAGACCCCACAACATATACTCACTTTGGCTCCAGGGGGGCCAGGGAGGCCTGGATTTCCATAAGGCCCAGGAGGACCCTGAAAGGGAAAAGTGAAAAAGAGATGAGGGGAAAAGAGGAGCATCCCACTTCCTAAAGCAAGGCCTGGCACTTCCGCCCGCTCACTGGGTCTTCTCTGCTAGCTGAGTCTCAGCAGTTTGGCCACAGCAGCTGCTTGCAGAAAGGCTCTCATGATGCCTGGCCCTGTGCTCAGCTCTTTCTGTACATCACCTCATTTTACCTTTTTAACCCACACGATAGGTGCTACCATGATTCCCATTTTCAAGATGAGGAAGCTGCCATCCAGAGAGTTTTACAACTTTCCAGGTCACCCGGCTGCTAATGGACAAACCTCAGATGTGCAGCTTCCAAGCACAAGCCCTTGAACTGGATCACCTCTGCATACTCTCTGCACCTGGCCGCACCAGCCTCTCCCACACTTGCTTCCTTCGACTCAGAGCACACTCAGCGATTGCCCTGCCCCACGCCTGGTACTTTCCACTCACATCACCTATGCCATGCTGTTCCATCATCTGGAATGCCTTTCCCATCCCCGCTCCCCTCCAGATGAAACCCAGCCCATCCTTCAAGACCTCGCTTTAATGCCACTTCCTCCAGGGAACCTTCTGGGACTCCTCCTGCTTAAGGGAAACTTTGTACCCTTCAGACTCCAACTGGACTCTGCATGATCCTTTGGAGCTGCACGCGCAGTCACGGGAGTACCGGGCTCCTCCGAACAAGGGCACGTCTCTTCTAGGGCCACCGCGGTAGTCAGAGCTCTCTCCCTTAGATTCCTACATGTTCTGCGCTTACAGAGTCCCTCGGGGACCATGAAACAGCTGGGAAGACTAAACCCAGAGAGTCAAAGGGTCTTGGCCAAGGTCACACAGCACAGTGGTGGCCAAACAAGGGCTGGAACCCAGTTTGTTGGCTTCAAGTCCAAGGCTTATTCGTGGCACTAGATTTTCCCAGGCCATATTTGAATGTCCCTTATAACAGCTGGGGCCTCATGTCCACTTTCTCTGCAAAGGCCCTGGGCTAGCATCCTGCAGCCCAGTAACATAAACAGAATCCTAAGAGTCGACTACTTTCCGAGAGTCTTTGTCCAATAGGAATAATCTGAGGCACTAAGGGTGGAGACAGGCACCTCAAGGGGTGCCCCCTACCACAGCAGCCTCCAGACACACTGCCTCCTCCTTGGCCCCTCTTGACTCATCGGGCTATGTATGAATTCGCTTCCTTCCTCTCGCTTCAAGGCCAACTTCCCAGCTGCAGCCCATCACACTCCGCCCAAGGCACCTCCCTCTTCCTTCATGCCTGAGCTGGGACCCTCCCCTTCTCCTTCCATGTCAAGAAGGAACCGAGCTCAGAAGCTCCCTCAGCCTAGGGGGTCTATAACGGTGTCATGGGCAACCTCCAAAATCATCAGCCCTCCAGCCCCTTCCTGATATTCCACCAAAGGCTGTATCCTGTCAGCTAGAGGCAACCTGGTCCCAGCTCTGCATCTCCCCTCTCCCCAGGCTCGGTCTCCCCATCAATTCCATGAATGATGGGAAACTCATGGTCTCTAAGGAATCTGGAAGACCTCAGAGCTTCACCCCAGTCTGGGCTCCCGGGTTCTAAGCTCAAAGCTCAGCCCGAATTGGGTAAAGGTTAGATGAAGGATGTTTGAGGAGGGGACCCTCACATCCAGTACCCCAGAACGAGATGAGGGGTGTGGTAGACAAGGTCAGAAATGACTACTTCTCCCCAGTCGTGCCCCCAGCTGCCCACAGATGGAGGGTTAGAGCACCCGGCTACCCCTCAGGGAGGTGGGGGCTTCCTGCTTTCCCGCCCCCACCTTCATTCCCCTCTCCAGTCACTGCCTTGCAGAGAAACGAACCGCATAGTTGACTGGGAGCCAAGCAGACCGATTCTACAAACGCTGCAGCCCAGAAAGCTGAGTGGAGGGAGGCCGAGGGATTCCCCTGGTTGGGCCGGGGGAGTCCGTGGAGGTGGAGAGGGCCAAGCCACGAAGACTTAGGCAACCTCAGGTAAGGCCCCGACCCCTCCCCGAGCCCCAGAGCCACCACCATCTGTAAAGAGGAACTGGGATTGCTTAGTCCCAGCAATGTATTATCTTTGGAATTTTACGATCTATGGAATTTCCAGTCTAGAAACAGAGTGATGGGCTCCAGGGAGCGGGGGGGAGTCCTCCAAGAGCCTGAGAGGGATGTCAAGAGAGTCATTCCCTCACTTGTGGAACTTCAGAGCTGGAAGGAATCTTGGCTGAAAATGCCTTACCAAGATCCTAAGTTTTATAAATGCAGAAACTGAACCCCACAATAGGGAAAGGACTTGCCTAAGGTCACACAGCTTCTTGGGGGGGAAATACTCTTTTTCTCTTTTCTTTGGTATTGGGGGATAGCCAAGTAACAAACAGTGTTGTGACAGTTACCAGTGAACAGTAAAGGAACTCAACCATACATGTTCATGCGTCCATTCTCTCACGGGAAATGTTCTCGACTCCTAGACCAGAACCCGCCAGCAACCATACGCCCAGCACATTCTGATGCAGGGGACTTTGCTAGGCATCAGGTAAGAAAGAATAGTCAATAGGACTTGTCTCTGGCCCAGATGGGCTCAGCTAAGTAGAACGGAAAACCATCACAACAGGTAGTTTAAGGTCACGGGCTCTGGAGTCAGACTGTCCGGTTCAGTCTGGGCTCTGGCATTTACTCCATGCTGGGCTTTAGTCAAAGTAACTACATCTTTCTGTGCCTCAGTCTCCTCACCTGTAAAATGGGGATAATGCTGGAACTGATTTATCAGGAAGGCTAGAAAGCTGGGAGGGGATCCTGCATATGCCACTCAGGTGACAGGGTTCAATGGTCAATGTGAGCTTTCTACCAAGGAATCCATGCAGTTAACTGCCACAGGAGCTCCAAGAAGGAGGTGATCATCAGAAAAGGAGGGAGCATTTGATCTGAGCCACGGATGGAGGAGGAGTTTGCAAAGGAGGACACTTCGGGTCAGGAGGACAGTCCTGCAGAAGCTGGGGGCTCAGAAGGAGTTTAGAGACACAGGCAGACTGCCAGTACCTGGGATGCTAGGTCCTGGGGCCACATCCTGGTCCCAGGCAACAAGGTCCCTTGGCCAGCAATGTCCATGTGTCCCCAGCTCTGGGCAAGTGCTCCATGGAGACTCCAAAGCCAGGAGGAAATGCCACTTCAGACAGCAGATTCCAGAGTCCTGGGCCCAGGGAGCACAGGGCCAGGTCTGGAGGGAACTAGGGCTCGAGTAATTGCATAACCAGAACCATCCGCTGGGCTCAGCGCTAAAAATATGCCCCAGGCAGCTATCTCTGCCAGGGCCTCACCAGGCACCCAGCGTGGGAAAGGCTGATTCAGCCTGGGCACAGATGCCAGGCGCCGTGGGTCTGAGCCCCCTTGGGAAAAGGAGAGATTTCTCTCCAAGAGGACCCTCAAGAGTCCCCGTATCATATGGTTAGGAGCTGGGTTCCAGTCCTGGCTCTTCCATTTCTGAGTTATTCGGTTTTCTCATCCCTAAATGAGAGTGATCATACTGGCCCATGGGGGTCTTGGAAGGAGAGGGGATCAAGTAAGGCAGCATTAAGTGACATGCCAGGCATAACAGACCAGAGCTATTAATATTTTCCACTCCGAGGTTCGGGCTAGCTCCTATCAGCCACCAAAGCCCTGCCAAGCCATTCTCCAGACTCTGGTTGAACCCCTCAGCATGGGGAGCTCGCCCCATCCCTGGCAAGGCCCATCTGGTTGCCTCTGTCAGCATCCCTACCCCAGCTTGGCCCAGCAGAGATGGGAAGATGGATGCAAGGGTCATGCTCTTCCAAGTCAGCTTTTTCCCAGCCGAACACCAAAGCCCATCAGCTGAGGGGATATGATCTGCAGAAACCCCTACTCTACTCCAGGCTGCCAAAGGTGATACCCACAATGGACAGCTGAGACCCTGAAAGAGGTTCTCACTGTCCCATGCCTTGTCTGGACACCCAGTGACCCCTAAAAGCCCCACATCCACTCCAATGGACAATGTGGAAAAGGGATGCCAGACAGCATGAGGACACACAGCAAAGCTGGGACTCCAGGGGCAAAGGGATACAGGACATTGAAACAACCAGAACTCAAGCATGATGTCTGATCACTTACCCGAGGACCCCGTGCACCAGGGGGTCCAGGAAGCCCAGGCAGTCCAGGGGGACCCTGAATAAAAAGGAAGAAAATAGCATCAGTGCCACGTGGCAGAATAGAATGGGATCAGGTAGTCATTCAACAAACTTATGCAGAGCTCTGGGCATGAAGACCCCAGAGCTGAGAAGAGAGGTCCCTTGAGGTCCTAACCTGAGGAATTCTGCTCTTTGGGGCTTTCCGGTCTTGGCAGCTGTTGTTTCTTGGTCTCTGAAGCTCTCATCTTTTATTACATAGCTAATTCAGGGCATCGCCTCCTCCAGGAAGCCTTCTTTGATCCCTCCCCCAAGTTGGGCCAAGTCCCCTCTTTCCCTCTGCTTTAAAGGCCACTGTATTTTATTCGGGGAATTGTCTGCTTAGAAGCCCGCTCTCCCACTAGACCATGGTCTCCTCAAAGGAATTAATGGGATATGAGTCATCTCTCTCTCTCCCCAAGCCTCAGCCAAATGTTTGAGAAACTAAAACAGCAAAAGACCTCAGAGTTCAGCCAAGTTCTCTGCAGAGCCTGAGCAGAGAAGGGACCTGTCCAAGGTCACACCAGCATCTCTGAGTCACACACAGAGAGTCAGTGTCACTAATGGGTGTACGCCAAGGCTTTCGGGTTCAAATCCCAGTGCTGCCACCTACCAGCTGGGTTTGGTCAGGTTCCATAACCAGCCTGTGCCTATAAAAGGGTCAATAATACCCATCTCATCAGATTACTGCAAAGATGAAATGAGATGGCAAACATATAACATGGTGCCTAGTATGCAATCGTCACTCAAATGTCCCATCTAGTCCGGGGGTCATAGCCGGGTTCAGCCTCCATCATCACCCTCCAAGAACTTGCATCACCTCCTTCACTTGGTCTGGGCCCCACCTCCACCCTCTCCCCTCTCGTCTTCCTCCACACAGCCAGGTTCACCTTCCCACGGCATCTCCCGGCTCAGCAACACTCAGTGGCTCCCCATTTCCCCCATAAGACAGGCCTAATCCTGCCACACGGCATTTGGGGAGCACCTGTCTGTTCTCAGTTCTCTTCCTTCCCATAGGAAGCGAGGCACCCGAGCAGACTTGCGGAGCCACAGGCTGACCTTCATGCAAATCCTGGTCTCACTATTTACTAGCTGGAGACTTGGCACAGGGCCTGCGGCCTGAGTCTCCGCGGCTGTCCCGCACCACAGCTCCTGTCCTGTCTATTTCAGAGGAGAAAAGGAGGATTAACTGAGTGTCTGATGTAAAGAACTGAACACAGAACTTTCAACGGAAGCCAGGCTTTCGAGGATGTGTGAGGCCTGGGGAATTCATTTGTTTCAAATAACCATCAATGAGATTCCAGGTTTCCTGCCCAGAGTTTAGAATCGGTGTTGAAAACCCAGTACGATTTGGCTGGTAATTAATCCAGATCTCACACTGGGCAGCCTCGGCTCACAGCTCTGGTCTGTGAACGCCACGTGCTTGCTCGTCCGTGAAAAAAAATCAGAAGAGAGAGCCAGACAGGCAGATATGGTACCACCAAGGCCCCTGGGTCACTGGAAAGAGCCCCAGCTGGAGGGAGGGGGGCTCCTGCGTGACCTCAGGCAAGTCCTGGGCACCTCAAGCCTCCAGGTACCTCTGGCCAAGCTGGCAGCCGGCAGCGTTCCTTCGATCCAGAGCCCAGGGGTTGGGTAGACAGTTTCTAGTCTTCTATCTACCACTGCAGGTTTGAGAATCAAGGCCAGCCTACTCTGATTCTCCCTGAGGAGCAGTAGAATACAGTATCAGACAGGACCCTGGGCGCACACTGCGCACCCCCGCTTACTAGCTGTGTGGCTTTGGCCGAGTTCTTTCCAGTTTCCAAGGCTTCACTCCTTCACTGTAAAAGGAGGCGGTAAGAGCACCTCGCTGACAGATAATCTATAAAAAGTGCTAATCCTGGTGCCTGGCACACAGTTCATGCCCAGAAAGTTAGTGCCGTTTCTGTTAAGCAAGCTGCTGGAAACTCCCCAACTCAGTGTCAAGCCACCACCTTCCTCAGCATCTGTTTTGGGGGAGAGCAAAAGATTTCCCTTCCTAGAAGGCCCTTCCTCGGCCCGCCTCTTCCGAATGACCCAGAATCAAAGGAAATGCAGGGGTCTGAGGCCAAGCATTCCTGTAGGTATCATTCTCATCACCAAGCCCTTTTCACGGGTGAGAAAGCAGAGAGAGGCTCCGAGAGGCAGAGTGATTTACTCTAGGCCACACAGCTCAGAGAAGCTGGGTTTGACTTATTCTCCTAGCCTGGGGAGCATCCACACAATCTTGGCCAGGTGCGTTGTGACTAGGTGTGCAAACCTGGGCCAGTCCCCTCTCCTCTGTAGGCATCGGTGAAATGAACATCCCAGAACCTCCCCGACACTGGGCATCTCCTGAATTTCTGGGTGGTGATGATTTCCTCTTCTAGGTTATTCGGCGGGAGGGAAAAGGTGAGATCATGCCCAGCTCCCAGAGAAGAGGGCCAAGGCCCAGCGGAGTGAAGGCTGGGGTAGCGCTCCAGGGAGGGACGTCTCTGTGGGGTGTAGCTCCCTGGTGGACCCTGGGAGGGCTGACACTGCAGAGGCCTGGACACACCCTCTTGGCACGCTTCCTGCCCCAGAAACGAGGGCATCCAGCCTGGAGTCTGACGTCATCCGCAACATTCACGGAGCAGACTCAAGTGCCAGTCAGGACCCATGGCCCGGCCTGGTGAGGTGAGCTCACGGCCGCACTCCCTGACACGGCAGCCCAGCCGCCCAGCCGCGTGCGTTCCCAGGTCCGACCCTCCCACATTCAGTGAGGCTGGATGCCCCCTGCCCCTCTCACTTGATCTGAGACCCTGCCTGCTCCCCATGCAGTGGAAAAATGCTGCCATTTCTTTCCAAGGCCTGAAGCCTGAGTGAGTGACTCTGGGATGATTCACGAGGCCGGGGTGGGATTTTTCCACTCCACGCTGCAAACAACGGGGCCTCTGAGAGGGCCTGGAGCTGAGGGGGAGGGGCGCGGGGGCCGCAGGCCTGTCTGGGGGAGGTGGGCTCACGCAAACAGAGCCATGGAAACAAGCAGCCGTTTCGGGCTTTCCCCAAGGGTCCCGGCCCCCGACAGCCAGGCCTCGGGGAACCCCTTCCCACGGAACAAGTCCACCCTTGTGTCCAGCGACAAGAGCCCGCCTGCCAAGCTTTGCAGAAGGAAGTAAGTCCTGGCTGGCCTGGCCCCTGGCAGCAAGCAAGAGAGGTTTCGCAGGCCTGGGACCTGGGAGACCCAAGTCCAGTCCTGACCATGCTGCTAACATCTGTGTGACCCTGAGCAATGACCTTTCATTCTCAGGGCTCTGCTCGGTGCCTGTAGCCAGGTGGGGGCAGGCAGGGGATCTCAAAAGGCTCCTCCATCGCTAACTATCTGAGTTCAAGATTATTCCCAAGGTTAGCCCACAGGGCGCTGAGCTCTCCCCAGTCTCTGTCCTAGGGAAGGGAATGCTGGGACAGGGCTTCTCAGTGAGGCCTTGAGCAAATTACTTCATCTCCTTGTACCTCCTGGCCTCAGTTTGCCCACTGTAAAATGGAAATACAATAGCCATATATATATATATACTTTTTTTTCCAAGATAACGTGTATGTGTGCCGGGAGTTCTCCGTTCACTCTCCAAATCCATTCTGTGTCCTTGGGAAGCCCCCATCTACAGGCTGCACCCGCAGGCTTCTGGCTGAGTCTGGTCAACGGGCGGGCCCAGCAAGAAACTGCAGAGCAGGAGAGGGTGGGTGGGGTATTTCTCTCCCTTCTCCCTCCTTGCTCTGTTTGGCTCCAGCTCCTGTCGGAGACCCCGGCTCATGTTTTAACGCCCTGGCTCGTGGCAACACCTCCCCCTCCTCTTGCACCTTCAGGTGGGACCCCATGTGCTTCTCCAGCCCCTGTTGATTCCCTTGACGGTGCCCGCACCTCTGTTAAGAGTCCCTTCCTTAAACTCCCCTCAGTTACACTGTTCCCTGCCTGGGCCACAGGATACAGCATGCCAACTGCTCCACATAGAGCCGGGCACGCAGAAGGAGCTCAAAAAGGAGACGCCAAAGACAAAGCCAACACTCCTGTGTTCTAGATGATGCCAGCATAAGGGGTAAATGACTCACGATCTAGTTCTGATTTCTAACTGCCAACAGCGTAAAGGCCCTCCTGTGCCAGAAGCTCTTGGTTCTCAGGGTGACAATGCCCCTGCCTCAGCCATCAGCACATCCCTAACCAGATTCTAATGTTGGAGGCAGACAACTCACACAGCCCTGGAAAAGTAGGTGGTACCATACCCTTTTTTTACAGAGGTAAAAACTGGGATTCAAAGAGGTCAAGTGACTTGCCAAAGGTCACACAGCACCTAGCACCCAGGAGGCACTCATTCAACATCTGTTGAAAGAAGGAAAAGATGGCTGGATCAGGCAATGGTTCAAACTCAGGTCATTTCAAATCCAAATTCTATGTGCTTTTGCACTCCATGCGCCCTTCTTACCCCACCGGCAGCAGAGATCTGTGTAACTTCAAAGAGCCTGGCCTGCGTGTCAGGACGACCTGTTTTTTGTAAGGATCAAATTCCTTCATTCATCTCCTAGATAGTCATGGAGTATCTGCTGCAGGCCAGGCGCTCAGCCGGGTCTCCCCGAGGTGACGCTTGGAAAAAGTGCAAGGGCGTGCAAATGCCAGCGGCCTGAGTGTGAATAAATAAGGCCTTGACTCGCCTCCTCTTGGGTGTGGGGCTTCTGTGCGGCTTCTGTGCAGCCTCTGTGAACCGCAGCCTCCCCGCCCCTACTCACCCGGGGCCAAGCTCAGCTTTTCCATGCTCCCCCCTGCTCCCGGGGCTCCCACAGAGCTCCCTCTCGAAGTGGCTACAACTCCTGGCCAGCCTCACCAGAGCTGTGTCTCAGTCTCTGCCAGCCTGTCCCGTGCCCCTTGAGATCCATGCAGAACAGGTCAGATACAGCCTTGAAAACCCTCTCTGGGGCTTTCCTAGTGGCTCAGTGGTAAAGAATCCTACCTGCCGATGCAAGAGACACAGGTTCGATCCCTGGTCCAGGAAGATCCCACATACAGTGGAGCAACTAAGCCCGTGTCCCACAACTACTGAGCCTGCGCTCTAGAGCCCAAGAGCCACAACTACTAAAGCCCGTGGACCCGCGCCCAAGCTCCGCAACAAGAGAAGCCACTGCAATAAGCCCCCGTGCACAACTAGAGAAGAGCCCATGCAGCACTGGAGACCCAGCGCAGCCAAAAATAAATAAACAAATAAAAATTATTTTTTAGAGAGAGAAAGAAAACCTTCTCAGGCTCTGAAAAGGACCTGCAGTGAATTCTAAGAAAGGAACTCTCCCAAAGCCCGTCACAGAGGAGAAACAGCCTCAGGGAGCGGAAAGAAGTTCCCTGTATCACCCAACAAATCTAGAACTCCCAGGTGGCCCTGGAGAGCCCTCAACTCGCTTCCTCACAGGAGGTGGGAGCTATTATCCTCTTACATTCTGCAGAAACTGAAGCTTCGTGTGGGTCAGGCCTGCAGAGCTAGTAAGGAGTGGAGCCAGGATTTAAACCCAGGCTGGTGTGTACCCAGACTGTAGACAATTAAATCTCATGCCCAGGCACTGCAGCTTCCGCTCTGCTGGGGTTACATCCCGAATACAGATGAAGGTTCTGGGTGGGGACAAGGGAGAACAGAAGGAACACTTGTCAGAATCAGTTCTTATCGCTGTTGCTCAAAGACACCACTTCGATTAATAATTTCTGCTATCCAGTGAAATATAAATGATCAGCTTGCCACAGCAGACTGGACAAAGCTTCTGGAAGCTTCCTGGTTCCTACTGGAGTAAGATTAGGTTCCGAGCTGGGGGGCGGGCAGGATGAGGGGATTGCATAGGACGTCAGGCAGGATGGCACCCGGACAGACTGATGTCTTCCCTCTTGCCCTCATCTGTTCTGGGCTGGAGAAGCAGGAATTGCATCCCAATTCCTCCTGCAAGATCATTCCGGGTGCCCTTGGCCAAGTCTTTTGTCTCCCCAGCCCTGGTCCTCTCCTTCATAGAGCAGGGGTCAGGGCACACATCCTACCCTCTGGACCAGTTTCTACAAGGTCCTAAAGGAAGATGCTACATGTGTGGAAATTACTTATGAATGTGCTAGGTATAGAAACAGAAGATGTTCTAGACACTGAACACTTCACTTGAGATCAAAGACAAGGCCTCCCTCTCTCAAGCCCCCAGCCTCTAAGCCCTGAGTCCTAGCATCTCAGAGCGGACACTTAGGGGGTGGATTGGAATGTGCTGATCTTGGGGTCTGGAGCTGCGGCATAAACTTCAGCTCGGCCTCCGACATGCTGTGTGGCTTCTGAGTGAATCCTGGCCCTTTCTGGACCCAGTCTCTAGGCTCCCCACCTGCACAATGGTGAGGATGAATTGAATGATCCCTAAGCACCCATCCACTGAACAGGTCAACTCCAGCACCTTCTTTGATCAGGGTGGGAGGAGTTCAAGACCAGTTCCGGCAGAAGGCCTCACCTCCTGCTGACCCGCATCATTAAACTCCAGGAGGAAAGTCCGCATCTCAGGCAGCCAACTGGCCCCGAGGCAGAGTCTACACCCTGGGAACCTACTCCTGCTCCAGCTCTGCAGGCTCGGCCATGGCCTCTCTTGCTCTGCATCACACACAGCCCTGGGGGACAGGGTTGGCCCCCTCCACTCGGCGGCGTGGAGACCCTACACTTCACCCTCCTCTGTCAGAGGGGGAAAATTCACCCCCTTTCAACCTCACAGCCAGCCCCTGTGAGGCTGGCAGCCCCACAGCTTGGGAAGCTGAGCTGTCACAGGCCAAAGGTACCTGGTGCCTGAGTAGGATTGGGTAGCCTGGAGGGGGTGGAAGCCTGCTTCCCTCGGCTCCCCGCTCCCTACCCTGCCAATTTCAGAATGCGGGACCTGAAGAGAATGTTGACATAATTGCAAAGCAATGCATACAATTTCCATAAGTTCTACAATATGGTTATAATAAAAACGGGCTCTCAGTCCCCTTGGAGACAGACTGAATAAATATTATTCCTCATGATTATTAAAACTCATTAAGTGTGTTTGTAAGGCCTGGGAATTCCCAGCATCTGCCAGTGCCTCCAACATTGCGGGGAGCCTAACCCCAAGCCCAGGGCCTGGCGGGAGACTCAGCCCCGGGAAGGAGGAACCCACATGGTGGTCACCTCCAACGCAGAAGAACAGAGCGGAGGCCAAGCTTTCTGGAAATGCCATCTCACCCATCCCCACCCCCCCCACCCGGAGGAATTGGCCTCCAGCTGCAGAAAGGTCGTTGCCCCTGGAGACAGTCCCAGGCACACTGGAGGCATCAACCCCAAGATGGTCTCCTGCACGTGGAATGTTCTTTCTTTCTTCCTTGATTGTTCACACTCACCCTGACCCTTCTTACACCAAACTCCTCTACCAGGGCCCACAAATCAAACATCTACAGGAGCCGGGCAGGTAAAAGAAACAAGATGAAAGGACTGGGTTGGAAGACCAATCAAGAGATGTGTGGATGAGCACTGACAAGAACGGGCCTGTCCTGTCCAAGGAAGCAGCCGCAACCCGGCCACAACCCACGGACTACTGCCTTTCTCCCTCTTCCAAGAAAAGCTGGTCACCCCGTCTTTTATAAGAAATCTCTCACATTCAAAAAATATTAATCACTTATTAAATATTTTTTAAACAATGTTGCATGTGCCAAACAAAACACATTCAGGACTACCCATGGACAACCTTCGCCTGAAACTTGTGGACAAGCCAGGGGACGGGAGGAGCTCTGGCCCAGGAGTCAGAGAGGTGGCCTTTGGGGACTGCAGGACCAGGGGCCAGTCAGTTCGTGGTTTTCCTTCAGCCACTCAACCTTTACGGTTATGTCAGCGCACAGTCACCTGGGGCTTGGGCCAACCAAAGCCCAGAGGTGCTCTTACCTGGAGGGGGCCACCAGACCCAAGTTCATCCCAGGGGACCACAGATCTGAGGCAGGATGTGCAATTCATGAATATGGGAGAGATGGAGGCATGGGGGGGCCCGGGTTCAAGTCGAGGCTCTGCCCGTAACCAGCTCTTCGCTCTAGCTTCTCCTCCTCTGCCCTGATTAAGAGCAACCGCCCAACCGCCCCTATCAGTCACTCAAGCTCCAAGCAGCATGCACACCCACCCAGTCTTACCGGCAAACCACAGTCTCCCTTGGGTCCCGGAGGTCCGATCAGCAGCAGGAAAGGTGTGGGTCCCACCAAGTGGAAGAACGAATAGCCAGTACTCATGGGCTGGGGGCTGGAGGACAGGAATCGCGCCGGGGCCAGCGCTTGGGCCGGGGTGGTCTGCTGCCTGGCCCGGGGCTGCCTGGGGCTGGACTCCCTTGTCGGATCGTTTAGCAAGACATCTCGGGCTGCCTTCCCGGATCTGAATGGGACGGGCTTCCGGGGTCTGGCTTTCTTTGTGGCTTCTGATCCAGTGGGTTTCTTGCTTCCAGTGGAGGCTGAACCAGGAGCAAGGGTGGGAGGCATCGCTGTGGCCAGTGGCCGAGCGGTCCTGGGAGGGCTAGGACTGGGGACAGGTGATGAGGGCGGGACTGTGGGTGGGGGAGGTCTGTGTGTGCTGGTGCGGGCAGGAGCTGGCTCACTGGCACGACTACTCATCTTGGCCTCAGCCCGGACCACTGGGGGCAAAGGCTTTTTAGAGGAGCCAGCAGCTGGAGGTAGGGGCTGGGCACTGGGTGGCGGGAATCTGGGCATGCTGGAGTTCCTCTGGATCGGCTTTGCTGTGGGACGGGAGACTTTGGCAGGAATGGGCTGGGAAGTAGGTGGCACCAGCTTCTTGGTGGGTGAGGCTGGCTTTATGAAGGCAGGCAGAGCTGTCTTCTGGGTGGGGCAGGAGCTTCTGACCGGGGCAATTGAAGGAGAAAGGGCTGACGGTGTGGCGGGGTGACTCTTGGGGGTCTTGGTGGCTGTGTTCTTCTGCAATGGCTGGACAGGTCTGGGGGAGCTGGCGGGAGGGACCGGGGATACGGGAGGTGGCCCTTCACTGGCTGATAGCTTGGAGGAGGGCAGGGGGGTCCAGGTTGGATGGGATGTGATGGGCTGGGGCGGGCCTGTGGTGCTAGTCCTCGTGGGCTTGATGGGCATGGCAGGCACCACGGTCACCCCAGGCCCCCTGCCTGCCGGCCGTGACCCCAGGGCTGGCATGGCAGTGGTCAGGTTCTCCAGGCCCAGCTGGGCGGGATCGCTCTGGAAGATGAGGGGTGTGCCAGAGTCTCGGGGGAAGAAGGGTCCCAGCTGAGGCCGGTAGGTGTCAGCCTGTCCACACTGCTTTCTCAGGTGGGTACAGTAATTATGAGCGACCTGCGCCACGGGGTAGATACTGAACTGGCACAGGGCCCCCTCGAACTGGACCGCCTGCGGGCTCATCTTCCCAAAGAGGAACAAGCCGTCAGGGTCGAGCGCTGGGTCCCTGTGGAAAGGCAGCAAGATGGGCACCCGGCGCTGCCCGCAGGCTGTCACCAGGGTGACTGTGCGGCCACGGAGCTCCAGGGCCAGGTGGTGCCAGCGCCCGTCATGGACGTCGAGGTCGAAGGCCACGGAGCGCCGGGGCCCCAGGTGGACCACAGTCTTGCCAGGGAGGAACTGCAGGCCCAGCTGCAGCTTGCGCTTCCGGCTGCGGACAGCGAAGAGGAAGGCATGGTTCACCCGGTGGGAGCAGAGGCTGAGCACCAGCGCCAGCTCCGTGCCCAGGGCGGCAGGGACAACAGCGGCCGTGGGAGCCTGGAGCCGGGCCCGCTGCGTGAAGATGAAGCCCGTCTGGAACGGGATGACCCCCGGGGGCGGGGGGCTCCGGCCGCCCGCTGCCTTCGTCCAGCTGAGGCCCAGCCGCTGGAGGACGTCCACATCTGGAGGGGGAGGACGGGACGGGACAGAGGGCATGGTCAGGGCCTGCTTCCGGCCACAGCGACAGTGAGGACAGCCCACCCACTGCTGCCTGCTGCCCCACAGCTGACTGACAGAGCAGAGATGGAACCAGCCCCTTGCTGGGCTGTGTGATCTGTGTATATACAGACCGTCCTTCATTTCCAATGCAGTTACAGCCCCATACGGCAAATGTCAGCTGAAAACATCCTAAGTCAAAGATGCACTTAATACACCTAACCTAGTGAGCATCACAGCTTAGCCTAGCCTACCTTAAACTCAGAACACTTATTGTTAGGCTTTAGGCTAAATCAGCTCACACAAAGCCTGAAAGTGAAAGTTGCCCAGTTGTGTCCAACTCTTTGTGACCCCATGGACTATACAGTCCGTGGAATTCTCCAGGCCAGAATACTGGAGTGGATAGCCTTTCCCTTCTCCAGGGGATCTTCCCAACCCAGGGATCAAACCCAGGTCTCTGGCATTGCGGGCAGATTCTCTACCAGCTGAGCCACAAGGGAAGTCCAAGAATACTGGAGTGGGTAGGGTAGCCTATCCCTTCTCCAGCGGATCTTCCCAACCCAGGAATCGAACCAGGGTCTCCTGCATTGCGGGCGGATTCTTTACCAACTGAGCTATCAGGGAAGCCTCCACACAAAGCCTATTCTACAACAAAGTGCTGAATATCTCATATAATATATTGAGTGCTAAACTATAAGCAGGGCTTCTCTGCTAGCTCAGATGGTAAAGAATGTGCCTGCAATGCAGAAGAGCCAGGTTTGACCCCTGGGTCAGGAAGATCCCCTGGAGAAGGGAATGGCAACCCACTCTAGTATTCTTGCCTGGAGAATTGCTTGGACAGAAGAGCCTGGTGGGCTATAGTCCATGTGGTCGCAAAGAGTCAGACACAACTGAGCACCTATCTCACACACACATACTAAAACCGAGAAACAATGATTGTGCTGGTTCAGATGGTTTAAGTGTATGGGTTGTTTCCTTTTGTGATCCTACGGTCAACTGGGAGATGTGGCTGCTGCTGCCCAGTGTCACAGAGACAATCGTACCGCATATCGCTAGCCCAGGAGAAGATCAAAAAGATCAAAATCAAACACTCCAAGTACAGTTTCACTTTTGCATCATCATTAAGTCGAAAAATCATAAATCGAACCATTGTCAAGTTAAGGACCGTCTGTAAATGGCTAAAAACACAGACGCTGAAGCCAAGCTTCCTGAGTTCAAATCCCAGCTCCACCACTCACTAGGATTGTGATGTCTCTGCCTCAGTTTTCCCACCTTTTAGATGGGATAATAGGAGTGCCAAAACTCAGAAGGACGTGGTGAAGATTAAATGAGCTAATGCACCTGGGGGGGGAAGTGGCCTGGCACAAAATAAGCACGTTTGACGGATAGCTCTTAATATGAAAAATAATGATAATCACCAAATGCTAGAGCTAAGAGTATTAGAGACTGCCCAATGTGGCGTTTCCCCCTTTCTCTGCCTGAAAAGCCATCTCCTCCAGGAAGCAGTCCCATAAGTGAGGGACCAACAGGAATGTTGGTGTCACCAGGGCTTGGTAAGGATGTCCAGGGGACTGGACTAGTTTGACCATCTTCAGGAACCCTAGTCTGCTAGAGCAGACTACTGGGGGAGCCACTGTCTACACGGAAGGCAGAGGACATTTCCAGTGACCCCCCTCTTCCCTGTGTGGCTTTGGAGAGAGCAGAGGAAGTAATCAAGGCATTCTTGTAACCTCTGTCCTCTGGCAAAGTGTTTGGACATCTGACCGTGGTCTGGCCAGGTCACATCCGCGTGGTAATTACACTGGCAAGAGCTTGCCAGAGCAAAAGGAGGGTTTCCAGGGTGTTTATGGAAAGGTTTCCTGACCTTGCCTCTTGTCGGGTCATTCAACCTCCTTCAGTCAACTGAGCTGCCAGCGCCTGCAGAAGCCTGCTCGGGAGCCCCATCTCAGCAGGAAAGAACAGGCTCCATCTGGAACTGGGCTCTGGGAAAGGTCCAAAGGCCCCCTCCCCTGAGCTCCGCATCCTGACCCCTGAATGTGGAAAACTCTCTCCCTCATCACCTAGAGTAAGGGGTGTGCACTGGGCTGAATGCAGCCAGCTCGTAGACCCTAGGCTGACTGCTGTGAGATGGATGGACAGAGAGACAAATGGGCTGGGGGAACCTCAGAACCTGGGCACTGGCAACATTGCAGCATAATGGCTCCATGGCAGGCTCTGCAAACAGAAGGCTGGACTTCAGAGCCAGACAAGACCACCTGCAGGTCTGGACTCTGAACCTCCATTCCCTCCACTATAAGACGAGGCTACGAAGAGTGCTGACGTCATCAAGGCCCTGGGAGATGATAAGGCGGTCTTCTTCTTGATCCTCACCCACACCTGCACTCTGTGCCTCTGATGAAGTTTCTTCCTGCACTCCCCCCCACCTCCCATTGCCAGGTCAGTTTCCCTGCCTGTGAGACAAGGGAAACCCAACCTGGAGGTGGCCACAGAGTCCTAAGAACATTATAAAAACTGTAGCTGCAGGCTGCTGTTTCAGGTTGTGGCTTGAAGGCTCTTATTCCTCTCTAGGACCCAAGGGCCTTCGCTTCACTTCAAACTCCTTTCTCCCACCTCTGTCTGTCCCCAGGTCCTAAGCTAAAATAAGCCACCATTTAGGGATTCTCTGAGTAGCAGTGTCTTTTATACATTTAATCACGGAAAGCCGCTTACTACCATAAAATGCTTCTCACTATAAACAACTTAAAAGGGAGGAGCTCCTTTTTAAAGCCAGCTCTCCTCTCTCCGCATCCCACCTCACCAGGCATCGAAAGGCTCCCAGCCCTGCAGATCTCACTCTACACCCTACCACTTACAGCCCCTCGCACTTGCCCCGAGAAGATGACAACCGGCCAGGCCAGGGGGCACCGAGGAGGTTCCCCTTATCACCCTCTCCAGGTGGGCTTTAAAGCTGACACCACGCAGTCTCCAGGCCTCCCCCGCACACTCGCTGTAGTTCAGCGGCCAAGTCCTCCCGACTCAGCTACCTGGAACTGGCAGAGCTGGTCACCGCTGAGCCTCCAGGGGTCTCTGACCCCTGCGAGCTCCATGGAGATACAGAAGGGCCACTGTTGCCCCAACTTTACAGGTAAATATATAATCAACAATAAGAAGAAGAACTGATGTTTATTGAGTATTTACTATGTATCAAGTGCTTTACAAGCATTAACTCTTGACTCTCTCCATCATCTATGAAGCAGGTACTGTCTGTCATCCCTACTCTTTCGGAGAAGAGGGTGAGAAAGCTGAGCTATATATAGTGTTGGGTTGGCCAAAGTTTCCTTTGGGTGCCCCCATGACGAACGAACTTTTTGGCCAACTCAATAACTTGCCCAGGATCACACAGCTTATAATCAGAAGTGGGCTTGAAACCCAGGCTGCTTGGCCCCAGGTCCTTCCTTCATCACTATGCCTTCCTGCACTGGAGCCCCTCGACTGCTTGGAAGGCAGGCTAGAGACCCGAACAGGATCCCATCAGGGGAGAGGAGATGGGGGACCGGGGAATGATTTCAGCCCAACGCCGAGATGGAGGGACCCGGCCAGCTGGCCACAGCAAGATCCCTTTATTACATAAACCTGGCTTCATGCTGCCCCAGCCTCTCCGCCCCCTAACCCCCCTTCCCAGTGCCTGACTCAGGACTCTGGACAGCTGTTCACCTACTTTGTGGGGGAAACAGCAAGCTTGGAAAATATGACATTTGCACAAAATGTTGCTGGGCGGCAGAAGTCTCTTCCGGGCACAGCCCTCCCCTCCCAGGGGCCCAATCCCTGCCCAGCAGCCAGGTCAGGCCACAGGGGCTCTGGGAGTGCCCGGGTGCCTGTCCCGGCACACGGCCGGGCGTGCAGGAGGGGGAGGGGCTGCTATTTTAAGAGGCATTGTGGCTGCTTGACAAACAGATGTGGGAGAGGTTTCAGTTTCCATGCACAACTATGTAGCCAGCCCCCTCTGCCCCCCCACCCGCCACCTGGGGCCCCCTGGACAGATCCTCAGGGATAGCAGGGAAAAGCAGCATCTCACGGGAAGGGAAGTGCAGATCACATGAGTGGGCAAGGATGCTGGAGGCCTTCGTGCCTCTTGTCAGCCCTTCTTGGGGTACCCATCAGACAAAGAGGGGCAACTGAGGCTTACTGACCTAGTGCAACTTACTCACATTCTGCCCTGGAGAGGAACAAAAGCATCGCCTCTACATTTCTGCACTGGGCGCTTCCTACCCTCACAAAACATCAAACGGGATGCTTTCAAGGCCGGAGAGAATTTGTTGATTGGCTCCATTCTACTGATGAGAAAATTGAGGTCCCAAGTTCCCCATTAGGAGCACCGATGTCTCCCACCCCTGCATTCCCAGATCCCTTCCGTCCTGCTTTGTCTTCCCCTGGACAGAGAGAAGTGACAGTTACCTTCAGGAACTCCTTGGGTGGAGGTCAGGTGACAGGCGAGCGAGACTAAGATCCAGGTGCAGAGAAACCCCCTAGTGACCAGGAGACACAAGCAGATGCGGCGTCAGCTTCCACCCCGCGCGTCCAGATCCGGCAGGGGAGTTGGGAGGGGGTCCTCCAGCCCCTGTCCCACCCCAGTCCTGCCCAGGGGAGGCGGGAGGCGAGGTGCAGACTCTAGGACCCCATCGGACCAGCCCACACTCCTGGGGTCCAGGCACAGCCTTCTGAAAAAGGAACTGCTTACACAGTACAAATACAATCTCGCTTTTTACAGATCAGTAAATCAAGGTCACAGGCAGGAAGCCCTGCCCAGGACATCAGGAGACTCAGGGTCCAGATCAAAACCTGCCACTGATGCACTGGGCAACAGAAGACCAGCCCCTGCGCCTCCCTGTCGCTGGACCTCAGTCTCCCCATCTGTATTATGGCCCCAGGACTTTGAGACCCAGTAGGCAGCAGAGCTGGGGAGGAAAGGTCAGCAGGAAGACCAGAGGAGTCTGCTTAGATGACAGGTATCTTCAAAGGGCAGGAAAGAGAAGAACTCGGTCTCCAGACTCAGGGCCGGGGGTGGGAGACGACCGCTTAGCCAGGACCACTGCATGTTAAGGAAGCTGCCTTCTAGCTTCATGCTCACAGAAAATGGAAGAGGGAAGAAGAGAAGAGGAGAAGGTGGGGAGTCAGGCCTCCCCCTCAGGTGCAAACCTGGCCCCATTGCATACCAGCTGTGTGAGCCTGGATGAGTCCCTCAGTCTCCCTGAGCCTGTCTCCTTCTCTGCAGTTCAGCTGACGTTCCCTATCTTGCAAGCCAGGCGTGAGGATTAAATGAGCTCATGCATGTCAAGGGCTCGGACTGCTGCCAGCCACAGAAGTGCTTCTTAGACCAACCCTGCTGCCCTTCCACGCTGGGTCCCAGAAGGGTTAATGCTCTGCTCAGGGGCTCCTGCCAAGATGGGCAGAGGCAGCGATCCGATTTCACCTTCCTGTGGGAGCAACCACTGGTGACACCCGAAGCCACTGGGGCATCTGATCCCCAGGCAGGCAAAGGGGAGGGCGGCACGTGGCCAGAGTCGGCCAGCCAGGAGGCAGGCAGAAAGAACCCCGCCAGGCGGGTGGTGAGGGCAAAGGCTGGGACACGCTGGCCCAGGATCCATTTCCAAGAGGAAGGCTAGGATGGTGTGCTTCTGGGGAACTGTGTAATCCAGGAAACCCATCTGCCAGAGTGGAGGTCGGGAGTCCCAGGTTCTTCCTAGCTCCCCGGGGGCTTTGGAAAACAAGCTCACACTCTGTGATTTAATAGCAAATCCTCCAATTTAATTGTAATTAGCATCAGTGGTAATCCTGACCTAGACAATGGAGAAGGCACTGGTGGTTACCTACCCATAGCCTCCCCCCTCTTCTTGCTTGTTCAGGGAGACATGAACTACAAAGGAAATTAGATACCTCTGGATAGATCTAAGTCCATCTTGGGAATTTGCCATGCCAGTGACTGGTTTAGGCCTGCATATATGACGCAAATTTGGCCAATGAGATGTCAGGAATGTCTATCAGGACCTCAAAGAAAACATTTCAAAGGAACACAGTAAGGGCTTTCTTCTAGCCTTTGAATGTTGTTGAATGAAGACTTGCTGCTGCAGCTGTTTTGTGCACATGAAGTAACAAGCCACATGAGCCTGTGAGAATGCCAGAACGGAAAAACGGTGGGTGTTTGATGACACTTGAGATGCCGAATTGTCCAATCCTATTACGGCTTTTCCTTTTGACCTCTTGATATAGGAGGTAATGAGTCCCTTACTGCTTAAGCCATGTTCAGTTGGGAATTACATGCAGCGTAAGGCAAGCTAGCTGAAACAGCACTCAGACGCTGATGGCGGTCCCTTGAAAGCCTTCGGCTTCCGGGCCTTAGCACATGCCAGTCTCAAGTGCTCTGGACTCCATTCTTTCGCCTGCTCAGCTCCCACTCACGTGTTAGAGTCTAGCCAGAGTGTCATTTCACACCGTCTGCTGCACCTACCTCCCAAGGTATCCCATGTACATCTGTCTGTTTTCCTGTCTCATTTTCTAACTCAAGTCCCTGAAGGACAGGGCCCGCGTCTGTCTTGGATTCCCAGCACCTGGCAGGCATGTAGTAAGTGTTCAGTGTATTTTTACAGAAGAAATGAATGTCATCTGGAACTACAGCACTGTGGACTTTAAAAAAGTATCTTCCCAAAGACTCAATGCCAGTAGGCCCACCCACCTCTGACTTTTTCCGAGGATGCTCCTGGATAACCCTTGCTCCTTCCTTCTCGTCTCCAATCTGCTGCCACTGCTGTGAGAATGCTTTTTACGTGGGACCTGTCCTCCCTGTCTGCAGCTTACCACCAGCAACAACGAAAGGTCAGTGCCTAGCTGCCCTCAGTTGGGAGAGCGGTAGAGGCTGACCCTTCTGGCATGTCCTGCCTACTTAGAGCAAATGGTAGCCCCATCAGCTGCGACAAACAATAAGAGGCAGCTCTTTTTGATCTGACAAAAGCTGAGCCTTCGGGAGGACAGGTACTTTCTCAAGGTCACCATGGGCAGACTCTGAGGACACAGGTCTTCAGTACTATTTCCCATACCCACCAGGTAGCTACACCAGGAAGCTGGCCAGATCTACTGGGGAAGAGCCATCTCCTACATCCTACTCTTGGTAGTTCCAAAGCACAACTGCATATCAAAGGCTCTGAGAAGTTCTGCAATAAAAAAATCAACTGCCCTTTCTGTTGGTCAGCAGTCCCTGAAACTAGAGGACCAGAAAACTCATTTCTCCTGAGAAGACCTCCCAGAAGACAGTGCTCCTGGCTCTGCAGTGTCCCTGCAGCCTCACTAGTTTCTGTTCCATTTCCTTTCAGTCTCCTCTGTTCCCAGCCTTTTCCAGGCACCATCCCTCATTCCTTGAGTCTCTCCCTGTGTCGTCACATCCACCCTTCTGGATGCTCCCCAAGCTGATAAAGACAGGCCAGGTGGAGAGGGGAAGGTACAAGAACCACACACATCCTTCTCGGTCAATTTCTCCTGCTGGAGTTATGCCAAGGTGACTACCCTGTAGAGAATAAAAGGATAAATTCAGAGGCAATATTTGTAATCCCAGGAGAAAGAAGACTCCCAGGGGAGATGGGATCAGACTAGCCCCTTCAATTAAACTTCCTAACACCATGGTTTCTAACTCAAGAATTTCAGCTCTGAAAGAGCTATTTAAAAAAAAATATTTGTCTCCCTTTCATTCACCTCAACAAATGCAACTGACCCTCTCAGACCTGGATTCCTTGTGCACTTGACCCAGAAACTTCCAAAGTATAGCAAGGGAGTATAAAGTGCGAGTGAACTGGGCTTTCCTGGTGGCTCAGCTGGTAGAGAATCCGCCTGCAATGTGGGAGACCTGAGTTCGATCCCTGGGTTGGGAAGACCCCCTAGAGAAGGGAAGAGCTACCCACTCCAGCATTCTGGCTGGGAGAGTTCCATGGACTATATAGTTCATGGGGTCACAAGTCGGACACAACTATGCGACTTTCACTTCACTTCATAGAGTGGGAGAAGGTCCTCTGAGATCATTTCGAAGCCAGATTCTAGTCTCATCCCCTTTGGAGAGATGGGCCACTGAGGCCCAGAGAGGGGAAGCAACTTGCCCAAAGCCACACAGCATGTCAGTGACCCATATCATCTGACTCCACTACTTAGCAGACCATTTTCGCTTGACTCGTCTCCCAAGAAGATATCAAAGACTTACAGGGACTTCCTACTTGCCAGAGACCAGAGCCCCAGCCTTCACCAACAGGAACAGAGATGCAGCCTAGGGAGCCAACAGCCATCTAAGTAAGCTCCAGGCCTGGAAAGTTGGCTCCCAGAGGGAGGCCTGCCGATTCTTTTGCTCCCGTTCCAATCCTGTTTAGGCTACTGCTAATAACGTTTAGTGCCTGCGCTGGCTCAGAGCTTTGTTCTTCCAGACTTCTGTTTTCACCGCTGACTTGTGGGCCTGGCTCAGCGAAGCCAGGGCTCCAGAATGTCGGGAAGACCAGAGCACAGGGGCCAGAGATGGCAGAAGGCGGCCGGAACGGAAGCCATGAGTTAGGGAGCCTGACCTTGGAGACACAACCTGGCCACTGAGCCCTCCAAGAAGGGATCCCAGGTGTTCCTCTCTCCTGCAAAAAGCCCTCTGCCAGTACACCCAAAGTGGTTACTCCTGGACCACGAGGCTGCCAGAACCTGCAGCTGGCTTGCATGATTTCCTCCTCCCCCCTTGTTACCTGAGAACACAGGGGAGCTTCAGGGACCGATACCAGTCTGAACATCCACTGAGCGCTCAGAGCTGAGACCCGGGGCATAGAAACACAAGGCCAAGTAGACCCATGGTCTCTGGGCTTGGCTGCACTCCCATGGAGTGAGCTGGGAAGGATGCTGGCCAGAGGACCACAGAGAAGAGAAGAGGGGTGAACCTGTCCCACCTGCCTCCATGGACTGGCCAGGCCCCATGTGTCCAGACAGCCACGCCCCGGCCTTCTTCACACCTTACACCTCTTCTATGGGAACACAGACAGGTCATCTGTCTGGACAGGATGCGGCCCAGAATTTTCCAGCTGACTCACACATCCATTCAAGATGAAGTGAATAATGATACAAACAGCAGCTGCCATTTATTGAGCACTTACTACATGCCAGGCCCTGTTCTAAAAGCCTTTTACAAGCACAGCCCCACTAATCCTCACAAAACCCTGCTTGCTGGAAATGAAGATGCCTGTTTGGGGGATGAGAAAAAGAAGTGGAAAGGCAAGGTGCCCGCCCCAGCTTGCAGGACAGAGGCAGGGATTCACACGGCCTGACTGCCATACTCTCCCTGCTCATGGGTGTGAGTTTATGTTTTGCTTCCATTTCCACCATCAATTGAAATGGCATTTTGTGGGTCGGGCAGGTTGTGGGGTATCAAGAGGGTCCCTGAAACACAGAGAGAGAGGAAGAGAATATGCCAATAGAGTAACAGGTAGAGTGTGCTCAGAGAGGGGCAGACAGGGGCTTACACGTGGAGGGCAGGGCCCCCGCCAGCGCAACACCAGGGTTGCTGATGACTGAGCCTGGGCGTACAGCATGCTTATGGAAGCATAAGGAAGGGGGAGTGCTCTGAGGACAGGGAGGACGGAGAAGCAAAGAGAAGCCAGGGATGCTCCATAACAGTGTTGTGGAAGCTGATCTGGGAGGTGCAGAAGAGCAAAGCTAGGGTGCCAGCGGCAGAGCATCTGGGGTACTCAGATGCTCCGAGTATCAGATGCTCAGGGTATCAAAGCCGCGGGACTGCCCACTTGCCTAAAGCTTGGGCCCCACTGTGGGGTGCTCTCCTGGCACCGCCTCTCTACCCAACCGCTGGCATCTGCCCTGGCACAGGGTCTTCTGGAGAAAATGAGTCAGCAGTGCCCTTACTGGTGGTGGTGGTGGGGTGTGTGTGTGTGTGTGTGTAAGCGCGCGAGCCCCTTGCGGTGGGGGTGGGGGGTGGGGGGTGGGGGGCGGGCGGGCGGGGGAATCTCAGCCAGCCAGCTTTTTCCAAGACATGGGAAAGAAAGGGGGAGGCATCGCCCCCCTGATTCCAGCGCAGAGGGGGCAGGACCCGGTGGGGTAGGGCGGAGCTACAACCCAGACCAGCCTCTTGGGAACAGTCCTCTGCTCCTGGGAACAGTCCTCTGCTCCTGGGGGCAGGAAGGACAGGGAGCAAGCTCTGTGCTTCTCCAGGCCAGCAGTGAGCATGAACCACAGTCCTGAGGGGCTGCTCCCTGCCTGCTCGCTCCCACACACACCCACACCAGTGACTCCTGCACACGCTCCCTCTTCACAACTCCTACTCCACAGGCTGGGAACCAGAGATTCCCTGGCCCTCAGGGGCCCGCGGGGGCTCACATCTGTGCCACGAGGGGTTCGAATTAGTCATCTCCCCGGGCCCTTTCTGCCCTGACATGCTGGCTCTCACTTTTTCTAACACAGATGACGGGAAAGCGACAGGAACTCAGGACCACCCCCACTCCCACCCCCGCCCCTCCCCAAGCAAGGAAGCGCTGAGACACACAGACCCAAACAGCCTGACACACACGCGGCGATTTCCAGAAACAGGGGACGTGCAAAGACACACAGACACCGAGACAGAAGCAGGAGCCCTGGAAATCTGCAGGCAGTTTCCCAAGAACAGACAGAAACGGAGACTCACAGGCTGGGGACCTATGGACGCCCACACGGGAACACGTCGAGACAGCCAGAAACGGAGACCCCTCCTCCCCCATGCATCCAAAGAACCCCCTCCGCCTCCCCCGCCCACCGCTCCAGGCACCACCCCCAGCCCTCAATCTCGACCCCGGGGCGGGCTCTGCCGCGACCCTCCCCAGCTCGGCCCCCGCCCCAACGCGATCAGGCCGCCGCGCCAGGCGGGGCAGGGCGGGCAGCGCTCGGCTCGCCAACCCTCGCCGGGCCGGGGGCGCTGCCCGCGTTAACCCTTGGCGGCCCGCCCTGCAGGGGCGCAGGAAGGGGCAGGAAGCTGACGTTCCGCTGGAAGCGTCCCGCGCGGCGGGGAACCCCAGCCCGCCCTGGGGCTGGAGCCGCCAGAAGCTGGGGAGGCGGCGTCCCCGAGCCCGTACTCACCCCCCTTGCGCCGCCGCCGCCGCCGCCGCTGTGCCTCGGGCCCCCCGCGCCGATCCCGCTCCCATGGCGGGCCCCTACTTCATGCTCCCGAGCCCGGGGGGCAAGTGTGGGCGCGCCCCATGGGGCCGCCAGCCCCCCGCCCCGCCGCGCCAGGCCGGCTTAGAGCGCGCGGCCCCCGCGCCCCCAGCGCAGTCCGGCTCCCAGGGGCGCCCGAGCAAGCAGGCAGCGCGGCCGGGGCTCCGCGGGCGCCCGCGCCAGGCCCATGGTCCCAGGAGTCCCGGCGCCGCGCTTGCCCCTGCCTCGCTCTTTTCTGCTTCCACCGAAAAGGAAGAAGAAGCAGAAGAAAAAAAAAAAAGATGATCAAACTTTTGGAGGCGGGCTGCTGGCGGTCCCCGGAGACAGAGCAAGGCCGGGCGAGGGCGCGCGGAGGGCGGTAGAAGCTGCCTCCCCGCCGGCCTGGGGGAGGAGAGGAAAAGGAAGGATTTGGGGGAAATGAAGGCGATTTAAAGTCTCGGCCCGCGGTGGCTCTCCACCTTCTCTCCTCCCCGCGCCGGGCCGCCCTCTGCTGCCCCCTGCTGCCCCCTGCCGGCCACAGCCGGGGACACAGCCTCCCCGCGCCCACGACTGTCCCGCGGGGGCACCCCACCCCCCAGCCCCCTTGGAAAGACGGGGAAACAGATTCACAGGGAGGAGAAGGTCGCCAAGACTGTACAGCAGGGTGGTCACAGTTCGGAGATTCGGGACCTCTTTGTGAGACCGGGAGTCCCTGAGTTGGGGGCAAAGATAGAGGAGGTAAGGGGACCTACTACTGCTGAAAGGAACCCGAAGTTCCAAGGAGTTCCAGGGATAAATCTGGGACCAGGGCTCGGTGTCTTGACTCCCATGAAAACAGCAACTAGTGTCCCACTACACCACACACACACACACACACACACACACACACACACACACACCTATTTTGGTCTCAGATTCACAGCATCCTGGAGAACGGACTTTCCTGGGCACGTAGTGGGTGGGTTTGTTAATGCTGGTCACCTCTCTCTCCCCAATCTTGCCTGGTGGCTCAGGCCGTAAAGCGTCTGCCTACAGTGCGGGAGATCTCTCTGTCCTCTGTACGCGGTAAGAACCGGGAGTTGAACCTACCTCCCCACCTCAGCGTAGACCAAAGTCTCACTCAGACCACCCCCACCCCCCGCCGCCGGAGCGCAAGCCTGCACACCTTGAAGCCACGAACACCTGGCAAATTCGCACACTCCCAGGTCCAGTCCGAACCCTGGCATCGGAAGCCCCTCCGCCTCCACCTCCAAAGGCTTGTTCACATTCCCACACATCTCTACACTTGCTCCAAGTTCAGACACACACTCACTCACACGCAAGCGCAGCCACGCATTCCTTCTGGGCTCACACGAACCCACCCTGGGGTGTCTGGAATCAAGCGCACACCCAGACTCTACCCACGCAGATGCATGCACATCAGTGCTTACATGCGCGTAAACGCACACTAGCCTCGTCAGATCCTCCCAACGTACACACCCGCGTGCATACTCCTCATACATACCTTCACGTGCGCACACACTCAACGTACAGCCCAAGTGCACACACACTCGCGCCCTACCCCCACCTGCACAGAGCTTTCCGCTAGTGCCCATTGCACGCGGAGGGCACACACTCACTCCTCGCACGTGCACCCCCACCCCACCCGCGCGTCTCTTTACACACACACACACACCCGTATCCCCAGCGCTCCAGGAACCCCGGGGCACTTACTGGATCCCTAGGTGCGAGGCTGGACGGTCGGTCCTTCCTCGGGCGCCTAACGGCATTTGTATTCATGGGTCCCCGCAGCCCCGGGCGCGGGCGCGGGGGCGGGGGTGCGGGGTCCCCTTCCCTAAACTGGGCGCGGGCGCTCGGAGCGCAGCGGCACCGGGAGGGGCATGGGCGCGCTGGGCTGCGCCACCCGCCGGGTCCGCCTGCGCTCGAGCTTCAGCCGCTCTGCGTCCTCGGACTCCAGCACGGGCTCCGGGCGCGGAGGGCGGTTCATAGGTGCAGGGGCCGCGGCGCCCGCCGGGCCTTTTGAAGTCTCCGCTGGGGGCGGGGAGGGGGCGCTGAAGGCAGCCTTTTAAACCGTGGCTGCACGCGGGCTCGGTCGAGCAAGGTGTCTGGTTTCAGCAACTTTAGGAAAAGTCCCAAGCCGAAGAGGGGGGTGATGGGGGGAGGAGGGAGCGGAGGGCGAGCCAAGCAAGTTACAAAAAGCAGCCGCGAGGCTGTGCGAGGCTTCCTGCAGGGGGCAGAGCGCCCGAGGCTGCCAGGACGGAGGCTCGGCTCGGTACTGCGGTACCCGCAGGCGGCTGGACGGCACGTGGACCCACCCTCGCATGGCCACGTTGAACTTGAGTTCTTAACCTCCACCTGGCCGAGTCCCAGGCGTGCAGGAACACCGCCCACATCTGCACAAACTGTACCTGTTTGCACATTCTTCTGGGGGAGAGGGGCCACCCGTTCTCGGGTTTTCAAAAGTCCAGGGCTCTTGAAGACTGAGAACTCCTAGACCAATCATCCTCGATGTGTTTTGAGCTACCTCCTTTGCGCTGGCCTTTATTTACATTTTTTGCTATTTTGTTCATCGTGGATTATTTTTTTGACTTGTATGTATAACATTTTTAAAATATTGCATTAAAATGTTATGTATCTTGGTGGGTTTTTTGCTTTTTGTTATTTAGTCACTAAGTCGTGTCTGACTCTTGCTATCCTTTTGGCACCCCCTTCCCTTAAATATAAAATTTCATTACTGAGGGTTTGGGGCATCCCTTAGTATTTTCATTTCTTATTAATTTTTATTGGAGTATAGTTGCTTTACATGCTGTGTTCGTTTCTGTGGCACAGCAGTGCATCAGCTATATGTATGCATATACCCCTCCTTTGGGGATTTTCTTTCCGCTAGTATTTTGCAGCTCACATGCCTCCCCTGAGCCAGGTGCAGCACTGTTCTAAATGCCACCACTTATGGAAGGCCTGTTATCTCTATTTTTCAGATGAGAAAAAGGAGATTCTGAATAACTTTCAGAAGGTAAAATAACTTTCCTGAGATCACTAAGCTGTTCAGTGATGGAGGTGGGGCTGGAACCTGGGGTTGTCTGATTCCTGTCTTCGGAGCTGAGCGTGATAATTCAAATGTTAGCCTCTAAAGGATTCCGAGCAGATCTTTGCCAACCTCTCCAGCCTCAAATTCTGTCTGGGGTGAGCACCCTCTTTCTGGTGCCTGGACCCAGGCTCTAGACAAGCTGGCCCAGTTCAAAGTCTTATCCACGCTGTCTCTTCCCAGGTTCTTCTCTTCCCCAAGCCCCCTTTCTGCATGTTCACACACTCTCTGTCCTTTTAGGTGAAGCTCAAAGCTCTGCCCTGCACCCATATTTTAAAAAATCATTTTATTTATTTATTTTTGGCTATGCTCATTCTTCTTTGCTGCACAGGCTTCTTCTCTAGTTGCAGCAAGTGGGGGCTACTCCCTAGTTGTGGTGCAGAGGCTTTACATTGCGATGGCATCTCTTGTTGCTGAGCATGAGCTCTAAGGTGTGTGGGCTTCAGTAGCTGCAGCTCCCGGGCTCTAGAGTACAGGCTCAATAGTTGTGGCCCTCGGAATTTGTTGCCCTGTGGCACGTGGGATCTTCCTGGATCAGGGATCGAACCCGTGTCTCCTTCACTGGCAGGCAGATTCTTTACCAATGAGCCACCGGGGAAGCCACCCCTTCCAGCCCATATTGTAGCACACATCACATGGTATTGTCATGATTAAATCTAACCCCATACCCAGCTTAAAGCCTAGAATAAAACAGATGCTCAAACCATTAAAAATTTAAATGAATTTCTTTAACTCCTACAACTCCTCCAATGTGCTAACCCTTGTTCAAAGTTGGGGGAAGAGGGTCTGCCACTATGGAGTGGAGACAAATGTGTAACTGGTCCTGCTTCCCGGGCACACACACGTTTGTATTGTGGTCAGCAGCTTGGGGCGGGGAAAGGAGCCTGTATGGGAGACACAAGATGCTGCCATGTCATAGGGAACCCCTTGCAATCACATAAAGATAACACAAGAAGAATGTGGTAGATACCATCAGATAGATACAGGTGAATTGAATTGTCAAGCCAACTGAAGGATAGAGAGAAACCAAGGAAGACTCCCAGGAGGAGGTAGGCTTTGGCTCCCAACAAAAGGGCCAGGGGGGTGGGAGCAGATTTCAGGCAGATTTTTGTAGGAGGAGTGAGGGGAGCCCAAGTGGACAAACCATCCAATTTTCCCCATGGCACCATGTGGGTGATGATGTGCAACTTACTGGCCAGAAGGACATTTCTAGGCAAGAGCATGTGTTTCCTCAAAGGTCAGACAGCAGGTCAGTGGCTGAGTTCCAAGCTCTTTCCAAAGTTTACTCCCAAATCTGAGTGTGATGTGGTGAGCCCCAGGGAGACTTGCTTTCATGAGGGAAGCCCCAGAGACCCACAGGAAACCTCCCCCAAAGTCCATAAAGATTGATGGCATCCCCTTTGAGCCTCACTGTTCTCATCTGTCAAAAAGGTACATTGAACGTGATCCTCATCGTGTCATGAGCTTGAGAGAGGGAGATGGTTGTTCACCAATCAGTCCAGTGCAGTAAATAATTATTGTGGGCTACCTGTGTTCTCCCGGGCTGGAAAGGAAGTGAGGTTCATGGCCTTCCAGGAGCTCATGGTCAGTTGCAAGGAGGAGACACGGACACCGATTAGACCGCTACAGAGAGGACCTCGCTTCCTACCTCAGCTGCTTCTTCACACCCAGTCTTTCTGCCAAGTAGGCTCCTGGCACAGCGCCAGTGCCTGGCACAAACAGTCCTGAGGAAAGTTGGATCCAGGAGCCACGGAGCCATCCCCCGCCCTGTGAAAGGGATGAAGCACTCACAGGCCAGCCGAAAGGAGGACGCCTCTGTGGGGCAGAAGGCGATCAGCCTGGGGACTGAGCAGACACTCCCTGCAGGCCCAAGGAGATGAGGGCCAAGGCAGAAGGCTAGGAATTCCCAGCCCGGTGAGAACACTATGAGGCACATGGCTTACTTCCTGCCCAAGCAGAGCAGCCATGGACCCGTGGCTCTTTGGGGCACGTCTGCCTTGAGAGAAACTGTTGATCTCAGTAGCTCAATGACGGACACTTAGTCGGGGCTCAATAAATGTTTGGCTAAATCGCTAGATGAAATTTACCTGCAGAAAGAGGGGTGCACACCACCCCGTTATCAGCCCCCACCGATTCACCCACCAGGCCTTTCTGGAGGGCCACCATGTACCCGTGTGCTTCCTGCTCTCCAGGGTTTGCTGGAGGAGGTGAGCAAGGAGGCAGACAGACAGAGAGCACAGGTCAGGAAGTCCTGCCTTTTTCAACTCACACCGGCTCCACTGGTGCCCAGAGCTGGGAGGAGAACTTGGATGCCACGTATTAGCCCCGATCTTCCGATGCCCGGCTCTGCTGGGCACACCGCGACGGGCCTTTCTTTCATATCCGGCTTGCTCTGCGTGTCCCAGAGGACATGTACAGACAGTGCACGTCTCATGATAGAGTCGTTCACTCCCTGGTCACTCAGCCAATCAGGAGACGCTGCCGTGCATCAGGTCCTGAGCTGGGCGCTGGTCACAGTGAATGCAAGCTGTGAGCAGCTGCCGCGCTGAGTTTCTAACCCTAGCATGAAGCACAGTGCCTGGCACATGTGAAGGACTCCATAGATGCTGAGTGAAATGATTGAAGGAAGGAAAGTAGGGAGGGAGGAAAGAAGGAAGGGAGGGAGAAGAAAGGTAAAAAGGAAGGAGGGGAGGGGAAAAGGGAAGGAAGGAGGGAGGGAAGGAGGGAGGGAGGAAGGATGAGAGGGAAAGAGGGGGAAGGAAGGGGGAAAGCAGGAAGGAAGGGAGGGAGGGAGGGAGGAAAGAAGGGAGGGAGGGAGAAGAAAGGTAAAAAGGAAGGAGGGGAGGGAAAAAGGGAAGGAAGGAGGGAGGGAGGAAGGATGAGAGGGAAAGAGGGGGAAGGAAGGGGGAAAGCAGGTGGAAAGGAAGGGAGGGAGGGAGGAAAGAGGGAGGCAGGGGGAAGGGAGGGAGGGAGAGAGGGGGAAGGATGGGAAGGAGAGAGGGGGAAGGATGAGAGGGGGAGGGGAAGGAAAACAGGAAGGAAGGGAGGGGAGGAGGGAGGGAGGAAGGACAAGAGGGAGAGAGGGAGGGAGGGAGGGAGGGAGGGAGGGAGGGAGAATGGGAGGGAGAGGGGGGACGTTACCTCTAAGTGCATCAGGTCCTGAGCTGGTCACAGGTGAATACAAGCAGTGGTCCCTGCTGGGAGCAGCTGCCACGGGAGGAAGGGAAGGAGGAAGGAAGGAAGGGAGGGAAGGAGGAAGGAAGGGAGGGAGGGAAGGAGAGAAGGAAGGAAGGAAGGCAGACATGCGTGCATGGGAGTAAAGTCTACCAGATTAGGCCAGGGCAGCTCCTCCCCACCCGCTCCCTCTCCTATAGCGGGATCCTCCCGTGTATTCGTCTGCCACGCGGCAGGGCCACACAGCAGGGCCCGATTTCAGGGGCTGCGGGAACACCAGTCGTCCTCCGTCCTGCTCCCGGCTGTACTCTCAACACCCAGGACAACGCATTCCAGTAAAGTAAACTGAACTTGAACACTAAGCTGGAGAATGAAGCAGCCTCCAAGAGGGTCCCTTCCCTCTGCCCCCTCCAGACAATGCCAGTCTAGTTCTGCTTCCCAGGAGAAGAGGCTGGAGTTAGCACTGGCTCTCATCACTGCCCGCCTGTCTCCCAGAGCTTGGGTTCTGCCTGCCTGGGGGACCACGTCACTCTGGCCCACTGGCTGCCAAGACCCCAGAAACAATCATTCCACCAAGAGGAATGAGCTCTGAAGCCAGAGAAGTTCCTGGGCCACTCTCCAGGAGAGAGCATATCCTCTGGGCACGTGATCCCATTGTCTGGGCATCCCAGACCATCTCCCCGGAGCCTTTTCCCCACTCCCCAGTCTGGTTTTATTTCCTCAGGGCTGAGCCAAGTCGCAGAGAGCTGGGAGACATCCAAAGATTGTTTTGCAGGGGATTGATATTGACCCAAGTGTGGGGACCTTCCCCAAAAGAAATTCAGCCCTGAAAGAGCCCCTAGTGCCGCTGAATCCACTTTCCTCGTATTACAGGTGGGGAAACTGAGGCTCAGAGACAGTGTATGATGCTCAAGTTCACACAGAGTCAATGGTGGGGCTGGGGTGGGAAGCCAGGCCTCCCATGTTGATGTCAAAAGTCAAACCTGTCTCCTCAGCCTTCAATCCCTTCAGCCAGTGGTGGAAGAATTAGACCCATTTTCCAGATGTGGCAGTTGTGGCAGATTAAGTTCTCCGGACTGTCTCT